ACAGCAGAGCAGTCCAGGTCGGAGCGTAACAGAGCACGGAAAGGCAAGATGAGGTAAGACACTATAGGGCAGTGCGGTTAAGGGAAGAACAGGGCTGGGCAAGGTAGAGCGGGGCCGCGCAGAACAGGGCAAGGCAACGCTAGACCGGGCAGGACAGGACTAGGAATAGCAGGGCAGAAAAAAGAAGGTAGGGTAAGACTGGGCACAGCAGGTCCGGACAGGGCGAGGCAAAGCTGGGCGGAAAGAAGGGCAGGTTAGAGTAGGGTAAGGCAAAGTAGAGTAGGGTAGGGAAGGACAGGGTACGGTAGAGTAGGATAGACTATTGTTTTTTAATCATGTAGGTATTCTAACAAACTATGACATGCAACGACAAATTTTTCTGCTTTGAAGTGTCATTTTGAGTAATCAATCAATAAATCATGGGAAATGTGACATTGTTTTTGGTTTTTTTTGTTAAAGATCATTATCGACAAGCTAACTAGTGAACCCTAGAAACCAAATGCACTTTTAAAATGTTGCCATTTTGAATTTTTTTGGAAATTTTGTTGCTTTGTCTTTTGTAAAGAAAGTTCTTGCCATTTTCGGTTTTGTAAACAATGTTTTTGCTATTCGTTCTAAACCACATTTTAAACGGAACGTTAAGACTAAAGCACGGAACGTTTTTTCGGAAAAAGTAAGCTTTTAGTCAAGAACGTTGACGTCAGCGTTCCTTGTTTTTAGAAAAACTAATGTGAACGCATTTTAAAGTGACTACCCTGCCGTACCCTACCGTGCGCTACCCTACCCCACCCCACCCTACCCTACCCTACCCTACCCCATTCTACCCTACCCTACCCTACCCTACCTTACCCTACCCTACCCTACCCTACCTTACCCTACCCTACTGTACCCTACCCTACCCTACCCTACCCTACCCTACCCTACCCTACCCTACCCTACCCTACCCTACTCGACCATACCCTACCCACCATACCCTACTTTACCCTACCCTACCCTACCCTACCCCACCCTACCCTACCTTACCCTACCCTACCCTACCCTACCCTACCCTACCCTACCCTACCCTACCCTACCCTACCCTACCCTTCCCTACCCTACCCTACCGTACTCTACTCTACTCTAAGTTACCTCGCCCTGCCCTGCTCTGCTCAGCTCAGCTTGTCCTTGTCCTGTCATACCCTGCCTTGCTTTACCTTGCCCTTTGGTCCTACCCTGCCCTGCTTATGCCGTGCCTTGTATTGACCTAGCCGTGCCCTACCCTATATTATCTTTATCTGCCTTGATGTGCCCTATCCTACCCTAGTTTTAGCTTTAGTTCTACCCTGTCATACTCCACTCTACCCCGCCTTATGCTGCCCTACCCCGCCTTACCCTACCCAACCATTGAGAGTGCACTTATAAAGAAGAGACGGTCAGAGAAAGCAAGAAATAGTGTGAGAAAACGAATATTTTAGATGTTTTTTGCAAAACAAACTGGACCTTTTTCTTTCGTGTCGTTCTGTGCTTCTCTAACGTTCTCTGTTGCTTGTTTTTGGGGTCACAACTCGACCAAAAAGTTGTTTTTTGAAATATTTTTAGATTTGCAAAATTGACTTCCGTTTTCTGGAAGAATTGTTTTGGAAGCAAAGTTATTGCGGTTTTTTTTGAAAATTGAGTTTTGTAAAGAAAGTTATTGCGGTTTTCTGAAAAGTACGATTTGTAAAGAAAGTTTTTACCGTTTTTGAAGTGTTATTGAGTTTTGTAAAGTAAGTTATTGCGCTTTTTTAAAAATTATGTTTTGGAAACAAAGTTATTGCGGTTTTTTTGAAAATTGAGTTTTGTAAAGAAAGTTCTTCCCGTTTTGAAATATTTTGAGCTTGTAAAGAAAGGTTTAATCATTTTATCCTTAAATTAAAAAAATTTTTTTTTGCGGGTGACAAGTTATACGATGGGTGCGCTTTAAAGATTTTGTAAAGAAAGTTCTTGCGGTTTTTTTGAAAAATAGGATTTGTAAAGAAAGTTTTTGCGGTTTTTAAAAGAATATATTTTGTAAAGAAAGGGTTTGCTATTTTATCACTAAATTTTAAAAAGTTGCGTTTTGCGGCCTGCGAGTGACAAGTTATACAATGGATGCGTTTTAAGAGTTTTGTAAGGAAAGTTCTTGCGGTTGCCAGAGTTTTGTAAAGAAAGTTCTTGCACTTTTTAAAAAAATATGTTTTGCAAAGAAAATTCTTGCTACTTATCAAAAATCTTTTTTTTTTTGGAAACAAAGTTTTTGCTATTTCCTAACAATTTTCTCTCGCATCTCTAACCTCTCTCTTTCTCTCTCTCTCTCTTTCCCACACTCTCTCGTTAAGGCCGTTCTTTGTTTTTTCCCGCAAAAGCACACGTTAAACATGGATGTTGCTCTACATTTGCTCTCACAGCACACCGGGAGAATTTTGTTTTTCCACCGTTCCTCGCCGTTCTCGCTTCGCTCAGCGGTATCGCTTTTGTAACGTTGTTATGGTTTTTTTGTTTATTGTTAAGGGAGGGGGATGGGGTTGTTTTTGGAGTGTTTTTGGGTTAATGGAAGGAATATGGGGAGGGCATGGCGTGATTGTTTTGAAATTTAAACGAGAAAATTGATAAAACTGGGGCTCTGCAGCCTGCGGGTGACAAGTTATACGCTGGATGCGTTTTGTCGGTTTTGTAAACAAAGTTCTTGCAGTTTTTTCAAGAGACATGTTTTGTAAAGAAAGTTTTTGCCATTTCAACACAAATTTGAAAAAATTAACGTTTCGCAGCCTGCGGGTGACAAATTATACGCTGGATGCGTTTTATGAGTTTTGTAAAGAAAGTTTTTGCGTTTTTTTCATAAAATTAGGGTTTGTAAAGAAAGTTCCTGCTATTTTTTGTTTTGTAAAGAAAGTTATTGCCATTTTCTAACTATGTTTTGAAGATTTATTCGTTGCAGACTGGGTGTGATAACTTATACGATAAATGCGTTTTAGGGGCTTCGTAAAGAAAGTTCTTGCAGTTTTTTCACATGTTTCGTTTTGTAAAGAAAGTTCTTGCAGTTTTCAAATCAAATTTTTAAAATTTTTTGAAAATTTGATATTTGTAAATTATGGTTCATTAAAAATGACATTTTCTCTTCTTTTCTTTTCTCTAACACTCTCTTCTTATCGTACACTCTTTCGTTTTTTCTCTATTTTTTCTACCACCCCTCTCCTGAATTCACACTCCTTTCTACTATTCCTACCATCCCTCCCCTGTATCCACACTCTTCTCTATCTGCCTAACATCCCTCTTCTCAATCCATACTGTCTTATACTATCTCTACCACCATCTTCCCAATCCACACTCTCTCTTACTATCCCTACCACACTCCACAACTCACACACTCTCTCGGCGAACAAACATGACGAGTATTTTGCTCGTTTTTCCGAAAACGCATCGTTCATTTCGTTGCTCCGAACTTTCCTCACCGTTTTAATGACTCTCCCTCCTCTCTACCCTGCCCTCTCCTTTTTCAAAGGTATTTTCAAATTTTATTTTCTTTCCTTCTCTACCATGCCTCTTGTTTTTCAATGCTATTTGGGGGTGTTCGTCCTGAGGCGCTGAGAGAAATTCTTGTAGAGTGGTTACTATGCGCTCCAAAGTGAAGAGGGGGGTTTCATCACTTTTTCTCTGTTTTTTTTCACTTTTTCATGAACTGGAAAGAAAGTTTTTGCAAAGTTTTTAAATTTTTCACTGTTTTTTTACTTTTTCATAAACTGGAAAGAAAGTTTTTAAAGTTTTGGGACACATAGTGATGAGCTGTGGAATTCTGTAAGATAAGTTATTGAATGGAACTGTAAAGAAAGTTTTGGAGGAGGGGGATGAGAAGAAAGAGTAAGATGAGCTGTGGAATTCAGGAAGGGAAGTTATTGAGAGAAACTGGAAAGAAAGTTTTTGAGGAGCGAGAGGGGATGGGATAAGTGAGATGAACTTTAATGTTAAAAACAGTATTAGACGTGTCATTTTAGCTTGTTATTTGTATTTTAAAAGGGGAGGGTTAAATATTTTTTTTGACTTTTGAAAAAAAAGTTTAAAGGGGGAACCAAGCTAATTTTTTTCAAAAAAAAGTTTTTATTTGAGGGGAGGGGGCGGGATTACAAAAAAATTTTTTTAAATTGAAAATTGCAAAAATTTGGTAAAATGGCAAGAACTTTCTTTACAAAAGAAGAAATGGCAAGAACTTTCTTTACAAAACCAAAAATGACAAGAACTTTCTTTACAAAACAAAAAATGGCAAGGACTTTCTTTACAGTCATATAAATTATGTATTTAGACTAATAGTAACATCAGGGCCGGCGTTTTTCTTACTGAAAAGATTATCTGATTAAAATGTTGTTGTAAAGTAGTGCAAGGTTAAGCGAACGGATGTTTGACTCAATATTCTGTTCGTTTTGTGACGTTTTCAAATCGACTTTTTCGAAAATATTTTTTTTTGAAATTGGATTTGAGGTTTTTGCGTCAATACATAATTAATAACGTATCATTAAACAACTACGAACTCGGTTTGTACATATGGCATGTTTGGTATTAGGTGGTATTGGTCTGGGTTTAAGAAGTTGATCTTATTAGCAGGCTGTGGGTAGGATGGGTACGGTATGAAGGAAGTATAAAAGCAAGTTAGGATAATGCAGAGCAGGGATGAGGCTTAGGTAAGTTTAGGGCTGGGTCTCAAGCTTGAGCTAGGCCTTAAACTTAGACTTTGGCTTAGGCCTAGGCCTGGGCTTAGGCTGCTGCTAGGGCTTGGTTTAGGGTTAGAATTAAGACTAGGACTTAGGCTAGAGACAAAGCTTAGGCTAAGGCTAAAACTCAGGCTAGGGTTTAGGCTAGAACTTTAGCTAGGGCTAGGACTAAGCTTGGGCTAGAATTAGGGTTAGCTTTAAAGCCAGTGCTATGGCTAAAGCTAGAGTTAGGACTAACGCTAGGGTTAGAGCTAGGGCTTAGGATTAGGCTAGACCTTATGCTAGGGCTTAGGCTAGGGCTTAGGCTAGGGCTAGGGCTTGGGCTTGGGCTTGGGCTTGGGCTTGGGCTTGGGCTAGGGCTGGAGCTGGGGCTAGGGCTAGGGCTTGGGCTTGGGCTTTGGCTTGGGCTAGGGCTGGGGCTGGGGCTGGGGCTGGGGCTGGGGCTGGGGCTGGGGCTGGGGCTGGGGCTGGGGCTAGGGCTAGGGCTAGGGCTAGGGCTAGGGCTAGGGCTAGGGCTAGGGCTAGGGCTTGGGTTTGGGCTTGGGCTTGGGCTTGGGCTTGGGCTTGGGCTTGGGCTTGGGCTTGGGCTTGGGCTTGGGCTTGGGCTTGGGCTTGGGCTTGGGCTTGGGCTTGGGCTTGGGCTTGGGCTTGGGCTTAGGCTAGGGCTTAGGCTAGGGCTTTGGCTAGGGCTTAGGCTAGGGCTTAGACTATTTGTAGAGCCGAAGCTTGGATTAAGACTAGGGTAAGCTACTGTATAAGAGCTTCACGGAGGTCTTGAACAAAAAGCGTAGGCTAAAGAATTTGTGAGTAGTTGCGAACTTTGAAACAAACTTCAGAATTTTTAATGGCTACGATGGGCAGGGCAAAGTTCAAAAATGCTTTTTGTTTTTAAATTTTAAAGTTTTTTCAGCTTAATATGCTTTTATACTTATAACAAAGGGTAGGGTAGGGTAGGGTAGGTAGAGGCAAAATATACTCTTTTTCAGCTTAATATGCTTTTATACTTATAACAAAGGGTAGGGTAGGGTAGGGTAGGTAGAGGCAAAATATACTCTTTTTCTGCTTAATACGAAGATGTAGTTACGGTTATCTACGGTAACATAAAGAAACACCCATATATTAATAAAAAAACTGAAATTGTGGATGAATGAAGATTAGAGCTAATTCCCTACTTTTGTTTTTACCATTTCGTAACGATATTTGATATTAAATTTCAAAAAACATCTCTCAATGCATGTTTAATTAGTTTTGAGCTATAATTTAATCCGCTATGGCTCGTTTTTGTATTTTTTATGATTTTGTACTGTTTGGTACTGTGTTTCATTGATGTCTGCTTATCATACGAGCATTTGCGGGTGGAAAGCGGGGATAGGGGGCTGTTGCTGTGGCACTGCGGAGGGGTGGATTTTATATGGAGTGGAGAAGGTGTGGGTTTTGGTTTAAGGGTGGGGTTTTGGTGAAAACTTGACAAGGGGGAAGTATTTTTTAGTGTTTTTTACTGCGTACTAATCGGCTGCGTATTACAGCATACTAATGGTACTAACAGGTTATGTACTCCATTGTACTACTCATACTAATTGGCTATGTGGTATAGTGTACTAGTGGTACTAAACTTGTATGTACTATTGTACTAAGTGGCAGTGTACTACAGTGTACTAATGATACTATGTGTTATGGTGTACTTTGTAATACAGTATACTAGTGGAACTATTCTTTTATCAAAATTCTTATTTTTGCACTTTTTAAACTATCAACCCTCTTTAAAACCGTCTTTTATTTGAGTTAGCAGCCGTTTTTTCCCCGTTTCCTACGCGTGTTTTTGTTTTTCTTTCACGTTTGGTCACTGTCCGCGAAGCGAACGGTCATTAAATGCCACGTTACAGCTGCTTTAGGGTTTTGTCTAACTGCCTTCTTGTAGCATAGCCTCTTTCTTCACTGCCTTTTTCTATGATACCCTCTTCTTTCATTGTCTTCTTGTAATGTAGCCTCTTTTCTAACTGCCTTATGAAACCACAGCCTCTTCTGTAACTGCCTTCTGAAACCATAGCCTTTTCTCTAATTGCCTTCTTCTGTCGTCGCCTCTTCTGTAACTGCTTTCTTCTAACATAAACTTGTCTACAACTGGCTTTATCTTCTACAGCCTCATCTTTAACTGCCTTCTGAAACCATAGCCTCTTCTCTAACAGCCTTCATGTACCATAGCCTCTTCTTTAACTGCCTTTTCTTATAATACTCTCTTCCCTAACTGCCTTCATCTACCGTAACCTCTTCCCTAACTTCCTTCAGAAGCCTTTCCATTCTATTCTCCAACCTCTTCTCTACCCACCCTCCACAAACCTAATACTCTCTCTCTCTCAGCGGCCCAAACTCTCTCAATCTCTCTGGATTGTCACGCTGCTTTTTTCTCAAAAAACAGAAAAGGTCTATTCTAAAATGGATAGAGAAACAGAAATCGCATTTTCAAACCGTAGAGGCATTGGAATTTCATTTCAAAATGGCAGAACAGAGATAGCAAGACCTTTTCTTTAAAACCAGTGAGAAAAAGAAGAATATTAGGTGCCGACATAAAGAACCCGCCATTTTTTACAGGAAATTACAGGTAAAGTATGGCGGGTTCTTTATGTCGGCATCTTATAGTTTGGAAAGATTGAGGCAGAGGTCTTTTTTAAAACGGCAGAACAGAGAAAGGCGAGGTCAAAAAGAAATGGTAAGAGAGAGGAAGAGCCCCCCCCTCTCGCTTTTCTGATAGGCAACAGCATTATTATCGCCAATGTCATTTCACGCCCTTTAATTATACTTTGAGCTGTTTGTTTTTACCGTTCGGTCACGTGAACATTGTGCAGCCTTCACTTGCTGCATTATCATAATGATACGTTTTTGGTGGGGTGTGTTTGGGGGTGGTGTTGAAGGGAAATTGTTGGGAAGAGGGGGGGGGGTGGTTTTAAAGAAAAATGAGGGGTGTTGTTGAGTTAAAGGAGGGGGGGGGGAGGTGAGTTTTAGAGAAAAAAAGGGGGAGAGTAATTTTGAGGGGAAAAAAGGGGAGGGGGTGGGTTTTATGAAAAAGACGGGGTGTTGTTGCGAAAAAGTGGGGGGGGGGGGGGTAATTTTACAGGGTAGAGTGCACTGTTTCTGTGTTTATATAAGCTTGCATAGAATATGGCATGGTAAGTAGGGTAGAGCAATGGACGAGAAAGGTATGGGCAGCGTAGGGTAAAGTAGAGTAGAGTATGGTAAGTAGGGCATGGGAAAAAAAGGAGAACGTAAAAAAAAGAAAAAATAGGCCAATTCAAGAAAAAACGGCAGGATAGGAAAAGGCAAGGCAGGATAAGATAAGATAGAGCATGTTAGTTAGGGTATGGCAAGCGAGGAAAGTAGGTTAGGACAAGGCAGTTCAAGAAAGAATAGGAAAAGACAGGAAAGTTAGGATCGGAGTAGGACCGATGAGGCGTTAGGGAAGGGTAGGGTAAAATTTTATTAGTGGGGGAAATGGCAAGAACTTTTCTTTGTGAACCTGAAAATTGCAAAAAATTTGTAAAATGGCAAAGACTTTCTTTACAATACAAGAAATAGCAAGAACTTTTTTTACAAAACATAAAATGGCAAGAACTTTCTTTACAAAACATAAAATGGCAAGAACTTTCTTTAAAACACCACAAAAGTAAAACACCACAAAAACTTTATTTCCAAATGCTATATCAACATATTTATAACCCAAATTTACAAAAAAAAAATTTAGCAACTTTTTGAAAATTTTTTTTTGAAATTTCGAAAAAAAATCAAATTTCGTTTCGAAAAAAAGTGATTTTTTTGTTGCGATCCAAAAATATAGGTTTCGATGCAAGGACTAATCGATAAAAAGCATTTCCCGCTCCCTTCCTTCACGGTTCACAGAGCTTGTTTTTCCTCGCTTTTTCGACGTTTCGAGAGCGCTTCGAACGGTTTCATGCCTTCAGGCTGTTTCCAGGCTTAAGCGCACTGTCAAGCCGCTTTTTTATTGAGGGATGGGAAAGTGGATTTGGAAAGGCTTTGGAGGGAAAGGGGGTGATTTTTTGTTTTTTTTTGATAGGGTATGGGATTTCAAGGCTTTGAGAAGGGGGGGGGGTAGTTTTTTTTTTGCTTTTAGAGGTTATGGGGGTGTTTTTTAAAGTTATGGGGGTGTTTCTTAACGGGGTGTATTTTACAAGGGCATGGAAATATGTTTTCAAAAGGAATGGGCATGTTTTTAAAAGGGTACGAGGGGTGTTTTTGAAAAGGGTATGGCAATGTGTATTGGAATTTTTGGGGGTGTGCTTTTTTAAATTTCTTGTGATGGCAGAGGTATTTTTAAGCTTTGTGGGTTGATTTTTTATAATTTTGAATGGAGAGGGCGGGTAATTTTTTTAATTGTAAGGGGATGGTTTTTAAATTTTATAGCGCATCGGGCTATGAAAACTGCTGTAAAGGAAGTTCTTGCCATTTTTTCATTTGTAAAGAAAGTTTTTGGCATTTTATTAGTTGTAAAGAAAGTTTTTACTATTTTTTGTTTTCATAAAATGAAAAGTTCATTTCAAGCAAATTTGAACTAATTTCAAAGCAATTTATTACCTTTTTTACTACGATTATCAGAAAAAAACTAAAAGGTTACAGATGTTTTTTTAAGAAAATCTTTTCTATCGAGTCTATCAAAGATTAAACCAACAGAGTAGGGTAAGGTAGAGTACGAAAAAATAGCAAAAACTTTCTTTACAAAACAAAAAAATGGCAAGCACTTTCTTTACAGAACAAAAATGGCAATAACTTTCTTTACATAACAAAAAAATGGCAAGCAATTTATTTCCTACCAATTGTAATGTAAGTAGCAGTAGTTTGAGGAGATTCCCGAGAAAAGAGCTTTTTCTTCTCTTTTTTTCGAAAAAAGTAAAGCAATTTGCGAGAAAAAAGATTATCGATTTGCGTGATTTTTTTGGATTCGTGGATTTTTCAAACAATTTCGTTTCGTTTTCCGCGTTTTCGGCGATGAACTTTGAGTTTTGCTGGTTTTGTAAAATACGGATTAGGATGTTGTGATTTGTAAAGAAAGTTCTTGTCATTTTTTGTTTTTGAAAACAAAGTTCTCGCGGTTTCAGGAAAAAAAGAGTTTTGTAAAGAAAGTTATTGCGGGTTTTAAAATTTTGTGTTTGGAAAGAAGGTCCGCGGTTTTATGAGAAGCTGCATTTGTAAAGAAAGTTCTTTGCCATTTTTTCAGTTGTAAAGAAAATTCTTGTCATTTTTTGTTTTGTAAAGAAAGTTCTTGTCATTTTACGTTCAAATAAGAAAAATTTAAAAAAAAACATTTTTAATGTAAACAAAGTTTCTTCTCTTCCTCAACACAGTTCCTATATCCATATGTGGCTATTATTCAAAACACACTTTTTGAAATGACGTCTCAATGTAAGTGTTTTTAATGTAGCATATTAAAACTGGTTTTTGGCCTTGAGGCATTATAATTGGGGTTGAATAACAATATATTATAAATAAAAGGGTAAGGAAGGGAAGCTGAGAGGAACGGAATCACCTTCCCGGAAATTTAAATATAAGGGCAAAGAATGGAAGAAATTTTGTTTACAGTTTTGGAAAACGGTTGAAATTGATGAATTTCAATTAAAAATGGCATTTTGGCTCTAGGGGAGAGAACTTTCTTTATAAGATAAAAAGTTGCAAGAACTTTCTTTACAAAACAAAAAATGGCAAAAACTTTCTTTACAAAAGAAGAAATGGCAAAAACTTTCTTTACAGACAAAAAATGGCAAGAACTTTCTTTACAAAGCAAAAAGTTGCAAAAACTTTCTTTACAGTTCATTTCATGGCAAAAACTTCATTTTAAAACTTAAAATTTGCGAGGTTTCATCAAAACATGTATGTTGTTGTAACCCTTACACGTACTTGTTGTTGAGGTCTCTGTGCCAATCTAATTAACAAATGCGGCAAAATGAAAACAATGTCCTATATTAATCCAAATTGAGAAGTCACGAGTTTCTAATATTGTTTTTTTCATTTAAAACTGCACTCTCAGATAGCTGAGTACAAGCTTAAGCTCCAGAGGGAATTACTGCGCCTGATTACTACGTTTAACATAGGGCTAAAAATAGGTGGCGGAATGGGGAAGTTTTGTCATATCGTGGCTTGGAAAGAAAGTTCTTGCCATTTTTTGTTTAGTAAAGAAAGTTCTTACAATTTTCTGTTGTGTAAAGAAAGTTCTTGCCAATGTTCGTTTTGTAAAGAAAGTTCTTGCCATTTCTGTTTTGTAAAGAAAGTTCTTGCCATTTTTTGTCTTGTAAAGAAAGTTCTTGCCATTTTTTGTTTTGTAAAGAAACTTTTTGCCATTTTTTGTATCTTTGAATTCCAACCCAAGTTCTAGCCCTAGTTGAACAATAAGGGCCCGGTCCCAGGGCCGGAAATTGGGCCCTGCCCTACGTCTAAGCCTGCCTAGTTCTCTTTCTTCCTCCCCCCCCCCTCTCTCTATCTCCTCCTTCATTCTTAAAAAAAAGATTTGGATGTTTGTTTAGAAGTGTTATTGTCGTTAACTGATTAATCCGCTTTCTGTCATAATGAAACCGCTTTTTCTTGGAATTACATGTAGAAGATACGACGATGTTGACGCGTTTACATTTACATGAGCGTTTTGTCTGAACGTTTTCACGGGATATAAATGGCTTTGAGCATGGGTAGGGTTTTTTTAGTTTGGAATGCAAGAATTTTCTTTACAGGGCGGAAAATGGCAAGAACTTTCTTTACAAATTAAAAAATTGCGAGAACTTTCTTTACAGGAATTAAAATGGCAAGAACTTTCTTTACAAAACGAAAACTGGCAAGAATTTTCTTTACAAAACGAAAAATGGCAATAACTTTCTTTAAAGAACGAAAAATGGCAATAACTTTGCTTACAGATCACAAATGCCATTTTCTATTGACATTTTCAATGTAAATGTCAAGTGACACATTTGTTACCTAAATCTTGTAGGGCTTCCCAATCCATGGCAAATCGCGAAGTTTAGCCGGCTTTTGTGGGATTAGAGCTGCGGATATGACAAAACAAGCACTGACGCTGGTAAAACACTTACGACACTTTCAATTTGGCAGTTTTCAAATGTTATTTTTACTATTTTTGTTAGCTTAATTAGGGTAAGGTAGGGTTAGGCAAGAGCTAGAGCTAAAGCTAAAGCTAAAGCTAGAGATAGAGCTAGAGCCAGAGCTAGAACTAGAGCTAGAACTAGAGGTACTAAGGTGGGTCTAGAGTAAGCCTGCAGTAGCCCGAGGTAAGGCATTTATCCTATTTTAAAATTTTTTTTTCTATTTGAAATTTGTTGCATTCAACCCCCTCCTCTTTATCAAAACAACCAAACACAATAGTAAAGTAATAAAGTAACCTTTACGAATGCATTTTTAATCAAGCGGCGGTTTCAAAAAAGTTGGGGGGTTTCCTATATAGATGCACTTTAAAAAATGGCCCACCCATGACGAGTTTGCACACGAATGAAACTGAATTCATGGTTCCCAAACTAGCCGACTTACTGCAATTTACATTTTTTGTTGTTTTTTCGCGTCACACGTGGCGTTTATGATGTTGATGTGTAGGTGTTTGGCTTAGTTTGTAATTAGGCTTATTTTTTGTCATTTGGGCTTTTGGGAAATTTTTTTTTCGCTTTGAATGCTAGGAGACCCAAAAAGGGCTAACTAGGCTTAGCCGGGTCTTAGCAACTTTGAAAGAGATCGGGCTAGCGCATCTGGGCCCAAGACCCGAGTTTTAACCAAAACCTCAAGAACCTAGCTTAGGTCCCGCAACGAAAGATTTGACATACCAAAAGTTGTCATAATTGTTATTTTACTGAATTGATCTAATTTATATAAGGGGCTGAACCGCGCCGAAGCAAATTTTAAATGGGCCGGACAATCACTCGTGAGCCCAAGAGCTGAAGCCTAAAGGTGGTACCCATGACCAGGCCGAACCCCAAAAGGTGGTACCCACAACCATACCCAGTTGTATCTTCACCATCCCTCCTCTCAATATTAGGTTAATTACTGTTGTTATGTAAGTGTTGTTCGCTTCCGCGCTTGTTATGATGTTTTGGGATTAATGGGTAGAGGGGGGGAGGTTATGGTAGGATGTATGGGAACAAAAATACCTGAGGATGAAAATTGTTTTAAATCCAATGTTTTTTTTTGTTTTTGTTGTTTTCCGCGTTATTGATACTATTTTCGTGTGCAACTGTTTTTTATCCTGTAGTCTTGGATTCATTAAATGTGGAAGATATGTCGTTATCGTGAGTTGAAGCGTATATTTAATTTTATGACATTATCTAATTTTGCTGAGTTTCAGGTATCGTACGACCGGTCAGCTTCAAGTGAATATTCAAATTTTACAAATTTCGTTTGTGCAGAACCTCTTATAAGTTACACGACATATATTACCATAATGCATTGGTAAATGTTTAGAAGACGTTAGTCATACCTTTTGCTCAGTTTTGTCACCCCCTCCCCCTTTTTCCTAGACATGAGGAACGGGCCTGGCTTAACTCATATCTAGGTCGGGCCGGGCCTGAGCAAAATTTAGATCGCACCGGGCTAAACATTCAGGCCCGTCACTTATTTCTACTTCTTTTCCTCTTCTCCACTCTTAGCTTCACTATTCCCACCTCCCCTTTCTCTTCTTTTAACCCCCCTTCCCCTTACTACCCCTTCTTTACCCCCTATACCCCCACCCAATTCTCAAAAACGTCACTCTAATGTTTTTTGGATGTCTCTTTATTATTTTATCGTGAGTTATGGTACTCACTGGACTTTTTCTTTGCAATGTTTACTTCCTTGTAAGCGTTCTTAGTAATTCCAACACAAAGCCGTGACCAATCTAAATTTATGGCCCTAGGAGTTGAGGAATAATATTTTTTCGGTTAGCTGGGGTTTATAATAGTACTAGTAGTTTGCAGTAGATGTTTTGGTGAATACAGTGGAACTTCTGTGTAACAAAACTTTTATAACGAACAAATTTAAAAACTCCAAGCCGTTTGTTATACAGAAGTTTTACTGTATTACATTTTTTGACTGTGGGTTTGGTTTGGAATTGGTTTTGTAGGTAGTAGCAGAAGAAGGCTTGAGAATGTAGTTTCTTCAGCTTATTAGGGTCGTACAAGCTTGTTGTTGGTAGCATAGCCTTTCTACCGCAGAGTTATTATTTTTTATTATAGACAAGGTTGAACAGCTGGGCTCGCTTAGGGTGAGGTAGCGCAGGGTACGTTTTTGTACCGTGGAGATAATCGTATAGTACTAACATAAACAGCAGATATAAGCTATGTTTTCACAATGTTTCCTACTAGCTAGTACGGTACTCACTCGCTTATTCTCTGCCCTTTCAACCAAATGCCCTCCGGGTTCTTTTCGGGCCTCGAACTCCATTTTTTGGCTCTCTAATTGAGCCCAGTTTTTTATTCGTTTTGATTAATTTCAAAGTTGTTTTTTCTTACATTTTGTTCAATGCGAACACGGAAAGAGAGTTGTTTTGATTACATTTAAGGGGGCCGCGATGAGTGAGCGCGGTTTCCATGGAGACGACGCGTAAGCGAGCTGAAGGAGCGTAGGGATTGGGGAGAGAAGGGGAGATTTGGGGAGGGGTAGAGGCAGAAGGGTAATGTAGGGTAGAGTAGGGTAGGGTAGGGCGAGTGGGGAAGGGGTAAGGCAAGGTAGAGTAGGATAGGGTAGGGTGAGAGGGGTTACATTGGAAGAGAGGGACGGTTTGAGTAGGAGAGGGGCAGATTTAGGGATGCCGTAAAGAGCGGCAAGGGAGAGACTGTGGGCAGAAAGAGGGTGGTTAGAGAAAAAAGAATGAGCTAAAAAACAAAAAGGGCCGAAGGAAAGACTACATGGATTAGAGAGAGTAGTTAGGCAGTAACATAAAAAGCCACACAATTCAAAGATAAGCGAGAGACCATTCAACTCAGAGAGGCCGTACCAAAGAGCCTAAGAAATTTTTAAAAAGCATGAGATATTGAGAGCGCGGCCAAACAAAGCAATCGATTAAAGACCGTAGAGAGCTAGGAGAGTGCCAGAACATTAAGGTAGGGTTAGAGAAGTGGATCTTAAGGATTCTGAAGAATGTCAAAACATGGAGACATTTGTATTTTATCGTATGCATCCCGTTTGATGAGTTTCGATGCCGTTTTAAGGACTATTAATGGTAGCGGGAGGGGGGGGTGGTCTCAGGCATGTTTTTGGTAATGATTTTTGGTTTGTAAAGAAAGTTCTTGCAATTTTTTTGTTTTATAAAGAAAGTTCTTGCCATATCATATTAGAAAAAGCCTTTTTGCTACAATATTAACCATGACTATTGCCAGGTCTACTTATACAAGATACGATACCAAGAGCCCCCTTAATATTACGTAAGATACGGTAGCATGTACTTAAAATAAGGCAGAAGGTACTATTTGCTTGTAATCGAAAGTACTCCGCTGTTTTTTGTTTACCGAGTTAGAAATCTTGGTTGTACTATACCTACTAAGTACCCGGTATTTAAGAATTAGTGCGTGGTGTACTTTATTTTTGTGTTATAATCTGAAATGGCGGGTAATTTGTAGCAGCAACCTATTTATAACTGTATATACATCTTGGGTTGGCATAAACATGGGATTAAAGATACTGTAATGGGCATCTACGTATATGGGCATGAGCAATATCGGGTTTTTGTTTTTTTTTTGGTGTTGTTATTGGGACTAGCGTATAGTATGGTGCTTCTGGGTCAGAGGGGTGTACTGGTAGCGTACTGTAGAGTTAGGTTAGTGTGTGGTTTTGCAAGACGAGGGCAGTGTAAGGATAGTGCACTGTAGAACTAGATCATTTTGTATGGTGAGTATTGTAACACTAGAGTACTGTATGGTGCTTTTAGGTTAGAGTATTGTATGGCTAGCGTACTGTAGGGATAAATTACTGTATAGTGCTTCTAGGCCGTAGTGGTTCACGGCTAGCTTACTGTAAGACTTTGATTAATTTATGGTACTGCAACACAAGTGTGGTGCAGGGTTAGAGTAGAGTAGTACCTGATTACTACTGTATCGCGCTTCAAGGCAAAGGTTGTGCAGGACTAGGGTAGGGTAGGGTAGGGTTGGGTAGGGTAGGGTAGGGTAGGGTAGGGTAAGGTAGGTATTGTATATTTTTCTCCAACGTAAAGGTCTCTAATCGTGTACAAGGAAGTGTTACAGTGTAATATCTCAAGTTTCGTGCTATAACTCTGCTCATTTGTGTAATGCTATAATCCAAAGTGTTTGCTTGCTTTGATAGATTGAGTATTTATGTCTATATGAGCTGGTATTTACGTGACTGTTGCATTACAAATGGGAATGTAAACGTCAATTTGCTTTTGTAACGTCAATTGTTATGGTATTGTACTGACGTGTATCGTGCTATTTTTTGATACTGTTGATTTGTCTAAATACTATTGATATTTGAAAAGGTTAAGGACTGTTAATACTGAATAGTGTTAAAATTGTGAAACTATTCACTTTATGATTAGTACTATTAGTACTCTATAGTACTTAGATTTTCATTGATACTCTATAGTATCTTTTTTTTTGATGCGCGATAGTACGTGGATACTCGATAGTACCAAGATTTTCTTTGTTACTAAATGGTACTATTGGCACTAAATAGTACTATTGATACTAAATAGTACTATTTATACTAAATAGTCCTATTGATACTAAATAGTACTATTGATACTAAATAGTGCCGTTAATACTCAATAGCATCAAAATTTAAATACTTTTAAAATTTCAGGACAACCAAAAGTTGCCGCAACTTTCGAACGTTGCCACTTTCTCCTCAACGTAGTAACTTAAGAATAGTGTAAACAAAGTTCTTTCACAACGCGGTCGAGAGCACGAAACAAACGTCCGTTACATGCGGTAACGGACATGTGCTGCACAGCACCATCTACCTCGCACAGCACGTGCTGTTGCGGGCCTGGAAGGCCGGTTGGGTTGAATGGTACTGATGGTACTGTGGATCAACAAATTGAGCAGGATGGTACTGGTAGTACTGAAAAGCCACAATTTGGTCAGAAGGGTACTAATGGTACTGAAAGTCAACAATTCGACCAGGATGGTAATGATGGTACTCTAAGTAAAATTTTTGATCAAATTAGTATTGAGGACCAATATAGTACTACAAATCAACTTTTTGGTACCCCTGGTACTTTAAATCAACGTCCTTATAAACCAGGGGACCAAAATCGAAATTTTTGTCATCATGACCAAAATATGTCATCCAATGGCAAATTACAGTACGAAAAAGATGACATAGGGTTAGAAGACGACATTTCATCATACGATGACATTTGCTGTCGTATGAATCAGATCTCATGTAGTACTACATCTGTTCAAGCATCTATAGCACCTTCAAAGCAAGTTACAGTACGTCCAAGAACAGTGCCGTACAGGCGATACAACAACAATGAAAAGTGCTTTAGTACTCCATGGTACCATACAAATGAAGAAGATGGTACAGAAAGTGCAGATAATTTCTACAGTAACCTTGTACAGTATGAACCAACGGCAATTACTTTACAGTATAAGTCAGCATCAAAAGGCTTACAGTATGACCCAACATCAGAACCTCTACAGTACACTACTACTTCAAAAACCCTACCGTATGACATAGAAGATCTACCTCATTCAAGTACACCACCAAGCTACAGTAAGCTCAAGAACAACACCTATGTAAACCAACACACCACAGATGGCACAGAAGATCAAACTCAAGATACGACGATCACTGAGCTAGAAAGACAAATTCTACTACAGAAAAAAAGAAGACTTCAACGAGAGCTAAGAAGAATCGCAAAGAAAGAAAAGAAAGAAAGAAAATTAGTAAGTCATTTTTAGAAAAAGATTTTGATTTTTTAGCAATTACTTTCTTTACAAAAGTTTTAAAGTCGTATTTCTCGTATAATTTGTCATCCGCAGGCTGCAAAATAAAACTTTAAAACTTTGTGTTAAAATAGCAAAGACTTTCTTTACAAAGAGTATTTTTTTAAAAACGGCAAGAACTTTGTTTACAAAACCCTTAAAAACGCAGCCATCGTATAAATTGTCACCCGCAGGCTGCAAAACTAAGCTTTTTTTTGTGTTTTTACGTAAAATGGCTAGAACTTTCTTTGCAAACAACATTTTTTTTGAAACGGAAAGAACTTCATTTACAAAACCTAATTTTTGAAAAAATGGCAAGAACTTTCTTTACAAAACAAATAACAGCAAGAGCTTTCTTTACAATTTTGGCTACAAAAAGCAAAAGCTAATTGACAAGTTGTACCTAACCTTTAAAAACTTGTTATTACCTTTTCACTACAATTTCTTTTCAAAAATTCAAAGAAAAATTGTATTTTCAAAAATAACTTTTGAGCTCGAAATTGTAAATGTAAAGCGCAGTAAACACTCGGTGTAGTTTTTCTGTCTTAATTGGGGGCCTGTTTACATTTATAATATTAAGGCATGTGACATGTTTTGCAGAATTTTGAAATTTTGGGGTTTGGGCGCAAGAACTTTCTTTACAAAATCAAAAATGGCAAAAACTTTCATTACAAATCAAAAAATGGCATGAACTTTCTTTACAAAACGAGAAATTGCAAGAACTTTCTTTACAAAACCCAAAATGGCATGAACTTTCTTTACAAAACGAGAAATCGCACAAATTTTCTTTACAAATCAAAAAATGGCAAGAACTTTCTTTACAAAATAAGAAATGGCAAGAACTTTCTTTACAAATAAAAAAATGGCAAGAACTTTCTTTACAAAACAAAAAATCGCAAGAACTTTCTTTCCACCGACCAAAAACCGGTCGATTTGTTGCGTTTCCTTTTAAACACGCAATGACTTTGTTTCCGCGCTAATCCCCCCACTGTTATAAATTGGCAGTAATACGAAACGACATTACACCTGTTACCTTCGCAAGATACGAAGATTACTAATAAGCGTTAAGCCGGATCGACCGAAGTGAACTCGTTTTGCAAATAAGTGTAAACAAGGCTATTCGACTTGTTTTTGAAACTCGAGCCGAATCTAAATTTAAATTCGTAATTTCATATCTAATTAGGCAACTTTGGGTGTCAAGAGTGTTTGGGCGGGGGAAAGGTTCTTTGTTTTGAGGTTTTGGACTTTCCTGCGGATTACTATTAGGTACCGACATAAAGAACCCGCCATTTTTTACAGGAAATTACAGGTAAAGTATGGCGGGTTCTTTATGTCTGCGCCTAATGTTACAGTAAAACTTCTCTAACGAATCGCTGAGATTTAAAACGAGTTCGTTATGAGAGGTTTCGATATACAGAAGTGCTTTAAACAGTGGTTTCACTGTATCACCAAATGCTATGTTTTGCAGCCGGCGAGTGACAAGTTATACGATGAACATTTTTATTGCAATTAGGAAAAAAGTTCTGCTCTATTCTTAGTCTATGCTTTAACCTAAGCCTAAGCCTAAGCTTAAGCCTAAACCTAAGCCTATAGCAAAGCGTAAGCCTAAGCCTCAGCCTAAGCCTAAGCCCTAGCCCAAAGAACTAGCTCAGAGCCTTTGCCTTGCCTTGCCCTAAATTACCCTATCTTACTTTACCCTACTCTACTTTACTCAACCTTACTTATCTCTGTCCAGCGATAATTTGTTACCGTATCTATTCTTCACGATTCTCAATATTACTGTAGCCTTTCTCTTTTCTCCAACCTCATTATATTACTGTAATCTCTTTATTTCTCCAGAAACCGTTTAGTCAATGTCACGACATTTACCGTGGCCCCCCTAATCTCTGTGTTTCTCCGGGATTAGGCCACCGAATCATGTGGCCATATTATCTGTTCTGAACACCCACTGAAAGCCAAAACTGATTGTTTCGTTTTTCGGGATTAAAACGCTCGAAACACACCGTGTTACGTTGCGTTTACTGCAAATATTTTAAAGAATTTTGGTCGAAATTTTAAAGTCAAAAAGAAAGTTCTTGCATTTTCTGTTTTGTAAAGAAAGTTCTTGCCATTTTTTGTTTTTTAAAGAAAGTTTTTAGCTATATTTCAATTTGTAAACAAAGTTATTGCGATTATTCTGAATCCCCTGGTTACAGTGTACTATTATTTACCTTGTGACAAAGTTTAGTTAAATTTTTACTGCTGGAAACAAAGTTATTGCGTTTTTTCTGCACCGCGGTTTCAAAATGTCTATTATACGCTTTGTTGCTAAATTTTGTGAAATTCAGACGTATGTAAACTAAGTTTTTGCGTTTTTATTGAACTATATTTTAAAAATGTTTCTTGTACGCCATGCGACTAATTTATAATTAATTCTGACGTCTGGATACAAATTTATAGCGCTTTTTGTGAACCATATGAAAACAGTTTCAATTTTTCACCTGGTAACAAGTTTCATTTAGATTTTGTTCGTTGTAAACAAAGTTATTGCGTTTTTTCTAAACTACGCTATGATAAGGTCTATTATGCGCCTTGGGGTTCAATTTTGCTAGATTCTGGCATCTGTAAAGAAAGTTATTGCAATTTTTCTGGGCCACGCTATAACAAGGTATATTGTGCTCCTTGTAGTTAAATTTTAATTAATTATGACATTTGTAAAGAAAGTTATTGCGGTTTGTCTAAACCTTAAAAATTGGTCTTTTTACGGTTTTTTTTATTTGCTTTAATGGATCAAATTTCAGTACGCACCTCAAAAGCCGCCTCGAGGCATGAAACGGAGACGAAAGCCGGCCCCAACCCTTTCCAGGTTCAACTCATATTTCTACATATTGTTGTTGTTGTTCATGATATTCACGTCTTCATGTTGTCATGTGCTAGAAACTGGATCTCAAAATGGTTTAGCTGGTCTACATAGCGGTCCTAGTGGTATTGGTAGTATGAAAAATGGTCCTATTAGTACTCGTAGTATGAGGAATAATTTTGGTAGCAATGGACCATATGGTACTCATAGTGCGTATAGTACTAAGAAAACTTTCGAAGCAAAAGATGCCTACAGTAATGCTGATGGTACTGGTGATCCTACTAGTCTTGGCAGTACCAAAAACCAACAAAGCGTCGGAGATCTACAACAAAAGTCGCCCAAAACCAGCGGAATCCCAGAAAAAGGTGACATAATTTACAAAACTCGTCTAAAAGCCATCTTAGCCAAACTGCCCGAAGCTGAAAATGGTGTTCAGCATAGTCCAAACCTTCTGCTTCAAAACCCACGCGACCAGGATTCTACGTCTAGTCCACTTTCCACAATACAACCAGTTGAAGATGGTGCACTTGGCGAAAAATCGACAAAATCCAAGCGCACGGTCCAACAAATCGGTCATCTGGACGAGAACGGTCGAATTGTAGTCGATATGAAAGTGGACACACCAAAGCTTTTTGAAACTCCAGAAGGCGTGAATCTTAAAAATGGGCCAGTCCGGCTGGATTCGGCCGCTGCGGCCGCTCTTTTGAGTAACGACCCGGAAGCGTTGGCGAGATTGGCCAAGATTTCGGGGAAAGCGGTGGATCAATTGAGCGGTTCTGAATCGACCAGTAAACCTAAGTTAGGTAATGGCTTTGTAAATAATGGACAAAAGAATGGCGGTTCAGATGATAAGAAAAAAGTAGATGAAAAATCGACCGGTCGAGAGAAATTAGCTGAAAATGCGGCTGAAAGTGGTGAAAATGGGCAAAAGTTGGAGAAAAACGCCAAAAATGATGACAAATCAGCTGGAATTGATGACAAAAATTCAGAATCTGCTTCAGAATATGAAAAAGTAGTCGATTTGCCAACAGATTACGATCTAAAATCGAATGAATCAAACAACGCGGATGAAGAGTCGACCGATGAACATCAAGATATCGACATTTTTGGCTTTTCAAAGCCCTCGTACTCGATATATTTCAATCGCACTGTTCACATCAACAACATAACTCATGCTGATGTTATCAGTGAAGGCATTTTTGAGTTTTACAAGCTGAATTCTACAGTAAAAAGCTTGGGTTTGGTGTGTAGTATAAGTTTTGAAGGCTTGAAAATGGTGGAGAACACGACTGCAAAGGTTTTTTGGACTGATTTGCAATCTATGACAAGGTTATCGAACACATCGACGTATAATGTGAATGGGAGTGATATGGAGAATGTTATTAATACGGTAAGATATTTTTAAAATTCCGAAATTAGTAAAAAATTGATTTTATTAAGCCGCGTCAAAAAGAATTCAACTTTTTTGCTATATAAACACACTGAAAAACAACCAATTCTTTTTGACGCGCTTTTGTTTTTTGGTCATAAAGTTTGTAGAAGAATGAAAATTTATAAGCTTGGTCAAACAGTAAATAGAGCAGTTTTTTAGCTTTAGTTTGAGCCAGTTTTTTTTAACTTTTCTACAAACTTTTTGACCGAGATATAGCGATTTGAAAGCGCCGCATGGAGCAAAAAAAGTATTTTTTTGTCCTTTTCTGTAAAGAAAGTTATTGCAATTTTTGAAAAATATTTTTTGTAAAGAAAGTTTTTGCATTTGTTTCGAAACTTTAAATTTTTTTTTAAATTTTAAAAATTAATTTTTTCAAACTTTTCAGGGCATAAGACCAGCTTGTACCGCAGTAATGTCACTGGAGAATATGGATGAAGAAGTTACAGTATACTCAAGAAGCCTGACTTTTCAAGCCTTCCGGCCGTCTGAAATCAAAATCTGGCCAAAAAAGGTTTCGGCCAAGAAATTCGCAAAAGTTCGATTGGAATGTGCCCACAACTACAGTGATGTGGAGGACATCTTCTGGTGGCACAACGAGAAGGCGGTTAATCTGAGTGACGAGAGGTTTGATATGTAAGTTTTCGTGGTGGGAGCTGATTTAAATTTTTTTTTAAAAAGTATGTTTTAATAGGGCATTCTGTAATAGGGGAACGGTAAAATACTGTAGGGTCGGGTAGGGTGTGATAAGATACTGTAGGCAAGAGTATTGTAGAGTGAGATACTGTATGGTCGGGTAGAGAATGAAAAGATACTGCAGAGAAAACTACCGTGAGGTAAGGTACTGTAGGGTTGGGTGGGATACGGTACTATACAGTAGGGTAGGGTACTGTAGGGAAGAGTATTATAAGGTACTGTACGGTTGAGTGGGATACGGTACGATACAGTAGGGAAAGGTAGGGAAAGACTAGGGAAGAGAATTATAGGTTACTGTAGGGTCGGGTGGGATGTAATGGGATACTGTAGAGTAAGATGAGTTAGTGCAAGATAATATATATAACAGTAGAAAAGATACTGTAGATAGGGTAGGGTAGGGTAGGGTAGGGTATGGTAAGGTAAGGTAGGGTAGGGTAGGGCACATTTTTCTATCTTTGACATTGTTTTGATTAAATGCCGTATTTTACCTTTTTCTTCAATTTCAGCTACAGTAACCCATTGGCGGTGAGTGTGCTCTTCATTCAAGAGATCGAGCAAAAGCATATTGGTCTATACGAATGTGGCATCAGACTCAAAAACAATGTTACAGTAAAAGGCTACGAGATGGCTGAAGTTACAGTACAACGCCATGGTCATGATACCATAATACCACAAGAACCAGTAGCTGCACCAGATACTGTGGAAGTTCGAGAAGGTGCACCACTGTTTTTAGAGTGCTGGGACGACCGAGTCGACAGCGTGTGGTACCGTATTGGTGCTAATGGTAAAGAAATGGTCTCGAACTCGTCGGTTTTACAAATTGAAAGTGTTGAGAGTGGTGATAAGGGTATCTATGAGTGCTTTCAAACAGATGGCAATGACACGACACACATCTTCAAAACTAACATCATTGTCAAACGTATGTTTATGTTTGCTAAACCTGTTAGGCTTGTTCGTACTAAGTATATGATGAATAGGCTGCTTCAAAGTCAGAGCTGAAGCCTAAGTTAAATCTTAAGTCTAACAATAGCCTGAGCCTAGTAAGCCTAAGCTTACTAAACCCAAGCCTACTAAACCCAAGCCTACTAAGCCTAAGCCTACTAAGCCTAAGCCTACTAAGCCTAAGCCTACTAAGCCTAAGCTTACTAAGCCCAAGCCTACTAAGCCTAAGCCTACTAAGCCTAAGCTGACTAAGCCCAAGCCTACTAAGCCTAAGCCTTATACGTCTTAGTCAACCATGCCTTAATTTATGAAGCCTAGGCCTAGTAAGCCAACGATTTTTAAAGCTTAATCTGTATAAAGTTTAATCTCATACTAATATCCGATAACTTAAGTACATCTGTAAAAATGTGACTAGTTTTTGCGCGGTATGATCTAATATTGCTGTTATAAGTAGATAGCCTTAGAGAAATTACAAGAAATCGTATTACGCAACGTTTTCTTATGTAATTTTATGGTTTTATATAATACTTGCCTCGATGTAAAACGACCCAAAAAAATTACTGCGAGTGCTGGGATCTTACTCTGCATTTCCTCGAGGGTTCACTTAAAAACATTCCTAAATTTTTTAAAAATCTTTAAAGCTAAGCCTAAACTTAAGTCTAAACCAAATCCAAATCCAAAGCCTAAACTTCAGACTAAGCTTAACCTACGCTCAAGCCCAAGCCTACTCTTAAGCCTAAAAGACTAAGCTTGAGCCTAGATTTACAATTAAAATTAAGCCTGAGTTTCCGCTTAACCCTGAGCTAAAGCTTCAGACTAAGCCTAAAAATTAAGCAAAGGCTTATACCTAAATCTGAGTCTAAGCCTAACACTAAGCCTAATTCCCGACTTCAGCCTCACTTAAAGCTTAAACCTAAACTTAAGCCTAAGCCTAAAAATAAGTTTAAGCCTAAGCCTAAGCCCAAGCCCTTAAATCAAAGCCTAACATTTAAAATTTCAGCCCAACTATTCGAATACGAAGTAGAAGACTTTACCCTGATCCAGAAGAACCAAGGTACTCCAGTCAAAATCATGTGTGAAACCCACCCTTCTCTGGACGAAACCCCAAGTATGGCCAAATGGTACAAGAACGGTCAAGAGATAACGGAAAGAGAGAGAGTTTACAAGAGAGTCGAGGATATTGAGGATGGCTTGGTCATTGGCAAAGCGCTGTTCATCTCTTTGGCACAGAAGAACGATGAGGTAAGGAACTTTCTTTACAGCCAGTTTTGGGTTTCAAGTTTGTCAAAATTTTTTTTGGTTTTTTGGTCGATAAATTTTTTTTTTGGTCGATAAATTTTTTTTCAAAATTTTTTGGTCGATAAATAAATTTTGGTTTGTTGGTCAATAATTTTTTTTCGCTCGATATTTTTTTAAATATTTTGGTCGATAAATTAATTTTTATTTTTTAGTCGATAATTTTTTTTTGATTTTTTGGTCGATAATTTTACAGAAAAAAAAATTTTCGGTCGGTAAATTCAATTAAAAAATCAATTTTTTCACTTTTCATACCCAAACTCACGTACTATATTCCAGGGTATGTACGAATGTGTGATCCGAAAGGACAAAGCCCAACGAGTACAGCACAACCTTCTACAGGTCAAAAAGTCCACAGAACTTGAACTCAAAAACCTTAAAATGCTGGTAGATCACCCCTCCGCGACTTTTCATGCCCATTTTGATCTACCCGAACCTCTACAGTACTGGGACGGTCTAGTATCCACCTACTTCCTCGTGTACCACACAGCTGATGGTCAACGTGCGCTGAACGTGATTCCAAAGCACGGTGCCAAGTGTACCGAAGACAATCATTGCACGATGGAGGTACGACCACCGAACCCGCTTGACGTCGCTACTGACTATACGTTCCGTATCAGTATGGTACTGAATGAGAAGTTGTCGGTGATAACACCCTTATCAGCGCCGGTGAATGCGACCAGTTGGGACGGTGTGGCCAGAAGTTCGTTGGAGCTGATGTGGGGATTCAAGGACGAGCATTTGGAGATCAAGTGGTCCAAGCCGAAGGTGCAGGGTGAGCTCAAGGACTACCATATGGACCTGTTCAACCTGTCACCAGCCTTGAACCTTGAAGATGGAGCAGCTGAAGTGGCGTCGAGAGAGAAGGGTCAACTTCAGCGATTCCGAGTGCTGATCCCAGCCAACAAGACCAGTTATCAGCTTGATATACCAGCACCATTCGCTTTCAAAGTTCGTATTATACCAAGGACAAGGTCGTTGTTACCATCGCCATACAAACTAGAATCCGTCCGTGATTTCGGCTACACGCTCATCGTGGTAAACGAAAATCAACCGTTTGAAGTCGACTGGTCGATTCCGGCTCCAAAGCCGAGGATCTACCAAATTGGTGCTGAGCCAAAGCTCAAGTTGAGGTTCAAGGAGCTGCCGAAGAAGGATGATCGTACTACAACATCGATCCGAGTGCATTATCGACCGTTGTCGAATCTGTATCAAGACGAGAACAAAGAATCGAATGAAGTCATTGATTCTGAAGTAGATACCAATCACTCTACGGTAGCTGAGTTCACGAACAACGTCATGACGTTGACCGAAGGGCTCAAGGTCGGGACGGTGTATCAGGTCTGCTCGGCTTATGAAAAACGTGAAAATTTGGATGTTCCAAAGGACGGAAATGCTGGTACTGTAGGTCAAAATGACCGTAATACTGTAGCGAATAACATACATAACGCGGTCGAACATGGTACTGTAAACAATACTAATACAACAAGTTTTAACAGCACAATACCTGCAAACACACCTACTACAACATCGTCGAATAGCTCTGCTGTAAAAACCGCTAATAGTACCAACCCTACAGTACTTCCAACAAACAGTACTGATCTTGCACTACCCACAGTACCAAAAATCGGCCTCTGGCACTGCCAAAATGTACCACTTTTGGACCAAAAAGGCCGAGTACGTCAGCTGAAAGCGGATGACTCCTTCTCACCAACTGCCAAACGAGAACCGAACCCAATAGACTGTGCCAAGTTTGGATACTGTAGATGTGTTCAGTCCAGAGATGACATGTCGATGATGTTGGTCAGATGGCCTCGCGAAGCTGTGGGTGATCATGCTGATGTGGGAGGGTTTATATTACACTACACTTATGATGGACCGGAGGACCCTGAGGTTAAGAAGAAAAACGCGTAGGTTTTTTACCCTGCCCTACTTTCGCTACCCTACCCTACCCTACAGTACCCTACCCTACAGCACCCTACCCTACAATACCCTAACCCACCACCACAGAATCTTCCTTTATCCTACCTTACTGTACAGTATCTTTCTCTATAGTATTTTACCCTACCCTACTCTACAGTATCATGCTTTAAAGTAATTTCCCGTATAGTAGCTTATCCTACTCCACCCTACAGTATACTACTTTAAAGTATCTTACTCTACCTTACCTAAGCCTACCCTATTACGATATGACCTAACACACCTTTTCTCTAAAAACATGGTCCCGCCACGAAAACTTACCTATCAACTCTCCCAACCCTACTCTTTACCTTATCCTACCCGACTCCACCTTTAAAATTTTTAATTTAAAATTTTTTCAGTCAACTTTTCACCGATGGAAACGACACCGTTACCTACATCCAAAACCTGTTTCCCAGCTTCACCTACCGTGTCTCAATCAACGTCTACAACTCGGACCTACAAGAGTATCCGGGCACAGAATTTCGCTGTAAGACCCCGGAAAGTCTGCCCATTCCACCCCCAATTGGCATTAACATAACCCAGCTGAGCGACCATGTACTTCAAGTTTCGTGGCGACCTCCTATACCTAAGAAGCTGCTGAACAAGGTCAAGACCTTCGATGGGTACAACGTGCACTGGAAAAAGGTGGGACAACGTGAAGGGGCAGGTAGCTTCGTACATGGTCATGACGTCAACAACCATATATTAACTACAGAGGCCGAAGACGAGTACGTAGTCTCCATCACAAGTCACTCATCAGCTTCTGGAGAATCGCCAGTACGTTCGGAGACCGTGAGTGCTGTGGCCCGACCCAAAAGTGTACCAGACCACCACATTCAAAAGGACCTGTACCAAGACGTGTGGGGGGACAACATCAAGGTCAAGCAGTACCGTGAAGAGGACCACATACCCAAGTTCTACCAGAATGCCCACTTCCGCGAGTGGGTACTCATCATACTGGTCACGCTGCTCACCATCGCCATCTTCGGTACCATCTTCATGATAGTCTACGTGCAGTGTGGTGATCGGTTGTTCGGTAAGAACCGTGACGGTGACTTGTCCAGCTTGTCGAGCGGTCGAAGAAGTTCAGTCGGCTCAATTCAGTCCATTCATGCCATTACTGGACCGGGAGGGAATGCGTTTGGTTTCATTGGACTAGCCCATCATCTGGAGATGCAGCAACTCCTCAACGATCCCGAGTATGAACCACCTCAGTTGAGTAGTCAGAACACGTTGTTGGACACGAAAGGACCGGTTGGGGGCAGGCTGAAGAAGAAGACCAACAAGCTGATGAGTGATCCTGGCCTAGCGAAAAGGTTAATGGATCTGAATCATGATCCGACTGGACTGGGGAAGTCGTTCGAGGAGGTATTGGAAGATATTGCGAGAGAGCAGGAGGAAATGATGGAAAGACGACGGTTGTCCGGGCAGAGTGATCCACATAGTCCTCATGGCAAGGGGAGTGGTCATAAGAATGAAGGTGGTACTACTGGTACTGATAAAAATCATAATGGTACTACTAACAGCCAAAAGAAGGACAATGGTACCAATGTTGATGAGAAGAACGAAAATAACCATAAAAATGGTTCTACTGGTACTAATGGTACTAAAAATCACCAAAATGAGCCCTCAGGTCTCCTCGACAAAAATACCCGTACGAATGGCTCTACTAGTCCTAATGGTACTAAAAATGACCAAAAACAACCCATGGACAACTCCCACAAAAACTCAAACTCAGCCAAAAAATCGACCGGTAAATCAACTCAAAATAATCGAAAATCATCAGAAGATGCCACAAATGAAAGTGAAAAGCAGTCCCTACTAAATGAAGACCAACAAGATGATAATGATAAGGATTCTGAAAAAAAATCAACCAAAAAGCCTGATATTAACCTAGATTCTGAAGGAAAAGTTGATGTTAACATTGATTCTCATAGAAAACCTGAACTTTCTACTGATTCTAAAACATTATCAAGCTCTTACACTGATCTCAAGCCTCGATCAAAGTCGATTCTTGTCAAACCGACTTCAAAAACTAGCGGTAAAGCCAATGGATACCAGGGTATAGCTCTGAAAAGTAGTACTACCAGCCTGCCAAACAAGTTTATTCAAGTTGACATTCAAGTTGTTGATGAAACAGACCATGGTGAACATGAAGAAGATTCTAAAGGCTTATCAAGTGATGTTAATGACATTAAAAATGGGTCAAAAAGTCTTCAGAGCCTTGGAAATGAGCCGAAAGTTGAGGAAAATGGGCGAAAAAGCGATGAAAATAGGCCAAAAGGCGATGAAAGTACCTCAAAAAGCGATGAAGATGCCCCAACAAGCCATGAAAATCAAAATATAAACCAACTAAAAGATCAAAATGAACTTGTAACATCACCACAAAATCAACAAAAATCTACAACATCATTACAAAATACCCAAGACCCCACCACAACATCCCAAACCCAGCCTCAAACAACCCTTCGAGCTCACGAACCATCTACAATAACCAAGTCCAACTCTCTTGTCGGCTTCTCAAACCCATCTTTAACTGATCCTCAGCTAAGCCAAGACATGTCCTCGTCTGACGGCAACATTTGTCCACCAATAACATCGAGTCAACTATTCAAACGACCGGCTTTGTCTTTCGACTCCTTCCCTGAAGATGAACACAAGGCTCTACCTCAAGATAGCCTAAGTCATAATGTCACGTTTGATGATATGCCTCATCGAAACACACACTATGACAATGTAAATCAACATAACATCAACTATGACAACATGAATCAACACAACATAAACTATGACAATATTGTCCACCCCCACCTCACCTACAACAATATCAACCATGTCATCCTCAAAAGCCAGAACAACAACCTAGAGCCAGTTGAAAGGCGTCGTTTGAAGACAGGCCTAGAGCCAGAGATACCGAATAACAACGCCGTTCACACCAGCTCAATGCCGAATCTTGCGGATTCTGGAATCGTGTACGATGACTGTGGGAATCATATTGGCATCATGATACCGTTACATACCATCAACTCGGAGAAAATACTACGCAATTTTGATTTGGAGAGAAGATGGTGAGTTTAAAATGAAATTTAGCCTACAAATGCTGCTACTTTTAGCCTAAAAAATCAATTTTAAGCCTAAACTTTGCATAACAGCATAAAAATTGAACGTAAGCCTAAAGTATTCAATTTAAGCCTAAAACTTAACTTTAAACCTAAACTACAAATTTTAAGTCTAAGATACTAATTTTAAGCCTGAAAATTGATTTTAAGCCTAAAAAATTGACTTTAAGCCTAAAAATTTATTTTAAGCCTGAAAAATCGATCTTAAGCCTGAAAAACTAAATCTAAGCCTAAAATACAAACTTTAAACCTAAAAATTAATTTTAAGCTTAAAAAATTAATTATAAGCCTAAAAATTGATTTTAAGCCTAAAAATTGATTTTAAGCCTACAAATAGATTTTCAGCCTAAAAAATTAATTTTAAGCCTACAAATTTTATTTAAGCCTAAAATACTAAATTTAAGCTTAAAACACTAACTTCAAACCTAAAAAATTGACTTTAAGCCTAAAGAATTAATTATAAGCCTAAAAATTGTTTTTACGCCTAAAATACTAATTTTGAGCCTACACATTGATTTTAAGCCTAATAAATCCATTTTAAGCCTAAAAACTAAATTAATTTTGAAAAGCTCATTTTAAGCCTAAAAATTCATTCCAACTTTTAAAAATTAAACTTAAGCCTAAGAACGTACTAATAAGCCTAAACCTTTTATTACCGGTCCAATTTCAGCCGACTAGACAAGCACCAAACCAGTGACAATGAGACCGAAACCAGTTCATCGGCCGCCTCTTCTCGAGGTTCCGACCAGTCGGAGCCTCTCGGGCCAGTAACTCTACTATCACCTACCGATGCCTACCATGCTTTGGGTTCGAGAACTTACTTGAAAGACACCGAGTACGATGACAATGCCATTGAAATGCGTGAATTCAAGATTGAACCGGTCTAAGACTACTGTAGAACCGAACGGGGTTGGTTACTGTATAAATACTGATCTACCTCACCTACCAACCGATGGGTTACTGTAACAAAGAGTTCGAAGGTCAATAAGTTGCAATACTACCAGCTTTCAAAGACCTATGGGTTACTGTAGTATGACCGTCCAAAGACCTATGGATTACTGTACTATCATCTCTCAAAGACCTACGGATTACTGTACTATGCCCTTCCAAAGACCTATGGATTACTGTAGGAAAATCAAGAAAAGTCAACAAATTACTGTAACAACAAATTTACCAATCTTGAAATTCAATAGGTTACTGTAGAATTTGTAATGGACTGGAATTGACCAAATGGACATTAATTTCGCTCATTCAGGTCCGTCTCGGGCCATCTTACACATGGCCCAAAACCCCTGCCAAATAATGTTTTACTAGCTGTTCTTTGCCATAGTACTGTAATTTTAACTCTTTTTTAGTATGGTACTATAAAAGTAATATTTTTGAGTACGGTACTATATAGTACTATTCTTTGAGTATGGTACTGCAGATCTTTTTAGTATGATACTAAATAGTACTAATTTTGTGTTTTCTAAGTACAGTACTATATAGTACTATCTTTTTAGTACGATACTATATCGTACTGTTTTTTTTTAAGTACGGTACTATATAGTACTATCTTTTTAAGTTTTGCACTATATAACTTTATTATAGTACCTAGCTCATGTTGTATTACCTAAACTTAACATCGAAAAGTCTCTGCCGACCAGTGAACGAAAGAAATTCCAGTCTGTCCAGTCTTTCATAGCCCCAAACAGTACTAGTTTGTACTAAATGAAAATGTCGTTTTTCAAAAAAATTAGATCACAGTACGTTTTGGGTATGGTACTTACTGTGATTTTAATGATACTGAATTTACAGTGCTTTAAAACGTACTAGCACTACAGTACCCTTCACAGTACTTTTTCACTTTACTTTTTATGGTACCCTACTATCAGTATTATAAAACCTATTGGAATTACAGTACCACTAAAACAACACTTCTTTCGTATCTTCAAATCTCGTACTAAATAACACCAAAAACGACATTTTCTAAATAGTACCAAAATATTATTTTAGCACCAATAACCTCAATATACCTTCATTTATCTTCATTCTAACTAATACTACATATAAATTGTAAGAATGGTCCTCGCCGGAAGAGGTGCACCATTTACCATTCAATTCCCTTCTTTCATAGCCTACCTCATATCCCTCAAATATAATGGTAACTCTCGGCTTTAGCCTCAAATTCTACGTATTGTAACACGTTGTCATAGCTGAAGGTACGATATGTTTCATTGTATGATACGTACAGTCAGTATATTTCACTGTACTCTAAGTAAAGTCAGTATTTTGCACTGTACCCTAAGTACAGTCCATATATTGCACTGTACTCTAAGTACAGTCCATATATTGCACTGTACTCTAAGTACAGTCCATATATTGTACTATATTTTGAGTACAGTCAATATATTGCACCATATACCTATGTCTCAATGAATCATATTACTATATGTTACAGTACACCTAGCTCTAAATACATAAATATAGTCGTACCTTCAAAATACTCTATGTTACAGTAGTTGCAAAAAACAAAAAAGTCAAATTACAAAGCCGCGTCAAAAAGAATTGGGTGATTTTCAATGTATTTAGATAGTAAAATAGTTCAATTCTTTTTGACGCGATCTTATAAATCGCTAAAAAATGCCAATTTTTATAACATATGCTTAAAATTAAAGTCAAAAAGTTTGTAGAAACCTTATTTTTGCAGCTACAGTAACCCAACTCTCTCCTCAACCCATTTGTATACAAATTTCCATCACAAAATAACCTCTATCCTATGTTGTACTACCTTCTAACCCGACTCTTCACATCCCCCCCCGACACAAAATAACCTCTGTACTTGATAATTTTATTGTTAGACCTCAAGACTTTGTTTTCGAAAAGAAATTGTATTTATACATGTACAGTTAATATTATTACACAAGAAATCTATTTATACAACAATAAATGAATTATAAGTTGTTGGAGTTGAGTAAAATAACCGATAAAAGTTATAACACCTGAGGTTTGGCTCAAGTTGCGTTATCAATGTAGAAATTTGTAAGGTAACTTCATTTATTACCTTTTTTGAAATTTAGGTAAAGATTAAAAGTGAAAATTTAAATTACTACACAATTAGTCATCGTTTTGCCTTGAAAAGATAACAGAAAAGTTTATTTGTACTCCTATAAGTCCTTGATCAGTTACTGTTCCGCTTTAAGTTCATAAAAAGTATGAAACTCGTCCGCACTGAGAGGATTGAACTTCACAAAACCTAGCGCTGCGTAAAAACGGTACGGAGGAAGGCATGGTTTGTTGTCTTCGTACTCGGAGGATCTGAGGTGACTCAGAAGCGCCAATTTCTTCCTGTCTTTCAGCGACGGTTGCTTTGTCTCGGAGAGGGTTCGTCTGGATTCTTGACAGGCTTCCCGATATTGTAAGCCGAATCGTAAATTGTAGCGCGGCCGAGCAGTTTGTTTGGTAGGCACCTGAAAATTTGTGGCGTTAGAAAAAGAACAAAAAGTTTTAAAGGATTTTAGATACGCGTTGAAATGAAGATGTATGTTACCGTACTTTGACATAAAACCAACTTTTGTTATTTTAGCGAAAAGCTTTTGAACTGATTTGCTAAAAAAACTTACTTTTCGAAGCGTAATGCCATTTTGCTTCAATATTGAAGTCATATTTATGTCCATCATGTTTGCGAGTGGCACAAAAATGTTGATCGAATTCTTGTATATCTAAATTTGTTAAATTTTGAGTATTTTCTTGAAAGTTTTTAACAAAATTTTTAAAATTCAGGATGAGAACTTTGTACTCGTTGTTGCTTGTTTGTTTTGTAACGTGGGTTAATATGAGGAATGTTGTGTGAGGAAAATGGCTTTACCTAGACAAATGCGTGGCTAAATCGAATGATGGTTTTGTATGAAGATGGGAATAATAATATGTTAGTTAAATTGAATTGTTCTACGAATACTTAAGAAATTTATATTTTTTAACGGCATCTTGAACTCAAAACTCAAAAAAAATTCGGTTTTTTGTTCAATATTGAAACTTGTTTTACTATATTGTAAAAAAAGGCATCAAAAACTATTTCTTTCGGCAACTGATATCAAATTCGATAGGATAAACGTTTATTAACTTAAGGAACAAGTCAATCTTTTATTTTTTTAGTTGAGTTTTCGGTCTAGGTGCTCGTTGGTTTAGCGGTTGTGTTTGGCCTTGTGCTGAAAATTAATTTGTAATAATGATGTGATCTTAATTATATGTATAAGAAAATCTGTTTTTTACATTATTTTTTACATTTTACGTAAAATTTATATATATTTGGAAAATGGATAATTCTTACCTTCTTTTCGACTTTGTAGGCTACAGTGCCTTTCTCCATTGACAAATCATTTATTGAGATCGACTTACGGCCTTGATTTGTCACTTTAACACTTTTAAAAATAATAATTTTAAATGTAAGTTAATATGTATTATATCATTTTATTTTCAGGTTTACTTGGTACCAAAAAAGCCTTCAACTCATGGAAAATCAGCAGAAGCCAAACCTTTTGGGACGTCGCTACCAGTGCCGCGCGGGAACTTTAAATTTTTTTCCAAAAATCCACAGCAGTGAGCACGTTCAACTTTTTTTGCTGGTCGCTACTAAGGACGAATTTTGGTGTAATATTTTATATTTTTTGTGTTCAATTTTTAAATATGCGACAAGATGGCGTGGAGGTATAAGATAAACAAGGTTCTAGTCAATTTTGTGACTAATATTGTCTACTTTCTATGTGAAACGGTTGACTGTAACATTTTTTAATCAAAATTATCAAAAAAACAGGCTTTTTTACTTTAAAATACCTTCTTATTATGATAAAAGTCGACTGTAACAACATAAACAAGTAGATATATTAGAGTAAAATAAAGTTTTAGATATATAAAGTTGCTTACCTAAAGAATAGGCTGATCTGGTTGAAAATAAGTTGAGATCGCCTATTATTTAGGTAACAATATTTACAACAATAAAAACATAAAATGATTTTGATATGAGGGATTGGCTTCTGCTGACCATACTTAAGTTTTATATTACACCTCCCCGACGTCAGTCTAAAATGAGAAATGGCATATCGGATTTTGTAAGTTTTGTCAAAAATAAAATGCGGAAAAAGTAAAATTTTTTTTTCAAAAACGAAATGTGGCAAAAACTTATTTCTCATTTAGGACAGGCGTTTTCTCTCCTACAACTATAATGCCAGGGTCGGGCTTTGAGGGAGGGGATCTCCTAGTAAATTTTTTGTAAAAAAATGTTGAACGTTTTTCTCCTGTTGATTTTTCAAAAAGAAATAAAAAAATTGGCACAAGTAGCTTTATGATTCCCTCACCTGCCCGACCCTGTAATATAGCAACGTTTTTTAAAAATTGTTAACTTACGATTGGGCTTTTATCGTTGTGTGATGATGATGCTTCGACTGGGCTGTTCTGGGATTCTGAAAAAATTAAATGAATCATATTAACAATTTTATGTTTTTAAAGTTTAGAACTTTTTCATTTTAACTTTTTTAATTTTCAAATTTTCGAAAAATTTGGACGCCATTGCGGTCATAATGGTAATAAGACTTCACCTTGATGAGCTGTTTTCTCAATTGGACTAGTGGAGGCGTCTGCGGAAGATCTACGAGCGGGTTTCGTCGACTTGATATGTCGTGTGGGCTTTGGGATATCAGACTGAAAAAATTTATCATTAGACATTATGTATATTGCAGTTACATTGTTATAAGAAAGAGTAATTTCTGGTACTACCCATAATATATATGTATCTGTATATGGAATGGTATCAAAACTTACCTTTGGTTTTTGTTTTTTACGAAAGAAGCGTTTGGCCCAATGTCGTTTACGGTACTTGGCATCTGAAAATGTATTTATATGGAGGAGCCTTAAGTTTTAGGTTTTGTACAAAAAAAACTTTTAAACAGTAAAAAATCATATTGGTTTTGTCTTAAAATGCAATTTTGTTACCTGGTGCTTTAACGTGTTCATCCTGATTTTGATGTGCTGATTGGTACTTGGCCGCTTGTTGTCGCATTTTGATTTGATACTCGTCCGGAGTATAACCTTTTAAGCCATCCTTCTCGTTGATAAAGTACTTTGTAGCTTTTTCCGGCGCGTCCTGTAAAAGTACTAACATAATACGCATAAAAAATTCACAGGTGAAGGTAAAGACTACATGTTAATTGTATTATATGTCGAGTACTATTGTACATAATATTAAACTTACGTCATCCTCGCTATCCTCAGTTTGATCTGCTTGTCCTGGCTTCTGTGCTCTTCTTCTGTGCATTCTTTCCTGGTCCTGATTATCTGAAATTAATGTAACTTTAATGCACTAAATTACATTAATTTATAATTAACTTTTGTATATAACGAATAGTCAGCTTAACAGGTATTGACAAACTTATGTAAACTTACTTTCTTTCGGTTTATCGTTCTTTTTTCTGCCCCAGAATTTAGGGAACTTCCATATTTTGTTATTCTTCGTCAACGTTTTACAGTTTTATATATACGGTTCTCTATAAATATCAAATTTAAACAATGTAAAATTGGATACAATTGTTATATAAAGCAGAAAAACATAAAATATATGAAATTTTATAAAACTTACCGTATAATTTCAATTGGACCAGTGCAGCCTTCTGGAGATGATCTTCTCCGCCGTAGTCGAAATAGATATTTTTTCGAAAATAGAAATAGAAAAAAAAATAACGACCGCACCAGTCGAAGAAAAACACCAGAATGACCGGGACTGGCCAAGAAATGACTAAACCGTTCTTGAGAAAGCTTATTTTACTAATAAATATTAAATTCTACTGTCAATGTAAGTTTAATACTTTGGTCAGTAATTGTCTTCCTCTCCCCCACCTCCCCCCCCCCCCCCCCTCAGGGTATATACTGTAATACCTCGTTATGTAAATTAAGCTATAAATAGTTGATTTTACCACTAAATATGTATATTCTAGTGTCAATGTACGCCTAGTTCACGTAGTTTGACTTTACAGAGTTGGTCGGTAATTGTCTTCCTTTCCTCGCCACCCCTCCCCCCCGCCAAAAAAATGACCCAGCGTTCGCTTTAAAAGCAAACCAGAGCCGCTTGGAAGCGCGCCCGTGTAGCTCAGTGGTTAGAGCGTCTGTCTCGTAAACAGAAGGTCCTAGGTTCGAATCCTGGTTCGGGCAACTTCTTTTTTGGTTGTTTTTGTTTAAATGCAGATTTTATTATTAATGCATATAAAAGTAAATTAAGCTTTTTAAATTTTTTTCATTTTAACAGTTTAAAAATGTTGGTTTTGAGATGAATATCACATGAAAACACAATTTTTATATTATGATCGCTTGTTTCTTCATGCTTAATATAATTTTTGCTGATAAAAAGAGCTCTTTGATTAAAGTTGGCTAAAACACAAACTTATCAACGTAAAATCTTGTTAAAGATTTAATAATGTTGAACTTTATGGTTAAAAAATCAAATTTATGGCCGCTAGAACAATAAAATCCTTGACTATGCAGTGTGATATAACCTTTACCATTTATAACCTAATATTGTATTCCACAGTACGTCAGAGATGATGATAGAGCTGATAAGCGAAATTTACATCATGTTTTAAACGATAATTTGTATTTTTATCAATTTTCAAAGACAATTGAGGGTGTGGTGAGCTAATTGGGAGAACCCCTAATACTTTGTGTTTTGATGACTTTATAGAGGAGCAAGTTGACAATTATTAGGCTTGTTAGAAAGCTGATTAAAGGTTCTTTTTGGATTTTTAAACGTGGTTTTAATTGTAAGAAAGACCAGTTTACTATAACGAGGAAAGTGAATATTACACTTGCTATTTCGTGGTTGGCTGAAAATTTTTGTTATATCTTATCAGTTAAAGCTTAAAACTAATTGAAATAGCAATCCTATATAATTGAAAATCTTTTATATTACGGTAACTCTAAGCACGTTCATTAAAATTGTCTACTTTTTTTAAAATTTCGATTTAACTTATATAACACTACCTTGGTCTATTACCTATTAGAAAAAAATCTGTATCTCTAAGACTAAACTATACTGTAAACCAAAATTTTACATAGATATAGACAATACTACATGCTATTACTGTACAAAAAACCGCATCAATAGCTGTTTTTACCATGAAGATATACGACGATTTCCATGATATTAACATAGCCAAAGACGGTTTAGAAAAGTTTGAAGACAACACAAAATATAATGGTACCAACTGGTATTTTAAGTATGTTTTTGACAAGACTAGACCATATTTTTCATTTTTGAATCTTTTCTATATTATTTTAGGTATTGTTACATATTACTTTAGATAAGACCTTTTCACAAAAACTCTTTTTTTCAGAAACAAAACTCGGATTTTGATATTTCTGGTGGCTACAGTAACATTGATGATTATTGTGTCAAATGCTTTGATATTCAACTTTACTGTTATTTGTATGAAGCGGCCGGATAGTGATAATGGTACTAGTTATGGTAAGATAATTTATTGTTTGATTTTAACAAAATTTAGTTTGGTACTATTTTTTGATAAAAATGATACCAGTGGTACCAAAAGTAGTACTAAAATGTAAAATCTATGTTTTTTTACCAACTTTAGATAATATTTTACTAAATAAAAAATTTTAGTTTTGGTACTATTTTTTGGTGAAAACAGTACCAGTGGTACTAAAAACAGTACTAAAATGTAAAATCTATGTTTTTAGTCCAGTTTTTAATAATTTAAAAATTAATTTAGCATTTTTGCTTTTGGTACTATTTTTAGTGAAACCAGTGGTACCAAAAACAGTACTAGAAAGTAAAAACATGTACTTTTAGAGCCAATTTTTGATGACACAGAGCGAAGTTGGCTAATATCAGTTGTAGCAATTGGCACTTTAATTGGTACTCTTCCTATTACAGTTCTTACTAATCGCTTTGGAACAAGGTATGTTAACATAATAACGCTTTTTTTGATATTTAATGCCATTTTTAATTAAACTGACTTATTTTTTAAATTTTGTAAGAAGATTTTGCCATTTTAAAGTAATGTTAATAATAAAAGTTTAGAGTTACATTCTGTTTCTATGGCATAGCATCAGCAGTGGCTGTGGCGTTGACTCCTTTGGCCGTTTCTCTTGGGTTTTGGCCGACTTGCTTGATTAGAATTGCTCATGTAAGTTAAAATAATAGTACATGTGAGGTGGGGAGCTTCATGTAGAGAGTAGGATAGAGTAAGGCTACATAGAGTAAAGTAAGGTAAAATAGGCTAAGGTAAGGGTAGCTTGTGTAAAGTAAGGTTAGGTAGGGTAAGGTCAGATAGGATAGGATAGGAAATGCCTAGGAATAGGCCAGAGTTAGGATATGGCTAATTTAAGAGTAGAACTAGGGTTAGGGCTAACGCGAGGGTTATTACAGTAAAAAACTGTAGAAAAGGCAGAGTGTGGAAATGGTAATCGTAGAAAAAAGTTGGAGAAGATTAGGATATGATTACTGTCGTTTATGAAATATTTAAGTAGGAGTAAAGGTAGGGTAGGGTGCAGTAGGGTACGGTTGGTACGGAAAAGTTGGGTAAGGTAAAGTACGGTAGGATAGGGGAGGGTACGGTACAGTAGGTTACGGTAGAGTACGGTAGGGTACGGTAAGGTACGGTAGGGTACGATAAAGTACGGTAGGATAGGGAAGGGTAGGGTAGGGTAGGGTAGGGTAGGGTAGAGCTAAGAAATACAAATTTATATTCCAGGGTCTAGGCCTAACTGCTTCATGGTCAGTGTTTGGTTCAGTAATTTCAAATTGGGCCGAGTTCCGTTTGACCGGTACGGTAGTAGCTTACTTATCATGTCATTTACAATTAGCGCCGATGTTTACCATGCCTGTCTCTGGGTTTTTGTGCGAAAGTGATCTTACATGGACGTCCACATACTATTTACATGGTATTTTGACTATTGCCATCTTTGGACTATTCTTTTGGTTTTATCGAGATTCGCCAGAAAAGCATAGGTAAGTGGAAAGAATGTTCTTGCGGTTTTTCAAAAATTAAGGTTTGGAAAGAAATTTCTTGCCTATTTTTAAAAAAATAATGTGTTGGAAAGAAAGTTCTTGCCATTTTCAAATTAAATTTTTAAAAAAATTTTATTTCGCAGGCTGCGGGTGACAAGTTATACGAAAGATGCATTTTAGTTTTGTAAAGAAAGTTCTTGCAATTTTCTCAAAAAATTAAGTTTTGTAAAGAAAGTTCTTGCTATTTTTAAGTTTATTTTTTAATTTTTCAGAAATGTGTCAAAAGAAGAATTGGCAATAATTCGATCTGAAAAGCAGCTTTCAAGTGATAAAGCTAACAATACCATTCCATATAAGGCCATGTTCACTGATCCTTGTGTCATCGGAGTGCTGTTGAGTGCCTGGGGCAATATTTTGGCTTTCAGGCTGTTTTATCAATATGGACCGATTTATTTGAATGAGGTAAGGTTATTTATTTTTATTTCAAAAATTTTTAAAAATTTAAAAAAATGAAAAAATGGCAAAAACTTTCTTTACAAATCTCATTTTTTTTAAAAACCGCAAGGACTTTCTTTACAAAACATTTTTTAAAGGGCCGCAAGAACTTTCTTTACAAAGCTTAATTTTTTCAAAAATGGCAAGAACTTTCTTTACAAAACCTAAAAAACGCATCTTTTGACTTGTCAATGACTTGTCAACCGCAGCCCGCAGAATTCATTTTTTTTGATTAGTTGGAAAAATGGCAAGAACTTTCTTTACAAGCCATAATTTTTTGAGAACAGTGCGAGAACTTTCTTTCCAAGTCTTAATTTTTGAAAAACCGAAAAAACTTTCTTTACATATCCTAATTTTTTAAAAATGGCAAGAACTTTCTTTACAAATCTTAATTTTTCAAAAATGGCAAGAACTTTCTTTACAAAACTCTCAAAATAAATTTATCGTATAACTTGTCACACGTAGCCTGCAGAATAAACGTTTTTAAAATGTAATGTGGAAATGGCAAGAACTTTCTTTACAAACCTTAATTTAGCAAAAAATCGCAAGAACTTTCTTTACAAAACATAAATTTTCAAAAATGGCAAAATCTTTTTTTACATCGCTTTAAAAACGGGTTCATCGTATAACTTGTCATTCGCAGCCTGCAGAACACAATGTTTTTAATTCTTCAATTCAAAATAAAAAATAGCAAGAACTTTCTTTACAATACATAATATGCTTCTAGATTCTACACTACGACGTAGAATCGACCGGTTTTACGGCCGCTTTACCGTTCTTATTATCAATGATAGGCAAGCTTGTGGCAGGCCCATTAAGTGACACTCTACCAGGCCTTACTGACAAACAACGAGTACTAGGCTTCGCTACAGTATCTCAGGTTCTGTTGGCTTTATGCTACTTTGGATTGGCATTTACTCCGAGTACGAATACTGTACTAGCTCAATGTTTTTACACTGGAGTACTGGCGTTGAGTGGACTGGAGACGGTGGGCGTACTCAAGAGCATCCAAATGGTACTGGGCTTTGAATTTTAAAATTTTTTTAAATATTGAAAAATGGCAATAACTTTGTTTACAAAACTTGAAAAACCCTTTAATACAGTATATACTATAGGTTCATGCAGTATACTAAGTCAGGTAGGAGGTACTGTAGGTCATACATAAGCTTACTATTTACGGTAGAGTAGGGTAGGGTAAGGCAGGGTAGGGTAGGGTAGGGTAGGGTAGGGTAGGGTAGGGTAGGGTAGGGTAGAGAAGTAGGGTAGGGTATGTTAGGGTAAATTTTTAAAAAAATTGCAAAAACTTTCTTTACAAACTCAATCTTTCAGCTCTCCGGCCAGTACGTTGATGTACTAATGAGTGTCAACGCTGTGAATGAAAGTATTACTGTATTTTCACTAGCATTATTGATCTCATATCTCGTTCCAAATAAGTCAGCCGACGAGGTATGTTTAATTTTGGCAGAAAACTTTAAATTTTTAAAAAAATTTGAAATTTCGAAAAATTTTTAAAATCTCAAAAGTTTTTTTAAAAATTGTTTAACTTTAATTTTTTCAGTGGGCAACAATTTTCATAGCAATGGGAATAGTCCAAGTCGTATTTACCGTGGTCTTCGACTTGACAGCTGAGGTAAAGCCAAGATATTGGGCGTTGGGGAAGACGAAAAACAACCGGTCGATAACTGATTCTAGTGAAAGCTCATCCTGTTCATAATCCACATTCATTTACTCATTTTTTTAATAGTTATGGCAACTTTTTCCGTCATTATGACATATTTTTGATTATTTTTGCACGTTTTTGGGCCGTATTGGCACGTTTTTTGAGAAAAAACTGTCATTATTTAATAGAATAATGTAAATTTTGCAAATTTTTGGGTCGGTTTAGGCGAAACAAAGTTTTCTACAAACTTTTCGACCTTTTTTGCAAAATGATTTGATTAAAAACGATATTTAGCAAAGCTTTTCCAAGCGCGTCAAAAAGAATTGATCGTATTTGCTATATAAATACATTGAAAAGGGACTAATTCTTTTTGACGCGGTTTGATTTGAATGTTTTTTATAATAGTATTCGTGCTAGAATGTCATTAAAACGGTTTAAAATTGAAAAATTAGGCCTCATAAGCCTACAGGCTCTATTTTTAAATGTTTTAAAAAATTTAAAATTTGAAAAAATAAAAATTTCAAATTTTTAAAAATCAGTTCAATTTATTGTTCAAGCCAGTAACAAAGAATGGAATTTTACACCGCTGATGACTGTCGCCTCTCCCTTATGATTCCTTTGGACACTCGGTTCCGGACGTGAGCGCAGTTCGCCGACTCCTCGCGCGGGCTGCGGCGCTTCGACTTGGGCGGAGGCTTGAGACTGCCCTTCCTCACCGGAAACACATCCTCGTCCTTCTGCTTTCTCAGGTCACGGTACGAGGATTCGTCGGGTTCCTGAAAAACTTTATTTTAAATTTCAAAAAAATTTTTGAAATTTTTTTTTCAAAATTAAAAAATTTTTAAAATTACAGTAAAACACCTTAACTTACAGTATTAGAAATGGCGAAATACGAGATCAGTCCGAAGGCGCTCCAGAGCATGTACAAGACGAACTTGAGCATGGCTAGCGCCATCACAAATCGACCGGTATTAGTCAGTTCGAAATAAACGAATTTTTTAAAAATTTTTTAAAATTTTATTTTTTCGAACCTCATTTCGAAAATTTAATATTTTTCAAAAATGTTTGGTCGTTTTTTAAAAAATCAACTTTTGTAAATAAAGTTCTGTCGCTTTTTACTTCGAATTCATGTTTCGCAATCTGCGGATGACAAGTTATACGAAAGATTCGTTTTAAAGGGTTTGTAAAGAAAGTTCTTGCCATTTTTGAAACAATCAAGGTTTGTAAAGAAAGTTCTTGCATTTTTTTCATATATTTGCCCCCCCCCCCCTCCCTTGTATCCAAATTTTAAAAATATTTCCTTATCTTCTCTACCAATCAAGCCTAACAAATGATCTGTTTATCTTTAACAAAAACGGTTAAACCAAGAGACAAGCCTCGACATACATTTTGGGACCCAAACCTTCAAAAATCCAAGCCAAAAAGCCTCAAAATCAAAGCAAAAGTGCCTCGAAATGATGTGAAAGCAGCCAGAATCGGGATGTGAAATATAAATTAGGATCGCCAGTTGCCAGAAATGTTGCTGTTGTTGGCTTGGCGACTTTGCGGTGGTCTGTAGACGTCCCGTCTCTCCGAGTTCTGATTCTGTTGTTGTTGTTGGGCTCGTTTGGGTTGCCAAATTCCGTCTCTGGTGGGGGCTGGGGTGGATTCTTGTTTCGGGGCGGGTGCGTCTTTTCGGCGCCAGTCTCCGCCGAGGGTGGCAGCCACTGATTCTCTTGGTTCACGATCGGTCTGGCGACGCCAGTTGCCGCCCTCCACGGGCTCGCGGTTCTCTTCACGCGCGCGGCGTGGGACGTACTGAAATTTCAAAAATTTTTGTGAAAAAAAAATATTTCTACACAAAAATTAATTTTTCTCTCAATTCTCTACCAAAAATGTCTCCAAAACCCACCTTTCCACCATCACCCTCGTTGTTCCTGTCCCGGTCGAAACGGCCGCCTTGACGATCGTCGTTCCTTCTGGGTGGCAATCCGCTTTGAACACGTTCCTTTTCCCTCACACGCTCCATCATTTGACGATGTTCTTGGCGGTCCTTCTCTTGTTGCTCCAGCTTTTCCTTTTCGACTTGTTCCTTCAATCGCTCTTCCTCCTCCTTCTTCTTCTGAACTTCTTGACGTTTTCGGTCTTGTTTGCGTTGTTCTCGGCGCTCCAGTAGACGACGCTTCTTCTCCTCGTCGAGGCGAGTTTTCCATTCCTTGCGGCGACGTTGTAGATCGTCAGCGTGACTTTCGATCAGATTCTCCAAGAAGGCATTGGCATCATCGCGCATTTGGTTCACGCGTTCGTACGTCTTGATGGCGGTCTCGTGTTCTTGGCTAAAAATAAAAAAATAAATTTATAAAAATACTACTAATAGCACCATTCCAAAACATCTATCTCTAAAGCCAAAAATTTAAAATTAGAAATTTCACCAAAAAATCCATTAAAATTCCAAAACCCATCCCAAAACTAATAGAAAAATTTAAAATACACCCCCAAAACGGCAAAAGTAAAAGCTGGCTCAGTCCTAAATACGAATCATTGTGTAACTAGTTACACTAACATAAGAGGTGTCAGTTAAGATCACATCAAAGCCCATTGCGCCTGGCCGGATTCGAACCTTCAACCTTTTGAGTCAAAAGCGAAAGTTCAAGCCACTGCGCTACGCAATCACATGACCCCATTCGTTTCGGAAAGGCTTTTGAGTTCGATTTTTGTTAGAAATAAGGGTTTTTGGTGATTGGTTGGGTTAAAAATGGCAAAAAATAGACATGAGAAACGGGCCGGTCTTGAGCAAAATTCCGATCGGGCCGGGCCTAACATTCAGGCCCGGCCCGTTTCTCATGTCTAGCAAAAAATAACATGAAAATAAAATTTATAGATAAAAACCCCCACAAAAGCTAATTTTAAAAAATTTGAAAATTTTTTCAAAAACAACATATCTAGCCCAAGAATAATATTATCATAGACCAAAAAAAAAAACTCACATAGCATTAGCAATTCTTCTATCCTCGCATTCCTCAAACCGTTGTGGAGCATTTTGCATAAAATCTTCGGCCATCTTCTTGTAATGCTTGATCTCCTCTAGGTGGAATGCTCGCACCATGTAGTCGTACTTTTTCTCTTGTTGTCGTAGCTTATTCTGAAGTTCTCGACGTTCCACGTCCATTCTCTCACGTTGTTCTTTGAGTACGACCTCGGGGTCCATTGTTTGCATGGCTTCCTCGCCCTTCTCCTTGACAATCTGTTGATAGATGGGGTTGGATTGGAAGCGTTTGAGTTGTTCAGCCTTCTGGCGACGTACGATCTCGTCCTTCTCAGCCTGTTGTCTTTTCTTCTCGTTTTCTTGATTCTCTTCTTCCAGACGCTTGAGTTCCACTTGGCGACGTTGTTCTTCGCGTTTTTGGTACTCTTCTTGAGCCAGCTGGATCTTTTCTCGGCGATGGTTCTCGGATACCTCCTTGTATTCCTCGATTTTGCGACAACGAATGAGGATGCGGTTATGGTCCTCGTCTTTGTGGTACAAATAGGTCTTGATTTGTTCGTTTAGCTTGGCCGATACGTCTTCTTCCTCCTTGTGACCTTCTAGCTTGTGAACAGCGTCCTGGCAGTTCTGGTGAAGTTGAATCAAATGTTCACGGATGTATTCGATGCCGTTCTGAAACAAGCAATTATTATTTGAAATTTTAAAGTAAATAAGCAAATTTTAAATACCAAAAACTTTAAAAATGTAAAAAGGTTTTAAAAACAGTATGTACAACTTACACTAGCCGCCTCAACATCAACACTAGCATCCAATCCACCAGCCAAAGTCAGATCCAAAGCTGAGAAGACCACACAATCGTCACGATGAGACACTGAAGCCTTGATCGACCGATGTTTAGCTCCTTCGACCAAAAAGTGTTCCAACTCGACTCTGGAGAAGAAGGGGATGATCCGCTGGAATCTGCTTAACGACAAGCTTCCGTAGATCACTGAAAGCTGTCTCAGGACCTTCGTGGCTACCACAAACTTGAGTTCGTCAGCATATTGAGAGTATTCCGGCTTCTCTAGCTTGTCCAACTCATCAATGCCAGCTTGAATGTTCTTGGCCAATCTCAATGGCTTGAACTCCAACTCCAAACTCTTGTAGATTTGCTTCACCGGTTCTACGGCCAATTCTGGGATGTTGAGCCAAGCAATCTCCTTCAGAAGACCAGAACGAGTTGGTGCGATAGGTAGACGTAACAAAGATGACAAGACTCTGATATTGGTTAGATGTTGATCCTCAATATCCAATAGTTTTGTCAAAGTTGAGGGCTGATCAGCTCCATCTTGGATGGTTAAGGTAGCCAAAAGAACTCTGGTGGCTTGATCAGTCGCTTCTTCACCGGTAAATGTCTTCTTCATGTCTTTGCAGATGATAAACTTCTGGAGAAGGGCTGCAGCGTGAAATAAGGTGTTTCCACCTTTCCAGAAGATCATTGCCAACTGAAATTGAGGTAGATTAGCTTTTAAACACCAAAATTGATCACCGCCTCAGCAAGAATTCAAACTTTAAGCCCTTCACCCACCTTATCAAAGTAGTTGACATAGCTAGCGGGCTTGACCATTCTTCGGTCCTTATCCTTAGACAACTGCATAATGTTGTGCAAGTCCTCAGCCGATTTGTAGGCTTCTTGCCACAACTCCATCGTGATGGCCGTGTTCAGTTGATTAAGTCGAGTATCCTGCATGAACTGAAGTGATTCCAAGCTGTTCAACTTGACTCTGTAGTCATTGGTTCTTGGTTCAGTGGAGACGGTTTGACTCTTCTGAATTTGAGCCAAGTGGATCCGTAGCAGATCACACAGCTTTCTGAACTCGTTTCTTCTCTTGTACTTGGCGCAGAATTCGAATGACTTCCTGGCCACCCAATGGTAGATCTCTTCGACGATGACATTGTTTCTCAGCATGTCGAGACAATTACGGTAGGAATCCCAAAGGAAACGAAGCCATGGAGAGAGGACGGTACGATCCATACGGTCTTGAGTTACGGCTCCAGATACAACAGATAACAACAAACTGAAATTACCATAACTTAGTTTAAACCTACATGTTTCTATCATAATATATACCATGTTATAGTAGACACCTTACCACATGTTTTTCATAAAAAATAGAACTCATAACAGATACATTACAAAGATAGTAAATAAAATACATCTTTTAAAAGCTATATCAACAATAAAAACCCTCTTACTTTTCCGGAGCATCAGCACTGTCCAAATCGTCAATCTCCTCAACACGTTCCATTGACTCCTTTTGGGCTTCTTCAGTTTTCTGTTCGGCCAAGCCCAAAAAGCGTTCGATCACAGCTTTCAAAGAAGTAACAGATATCTGTTGAGCAAACACACGATACTGAAACAGACCATCCTTGGCCAACGCGGTGTTTCGTAGCTTAACGCACAACTCGACGTACTTCATCATAATCTCCTCGTAAGTTTCGCTCCATTGTCGCGATCTGCGATCCTGCAATAAATTTATGTCAACGTAACCATAACTAAGCCAATACTAATCGAACAAAGCCATAAATCCACATATTTCTATAAGGCTCTTTAAAAATCTATCTTCTACAATATAGGTACCTAAAAACCAAGAAAAAAGCAAAAAAATACCTTGATAACTTCGTAAAGAGCATTTAACGCATCAGCTTCCTTTCCAACAGATATGAAGTCATTGGCACGCTGAAGCGCCGCTTCCGGACGCTGTACAGTTGAGTAACGATTGTTCATAACAATTTAACAGAAATCGTTGAATAAATTACGTTATCTTCAACGAATGAGCGATCAAGATCGACTGAAAGTATGAATAGCAAAGTTAAAAATGATGAAATGTGTTAAAAGTCAAGAAATACGAAGAAAACGCGACAAAAACAAAGGTAACACCAATTTGTTACCTACAAAAGTCGAAAAAGCCAAAATAAATGCAAGATACTCAAAAATATCAATATTATAAGCTGTGAATTTGATAATTCCGCCGGTTTTTCATCCTTATTTATGCGCAGTATCCATAACAAGACCAAAAAAAGGCCATGAGCAACGTGGAACACAAACAAGACTAAAAAAGCTAATTAGCTTGTCGATATCGTAATAAAAAAACCTGCATAAAGACACTAAAACATCAGTAAAATCTGCTAAAATCTTAAAATATTACCCAGAAGTCCCAGCTTATTTGGCATAAAAATAAAACCCAGCAAAAGGCCAGACGACGAGCCTCTGCGGCGAGAGAGTACGTTCCCTACCGAGAAAATGGTTTGTTAACAATGCGCCACAATTGATTCTGCCTCCTAAACGAAGTGTCACAATCAGCTAGTCTCGGATTTTTTCGCCCAAAGCCGGTTTTCGCGCAATAACCTTGGGTTTTGTGGATTGGATATTCATAAAAAGCTTCCGATCAGCTAATTACGTACGATTTCAAGTTGTTATACCAGTTAAACTCGGTATTCTTGTTGATAGTTGGGTTGAAAGTGAGGTTTTTAGCCTGGAAGGAAGTTTATGGAGAAAGTATTTTTCTTGTTGAAAACGTTTCGAAATTGTGATAGATAACATGATTTTACTAGTGCTTTTACTTTCTTTTTGATTTTAAAGCGCTTTTATACTATTTAACTTAATATTACGGTTTTGCATTTTAAAAGTATAAGTCTCAAATTATAAAAATCAAGCTGCTTCAAGCGGAATATTAAGTAAATACATTGAAAAGTTCTGAATTCTCTTTGACACACCCTAATATTATTGTTTTTCCAACGTTTTTGTTGTTTCTATTGTGTCGGAAATTGAAATGCGCTGCGAGAGCGACGATCTTGGTCTCATGAGACGAGGAAAATGGATTTTCTTGGCCCATCTGCCACTTATGGCCCGGTTTCTCGCGTTCTTTGGCCTTGTTTATTGTTTATGATAGTTTATTTTGGCTGGTTTTTTATACTGTTTTTTTTTGTTTGATAACTTTATTGTACCTTTTCTTATTTTATTGTGTGTTATCTTTACTGTACCGAAAAGTTAATAGAAAGTTTGTTTATTATATTATTACCTTACTTTCAGTTCCGGACGTTTAAAAATGGAGGCAATGCCCATAGGACCGGAGGAAACAGGCCTAGTCGCCTGCTGTGAGTGTGGAACTCCTATACCTCCGAATCCGGCTAATATGTGTGTTGCATGTTTGCGCAGTCGTGTGGACATTACTGAAGGTATACCTAAACAATGTAAGTGCTTTGTTATTTGATCTCTTTTTAGGATATTTGACCAAATGGGATATTGTGGTAGATGAAAGGTGGGAGGTCAGCGAAAATTGTTGTTATTTAATTAATTTGATGTCAAAACAAACAGATTTGATGTCAAGTTGATCAGAAGATAGCCTAGAATATGCTGTTTAATCAAACTTTGCTTTCAGCAACGTTAATGCACTGTAAATTCTGCGAACGATACCTGGTCCCACCTTCAACGTGGGCAGTTGCTGCATTAGAATCGAAAGAGCTGTTGTCGTTGTGTTTGAAGCGTCTGAAGCCACAGATGTTGAATGTGAGACTTGTAGATGCACAATTCATCTGGACTGAACCGCATTCAAAGCGAGTTAAGGTTAAAATGACGGTTCAAAAGGAAGTCTTCACCAATGCTGTACTACAACAATCTTTTATTGTTGAATATGTTATTTGTGGACAAGTAAGTAGTTTGATTCTGTTTTTGGTTTTTAGAGTTATTCTGAAGGTATTGAAAGCGAGTTTTTAGACTGGAAAGGTGAATTGGCTTTAAGGGAGAAAATTATATTATCTATGATCAAGTAATGAGTGAAGTGAATTTACATTTTAATGTAACTTTTTAGCTGCTTTAGATAGAAGCTTGAAATTTTGTACGATTATAGATTAGTCTTTTGGTTAACTACTCTAGGAAAAGATTTTTTTACTTTCGGAAAATTGAAAAGTTACAGTAGTTTTACCAACATCTTTTATAATAGTTAAATATCTGTTGTTTTCTTTAAAAAGGAAGCAAATTTTCAGGTTTTTGCAGTAAATAGACTCTAAAAAGAACTGATTTCGATCTCTTACAGGTCTGTGAAGATTGCCACCGTATTCAAGCTAAAGATTACTGGAGGGCATTGCTTCAAATTCGCCAAAAATGCGACTTCAAAAAGACCTTGTTCTATCTAGAACAACTGTTGCTCAAATACGACGCTGCTTCTCAAGCAAACAATGTGAAACCAGTGCCAACCGGAATTGATTTCTACTTTGCTAAACAACAAGATTGTCGAAAGCTACTGGAGTTTGTGAATACCGTATTACCATGTAAATACCATTACTCACAACAACTGATATCCCAAGATGTGAAGAACAACACCTTCGACTACAAACACACCTATTGTATCGAAATTTGCCCGGTAACCAAGGATTCGCTCGTTTGTCTACCTAAAAAGCTGGCTCAGTCTTATGGTAACATGGGCCAACTGCTGGTATGCCTTAGGGTAACCAACGTACTCACGTTGATTGATCCCCAGAACAATCAGATTTATGATGTGAACAGTTTGACCTACTTTAAGGAGCCGTTTGAGATGTTTTTGGGTCCAAAGAATATGGTCGAGTTCTATGTGATTGAGGTAGAGTTCATCAATGACCTGAAGCGGTCAAAAGGTCACGGTCATGTATCGACCAAACATCAACTGGCCCATATGTCTGTATGTCGTGCTAATGAGGTTGGTCAACCTGATGCTCAAATTTACTCTACCAGAAGTCATTTGGGAAGGATGCTGAATCCTGGAGACACTGTCATGGGTAATATATTATTTTAACATTTTTTTTGTTATTTTAAGCTTTTTTTTTGTCTTCTCGGGCTTACTTTTAGCATTTTAGGCTTATTACACCTATGCTCATTAATTTCAACTCTAAGATGCTCAAAAAATAAAGGATAATATAATATTGTTTTAGGTTTCGACCTGCTGAACACGAATGTCAACAATCCCGTCTTTGATGACATGAAGGACGAGAACAAACCTGACTGTATCCTGGTTAGAAAGTGCTACGACAGAGAGTTGAGAAACAGAAAGAGAAACTGGAAATTGAAGAGACTGATCGACCAAGGAGATACCGCTAGTGTCGAGAATGAATTCCAGGTAAATTTTTTATTTTTTTTTGATATTTAGGCATGAATTTGACAGAAGTATGGATTTAGAGCCGAAAGATTGAAAAGTTTCGATAAAGAATTAATTTTTTAATTCAGGTTTATTAATTTGCACGGTGCAGAGGTTAATAATTTCGATTGCACCGTGCAAAAAAATTAAATCTTTGAAATATTTAAAATACGCAAAAATTTGCAGAGATTCATCGAAGACCTGGAAGAAGACGAACATCTTCGAGAGAAGGTCAACATCTACAAAGATACGACCAAAGCGAAACGAGTACCAGAGTCAGAAGTGGACCCGGCCGATCTACCAGAAGGCAATCAGTTGGCAGATTTGTTGGAGGAACTCGAGATTGCTGATGTTGAAATGGCTGAATAATGAGAGATTTTGAGGTGGAATTTGATGTGGATTGGAAAGAAGATTTGGTTACTGTTACTGATGGTCAATATTTTGGTACTGAAGGTCGATTTGTGGTACTTTTGGTTGATTTTATGGTACTTTTGGCTCGTTCTATGGTACTGAAGGTTGATTTTTGGTATTACTGATTGACTTTTTGATAGGACTACTGGTCGATCTTATGGTACTGAAGTTTGTTTTTTGGTACTACTGGTCGATTTTTCGATAAAAATCTACAAAACTTGACAAAGATTACCGATTAGTGCTAATTTTTTGTTCTTAATCACTCAATTACCATCAATTTGGATATTTTCTACCAATTCCCGTGGATTCTTATCGCCAAGACCTTACAATTGAAACGTTGGTACCACTGCTTCTGTTTTGTTGTTGTTATCACATCAATTTTATCAGTTTTTTGTTGTTTTTCTTCTCTTTTTTCTTTATTTTTCGACGTTTTTTGTTGTCGTTGTTGCACTATTTTCGGTTTTTTGTTAAACATTTTTACGGTTTTTGGTGGATTTTGATGAAAATATTGCTAGATATATATTTGATAGTGTTGTAAAGGCTCGTTGTTAGAGGTTTAGAGGTTTTGGATAGGCTTGAACGCTTTTTTAAACGTTTTGTGGCGAAAATGAAGTTTTGAAAATTTAAAAAATATTTTAAATTTTTTTTTGATTTTAGGTATTATTTAAAAATTTAAGGTAAAATTAAGCCTGAATTTTAGGCTTAGACTTAATTTAAGACTATTAGTCCACGAAGACTTATTTTTACTGATTAGGCTTATATGTTTTTCCTTAAAAAACGTTTTTTTTGTTTTGAAGATTGTGAAAATCCATAAAAAGCCTAAAGACTGGTTAACAGAAGGTACGGAAGACATTATCATTGTTATTTTAAAAATATATTTGAAAAATAAACTAATAAATTGATTTTGAAGTTGATTTTTTACATTGGTACTTACCATATCTCATATCTTTTAAGAATTCGTGTGGGCATTACTGTGCATATCCCTACCCTTCCTCTACCCTACTGCTTTACCTTTTCTACCCTTATCTCTACTTTTACTCTTATACCTACATCTATCCTTACTTTTACTCCTATACCTACATCTACCCTTACGTTTACTCATATCTCTATTCCTACCCCCCCCCCTTATTTTACCCTGACCTACCTTATCCTACACTATGGTTTTTGGGTGCACCGCCCTTTTTCACAATAAGCAGCGTCAAGACTTGTGTGACAGGTCTTAACGTTGACTTCATGCAGTATTTTATGAAGATACTTAATGTAATGATGACATTTAGGCATCTAACGGGTTTTTCTAGTATTATTATTGTACAAATCGACTGTTTTTTGTTAAATTCATGGTGATGGCAGCAATAGTGATGGTTTAGAAGCAATGAAATGGAGAAAACCAACGCCAACGAAACGGCCGAACTCATTTTTCAGGTAAAAAATATTTTTTTTGGAAGCTTGGTTTAGGCTTAGGTTTAGTGGACTTGAGATTAGTGGGTATAGACTTAGTTAGGTTATGCTTTGTAGGTTTAGACTTGCTATGTTAACGGTTTAGGCTTATCAGTCTTATGTTTAGGCTTATTAGGCTTAGGCTTAATAGGCTTAGGCTTAGGCTTAGTAGGCTTAGGTTTAGTAGGTTTAGGCTTAGTAGACTTAGGCTTAGTAGGCTTAGACTTAGCAGGCTTAGGCTTAGTAGGCTTAAGCTTAGTAGGCTTAGGCTTATATAGTAGGCTTAGGCTTAGTGGGCTTAGAAATAGCTGGGTTAGGGGTTCAGTAGGCTTAGGTTTAGTATGCATTTGCTTAGGATTAGTATCCTTATGCTTGGTACTAGGAGGCTTAAGATTACTAGGCTTATCTAAACTTATTTTAAACTCCAAAAAATTTTACTAAATTTTAGGCAATACACTACCGCAACTCGGACTTGTTATTAGACCTAGCGCAGGCAAATCAGTCCATTTTGGGTCATATCCGAGCTTCAGACGGTCGAACTCCGCTTCACTTTGCGGCCATTAATGGCATTACTGATTGTGTCAATGTTCTTTGTAAATATGGTATGTTAAATAACAGGAACTTTCTTTACAAACTTATTTTTTGAATAAAGCGCAAGAACTTTCTTTACAAAATTTTTTTATAGAAAAACTGCAAGAACTTTCTTTACAAATTTTTTTTTAAACCGCAAGAACTTTCTTTACAAAACTTCAACTTTTGAAAAACCGCAAGAACTTTTTTTACAAAAACTCAATTTTTGAAAAACCGCAAGAACTTTCTTTACAAAGCCTTATTTTTTAGTCGATGTAGACGCAGTGACATCAGTTGATGAAGACCTCAAAACGGCCTTATTATTAGCCGCTCAGTCTGGCCATGTCGATACGGTGCGAGCTTTAATTCAAAATGGAGCAGATCCATTTTACTGTGATGCCAACGGGTATTCAGCGTTACAATTGGCTCATCTCAATAATCATGGAAAGGTGGCGGAGGTGCTGTTTGAAAGCATTGGTAAGTTATATTATAGTTTTTTTATTGGGTTTAGGCTTAGATTATACTTCTTCTTAGGCTTAGTCTTAGGTTTAGTCTTAGGTTTAGTCTTAGGTTTAGTCTTAGGTTTAGGCTTAGGCATAGGCTTAGGATTGGGCTTTGTGCTTAGGCTTAACTTGAAGTTTTAGTTTAGATTTAGATTTCTGATTTGACGTATATTTAGGCTTATAAATAGACTTATGCTTATTTTAAGTTTACGTACTTTAGGCTTACATTTGTGTTAGGCTTATTATAAGCTTATATTACTTTAATTTTTTAACTTTTTTAGATAACATTAAAAAAGAATCAGATCGGATAAACAAAGAGCTTTGTAAGGCCGTAGAAGCCAATGAATTCGATAGAGTATTGGATTTACTATCACAATCGACCAGTTACACCCAAAGAGACATTTTGACGAGTGGGAAGAGCGGCGAAAAGGCTCCATTGTACATGTAAGTACCTATTTTTAAAGCTGCAAAAACTTTCTTTACAAAAATTTTGAAAGATTTATTACGGTAGGGCTAGGGGTAAGGTAAAGGTCGGTACTGATATTACTAGTACTTTTAGTATTAGCAAGAGTAGGAGTATGGGTAAGAGTAGTGCTGCGTACGAGTATGATTAGTACCATTAGTACCGGTAAGTGTAGGGGTAGAAATAAGGGAAGAAGTAGGGTTGGGTAGGGGTATCACTAGTACTATTAGTACCAGTAAGGGTAGGGGTAGGTAGGGGTATCACTGGTATTATTAGTACCAGTAAGAGTAGGAGTAGGTAGGGGTATCACTAGTACTACTAGTACTAGTAAGAGTAGGGTTAGTTAGTGGTATTACTAGTACTGTCATTAGCAGGAAGAGTAGGGATAGGTAGACGTATTACTAGTACCAATAGTACCTGTAAGAGTAGGGATAGGATTAAGGGTAGGAGTGGGACTGGGTAGAGGTACTACTAGTACCAATAGTACCTGTAAAAGGGTTAGGGGTAAGGGTGAGACTAGAAGAGAGCAAGGGTACCAATACTACTATTAGTACCAGTAAGAGTAGGGATATGAATAAGAGTAAGGTTGGACCGAGGTACCACTGGTATCATTAGCATCAGTAAGAGTAGGGCTGGTTAAGTGTACCGTTAGTACCAATAAGGGCAGGGGTAGGGGGTAAGGGTCGGGGTGGAGTAGATTAGTGGCAGTTTGTTTACACCTGCCATTTCAGAGCGTGTGAAAAGGGATTCTGTGGAATAATCGGAGCGCTGATGTCAATTGAAGGCCACACTTTAATCGACCCACCGACCGGTAATACCTTACTTCATGCAGTAATACAATCAGGCGATTTGGAAGCAACCAAACTTGTCCTAGAACAATATGCTGATCAAATGGATGTGATCAACAACTCGAAAGAACTTCCTTTTCATTTCGCTTGCAGTCATGGCAATGTTGACATTGTCAATTTGTAAGTTTAGAATTTAAAAAATTTTGAAATTTAAAAACAAATGAAAAATTCTTTTTAGTAATTGTAAGCTTACGTTGAGGCTTAGGACAGGCTTGACCTTAGATTTAGAGTTAAGTTTAGTAGGTTTATTCTTGAGTTAAGGATTAGTAGGCTTAGGCTGTGTAGGCTTAGTCTTAGGAGGATTACTACTGAACATAGGCTTAGTAGGCTTAGAAGGGTAGGCTTAGTAGTTCGTTGAGGCTTAACCTTATTAGACTTAAGGCTTAATGGGCTTTCGTTTTTGGTTTGGGCTTAGTAGGCTTAGGCTTCGTAGGCTTAGTAGGCGTATGCTTAGTAGGCTTAGGTTTAGTACTCTTAGGCTTAGTAGGGTCAGGCTTAGTAGGTTTAGGCTTAGTAGGGTCAGGCTTAGTAGGCTTAGGCTTAGTAGGCTTAGGCTTAGTAGGCTTAGGCTTAGTAGGCTTAGGCTTAGTAGGCTTAGGCTTATTAGGTTTACGCTTGGTAGGTTTGGGCTTAGTAGGTAGTGACCTGAGGCTTAGCGTTAGTTAACTTATGCTTAATAGGTTTAGGCTTAGTAGCCTTAGGCTTAGTTGGCAAAGGCTTTGTTTAAACGTAAGGTTATACAAGGTTTTGACATACTTTAGATATAAGACTAATTTTTAGAAAAATCAAAAATTTGATATTTTAGATTGCTGACATTTGAATACAAGCCAAATCTGATCAACCTTTTCGAAAAAACTGTCAACGGCTTATCATACGAGTTCGTCTGTGACCTAAACGCTTCTGATTCGCATTGTAGAACGGCGTTTCATCTGGCCGTGGAGAATGGCCATGAACAAGTCGTGGAGGCATTGGTTGAGGTAAAAAGTTTAAAATTTTGAAATTTTATGTTATTCGGTCGATTTTTTGAATTTTTAAAATAGAGTTTTGAAAAAGTAGAATTAGTTCGGGCACAATGCTGTAAAGTAATATTGTTTTAGTTCAAGACACAACTGTATCGCCAGAATGAATTGGGAGAAATGGAGCCACTTCAACATGGATCACCCTTCCTTCTGGATACATATGCTGTGAATGGTCGAACACCACTCATGACTGGCGTTTGTAATCAAAATGAAAATATTGTGGAGTAAGTAAATGTATTTCATTTTAAACTTTGAAATGAGGTAGGGGTAGAGATAGGGCCGGGACTTTTGGTCGGGAAGGGGGGGGGGGGGGGCGGGGATCGAAAAAATCAACACAGGTATATTGTCCTAGATCTGTGCTAATTTTTAGCAAAAAATTTTTTTGAAAAATCCACAAGGGGGGAGGATCACGTTTAACTTTTTTGCTAAATGTGGGCTCGATAGGTTCTCGCTGGAAAGGAGTATATGTAAATAGGTTTTGATAGGCTTAATGTTTTTCGGATTGGGTTTAGACTTAGGCTAAGGCTCAAAGTATAGACTTTAGATTTTAAGGATTAAGGCCTGGGCTTAGTAGACTAAGGCTTAGTAGGCTTAGGCTTAGTAGGCTTAGGCTTAGTAGGCTTAGGCTTAGTAGGCTTAGGCTTAGTAGGCTTAGGCTTAGTAGGCTTAGGCTTAGTAGGTTTAGGCTTTTTATGCTAAGGCTTAGGGTTGGTAGGCTTAGGCTTAAAGTTTTTACGCTTGAGATTATTAGGTTTAGTCGTAGGATCAAAAAGTGTAGGCTTATTAAGCTAAAACTTTAAGAGAATATTAGTTTTTAGGCTTGTATTTAATAGGCTTAGCAGGTTTCTAACAATAATAACGCTAAAGCATTTAAAAAATTATGTAATTTACGGTTTAAAAAATCGAAATTGCTTTTTAAAATGGCCGTTTCTAAACATTTTTAAAATGAATGAGAAAATAAATGTTTATTGTTCAAGCCGGCCAGCCTTTATTTGCTCAAAATATTGTATTCGAACCTGAAATCTGGCTGTTTTTATTGTTTTTTAATAACAAACTGCTCATAAGCTCATATCCTTACATTTTTACTATCTATTGTGTAGTATTTCACTAAAAATTTTATAATTTTTCACCACCAGTTGTGTAACATTGAAGTAATTGCTAAAATTTGATAAATTCAATGCCTTGATCAAGGTGTTATAGACTTTTTTTGAGCAGTTTAAGCCTAATTTATGAAAGAAACGTGTAGAATATTGGCTTAAATGTGAATGTTTAGTGTTCACAACCTTGTTCAAGGCATAAAGTAAGCTGGGGTAATAATTTGGGGGTGGTTTTCTTAAATTTTTTTGAAAAGTTTTTGGTTTTCAGGTAACAGGCTAATCAAAAACAGACTGGAATTTTAATTTTTTAGGTAACTATTTGAGAAAAAACGGCTAGGATATTGATTTTTTGATAACAATTTGAAAAAAACGGCTAGGATATTGATTTTTAAGTAATAAATTGATGAAAAAAAGGCTAGAATTTAGGTTTTTAGGTAACAAATTTTTTGGAAAAATGTAATTTTGAATTTTAGGTAATAAACTAATGAAAAGACGAAAAAAAAGTTTATTTTTAGATGACAGGTCTTTTTAAAAAACATAAAAAAATATTTTTTAGGTAATCAATTTCAGGAAAAATGAAAAAAAAAACGTTTTTTAGGTAACAATCTTTTGGGAAAGTTCCAAAATTTTGAATTTTAGGCAATAACTTAATGATAACACGCAAAAAATAATTTTTAGGTAACAAGTTCACATGAGAATGAAAAAAATGCTAATTTTAGCAAAATTTTAAATTTTTAGGTAACAAATTTAACAAAAAAACCGTTTAATGACAACCATTCCAGGGTACTACTCGAAAACGGTGCGGATGTGAACCTGCCCATAGCCATAACTGACATTGAGATCGCCAATCTGAGAGCGGATGAAGCTCGTTGTGTTGGTTCAGGCGCTCTAATTGAAGCAGCTCAGTCCAAAAATGTCGAACTGGTCAAGAGGTTGTTCTTTCATGGTGCTGTTGATTACGATAATCAGGCGTTACGGTAGGTTTTATAAGTTTTTACTGGCCTTACCATACATATTTGATTAATAAACCGTGTAACAGAACTTTTTGCGCCCCCTGTATACTCCGAGGTACCCTAAAGTATGGTAGATTAGGGTACAGTAGGGTATAAGGTAGGCTAGAGTAAAAACTCAAATCAAAAAATTTCAGCCAAGCCTCAAAACAGTCCAACTCACCTCTACTGACCGTCTTCCTCGAACAACTGACATTCACCGACCCAGAGAATCGAATTCATCTACCAAAAACCGGCTTTTCAGCCATAGACCGACTAAAAGCCATGGATTTACTGCCCGTTCTTCGTCCCAACGTTCCATGTCGTCTGGACTGGCAAAATGCTGGCCTAGAACGACTGGGTGTGGAATTTATGATGGCGGCGGCTTTAAGATTCAACCCCCGAGTTCGAAATTTAAAAATGGCACTAGCCGCCATAACTCGAATCGACCTGGCTGATAATTCGTTAACCGAATTGCCTGAGGAGTTGTTTCAGCTTAGTTCGATTAAAATTTTAAATTTGGATCATAACAAGCTGGAAGCGATTGTAATGCCTCGGGCCGAGTTTTGTTGCCCATACTTGGAGAATCTGAGCATTGAAGGCAATGAACTGGATGATCTGCCTTCGGAGGTAAATTCTTTTTTGGATTTTAAAACGGGCAGGGATGTTAGATTTTCAAATTTGAGTGTTTTTGAAGAAAAAATTGTTTTTGGACGAAGTGTCACAAAAATTAAAAAATTATTGATTGCGACGAAATGTCACAAAAAATATTGATTACAAAAAAACGTTAATTTTTACATTTTTAATCTCAAAATATTATGAAAAGTTGTTTTTTCTGTTTAAAAATTAAAAAAAAAGTTTTGGGCGAAGTGTCGCAAAATTTATTGGTTTTTTAAAAACAGCCAATTTTTTTTTCATAGTATTAAAAAATTGTGTAACATAGTTTTTAAAAAATTTTAGTTTTTTAAAAACATTTTTTATGTTGGACGAAATGTCACAAAAGTTATTGATTATGACGAAATGTCACAAGAAGTATTGATTTTTTTAAAAATTTTAATTTTATTTTTAGCGATATTAAAATGGATGGTTTTTGAAAAAAAAAATGAATTTTGACGAAACGTCACAAAAATTATGGATTATGACGAAATGTCAACTTTGATCTTTTTTATTCAAATTTACAGCTCTTCTTGTCAAAACACTTTCCGTCCCTAAAATCCGCTAATTTTTGCAAAAACAAACTTCGACGTCTGCCAGGCTCGATTTGGAAACATCCAACCCTAAGCGATCTCAACTTGTCAGACAATTTCATTTGTGATCTCTCAACACCATCACCCGAACGTTCGCGCCGTGAACCACGACAACGTGGCTCCAGAAACCCTTATGTGGCCGCTTATCACTCGAGTCGGGCTATGGTGGAGAGGAAACGAGAATCTGAAGCTGAAAAGAAGAGGTTGGAGAGGACGAAGACGGCCGAAGTCGAGAGAAAAGTTGGTGTTAATGTGCAGAAGAACGATGTGATACGGTGAGCCTAAGTTAATATACTTACCTTACTCTACCCTACCCTACCCTGCCTTACTTTACTCTACCCTACCCTACCCTACCGTAGACTACCCTACTCTACCCTACCGTACCCTACCGTATCCTACCCTACTTTACCCTACCTTATCCTACTCTACCTTACCCAACTCCACCGTAGACTACCCTACCCTGCCTTATCCTACCCTACCGTACCCTACCGTATCCTACCCTACCCTACCTTATCATACTCTACCTTATCCTACCCTACCTTACCGTAAACTACCCTACCCTACACTACTCTACCCTACCGTATCCTACCCTACCCTACCTTATCCTACTCTACCTTACCCAACTCCACCGTAGACTACCCTACTCTACCCTACCGTAGACTACCCTACCCTACCCTATCCTTACCGTATTCTACTTTACTGTACCCTATCCTTGACGTGTCTTACTCTTGCCGTGCTCTACCCTGAACCTGATTTACCCTTGCCATATCCTACCCTTGCCGTGGGAGCGAAAGGGTTTAATCCACAGTACATCCTCTACTTTATTTAACTTTAATTTACCCTCCTCTACTATACCCTACTCTGTGTTACTCCCTAGCCCACTACCATATCTTATCAGCCGGCTCGTCCCCCCCGTCCTTCCCCCTCCCCCCTCCCCGTCCTTCCCCCCCTCCCCCCACCTTATTCTACCGTAACCTCTGCCTTATTTTCAGCTCAAATATCTGGCAGACGGAGCTCAACATGGCAGTAGTAGAAGACGACGAAACAGTCAAAGACATTGACCAGTCGAATTCCACAAATTCACTTAAAAATTTGAATTTGGCGGGCAATAAACTCCGCTCCGTGCCAGAATGTCTGGCCTGCTTTTGTCCAAGACTGACCAAGTTGGATCTGAGTCGGAACGATTTAAGCACGCTGAAATCAGTGGAATGTTTCCCAGCCACACTCAAGAACCTGAACTTGGCCTACAACAAGTTGGCCATTATGTTTCGAAGGGCTGAGGGGGCGGATCTGAATTGTTTCGTTCAAATGATACTGCCTGAGGAGACGGTACAGCCAGTACAGAGTGTCTCTGTTAGTCGACATTCTAGTAGGTTTTTTGGAAGGATAGGGGGGGGGGAGTTCAAAAAGGGGTAGAGGTAGGGGGGATTTCAAAAAAGGGGTAGAGGTGAGGATAGGGGGGGGGGATTCAAAACGTACGAGAGAAGTGAGAGGGGAAGATTACACGTTACTTTTTCAAAGGCGGGGTAGATAGTTGAGGGAGGGGTATATGGATGGGAGTAGTTTAGGAAAGGGTTTACTGTAAGAGAAGTGTTAGAGTAGGCTATGATAGGGTTAATATAGAGAAAGCTGGAGCGGAGGGGGGCCTGACTATAACAAGGGGTAGGACTTACCTTAGGCTCGGAGAAGGGAATAAGGTAGGGTAAAGGGTAGGGGTAAATAGGAGGTCAAAGGGTTGTGGCATATTGTACGGTAAGATAACAGTAATAAGTACACTAGGGTAAATTAGGGGTGGAGGTAGAGGCATGGGTGAGTGTAGGGTACAGTAGGGCAGGGCTGACCTGGGCAGGGAGGGGAAGTGTAGAAGAGGGTAGGGAAGGGTGGGATAGAGTAGGATAGGGTAGGGTAGGGTAGGGTGGGATAGAGTAGGATAGGGTAGGGTAGGGTAGAGTAGGTTTAAGTCAGAGTAAAAACTGCAAAACTAATCGACCGCAAGTCGACCAGAACCTTGTTAAAGGGTTTTTATGTACATTTCTATCGGCATGCGCCGTCTCTGTCCGTGAATACTACGGAATACCTGTTGAAAGGCGTGGTCGAGTCGTGTATAACGACGAAACATGGGTCCTTGGGTCCGAATGTCGAACCCACCCGGGCCAATGCCGTGTCTACGGCTTACTCCCCCTGCGCTATGCAGGGGACAAAGGCCAAGGTCTTAACTGGGATGATGTGGTTCGCGAGCGCAATGCAAGCGTATCTATTAGAAAGGGAACATGTGTTTTTATATTAGGTGCCGACATAAAGAACCCGCCATTTTTTATAGGAAATTACATGAAAGGTATGGCGGGTTCTTTATGTCGGCACCTAATATTAGGTTGTTCACTTATTTCTGCGCCCTCTCTCAAAGCAAGTTTGTGGGGTAAGGGGGCGCAGAATTTGTGAACAACCTAATATTAGCGATCCAGTAGTACAGAGGGTACGGTACAATTTTTTAATCGTAGTCTTTCAGGAAGCCGATCAAAATCAGTAGCCAGAAACCAACAGCGATCGTTGAGCATAATCAGAGCTAACAAAGAAACCGAAAACACTAACCTATGTTCACATAAGACTCACTGTCGATTGGAGAATCTAAAAACTCTGAATTTGTCACATAACAAACTGTCAGCTCTGGACTTATTCATCCCATTCGAAGCCAGGAATGAAGGATTGGACACGGTTAACTGGAGGGACAGCAATGATCAGGTAGCTATAGCAGTTGGGAGGGTAGGGTAAAAAACGATCGCTAGTCAGGTACCTACAGCAGTTGGGAGCGTAGGGTAAAAAATAAAAAAATTTTGATTGGGCAGGGTAAAAAATGTAAAATTTTTGGGCGGGCAGCGAAAAAAATATTTTTTTTGTTGTGCGAGGTAAAAAATGTAAAACTTCTAACTGGGCTGGGTAAAAAAATGGAAAAATTTTGGACGGACAGGGTAAAAATGAAAAAATTTTGGTTGGGCGGGATAAAAAATGCAAAATTTTTTGCTCCGGTAGTCTAAAACAATGTGAAGTTTTGGTCGGGTAGAGTAAAAAATGTAAAATACTATTTTGAAGTTGTCATTTCTTCAAAAATTTCAAAAACGGCCGAAATTTTAATTTTTGTATTGATCAAGGCTTGACCGGTTTTTTCAAAGTTAGGAAGCGATATGAAGTTATTGTATAATTGAAATATTGACAAAATCTGTGCGATGTTACCTAATCTAATGGTATAATAAGATGGCCTAAGAGAAATTGCAAGAAATGGTGTTGCGCAACGTTGTCTTACGTAATATTGATGGGTTATATAACACTTGCCTCGAATTTTTAGGAGATTCAACTAGAATAGCATAACATAATGTTTTTATTTAAGTTAATATAATTATAACATTTTTAATTATTAAAAAAATTTTATTTTTCAGTTTCGCCCATACCTCATCTTTCCCTCCCTAACAAACCTGGATTTGTCATCAAACGAGCTCAAGTCGATCCCACCAACAATATCACTTCTATCTCAATTGGCAGTGTTAAACTTGTCTCAAAACAAGACGTTGGAAAAGTTACCGGTCGAATTGGGTTTACTGGACAAGTTATGGGGTGTACAACTGAATGGCTGTGCTCTAAAAGACCCATTAAAGGGCATTGTTGGAAATGGCAACTTCAAAACCATGGATTTGATTTCGTTCTTGAGGCATGAGCTGGATAAGTAAGATTGGGATTTATTATGTTGTGTTTGACGAGATGCCACAAAAGTTATTGATTTTTTAAGTTGAAAGTTTTGATTTTTTGTTACTTGTAGCGTAATCATCATGGATTTTCAGTATTGAAGGCAGTTTTATCGAAAAATTTATTTTTGACGAAATGTCACAAAAATCATTGATTGTGACGAAATGTCAATTTTTACAAAATTGACTCAAAATGTTATAAAAACTATTTTTATTTGTTTTTAATTGAAGACAAAGTTGATATAAGTTAAAATTATGACTTATAACGTAATGCCACAAAAATTATTGATTGTGACGAAGTGTCAATTTTTAAATTGTTAACTCAAAATGTTATAAAAAGTGTTATCTTCTGTGTTTTTATTTGAAGACAAAGTTGATATAAGCAAAAATTATGGATTATAACGAAATATCACAAAAATTATTGATTGAGACGAAATGTCAATTTTTTTCAATTTTAGCTCAAAACCGCATCGAAAGCTAAAATTGATGTTACTAGGCCGATCTGAAGTTGGTAAATCAACACTATTAGCTCAAATGCGAACTGAAGGTCATGTGGCTAAAATATCGCTGAATTCGGAAAGTTGGGCCGCTAGAATGGGCCACGCTCCTTCGAAGTCATTCAGTCGAACATCGATGAAGGATCAACGTAGAGCGCCGCTAGATATTGCTGAATGGATGTACGAACCGCCTAAAAGTAATTTTTTTGAACTTTTTGAAAAATGGCAAGAACTTTCTTTCCAAAACTTGATTTTTAAAAATTTTATGCTTTATAGAAGAAATTTTCTTTACAAAATTAAAAAATTTTTTTTTGAAAAATGGCAAGAACTTTCTTTACAAAACTTGATTTTTTTAAATTTTTTGAAAAATTGCATTTTAGGTTCAAAAACCCTAAAATCCAATGGTCCAGTGACATTTCGTACATGGGATTTTGAGAAGCTCCAAAAGAGTCCCAACAAGTGCCACAAGCCTTCCTCTCGCGCCGGTCAATAATCCTGGTCGTATGGAAACTAACCGACGGAGAGATCGCAATCAACGAGATTCACGACTGGTTACTGTCAATTCATTCCCGAGCCCCGAATGCTACAGTAGTCATCGTGGGTACGCATTTGGATGCGGTTCATGAGAATATCCAACGGTTTCCGGATGATTATCTACAGAACTTTGAGAGAACGCTACAGCAAAGATTCGTAAATGTGCCGGATGCTGATAAGAAAGGCCTGCCGAGGGTGGTGGCATCAGTATTTGTGAGTACGAAGAGCCGAAGTAATGTACAACAACTTTGCGACTTGATTTACTGTGCTTCTCAACAGGTATGGTACACTTGTATTTAATTGTCATTATGCGTTACCCAGTTCTTTGAATTACAGTATGTCATAACCTTATCATACAGTATGTCTTACCCTGGCCTTAAAGTATGCCTTATCCTTGCCTTACAGTATGTCTTACCATTGCATTACAGTATGAATTACCCTTACTCAATAGTATACTTTACCTTTGTTTTACAGTATATCTCACTTTGGTTTTACAGTATGTCTTACCTTTGTCTTACGGTACTTTACGCTTGCTTTACAGTATTTCTTATCCTGGTATTACAGTATGTCGCACTCTTGCCTTAAAGCATACTTTACTTTTGCCATACAGTATGTTTTACCCTTGCCATACAGTATGTTTTATCCTTGCCTTACAATATTCCTCCTCTTTTTCTAGTAAGTACGCTGTACCTTGTGTTCTACATCTTCCTCTACATTAATATATATTGTTACCTTTATTCTATTTTAGATAAAAGCCCTAGGTCGTCGCCAGAAGTTGTTGGATGAAAAAGTACCATCTTCGTTCCTATACCTCGAAAAACTGGTAGTATCAATGACCGACGAGTACAGAGGCCGAGGTGACGAACCAATCCTCAAGTTGGATGCTCTTTGGAATCGAATATCAGAGGAATATCACAATAGCAAGATATCTGGAAGTCAATCCACAGCTTCGTTGGTATCCATCAGTGGACATGGCAATGATAAGCAACGTAAGTTCATTTGAAAAGCTAGGGTGGTACGGTAGATCTAGAAGGCTATAGCGGTACGATTGATAAGGTAAAAGTTGGGGGGGGGGTAGGGGGTTGGGTAATATAGGACAGGGTATGGTAGGGAGGGGTACGTTTATTTCATAAGGATAGGGTAGTACGGCAGATAAAAAAGGGTATTACGGTAGGTAAGGAAAAAGTTGGGGTAGGGCAGAAGAAACACTTGGTAGGATACCGTAGGGCCGGGTGGGCAATGGTAGAATAATGTAAAGTGGTGTAACTTAGTGTAGGATAGGGTAGAATACTGTATTGGAGGATATCTTAAAGTACTGTAAGTTTGTGCAGGATAAGACACTGTAGCGCGGGGTACGTTAGGGCAAGGTAAGATACTGTAGAACAGGGTAGGGTAAGATAGGGCAGGGCAGGGCAGGGCAGGGCAGGGCAGGGCAGGGCAGGGCAGGGCAGGGCAGGGTAGGGTAGGGTAGGATAGGGTAGGATAGCGTAAGGTAGGATAGTGTAGGGTAGGGCTTCAATACTGTACGACAGAGTAAAAAACTGCAAAACTAATCGACCGTAAGTCAACCAGAACCTTGTGGGGCGGTTTTTATGTACATTATTTCCGGTGGGCTATGCCGTTTTTGTCCGTTAATGCCTGTTGAAAGGCGTGGTCGAGTCGTGTATAACGACGAAACATGGGTCTTTGGGTCCGAATATCGAACCCACCCGGGCCGATGCCGTGTCTACGGCTTACTCCCCCTGCGCTACGCAGGGGTAAAAGGCCAAGGTCTTAACTGGGGTGATGTGGTTTGCGATCGCAATGAAAGCGTATCTATTAGCAAGAAAGCGTATCTTATTAGCGATCGAAAAAAGGAAGGAAGAAATTAGCATATGGCTTGGACAATCGAGTCGGAAGGTTAAGAAAGAAAGGCGATTTTTAAAGAAAGAGAATAAGCTAACAATATTATATAAGCAAAAAAAAATCTTTTTTGGGGTATCACAGACCAGAGCCTGGCAGGGACTTTTGGTCTGGGGGCGGGGGTAGAAACAATTGGCACAGGTAGCTAGCTATCTGTGCCGATTTTTTCCATAAAATTTTTTTTTCCAAAAAATCCACAGGGGGGACCAAGTTCATTTTTTTCAAATTTTTTTTGGGGGGAGGGGGTGGGGGTGAGGAGGGGGGAGGTTCAGGTTTGATTTTTTGAGGTATACTGTGGCTAAAATTAAGGCTAAAGCTTGAAAACTGGAGAATGGCTAAGGGTTGGCATAAGGCTAGGACTATGCAGTGTTTTGCAGGTCCAAACGGACGGAAACAAAATTTTTTGCGCGCCGGACCTAAAAATTTAAAATTTGAGCCGGGCCGGACCCGAAACTCGCCGGACCGGATCGGTGAAAAACGCTTCGACCAGTCCGGGCAAAACGCTGGGGTTGTGGCTGAGGCTAGAGCTGGAGCTGGAAATAGGGACACGGCTAAAATTTAAATCAAAAAATGGCAAAAACTTTCTTTACAAAACAGAAAATGGCAAGAACTTTTTTTACAAAGCTGAAAATGGCAAGAACTTCCTTTACAAAGCAGAAAATGGCAAGAACTTTTATTACAAAACATAAAATGGCATTTTTTAATAAAAAAATTTTTTTTATAAAATTTTGAAATTAAAATTTTTAAAACTTTTCAGCGATAACCCGCCGCCTATTCCGAGACAAGACCGAGTTCCGTCAAGCCATTCAATTCCTGCATGAAAATGGCGTTATCATCTCGTTCGATGACATTCAACTTCGTGACTATGTTTTCATCGACCCTCCCTGGCTCTACACCGTTCTCCGAATGGCATTTGTCATACCCAACCACAAATCGACTGCCAGTACGTTATCGACCACGACCAATTCGAATGTCATTTTATCGACCAGTGAGCTGTTTCATCAACTCAAAGCTAACTTGGCTGAGCGAAAAATCAAATTTTCAATGAAAAATGGCCATCTTCGTCAATGTCTACTGCCACTTTTGGCTAGATTTGAGTTGGCATTACTGTATTCACCACGCCAGTTACTAATATCACCTTTGTTACCCGATGAATACCTGTTAAGGGCCGATTATCCTGGGGCGAAAGTGAAAATTCGCGCGAAAATCGACAAGTTCCAGCTGAAATCGACTGTCCTGACCAGTATGATGAACTCGGCTATAGACTTTTTGACCCCAAAAAACTCGGCAAGGCTTGTACATGGTCGACTGACACGCCAATTGGGTTATAAAGCACCATCAACGCCACGAATGGCTTCATCAACGGCGTCCGTCGATGAAAAAGTTGAAGATTTAGGCAACGATTTCAAGGTGGAGGCCAAACAAACGGTAAGAACTTTGTTTACAGCGAATGAAGTGATGAAAAATTTCTTGATAAGGGTTGAAACGGCAAGAACTTCGTTTACAAAACAAAAAATGGCCTTTAGTGATCAAAACAGATGTCCATCGTATAACTTGTCACTCGCAGGCTGCAGAACACTAAATTTTAGTTTCAGTATTTGGAAACGGCAAGAACTTTCTTTACAAAACAAAAAATGGCAAGAACTTTCTTTACAAAGCAAAAAGTGGCAAGAACTTTGTTTAAAAAAGAAAAAATGGCAAGAACTTTCTTTACAAAACAAAAATGGCAAGAAATTTTTTTAGAAATTAAAAAATAGCAATAACTTTCTTTACAAAAAAATGGCAAGGACTTTCTTTACAAGACACAAAATGGCAAGAACTTTGTTTACAAATCAAAAAATGGCAACGACTTTTTTTCCAGGACCTCTACCGCCGCCTCTTCCAAATGCAGTACGTTCCCCCGGGCTTCTGGCCACGCCTAACGACAAGACTACTAAATGATGACAAACTATGTCAAATCATAAGTAACCTCTTCATCGTGAACGAAGACTCGGTGCTGATGAACGACTGCGCCCTCTACAGCGAGATCTTCGAGGCTTTGAATTCGGAAAAGTCGGATTTAAAAGGCGGATTCGAGTTTTTGCTATGGCAAACGGGGGTGGAGACACTCTTCTTCAACTACTTCTTAATGTCCGTCAAACAGTTCCTACCATTGGCCAATGTTAGAGATACGAATTACTCTGTAAGTGAACTGAAGGTGAGAGGTGAAGATGGTGTTTGGAGGAAGATAAGCTTGGAAAGCGACTTCATCGTGGAACTACTGGTACCGTTGTATAAGGTAAGGGCTACAAAATGCTTTGTAAAGAAAGTTTTGTCAGTGTGAGACCTAATCTTTCAGGTTGACATTACCTACAAAGGAGTAGACTACACAATAACGACCTGCCCAAAGCAAGCTACCAAGTTCCTAGCTTCTGTAGTCGGTATCATCGACGACCTTCTGGAGGACTGGTTCCCTTCATTAGGAACAAGATTTGTCCATTCTTCGGATGGTCAATTACTGGTCGACCGATTGATTCCGTGCTCAAAATGTGCTAGTGCTCAAGAGAGAGCAGAGAAACAGTGGAGACGGTAGGGGGTTTGAAATTTCAAAAAATTTAAAAAATGGCAAGAACTTTCTTTACAAACAAGAAATGGCAAGAATTTTCTTTAAAAAATAAAAAATGGCAAGCACTTTCTTTACAAAATACAAAATAGCAAGAACTTTCGTTAAAAAAGAAAAAATGGCAAGAACTTTCCTTACAAAACAAAAAATGGCAAAACTTTCTTTACACCCTCGAAATCGTCAAAAAATACCTAAAATTAAAAAAAAATTTTTTTTTCCAAAATCGAAATCTTAATTTTTCTTTACAAACAAGAAATGGCAAGAATTTTCTTTAAAAAATAAAAAATGGCAAGCACTTTCTTTACAAAATACAAAATAGCAAGCACTTTCTTTACAAAATACAAAATAGCAAGAACTTTCTTTACAGAACAAAAAATGGCAATAACTTTCTTTACAAACTACAAAATAGCAATAACTTTCTTTACACCCTCGAAATCGTCAAAAAATACCTAAAATTAAAAAAAAATTTTTTTTTCCAAAATCGAAATCTTAATTTTTTTCAAATTTCAGTGACCGCAAGACCTCAGATCCAGAAGAAAAGACCCCAATCCATCTATTCTCGGTCGAAGAATGCATTCTGGCCATTTACGACGAAAAGAACGCTCAATATGGCCTGCCGAAGAACCTTCGACCAGCCGAACCGACCAAAATCGAATGTCCAATCCACGGCAAATGCGAGTTAGAAGCCTTGGCTCCAGATGTCTGCTTCGAAGACCTGAATCCGGACTTTGCAATCGATGTTACGGCTATCAAGAGAGGCAAACTTCTCGGCCAAGGCGCTTTCGGATCGGTTTATAGCGGATTCTTCAAAATGAACAATGTAAGGTTGAAAATGTTTTTGATTTTTCTTGGTCGAAAAGTTTGTGGAAAACTCAATTTTTTTTATTTTTTGGTCGAAACGTTTATAGAAAACTTATCTTTTATCATTTGTCTTACTAATCTTGCAAAGGTTTTGTAATTTAGAGATTTTCGGACATTAACCTAGACATCAGTATGATGTCAATGTTAATATCGCCAACTTTATGATTTTAAGCTATTTTATGATCGATCTTGGGCTTAAAAGTAAGATAATAGTCTTGTCTTCAAAGCAAGTTTGGTTTTGGACTAATAATTAGACGTTTTACTAACGATTTCGTGAGATTTATATTACACTTGGGTTCAACTTCAAGTCAAGGTTAATAACTTGGTCTTTTGAATAATTTTATGTCTTATCTTCGATTTGAAAGTTATATAAACGTGTTATATTTCTATTTTTGTTCTATCAATTTTGTTACTTTGTCTTACCTTTTTCTTGAGATTTATATTACACTTGGTACCTACTTGAAGTCAAGGTTAATATCTTTGTGTTTTGGACACCTTATTAGTCGCTTTTTGATTTAAAAGTTAGATAAAAGTCTTGTCTTTACTATGGTTTTTATTATAAATGGTAAACTTGATGTCTTCCTATCGATTCTTTGAAATTTATATTACACTTGCCATCTAGTGAAGTCAAGGTTAATATATCTGTGGCTTTGATAGTGTCATGGCGGATTTTGTACTCTAAAGCAAGTTAAAAGCCTTGTATCTATTATTTTTTATATTAGAAATTGTTAACTACGTTTTCGTATCTGTTTTTTGAGATTTATATTACACATGACACCTAGTTAACTCAAGGTTAATATCGAAGTTTTGGCTGTTCGAAACAAGTTACTATGTGCTTAACAGTAGGTTTATAGTAGTGCTAAAGACCATACATTGCTTTTGGATCATTATTTCTAGGTTTTTCTACCTAATTTTCAAGTTGTAATGTCGGACCCTTAATATATTACACTTGCCTGTTTTTCTTGTTAAAATTACTAAAAAATGCTTTCAGAGTGAAGTCTATGACGAAGTAGCCTTAAAAATCCTCGAACCAATATCAGATGATCCTCAACAACGAATCCGAGTGCCATCCAATCAAGCAGATCGCCTCGAATCCGTGGCCAAATTTTATTATGTAGCACGACAAGAACTGAACATGCTCTGTGACCTCCAGCACCCCCATATCACCGTTTTGGTCGGCTTTTCCCGACCCCCTATCACACTGTTAATGGAGCTAGCACCACATGGAGCGCTGGACCAGATGTTGGCTAAGTACAGGAAGAGTGACACGAGATTGGCACCGGAAACGCTTCAGGCAACGTGTGGCCAACTCGCCAAAGCTTTGGAGTTCCTACACTCGAATCATATCATCTACAGGGATCTAAAAGCGGAAAATGTACTCGTCTGGAGATTTCCATTGCCCAGACAAAGGATTGTCAATTATAATAGTGCTGGTGGGGGTGGATTACCAGGTAAAATACGCTTTTTTGAACATCTTCATAACAAAACTCGGTTTTTTGACAATTTTTAGGTAATAATGTAAAAAAAATAATGCCAAAAATAAAAAAAACACTTTTTATCGTGAATGTTATATGGAAATGACATTTTTGAGGTTTTTGAGTAGTTTCTCCGCACTAACCCTGAAATTCAGGGTTTTCGTGGTGGGACCGAAAAGTTGAGTTAAAATACGTTTCCTTTTTATCCAAAGTAGAAAACCGATTCTGAAATGGTGTAATACGATTTTAAACATTATTAGGTTTTGGTTATGGGCTTAAACCTACTAAAAACAATTTTAGGCTTAAAATGCTGCCTTTTTATTTTTAGGCTTAAAATTACGTTTAAGATATAGAATTGGATTTTAAACTTTATTAGGCTTAAGATATAGGCTCGTAGGTGTCAAAAAACTATTTTGGGCTTCAAACATAGATTTTTTATTTTTAGGCTTACGAAATAGATTTGCGAATTTTTAGGCTTAAATTATGAGTTCAAATACTATAATAGCTATTTTAGGCTTAAGATTGTTGTATTTGTTGAATTCTAGTCTTTATTTTTTTAAACTGACAATTTTTTTAGGTCCTGTTGCGAAAACCCTGAATTTCAGTATTTTCGGCTAAAAATTGCAAAAATGACAGAAAACTGCCATTTTATGTTTTTAAAAATGATTTTATATTTAAAAACTTAATTTTTTTAAATTTTTAGGTCAATTCGGTAATACAGTAAGCACCTACGGCTCAATGATGATGAACAGTAACGTGCACGTAAAACTCGGCGATTACGGTATCAGTCGCTTCAGCTACCCACTGGACGTCTGCAAAGGCTACGGCGGAACCGAAGGCTTCATGGCGCCGGAGATCCTGAAGTTCAACGGTGAGTTCGAGTACACGGAGAAGGTGGACTGCTACTCGTACGGTATGTTCGTATACGAACTCATCACCCTACACCACCCGTACGATGGGCACGAGCAAATGAAGGACTGCATCTTCGAAGGGCAACGTCCCATGGTCAACGAGAAGGACATACTGTGCCCGAGCAACGTGCTCGACCTGATGGTGGCGTGCTGGGCGGATTCGGCTTCGACACGACCCTCGGCTTCAGACCTGGTCACGATAACTTCGGCTCCAGAATTCGCTCATCTGGCCGATGTGGCTGTGCTTCAGAATGACGAGATTACGAATCTGTGTACCATGGTTAATATCGACGATACCGCGCAGTTGTGGCTAGCCAAACAGAATGGCGATTGTACTGTAATGTCACTGAATCAGTTTGGATGGATCGAGAACGAGAATATCAGTGAGATCAGGTCGAAACAGGTCACGGCGATGGCTGAAGTCGCCAATATGGTGTGGATTGGGAATGCTGTGGGAGAGATTACTGTTTATTGGTGGGTTTTAAGTTACATAATTTGTGCGATGTTACCTAATTTAATGATATAATAAGATAGCCTAAGAGAAATTGTCAGGAATCGTGTTGCGCAACGTTTTATTATGTAATATTGATGATTTATATAACACTTGCCTCGGTGTAAAACGACCCAACAAATTACTGCGAGTGTTGGGATTTGGCTCTGAATTACTCCGAGGGGTTATATAAGGAATGGTAGCAAAAATTAATTTTTTAGATCAAAAGATTTTTTAGATAAAATGTACTAAGGCTTATGTTTGCGACATTTAATTGGCTTTTAAACCTTATTAGGCTTAAGATATAAGCTTGAAGATATCAAAAAAAATTTTTGTCTTAAAAATAGGGTTTTTTTATTTTTAGGCTTACAAAATAGGCTTATGGATTTTAATAAGCTTAAGTTATGACTTTCTTAATTATAAGTTTAAGCCTTTCATGTCTAAGCTTACTAATACTAAGCCTACTAAGCCTAAGCCTACTAAGCCTAAGCCTACTGAGCCTAAGCCTACTAAGCCTAAGCGTACTAAACATAAGCTTACTAAGCCTAAGCTTACTAAGCCTAAGCCTACTAAACATAAGCCAACTAAGTCTAAGCCTAACTTTACTAAGCCTTAACCTACTAAGCCTAACCTACTAAGCCTAACTTTACTAAGTCTTAACCTACTAAGCCTGCTAAGCCTAAGCATTCTACGCTTTTGCCAAGACAGGATAAGGTAGTGAAGGGCAGGGTAGGGTAAACCAACTTATAGTAGAGCAACGTATTTTCAAAATAGACCCATGTAAACAAAGTTACGACCAACTAAAAGTCATTATAATATAAATTTCAGCCCCTCCACCTACTTAGAACAAGCTTCCTTCCAAATCACCTCTATCGACCCTCAGTTTGCCAAACTTAACACAGCCAAAACAATTCGTTCCATCAAATTCTACTCCAACTCTAATACCGTACTCATCGCGCTACCACAGTACGTCCTACTATGCTCGACTCAAAATGGCACTCTACCTCAACATTGTGTTACCATAGCGTCGGATGAGATGGTACACTCGGCGATACTACTGGAGAATGGTTCAGATTTTCAAATTTGGACTGGTCATGATGACGCTCGAATTGTGACACATTATGTCGTGAAAGCGACATCCAAGTTGTTGTACTCGGCTTCAGTACATCATCCGAATGCTAATGGTGAAGGTACACCAACTGCGCCCAGAGTCAAATTTTTGGTACCAAGTCAGCGGTATGGTACTGTCAGTACTGGTGGTGCAGCTGGAAATAGTGGTTATGTTATTTTTGGGTCAAATCCAATTTTTGGTACTAGTACCAACTTCGGTACAAGTGGTGCACATGGTACTGCTGGTACTCATGGTAGTGGAAATACTAATGATAGTAGCAGTTCTCATGGTTCTAGGAAGATTTTTGGCTCAAATTTAATTTTTGGTACTAGTGGTGCACATGGTGCTACTGGTAGTGGATCTACCCATGACGCTGGTAATTCAAGTAGTACTGGTACGCCAAATGCTTCTGGGGCCACAACTTCAGCTAACACTAGTTACTCAGCCAGTACTAATGGTACCATGGTCTTCACCACCCTAGAAAACGATGGTCGCGTCTTTCAATGGCAGAATGGTACCGTGAAGAAAACGCTGGACTGTACCAGAATCCTACCAGTCAGCGAGTCGTTGTCATCAATGTTCGAAAGTGATGACATCTCGACCAAAAAGTGCAAAGTCACAGCGATCGAACTAAAAAGCGGTACCAACATGGAGCACCTACTGGTTGGTACCCAAAATGGTGTACTAATTGTGATGGAAGCGGAGAGTTTGGCACCATTGACCAGCTTCCGGACCTTTGAATGGGCTGTCGAGACGATTTTGGCACCAATAACGGCGTGGTACCCGAGGGAAGAGGTCCAGAAACATGATGAACAACACTTCTTTGTTACCATCGGGAAGAAGTACAGGTGGGTTAGGCTTATTAGTACTTTTAGGCTTATGGAAAAAAGTTTTAGTTTTGTAGGCGTAGCTTGAATAGGCTTGGGTCTTGGATGAATAGGGTTAGAATTAGTAGAACTAGACTTAATAAGTTTAGGCTTAGCCTTTGTAGGCTCTATCTTGGTAGGCTTAGACTTTAGGTTAGCAGATTTGGAGTTAGTAGGACTAGGCATAGTGTGTTTAGGTTGAGTTTAGGCTTATGATTCTGTGCCATAACAGGGTTGAGTATATTAGATTTAGGCATGGGCCTGATAGGAGTCAACCTAGGCTTAGTAGGCTTAGGCTTAGTAAGCTTAGGCTTAGTAGGCTTAGGCTTAGTAGGCTTAGGCTTAGTAGGCTTAGGCTTAGTAGGCTTAGGCTTAGTAGGCTTAGGCTTAGGCTTAGTAGGCTTAGGCTTAGTAGGCTTAGGCTTAGTAGGCTTAGGCTTAGTAGGCTTAGGCTTAGTAGGCTTAGGCTTAGTAGGCTTAGGCTTAGTAGGCTTAGGCTTAGTAGGCTTAGGCTTAGTAGGCTTAGGCTTAGTAGGCTTAGGCTTAGTAGGCTTAGGCTTAGACTTAGTAGGCTTAGACTTAGTAGGCTTAGGCTTAGTAAGCTTGGGCTTCGTAGGCTTAGGCTTAGTAGGCTTAGGCTTAGTAGACAAGTGTGAATAGTTTAAAATTTGATTTTTTAGAAATTTGGTGAAGCGTCTAGCCCCAAATGTCACAGAAACAGTAATGGAATTGGCAGAAAGGGACGAACAAGATGAGAATGTTAACTTTGCTATAGTTTGGCAGGGTGACAGTTGGACCTAAATTTGTATTGTTTTAAAATTTTTCAAAAGTTCTGATTGGTTTACCGTCTTTAAAAGCTATATAAATTTGCTTGTATATACGGTATTTATAGTAAAATCTGTTTTTTGAAGAAAAATTGCAAGAACTTTCTTTACAAGACAAAATATGGCAAGAACTTTCTTTAAAATTCAAAAATTGATTGTACTGTGAATACTTAGTCTTATATAGTAAGCTTGAAGAGCAATATACTGACAGATATATCGTAATCGCTACCCTACTTTACCCGGGTCTTTCCTCAATTTCAGCTACCTAGTACTCATTATTTTAAACTTATTATACTTGTACCAGTAGTCCTAATAGTCGCTTTTTTATACATTTTTAGCATTTTTCACTTTTTTTTATTTTAATCGATTTTGCTGTGATCTCGACTTTAAAATTTCGAAAATTTGAATAAATTTGCATAAAAATTAGGATTTTGGAAGAAACTTTGTTTACAAAAAAAAATTTTTTTAAAATATTTTAAAACCGTAACAGTGTGTTTTTGATCGCATACCAACAAGATTTTGCAATTCGACGAAATGTCACAGAAAATATTGGAAAAATGTAACGAAGTGTCACTGTAGAGAAAAAATGGGTCTTTTGCAAAATTATTATGAAAAATGTGTAAAATGGGGTTTTTAATAGTTTTAAAATAATAATTGGCGCTAGGACAAATGCGGTTTTTGGACATTTGCGGATCTGCGGTTTTTAGACACTTGCGGATCTTCGGTTTTTGGACACTTGCGGATTTTTTAAAGGTTTTTTTAAATTTTTTAGTTAATTTATTTGTAGTATGGTACTAAAGTTTAAATTGGTACTGTTTTAATATGTTTTAGTGCTAAATAGTACTAAATTTTAAATTGGTACTGTTTTATATTTTTTGGTACTGAATGGTACTAAAAGCCCAAAAAAGTGCTGTTATGTTAAAACCGCACCAATTTAAACTTTAGTACAATTTAGTACCATACTACAAATAAATTAACTAAAAAATAAAAAAAACCTTTAAAAAATCCGCAAATGTCCAAAATCCGCAAATGTCCAAAAACCGCATTTGTCCTAGCGCCAATTATTATTTTAAAACTATTAAAAACCCCATTTTACACATTTTTCATAATAATTTTATATTTTGACGAAATGCAACAAAAATTATTGGAAAAAGTAACGAAGTGTCACAAATATATTGATTACAAAAATTCATTTTAAAGATGATAAATATTGAAAATTTGACAATTTCAAAAACAAAAAATTTTTTATTTTACTTTTTTTTATTTGACTTTTACCTATTGGTCGGAAGAATTTGTTGGAAATGAAATCTACTTCAGTGTCATTCTTTATCGTTAGTAAGTATTAAAATAGTTTTAAAGTCTTTTACAGGTGTTGGCTTTAGCCTTTTTGTTTGAAAAATTGACAAAAACTTTGTTTACAGAACAAAAAATAGAGCATTTTAAGAGGTGGAATTTAAGTGGAAGATTTGTAATGTAATTTGCACTGAAAATCTTCCACCGAACTTTCACTTTTAAAATGGCTTGAAATTGCTTAGAAACACGTTTTTGAGCATTTTTGGGAGTGGAAGTTTGGTGGAAGAATTTTAGTGTAATTTGCACTGAATATCTTCCACTGAACTTCCACTTCCAAAAAAGCTAAAAATCATGTTTTTAGACCATTTAAAGACTTTTTAAAAATGGAAGTTTGGTGGAAGAATTTTAGTGTAATTTGCACTGAAAATCTTCCACTCAACTTTCATTTTTAAAATTTGAAATTTTGACTTTCTGCTCTAAAAAGATAGCAAAATTAGTGTTTTTAAGACATTTCGAAGTGTCAAACTTAATAATTTAAGTTTTAAAATTAAAAAATACCTAATTTCAGGCCTACTACTACTCCTCTTCGCCACAGTACCATTAGTACCAGAAGCCAGCAATGTTACCGAAACTAGTTCACCTATTAATGAAAGTGTGATCAAAACAACGACAATTGATGACGTCAATATTGTGGTAGAGCCATTTCCGGCAGACGAAGATGAGGATGAACCAAAATCGACCGGTAAAAGCGTTCACGAGCCAGTCTTGGAGGCCATAACGGAATGTCCGCCAGCTAAGGACACGAAGAAGGAGGCAAAGGGCTTTTTGGCTAGAAAGTGTGGGTTTATACTTGCTAAAAGCTAAATTGGAGTGAAAAAAAAGTCTTGTCGTTTTTTGTAATGAAAAGTAGTGTAAATTGGCGACAAGACTTTTTTAGAAATTTTTTAGTTTAAATTGCTTTTAAAACGTCATTTTAAAATTTTGAAATTATAAAAGAATTTAAAAAATTTTTTAAATTTTAAAATTTTAATTTTCAGGGCCATTGTTACTTTTGATGGGTGCTATATTTCTGTCGGTACTATGCTCTTCGTTCAGTTCATCTTGTTCATGTGTAAGTTAAATGGACCGCTGCCCCTACCTTGCCTTGGCCTTGCCTTGGGCCTTGATTTGGCCTTGCCTTGGGCCTTGCCTTGGTCTTGCCTTGGGCCTTGCCTTGGTCTTGCCTTGGGCCTTGCCTTGCCATGGCTCCGTTACTATTACAAAAAGTGCCATTTTCAGTGTGACTGCAAGAAGGAAAAGAAGGATTGGAAACGTGAACGGAACGAACGACGTAAGAACGAAAGAACACCAGTGTACGGAAGCTCCGGAAATGGACTAAACGTGAGTTGGAAACAAAGTTTTTTCAGTTTTTTTTTGAAAAATATGTTTCGTAAAGAAAGTTCTTGCCATTTTTTGTTTTTTTAAAGAAAGTTTTTTGCCATTTTATGATTTGTAAAGAAAGTTTTTGCGGTTTGTCAATTAAATTTTTAAAAATTATGTTTTGCTGTCTGCAGGTGACACGTTATACGATAAATGCGTTTTTGTGATTTGTAAAGAAAGTTATTGCCATTTTCTAGCATAATTTCAAAAAACAATGTTTCGCAGCCTGCAGGTCACAAGTTATACGACGGATGCGTTTTAAGGGCTATGGAAAGAAAGTTCCTTCCGTTTTTTGAAAAAATTGTTTTGTAAAGAAAGTTTTTGCTATTTTTTGTTTTGTAAAGAAAGTTCTTGTTAAATTATTTTTTTTATTTAAAGATTTTAGGCTAAAGGCAGCAAAACTCAAGTAGAACCAGAGAAGGCTAATGAAGAAAACAGTGCCAAAAGCCACAAAAGTCGTAAAAGTACCAAAAGCTTGAAGAGTCGTCTAGCCAAGAGTCTGAAGAGTACCAAAAGCAACAAGAGTACCAAAAGCCCGAAGAATAATAGCACCAAGAGCTCCAGGAACAAATAGAATTGTATATGGTATATTGTGATTGATTTTTAGTTGTTAATAAAGGTGGAAAGAAAGTTTTTGCGGTTTAAAAAGGTGTTTAAGTCGGTAAGGCTCTGCACTAGCCCTCTAGCCCCCTAGCCCCCCAGCCCCCTAGCCTCCTAGCCCCTTAGGCTCCTAGCTCTTAGCCACCTAGCCTTAGTCCTAGCCGTGGCTCTAGCCTTAGTCCTAGCGATAGCTTTAATCTTGGTCACAGCCTATCCCAAACTCAAGTGCTTACCGTAGCTCTATCCTACTCTACCTTGCTTGACCTTGGTTTGCCTTTCTCTGTTCTACCTTATCATACCCTAACTAGTTTTATCTTACCCTACTCTGCATTGCTCTGTACTACCCTACCCAGTCTTGCCTTGGCTTACCGTATTCTATTATCTTACTCTGCACTCGCTAATTCTATTTTGTCCTACCCTATCTTAAACTGCCTTGAAATTCCCCATACTACCCTGCACTTTCTACCTTACCGTATTCAACTACAGTAATTCATGATGAAATACAAAGAATGTTTATCTATCTCTGCCCTATCTAATTCTATTTTACCCTACCCTAACTTAATTTACCATACCCTACTCTATCTTGCCTACTCTTTTCCACCCTACCGTATAAACTACAGTAACCCATGATGAAATACAAACAGTTTTATCTATTCTTTCCTTTCTTACGTTTATTTTACCCTACCCTACCCTACCCTACCCTACCTCACCCTACCCTACCTTACCCTACCCTACCCTACCCTACCCTACCCTACCCTACCCTACCCTACCCTACCCTACCCTACCCTACCCTACCCTACCCTACCCTACCCTACCCTACCCTACCTTACCCTACCCTACCATACCCTACCCTACTTTACCCTACCTTACTCTACTCTACCCTACCCTATTCTACCCTTCCCATCCTACCCTACCCTTTCCCACTTTACCGTATTCAACTACAGTAACCCATGCTAAAATACAAAAATTTTATCTATCCCTGCTTTTCCTAATTCTACTTTACCTTATCCTATCTTACACCGCCCTTCCCATCCTACCCTTTCCCACCTTATAAATCTACAGTAATCTACAGTACCCATTTTAAAATAAAAAAAATTATTTTTCCACATAATACAATAAAGAGTAGGCTTAGACAGGTGGAGTTGGTGCGGCTGGAGATGGGGGTAGATTCTGTTCGCTGCCTGGAGGCGGTCCTTCATTCTGCTTGTTCTCGTCTCAAACCTCTTGCCAATCCTCGTTTTTAGGCACGGTATGTCTACGCACATGGAGTAAAGAACATTAAAAAGTGCCAAAAACAAGCTGCATCCGAATATACCGTAAACTGAAATTTTAAAATTTTTGAAAAAAAAATTATTTTAGTTTTTTTATGTATTGTACATAGTTTGTAAAGAAAGTTTTTGCGGTTCATATAAAAACGTAAAAAATTTTATACTCTGCAACTTGCGGGTGACAAGTTATACGACGAGTGGGCTTTGCAGCCTGCGAGTGACAAGTTGTACAATGGATGAGTTTTAAGGATTGTGTAAAGAAAGTTCTTGCTATTTTATGTTTTGTAAAACAAGTTCTTGCCATTTTATGTTTTGTAAAACAAGTTTTTGCCATTTTATGTTTTGTAAAACAAGTTCTTGCCATTTTTTGTTTTGTAAAGAAAGTTCTTGCCATTTTTTGTTTTGTAAAGAAAGTTCTTGCCATTTCCTGTTTTGTAAAGAAAGTTCTTGCCATTTTTAATTGTGTAAAGAAGGTTCTTGCCATTTCTTCTTTTGTAAAGAAAGTTTTTGCGGTTTTTCGATAAGTTACGTTTTGGAAAGAAAGTTTTTGCCATTTTTTAAGGAATCCGAAAGACTTATGCTTTGCAGCCTGCGGCCGATATGCTATACGAATGCGTTCTAGAAGCTTTGGAAAGGAAGTTCTTGCCATTTTTTAGTGAATCCAGACAATTTATATTCTGCAGCCTGCAGATGATAAGTTATACGATGGAAAGGGATTTGTAATGAAAGTTCTCGCCGTTTTTTCAAAATTAAGCATTTAAAATTATTTGAAATTTAAAAAAATTTAATTTTTAAACTTACTATAAAAGCGGGTATCTTCATAAGTGCTGATCATCAGCTTGGCATGTTTATCTGACGAGTTCGCAGCCAAAACAACGCCATTTTTTGAAGTCGCATTAGGAAGCTTTTTGGAGTCTGACGGAGCACTCAGAATCAGTGGTAGACTAGTCAGCAGGATCAGTAGTAGAACTGAAAGTGAAATTTTAAAGCTTTGTAAAGAAAGTTCTTGCCGTTTTTTGTTTTGTAAAGAAAGTTCTTGCTATTTTATGTACTGTAAAGAAAGTTCTTGCCATTTCTGGTTTTGTAAACAAAGTTCTTGCTAATAAAATTTAAAAAGTTTAATATTTAAAATTTTAAGCTTACCAGCAAGAGAACTTCGAATGGGCGTCAAATTCATGGTCCACCGGTGACCTACCGCGGTTGCCACGACTGTAAACTGAAAATGACTCAAAAGTTCTTTTTGGAACAATTTTAGAAAATTTAGCAAAATTTTAGTCTAAACTTAAATCTAAGCCTAACTGTGAGTCTAAGCCTAAGTCTAAATCTTAATCTAAGTTCATGTGTAAGCTTAAGCCTAAACCTAATTATAAACCTAAGCTTTCTAATTTCATTCAAAGCCTTTTAAGCTTAATTCTACTAAGCCTAATAAGCCTAAGCATGAAATTAAATTAAAATTCAGGCCTAAACTTAAAAGTAGTTCTAGCCCCATTTCAAACCGTTAAATTGAAAAAAATGTCATATTTTGTTACCTTTTTGGCCTGACTGGTCGGTCAAGACTAGTATAAGTGAAATGAATTTGTTTCCATTTATATGTAAGTCTAACCAATTTTTTGAAATTTTTTTCAAATTTGCAAGGACTTTCGTTCCAAAACCAAATTTTTAAAAAACTGCAAAAACTTTCTTTCCAAAACCAAATTTTTTAAAAAACCGCAAGAATTTTCTTTAGAAAAACTTATTTTTTCGAAAACCGCAAGAACTTTCTTTCCAACACTTTATTTTATAAAAAGCGCAAGAACTTCCTTTACAAAATACATGTTTTGGTGAAAACGCAAAAACTTTCTTACCGAAATGAATTTTTTAAAAAACCGCAAGAACTTTCTTTACAAAACCTCAAATTTTAAGAAACCGCAAGAACTTTCTTTACAGAGACAACAACACTCTATAATGTAACTGTAAGGTCGTCTACTGTAAACAATGGTGAAACTGGTAAGTTAAAATTTTGAAATTCACTAATTTTAAAATCTGTGGCATATGTTACAGTAATCTTTTACATTTCAGTAATTTACATTGGAGGATCGGTTCAAATCATTGTCTTTTTGTTTTTTTCTATGATAATATGCTCAGTAACCTTCGGTATCTTCTTATATGTAAGTTTTGAGTTTTTAATAAAAATGGCAAGAACTTTCTTTACAAAGCATGTTTTTTTAAAAATGGCAAAAACTTTCTTTCTAAAGCATGATTTTTTTTAAAATGGCAAGAACTTTCTTCCCAATAGCATGAAACCACATTCATCGTATAACATGTCACCTGCAAGCTGCAAAACAGAAAATTTGTCGCTTTTTTGTAAAAACAGCAAGAACTTTCTTTACAAAACTTAATTTTTTGTAAAAACCGCAAGAACATTCTTTGCAAAGCATGATTCTTTGAAAAAAATGGCAGAAACTTTAACTACAAGTACTTGTGTGTCTTATTTTTCAGTGTACCAGACAGCCAGATCCAGATCCAGGTCTATCACCAGAAAAAGCGAAATAAAACAGCTACTCTTACATTATCAACTACAACTTTATTATATTGTTTATGGCATTTGTGTGTTCAATAAAGCTTTATGATTTTTAGAATTTTTGAAATTTAAGTTAGGCCAAACTGCTAAGCTTAATTCTAAAGCTAAGGCTAAGGCAAAGGCAAAGGCTAAAGCTAAGGCTAAGGCTAAGGCTAAGGCTAAGGCTAAAGCTAAGGCTAAAGCTAAGGCTAAGGCTAAGGCTAAAGCTAAGGCTAAGGCTAAGGCTAAGGCTAAAGCTAAGGCTAAAGCTAAGGCTAAAGCTAAGGCTAAAGCTAAGGCTAAGGCTAAAGCTAAGGCTAAGGCTAAGGCTAAGACTAAGGCTAAGGCTAAGGCTAAGGCTAAGGCTAAGGCTAAAGCTAAGGCTAAGGCTAAGGCTAAGCCTAAGGCTAAGGCTAAAACCGATGTTAGGGCTAGAATTCTGAGCTACGGTTCTGGGCTGGACTAAAATATCAAAATTTAAAAAATCAGTTTAATGTCATCAAAATCAGTCAAAAACCTTTTCAAAATCAATGCTTCTTTGGTGGTGGTGGTACAAATGGCTTCCTGGTCTTGTTCTGAGTCTTAGTATCAGTCGATGAGGTGGTCGACAATTGGCCTGGCTGTGTTGGAGGAACAGCACCGGAGGTCTGAACATAGACGACTGGTGGCGTTTGATTGTTATTTGGCTTTCTGTTCCAAATCTGAAAAGAAAGTGTAAAGAAAGTTCTTGCCGTTTTTAATTTTGTAAACAAAATTCTTGCCATTTTTTGTTCTGTAAAGAAAGTTCTTGCCATTTTTTGTTTTGTAAAGAAAGTTCCTGCCATTTCTGGTTTTGTAAAGAAAGTTCTTGCCATTTTTTGTTTTGTAAAGAAAGTTCTTGCCATTTTTTGTTTTGTAAAGAAAGTTCTTGCCATTTTTTGTTTTGTAAAGAAAGTTCTTGCCATTTTTTGTTTTGTAAAGAAAGTTCTTGCCATTTCGTGTTTTGTAAAGAAAGTTCTTGCCATTTTTTGTTTTGTAAAGAAAGTTCTTGCGGTCTTTACAAAAAAAGTCATTTTTATAAACAAGTCTTACCAAAATGATAACAACGGCCGAGATGATGCATGAACAGATGCAGCACAGTCCCAGTATGACCACAATCGAAACGACCACAACTGAAACATGTTATTATGAGTTTGCGGTCAAAAAGTTCATAGAAAACGAAAAGTTCCTACCTTCAATCAACTCTTTCTCAGTCTCGGTAATGTTCTGGACTAGATCACCGGCATCCGCATTCTAAAGCAAAACATTGAGAGAATCGACCAGTAAATTCGAATAATAACTAAGCGTACTCGACTTACCGTAATTTCGTGCAACAACAGTATCAAGAAATCTGAAAATAAAAATTTGTGTAAAAAAACAAAAACTTTCTTTACAAAACATAAAATGGCAAGAACTTTCTTTACAAAACAAAAAATGGCAAGAACTTTCTTTACAAAACACGAAATGGCAAGAACTTTGTTTACAAAACATAAAATGGCAAGAACTTTCTTTACAGAAAAAAATGGCAAGAACTTTCTTTACAAAACACAAAATAACAAGAACTTTGTTTACAAAACATAAACTACCAAACTTACATAGTAAGTAGTGCAGTTTAGTATTCATTCCAGTCAAATTTCAGTCGACAACACAGCCAGTTCTCAAATTTTAGAACACACTGAAAATATTGCAAAAATTCAATTTGTTACATTTCGAAATTGTTATTTTTTTCATAAATTCATTTTTCATTTTTTGAAGGTAGCATTTAATCCCAGTCCTAGCTCAAAGCTCTAGCCGAAAGCCCTAGCCCAGAGAGCTGACCCAAAAGCCCTAGCCGAAAGCCGTAGTCCAGAGCCCTGTCCCAGAGCCTTATCCAAGAGCCTTAGCCCAAAGCCCTAGCCCAGAACCCTAGTCCAGAGTCCTAGCCCAGAACCCAAGTCCAGAGACTTAGCCTAGAGCTTAGCCTAGCGCTCTAACCCAGAGCCCTAGCCCAGCGCCCTAGCCTAGAGCCAGACCAAGAGCCCTAGCCCAAAGCCCTAGCTTTAAGTCCTAGCCCAGAGCCCAAGTCCAGAGCCTTAGCCCAGAACCCTACCTAAGAGCCCTAGCCGAAAGCCTTAGTTCAGAGCCCTGGCCCAGAGCTAAACATAAGGAACGAGACCGGCCGGTAAGCTTTTCCCCAAATTTAAATTGGGCTTGCCCAGTTCGTGCCTAAGCCTTAGTCCGGAGCCCTGTGCTCAGTGCTCAAATCCCTAGCTTGGTTATAACAAGGTTTAGTGCAGGCACAGGGCTATAGTACTGTAATATAAAGCAAAAGTAAGGTATCAGCGGAGCAAAACCAAGTTAATGTAGGGTTGTTCTATGTCATTGCTATTGCAAAACGGTTCAGAATTATTTGAACAACAAAATATTAGGTGCGGACATAAAGAACCCGCCATTTTTTCAGGAAATTGCAGCCAAAGCATGGCGGGTTCTTTATGTCGGAGTCTAATAATGACTTCATAGCACTTTGAAAACCATATTATACTTTACACTACAGTAAGCCAAATTTATTTAGTTTCGTTATCACAATTACAATTACAACGTTAGTGCATATCATGTAGTCTTGATAAGTTCTCAGCGATTGCCATTTCCTGTTTGATCCGCTTTGATCTTCCGTAACAAAAGAACCCGATTGAACTGCCAGTACAAGCAAGGCATGAGGCAACGAGTATGCACAACAATATGTTCACCTCCACTAAAAGTTACTGTAAGTTAGGACTGAAGAATAGAAGTAGTAGCATACCCTGATCTCTGTTAAGGCTAGAACATAATATACTGTAGGATAATGGTAAGGTACAGTATACTGTAGGGTAAGGGTAGGATGCAGTATACTGTAGAATAAGGGTAAGGTACGGTGTACTGTAAAATAAATGTCGGGTACGGTACACTGTAGAGTGAGAGTAAAGTACGGTGTACTGTAGGGTAAGGGTAAGGTATGGTATACTGTAGAATAGAAGTAGAAAACGGTATACTGTAGAGTAAGGGTAAAATAAAGTATACTGTAGGATAAGGGTAGGGTACGGTATACTGTAGAGTAAGGGTAGCTTACAGTATGTTGTAGAACAGGAGTAGGGTACGATATACTGTAGGGTAAGCTACACCATACTACAAGATTGAGTTAAACTACAGTATACTGTACGGTTCTCGTAGGTTAAGATATACTGCAGGCTAGGCTACAGTATACAGAAGAGTAAGACTAAACTGCAATATACGGTTGAGTTGAGCAAAGCTACAGTATACTATAGGGTCTGGGTAGCTAAAATACACTGTAAGACTTACCCTACCCTACCCTACCCTACCCTACTCTACCCTACCCTACCCTACCCTACCCTACCCTACCCTACCCTACCCTACCCTACCCTACCCTACCCTACCCTACCCTACCCTACCCTACCCTACCCTACCCTACCCTGCCCTACCCTACCCTACCCTACCCTACCCTACCCTACCCTACCCTGATAAGGTTAGGTTTACTGTAGAGTAGGAATGGGGTTACAATATAATGTAGAGTTGAACTAAGCTACAGTATTCTGAAAAGCCTAAAATTCAATTTCAAAAAAGTTTTTAAAAACATCTTACGTATATATGTTGGGCTTTGTGGTGAAAACAAGGGATAGTCGATTTTTTCCGTACCGGTTGAACTAACAATTTTATGATTATTGGCCAAATGATCAGCTAGAGCACTTGGAATGCATGGTAGAACAGCTAGTAGGACCAGCAGCGCATCTGAAATTACATTTTTATACAAATTTTGACATAGTTTGGGTTGTAAAGAAAGTTCTTGCCATTTTTTGTTTTGTAAAGAAAGTTCTTGCCATTTTTTGTTTTGTAAAGAAAGTTCTTGCCATTTTATGTTTTGTAAATAAAGTTCTTGCAATTTTATGTTTTGTAAATAAAGTTCTTGCCATTTTTTGTTTTGTAAAGAAAGTTCTTGCCATTTTTTGTTTTGTAAAGAAAGTTCTTGCCATTTTATGTTTTGTAAATAAAGTTCTTGCCATTTTTTGTTTTGTAAAGAAAGTTCTTGCCATTTTATGTTTTGTAAATAAAGTTCTTGCCATTTTTTGTTTTGTAAAGAAAGTTCTTGCCATTTTATGTTTTGTAAATAAAGTTCTTGCCATTTTATGTTTTGTAAATAAAGTTCTTGCCATTTTTTGTTTTGTAAAGAAAGTTCTTGCCATTTTTTGTTTCGTAAAGAAAGTTCTTGCTACTTTTTGTTTTGTAAAGAAAGTTCTTGCCATTTTTTGTTTTGTAAAGAAAGTTCTTGCCATTTTATGTTTTGTAAATAAAGTTCTTGCCATTTTATGTTTTGTAAAGAAAGTTCTTGCCATTTTTTGTTTTGTAAAGAAAGTTCTTGCCATTTTATGTTTTGTAAAGAAAGTTCTTGCCATTTTTTGTTTTGTAAAGAAAGTTCTTGCCATGTATACTACCGTACACTACCGTACCCTATTGTACCCTATCGTATACTACCGTACACTACCGTACCCTATTGTACCCTATCGTATACTACCGTACACTACCGTACCCTATTGTACCCTATCGTATACTACCTTACACTACCGCATCCTATTGTACCCTATCGTATCCTACCGTACACTACCGTATCCTATTGTACCCTATCGTATCCTACCGTACACTACCGTATCCTACCGTACACTTGCCTACCCTACCCTATCTTACCTACCGTAATTTATCATATTATAGTTTTATACTACCGTATTATACCATAGCTCAACCGTATTACGCCTTACCCTTACCGTATCACGCCACGTCCCTGCCGTACTACATAATACCCCTAGCTTATCAAAGCACCACCCTTCTGTACTATATTCCTACTGCACCATACCCCTCACTACTTTTCCATACCCTTACCGTGTCATATATCTATCTATCTACCGTATTATTAACCTGAAGCGTCTCAAAGTCTATTCCGTACTATACTCCTACCAGACCATACTACACCTTATCTTACCGTACCCTTACTGTGCCATATCTCTACGCTCTACCGTACTCTATGAAAACTGATGAGAGGGGGGGGAAGAAGAGAAAAGAAGGAGAAGAGATTATACTGTACTCTAACCGCATCATTCAATAACCCTATCGTGCCATACCATACCTTTACCTCACCCATTGTACCATAAGTACCCCCATCCCGATTGTACTATAAGGTATCCCTATACCGTACTCTACCCTGCCCTACCATACTTTACCCTGCTTTACAGTATTTACCGTACCTTACCGTACCCAACCGTACCCTATGGTAGCCTACCTTACCTACAGTAATTTATCACCTTATAGTACATATACGACATAACCTTATTGTGCCCTACCATACCTTCATCTCCCCCCATTTTACCGTAAGTACCCTCCCCACCCTCATTGTACCATAAGGTACCCCTAGGTTACATATCTACACTGTACTATATCATACCTATATTATGTCTCTTAAAACTCTTGACTTATACTGGCCTTACACTACAGTAAAACTCCAACATATGTCATTACATCTTCGTTATAACAACTTACCAAAAGGAGGAGAGTCGTTCGAAGACTTATTCGACAGTGTTGTAGTAGTCAGTTTACGTTGCTCATGTTCTAAAATCACTTTCGATTAAACATAGTAAAAACAGAAGCTGTAGTTTAGTTATCATAAACATACGAGAAAGTTACCATTTAAAGAAGAAAATAACTCGGCTATAGGATCAGCTGGAGCACTTGGAATGCATGGTAAAACAATTAGTAGGACTAGCAGTACACCTGAAATCACATTTTTTAACAAATTTTGACATGGCGTGGCTTGTAAAGAAAGTTCTCGTCATTTTCTGATTTGTAAAGAAAGTTCTTGCCATTTTTTAGGTTGTAAAAAAAGTTCTTGCCATTTTTTGTTTTGTACAGAAAGTTCTTGCCATTTTTTGTTTTGTAAAGAAAGTTCTTGCCATTTTTTGGGTTGTAAAAAAAGTTCTTGCTATTTTTTGTTGTGTAAAGTAAGTTCTTGCCATTTTTTGTTTTGTAAAGAAAGTTCTTGCCATTTTTTGCGTTGTAAAGAAAGCTCTTGCCATTTTTTGCACTGTAAACAAAGTTCTTGCCAATAGAAAGCTTTAAAACCCTTATAACAACATAAATCATATCATATTACTTTAGACTTACCAGCAACTAAACGTTGACTTGAAATCAACTTCAAATTCATTGTCCAGCAAATATCGACCGCTTTCATAAACAGACAAAGTAAAAATTTAAAAAATCGACCAAAATGTTAATTTCCACCTTGGCAGCAGGTCTCGTGCAGTAGCCGTCTGCTATGGTTAACAGGCTTAATTGTTTAGTACAGCTTCTTTTAAGTTTGTCTTGGCTCGGCCAAGCCAGTTGACATCTCCTACACTGCCATTTGAGGAAGATAAGGTTAGATCAAGTATACTGTAAGATAAAGATAAGATAAGGAATACTGTAAGGAATTGAGTATACAGGTCTACTAACAAAATTTTTGTAAGATACTGTAAGATAAAGCCAAGATATGGAATACTGTAAAGTAGAGCTATGCTACTGTAAGACAAAGGTAAGATAAAGTAATACTGTAACATAGGGCTATGATACTGTAAGAAAAAGCCAAGATATGGAATACTGTAAAGTAGAGCTATGCTACTGTAAGACAAAGGTAAGATAAAGTAATACTGTAACATAGGGCTATGATACTGTAAGAAAAAGCTAAGATAAGGAATACTGTAAGGTAGGGCTATGATACTGTAAGATAAGGCCAGGATAAAGAGTACTGTAAGCTGGGCTATAATACTGTAAGACAAGGGTAAGATAAAGGAATACTGTAACATAGGGCTATGATACTGTAAGATAAGGTCATGATAAAGAATACTGTAAGATAGGGCTATGATACTATAAGATAAGGCCAGGATATGGAATACTATAAAGTAGGACTATGCTACTGTAAGACAAGGGTAAGATAAAGGAATACTGTAACATAAGGCTATGATACTGTAAGATAAGGTAATGATAAAGAATACTGTAAGATAGGGCTATGATACTGTAAGAAAAAGCTAAGATAAGGAATACTGTAAGGTAGGGCTATGATACTGTAAGATAAGGTCATGATATAGAATACTGTAACATAGGGCTATGATACTGTAAGAAAAAGCTAAGCTAAGGAATACTGTAAGGTAGGGCTATGATACTGTAAGATAAGGCCAGGATAAAGAGTACTGTAAGCTGGGCTATAATACTGTAAGACAAGGGTAAGATAAAGGAATACTGTAACATAGGGCTATGCTACTGTAAGACGAAAGTAAGATAAAGGAATACTGTAACATAGGGCTATGATACTGTAAGATAAGGTCATGATAAAGAATACAGTAAGATAGAGCTATGATACTGTAAGATAAGGTCATGATATAGAATACTGTAACATAGGGCTATGATACTGTAAGAAAAAGCTAAGATAAGGAATACTGTAAAGTAGGGCTATGATACTGTAAGATAAGGCCAGGATATGGAATACTGTAAAGTAGGGCTATGCTACTGTAAGACGAAAGTAAGATAAAGGAATACTGTAACATAGGGCTATGATACTGTAAGATAAGGTCATGATATAGAATACTGTAAGATAGGGCTATGATACTGTAAGAAAAAGCTAAGATAAGGAATACTGTAAGATAGGGCAATTTGGCGGGAAATTCAAAACGTAATTTTTTGATCACAACTTTCTTGAGATTGACTAAGTTGTTCTATATCAAATTATAATGTAAGCTAAAGCTAGTCTAAAGTAAAAGTAGGGTACAGTATACTGAAAGTTAGATTAAGTTACAGTATACTATAAAAATTGGCTAACAAACAACAACCGACTAGATTACAATAAACCTTTATTTTCCAAGTAAACACTGTCAAATCATTCTGCTTGAGGTTGTGAAGCAGCACGTTAGTTTCGGTTTTTGGCGTCACAGTCGCTAAATGCTTCGAACAGAATTGATAAGCCTAACACTGGCATACAAAAGAAGACTAAACCCATCGCAGTTATAAAGAGATACATTTCTGAAAATAAATTTTTACCTACTATCCTTTTCCGTACCCTAAAGTACCCTTTTCTACCCTACCGTACTCTACCGTACTCTACCCTACCCTACCCTACCCTACTCTACCCTATCCTACTTTACCCTACCGTACCTTACCGTACCCTACCGTACCATGCTCTGCCCTATCATACTTTACTCTATCTTGATTTACCGTACCTCACCCTACCGTATCCTACCCTACCCTACTCTACCGTATCTTACCCTACCCTACCGTACCCTACCGCACCCTACCGTACCCTACCCTACCCTACTTTCCCCTACTGTACCCTATCGTACCCTACCCCGCTCTATCATACTTTACTCTATCCTGATTTACCGTACCCTACCTTACCTTACCTTCAGTAATTTATCATATTATAGTATACGACATAACCTTATCGTGCCCTACCACACCTTCACCTTCCCCCACCCCCATTGTACCATAAGTACTCCCACTCCCCCCCCTTCCTTATTTTATTATAATCTTACGTTTCATACCTTCACCGTACCACATCATACCTATACTATGACGTTTTAAACTCCCGACTTATACCGACCTTACACTACAGTAAAGCTTCAACATATGTTATTACATCATCGTTATACTAACATACGCAAACGACCAGATGCTAAAAAGCCCACCGACTCCTTATTGTTAGACGACAGTGTTGTAGTAGTAAGTTTACGTTGCTCATGTTCTAAAATAACTGTCGATTAATCGTAGTAAAAACAGAAGCTGTATTTTGGTTATCGTCAACATACGATAACGTTACCATTTAAAGAAGAATTGACAATTTGCAAAATCTTGGCTATAGGATCAGCTGGAGCACTTGGAATGCATGGTAAAACAGTTAGTAGGACCAGAAGTGCACCTGAAATCACATTTTTAAAAACTTTTGACACAGTTTGGGTTGTAAAGAAAGTTCTTGCTATTTTTGAGTTTGTAAAGAAAGTTATGGCCATTTCTTGTTTTGTAAAGAAAGTTTTTGCCATTTATTGTTCTGTAAAGACAGTTCTATAACAACATATCAGTCTTTCCACTAAAGAATATTACAGCTGCACGGTGCAATCTCTGGTAAAATCGCGCCCTTTTTATACCGCTGCACAGTGCAGATTTCCTGCGCGATCACCCAATACAGCCAGCGATGTTAGGAAAGACTGCACAGTGCAATCCCTTCAGTCGGTTGTCGCAGAAGTCAGGGGACTGCAACAGACAAAAAATCTTGTCGCAAACCTTCCACTAAACACAGTGTTGGTTTGAGCGTTGCGACAACAGCGACACGCTGTCGCATCGCCATTTGAATTGCGACACGACAGTTTGTCGCAAAGCTTTGCACCTGCGACATTGCGATTTCATTGGGATGTCGCAAGGTACAAGCGACTGTCGCAGACCTTGTCGCTTGTCGCCCAATTCTCAGCGCGACAGCGATTCCTTCAAACTGCACAGTGCAGTTTTGTAACATTCTTTTCCGGAAAGACTGATAAATCACATTATATTACTTTAGACTTACCAGCACAAAAGATTTGACTTGGAAACAACTTCAAATTTACAGTCATCGCAAGTTCCGACCGCTCTCATGAACAAACAAAATGAAATTTAAAAAAATTTTTTAATTTTTTTTTTAAATTTGTTGGTAAGTTAGCTAGAATTCTAGCCAAAAGAATAGCCGACAATACCACAATAAAATTTTATTTTCCAAAGTAAACATTCACAGTTCAGTCTGCTTGAGGTTGTTTTACGGCACGCTCGTTGCGGTATTGAGCGCCAGAACTTCGACCACAGTAGTAACATGCGAGTTAAATGCCAAAGGAACATAATGCTGGCTGTAGACAGGTGCCAATTACTACGATAATAAACATAAGCCACGAAACTAAAAAATTTAAAATTTTATTATACACTACCCTACCCTACCCTACCCTACCCTACCCTACCCTACCCTACCCTACCCTATCCTACCCTACCCTACCCTCCCTACCCTACCCTACCCTACCCTACCCTACACTACCGTAGACTACCCTACCCTACACTACCGTACACTACCGTAGACTACCGTACCGTACCCTACCCTACCCTACCCTACCCTACCCTACCCTACCCTACCCTACCCTACCATACTCTCACTGTTAATATGTCATACCTCTATCGTACCATTTCATCGCCCTACGCACCTTCCTAATCCCTTGCCTTAAACTCACCTTACACTACTGTAAAACACTAACATATGTCATTACCTCTTCATTATATTAACTTACAAAAAACAGCATTTTTCCTATCTATCTCTAAAGCCTCTTTTTCCTCAATCGACAGTGTTGTGTCAACAATTTCACGTTGATCATGTTGGCCATCTGAAATAACGTTCGATCAATCGTAGTAAAAACAAAAGCTGTAGTTTGGTTATCAACATCATACGATAAAGTTACCATTTAAGGAAGAATTGAGACTATGAAGAAGCTCGGCTATAGGATCAGCTGGAGCGCTTGGAATATATGGTAGAACTGTTAGTAGGACCAGCAGTACACCTGAAATCACATTTTTAAACAAATTTTGACATGGCTTAGGCTGTAAAGAAAGTTCTTGTCACTCTTTGCTTTGTAAAAAAAGTTTTTTCCATTTTTTGTTTTGTAAAGAAAGTTCTTGTCATTTTTTGTCCTGTAAAGAAAGTTCTTGCTATTTTTTGTTTTGTAAAGAAAGTTCTTGCTACTTTTTGTTTTGCAAAGAAAGTTTTTGCGATTTCTTGTTTTGTAAAGAAAGTTCTTGCTATCTTTTGTTTTGTAAAGAAAGTTCTTGCTACTTTTTGTTTTGTAAAGAAAGTTCTTGCTATCTTTTGTTTTGTAAAGAAAGTTCTTGCTACTTTTTGTTTTGTAAAGAAAGTTCTTGCTATTAAAAAACGTTAGAAAACCTATAACAATACAAATCACATTACATTACTTTAGACTTACCAGCAATAAAACTTTGACCTGAAATCGAAGTCAAATTCATTGCCAAGCAAATATCGACCGCTTTCATAAACAGACAAAGTAAAAAAAAAATTACTTAAGTTTTTTTTTCAGGTCCGATCAGAATTTTGCTCAGGCCTCGGCTAGATTTAACCAGCCGAGCCTTGATTTTCAATCCCGACTCGACCTAAATTTGGGTCAAGGTTGGCCTGCCCCGTCCTTCATGTCTACTTACATCTAAACCTCAGCCTCAGTCTTACCTTACAAACGTTAGCCTAAGCCTAAGCCAAAGATTAAGCCTAAGATTAAACCTAAGCCTAAGATCAAGCATAAGATTAAGCCTAAGCCTAAGATCAAGCCTAAGCATAGGATTAAGCCTAAGCCTAAGTCTAAGCCTAAGCCTAAGCCTAAGCCTAAGCCTAAGCCTAAGCCTAAGCCTAAGTCTAAGCCTAAGCCTATGCCTAAGCCTAAGCCTAAGCCTAAGCCTAAGCTTAAGCCTAAGCCTAAGCCTAAGTCTAAGCCTAAACCTAACCCTAATAGTACGACAAAGCTTTAACTTAAGCCTAAGCTTGAGCCCAAGCGACGTACACCTCTACTCCAGCTGTTTGATTTGGTCATGGTACAGAAAACAAGACTTTTGTTTATAAAAATCCATCTAAAATATAAAGCTTGAGTATTAAAGTAAATCACAAATGAGTAACAAACTATATTTACAAACTTTTTTATCAGTTGTTGAAATTGTTAAGTGATGAAGCACTCTGCGCTTATCACTATCAATTTTTTATAAATAATTTGTGAATTTTTAGTTCAAATGTCTAAATATTTGAAGTTTTCTGTCCTGCCTTGCCATGCTTCATCTTGCCATGCCTTATATCTCTTCCTTTTCTACTTTTCATACCGAAAATTCAATTCAAACTCGTATTTTTCCCGCGTTTTTCTCGACTTTCTACTTTTTTGGCCTTTCGTCGCATTTATTTTTCGTTTTTCGCTATATTTTTAAAATGAATAAGTTCGAAAACTAAATAAATGAGCAATACAACGTTTGTTTTAGATAAAACACATTGAAAGATGGATGTAAGCAACAAGACTGATCCTCCAATTCCACCCGGACCTTACATTCCGACCAGAAATGCTCTCAAATCGGTTTTAATCCTGGGATTGTTCTTTGCCACCTTTATTGCTTCGATTGTAAGTTGAGTTACTTTTGATTTTTATGTTTTAGGTATTATTGGGAGTTGGAAAGTGTGAAGAATATTAATAATGGTCTTTCTTAAGCTTTTTTAAAGCTTTTTGTTGAAAAATAGCAACATAGAGATCAAGAAAGGGTGGTGAAGATGTTGTGATGTATAACAATGTGTTTTTTGGTAGATAAAAGCTTGATTTTTTAAAAATTAGTTAATGAAGACTATTATCTATGTGTTGCAATAGTTGTTTGGTGGTTTTGTGGGGTTACCCACAAGTTTTAAGATGTTTTAGGTAGTAAGACCATAAAGAAATTGTGCTTTATAAGGCTTGATCTATTTTTGCTTCCATTTTATAATCTTAGCATTGAAAGCTAATTTATTCTGTTTTATATTTATTTTTTTACAATATTAGTTTTAAAAAAATTGATTCCAAGCTGATACAAGCATTTTACGACTTCAATAACATGTTGACATGAACAACATCAAAATTTTGCTTTTTTGTCTCAAACTTTTTTATTACTTAATGAGATCATAACGTGATTGTTTAGACAATCATTTAATACACTGTTATTATGCAATTTTTTCAGTCAGCACTAGTACTGAAACGAGCAGCATCAGCCTCAGCGAACTCAAGCCGAGCACAGACGATATTCTCCTTGATCTCATGCTTTGGTGGCGGTGTGTTTTTGGCCACATGTTTGATGCATTTACTCCCAGAGTCTATGGAACAAATTGATAAGGGGCAGGATGCATTGAAATTGGATTTCGACTTTCCTTTGCCAGAGTTTTGCATTAGTCTTGGGTTTATGTTTGTCATGTTCGTGGAACAGGTATGTCTTTGGTTTTTGTTGTGTTTTGGTTTTTAGGATGAAGATTTTATGCTGTAGGATATTTAGAAGATGGTTTGGATGAGAAAGAAGGTGTGGAAGATAGTTTAGATGTGGATGATAGTTTAGATGAGAAAGATGGTTTATGAAGAGAACTAAAGTTAAAGCAAAGGTTTAGAAGAAAGAGGGTTTTAAAGACAGTAGAGATGATAAAGGAGATGCAGAACATATTTTAGATAAGAAATAAGGTATACAATTTGGTTTACATTAACTAGAAGGTCAAGGAGGAAGTTTAGGTAATAAAGAAGGCCAGGAAAATAGTTCACAAGACTTTGACAACTATAAATTGAAGAACATCACTACTTCTTTACCAATTTATGCTTATCTTTATATTTTAGGCAGCAATCTTTGCTCACGAGCAAGAATGGATAGGTCAAGGTCAAAATATTCTTGGCCATGGTCATGAGCACACTGAAGACACAGTACCGATACTGGAGGAGGACACAAGATCCAATGGAAGCGTAAGGTCGGAGAGAAGGTCCCACGCTGGTAGTATAATGTCAGATGATCACTTTGAACACGAAACTCATTCCACGATGAGGGCAGCTTTATTGGTTATGGCAATCTCACTTCATGCTGTGTTCGAAGGGCTTTCGGTGGGCATGATTCAGGAGGTTTCGGCCTTGTTGCAGGTGAGAATGACATTTTTGTTAAGAAAATTGGTTAAAAATTGCAATAACTTTCTTTACAAAACACATTTTTTTAAAAACCGCAAAAACTTTCTTTACAGTACCTATTTTTTCGAAAAACCGCAAGAACTTTCTTTACAAAACCCCATTTTTTGAAAAACCGCAAAAACTTTCTTTACAAAACATTTTTTTTTTGAAAATTTGAAAACTTATGACATTTTCAGATTTGTGGAGCTCTGTTAATCCACAAAGTAGTGATAGGAATCTCGCTGGGCGTAAGACTAGTCCAGTCCAATATGAAACCGACCGGTGTTGTCATTTGTTGTATAATATTTGCTGGTCAAATCGTTGTGGGCGGCTTCATTGGACTCGGAATCATGGACATTTTGCGAGGAGAGTCAATTGGTTTGACGAATTTCATTGGCGGGATCCTACAGGTCGGTTGTTATGAAACAGCATTTTTGGCGGGATTTTTGAAATTTGAATTTTCGAAAATATGATTTTAGGTATTAAATTTTTGAGTTTGATGCTTGATTTCATAGTACGTAGGATCTATAGTTTTAATATTTTGAAGCATAATGCCAACTTTGGCGGGATTTCAAAATTTTGAAATTTTAAAATTTAATGATAAAACCATAAAATTTCAGGCCTTCGCCGCCGGAACCTTCCTCTACATTACTTGTTTCGAGATCTTACCTCACGAGCTGAATAAACCTGGATATCGACCACTAAAGCTGTTATTCTTATCAGCTGGCTTCGCTCTGATCACCTTCTTCATATCCTACTTCCCGGATGCTGACGATGGGAATTGACTTTCATTTTTTAATTTTTAACGTGTTTTTGAAAGTGTTTTTGACTTTTTCTATTTTTTTAATCTTGTAAAAGTCAAAACTTAATTTTTCAGGCCGCGTCAAAAAGAATTGATCGATTTGTAATGTATTTTCATAGCGAAAAGTACCAATTCTTTTTGACGCGGCTGGGAAAAAGACGGTTTTGGTTGATTAAACGTTAAACTGTCATTTTTTAAAATTTTGAAAAGTATATATGATAAGTAACATTCGTATTCACTTTTTAAGGTAATCTAAGCTAGTCTTGTTTATTATTTTAAGCTTAAATTATTAAATTTTGTTTAAAAAAAGCGTCAAAGGTCTAGTATTTCCGCTAAAATTAACTCAAACACATTGTTCTTGTCAAAGTCTCTTACATTCTGTCATTACGGTACACAACAAATGTGTAACGGGTCTATAACTTTTTAAATTAAGGTGATTTTTGTAGTTTTTTGGTAACTTTTTGAAAAATTTTTAGTTTTTTAGGTAACTTTTAAAGTTTTTTTCTTGATTTTAAGGCTGTCAAAGGGCATTTTTTATAATTTTTTTGGCTCTAAACGGGGATTTTTTAAAAGATTTGGTTTTAACAGGCTTATATTATCTTTTTTAGTACTCTTTGTTTACCACAGTAATTTTTCTAGGGACTTTTTGTTCAAAAAAGTGATTTTTCTAAGGACTTTGACCAAAAAGTGATTTTTCTAAAAACTTTTTGACCGTAAAGTGACTTCTCTATATTTTTAGTGACTTTTTAATTGGGCAATTGATATTGTTTTACGCCTCGTCAAAAAGAATTGAGCACTTTTCTTATGTAAATACATTAGTAACCGACCAATTCTTTTTGACGCGCTCGTGTTTTATGCCATTTTCAAGCTTATATAATGCTGTTTTTGGGCTTATATGATGACATCGTGAAAATTTAAAGTCAGGTTGAAGAAATAATGGCATTATTGATTTAAAAATGGCATTTTTTAGTGATAAATTTAATTTGTTTGGACACGGCCTAAAACAAAATTAATAGACTAACCTACAATAAAAAACCGAAAAAGTTACTTTTTGGTCAAAAAGTTCATAGAAAAATGACTTTCCGGTCCAAAAATTCTTAGACACTTTTTGATAAATTTAAGTGATACCATTGCCATTTTAAAAGTATTGTATGCGCCTTTTCAGTAGCTCAGCTGGTATTTTATCTTATTTTGTCTGTGCAATCGACTAACATATCAAAAGTAGTGGAAATAAACGGTTTTAACTTGTTTAAGGCATCTGATCTCTAGTGTAATATCGGTTATTGGACCGGATGTGTATCTTTCACAAAGATTTTGAAAATATTGTTATTGTAGGTGGAATTTTAATGGTTTTGAGTATATTTTTACATAGTTAAAAATTTTTTTTTGAGGTTTGGTTTTGAGATTTTAAGGTTGTTCTATTAAGGCGCGTCAAAAAGAATTGAACTTTTTTGCTATATAAATGCATTGAAAAGGGATCAATTCTATTTGACGCGCTTAGATTTTTTATGAAATTTGGAAAAATTTTTGTTTCTAGGGACTTCTTGACCAATAGCGTGTTAAAATTCGGTTTTTTGAGGACTTTTGGACCAAAAAAGGTATTTTTCTAGGTACTTTTTGACCGCAAAAAAAGGTGTTTCTAGGGACTTTTTGACCGAAAAGAAAAGATTTTCTAGAGACTTTTCGACCAGATTTTTTAATAAAATATGAAATTTTCCAAGAACTTCTTGACCACCTCATGCCATTTTAGATTAAAACCACATAAAGGGCATAATGACAATTTAAAACTGTCACAAAACTACTTGATTAAAGCATAACCCTACCTTGATTTGCCACTTTAAACTCAACGAAACGGGTACTTCTCTGGTCCAACCAGCTTTAACCTTAACTTATTCAACATGTACATTATACTCACCTTGATCTCCATCGTCGGCCTCGGCTTTGTTTTGTATCAGTAAGTTGTTTTAGATGGGAAAGTGGGTGGGGTAGGGGTGTTTTGAAATTTTTTTGAGATTTTTTTTGGAAAATTTTTGATTTTTTTGAAATTTGTTACCTAAAATTTGAAAATGGTACAAATTTGATAATAAAACTTAAAAATGGTACCAATTGTTACCTAAATTTGAAAATGATACTATTTTGGTACTGTTTATTAAAAATGGTATTAAACTGTACCAAGCTTTATAATATGATATCATCTTGGTACAAAATATTTAAAATGGTATCAAATTGTTATCTAAAATTTGAAAATGGTACTATTTTGGTACTGAATATTGAATACGGTACCAAATTGTTTCCTAAAATTTGAAAGCGGTACAGTTTTGTACTAAATTTTGAAAATGGTACCAAATTGTTACCTAAAATTTTAAAATTGTACCATTTTGATATTGTAGTTTTAAAATTGTACGAAATTGTTAAATTTTGAAAACGGTATTAAATTGTTACCTTAAATTTCAAAATTATACCATTTTGGTACTACAATTCTAAAATGACAAAAATTTTTAGCTATTTTAACCACTTCCTATCAGCCTTCCTAGCCAGGCTCTTAAAATGCACCGAGTGTCGTCTATCAGAAGTTGGCTTAAGAAGAATCGGCCGAATTAAGCTGAGATTTGGCGTCTTCACACTAGACTTGAGTGATGTCCGCTTATCATCAAGTTTTTGGAATCAGGAGCTGACGAAACCATTTTATGTTCAAATTGGCGATTTTCGAGTGGAAAAACGGTCCAAAGAGGGGTAGGTTTATATGAATTTGTTTTTACAGAGTTTTCGGTACGGCTAAAGCAAAATTCGATGTTTCTGTGAACTTTTGGATTGTCGAAGCTAAAAATCGATTTCTATATGAGCTTTCTGATTGAAAACGAAAAATTTATTTTTTTTAGAAATTTTTAGACCGTTGAAGCCAAAAATTGATTTTTCTACGAATTTTCTGGCCGAACTCGAAAAAATTTTGTTTTTCTAGCAATTTTTTGACCTAAAAATAAATGTTTTTCGGGAGGACTGTTTCACAAAAAAAAATCTTTTTTGTTTTTGTTTGATTTTAAACGCCAAAATTTTATTTTTCTATGAATTTTTTGACCGAAAAATAAAAATTTTATTTTTTAAAGGACCGTTTCACAAAAACAAAAATTTTTTTTATAAATTTTTTTACCTGAAGCGAAAAATCCACTTTTTCTACGAATTTATTGACCGAGAAACTAAAATTTAGTTTTTCTATGAATTTATTTTAAAATTTCGTTTTTTAGCTGACTGCTTCACGAAAAAAACAAAAATGTTATTTTTCTATTAATTTTTTGAACAAAAACGAACAGTTTAGCTACCAAAAATTTTATTTTTCGATGAACTTTTTGACCGGAAACTTCAAATTCTCGTTTTCTATGGATTTATTGACCGAAAAACTAAAATTTCATTTTTTAGCGGACTGTTTTACAAAAAATTAAAAATTATATTTTTTGAAATTTTTTAGCCGCAAAAGCTAAATTTTGATATTTCTATGAATTTATTGACCGAAAAACTAAAATTTTATTAAATTTTATTTTTAGCGGACTGTTTCGCAAAAAACCCGAAATTTTATTTTTCTGTTTAACCGCATTTGAAAAAATTTTTAATTTTCCAGGTTATTGACCGGTAAGCCAAAACTCAGCACCGAAAATGAAAACCAAGACCAAACAGGACCAACCTTATCAAATCAACCGCTAAAGCTGTCGAGAATCTGGCATTGGCTTCAGTATTTTGGCTGTCAAGTTGGATCGGCCCACTTCGCCTTACTGGACGACGTGTCTGACTCGATGCTTCACTTTTCGGCCGAAAACCTGACGTTGGAGACGTTCCGTGATCGGTCGGGTATCCAACTCGAACTTCAATTTCTGTTGGCTCAGTTGAAGTTGTTTAAGAGGTCGAATCAAAGCCATATCAGTCTGGCTGATATTCAACTGACTGGTCATTTGAGTGTGGACGTTTCGGACCAGGATGGGCGGCCGAAAAAGATTGGGGTGAATATGAAACAGCCCAAGATCAGTCTGAGTGATAGTAGGTTTTATATTGGGGTTGGGCTGGATGAGAATTGTGAGGGGGGGGTAGAAAATGAGTTTGGTTTAGACGAGCTTTATTTAGGCCGGGTAGGGTACAGGATGGGTTGGAGAAATCGGGATATGATAAGGAATAGTTACAGTAAAATCAAGGAGTAGGGTTACAGGTAGAAGTACGCGTAGCGGCAGGGGTAGGTGTAAATATTGTCGGTGGAGTAGGGGTAGGCCCAGGTTACGGTAGGCCTTGGCTTGTCTATATCCTTCAGTGTTAGGCGTGTGGTTTTGGATCGAGGGGGAGGGGGGGGGGTAAGGGTAGGGCTTGGGCTTATGGATTATCATCACCCATACGCTTGTATTTACCTAGGGTATACTGTCGGGCAAAGGTAGGGTAAGACTAGCAGAAGGGGTATGTGTAAAGGTAGGGGTAGGGGTAGGAATAGAGGTAGGGGTAGGGATAAGGGTAATTTAGCATATTATAACTTTTTTAAATTTTTACAAATTTCAGCACTCTTTGACTATCTCCTAGAACACCCCCACCTACTCACCAAACAACCCTCTAATCATCAATCTGAAAACTCATGTCAGCCTACAACAATATCAAGATTACTATCAGATCCACCGAGTTTTGACGTCCAAACCTCGGATTTTCAATTCGAATTCTTGGCCGTTCAATCACACGATTCAATACGAACAATAAGCCTAACTCTGGCCAAGGTTGACGCTCAGTTCAAGGCGGATGAGAAGAATGCCGTGATCAAGTTTCACGACCTTCAGATCAATGACCACGACGCGTTGAGTCGATTTCAATGCGCACAGTTCGCTACCGTACTTAAAAAGAAGAAGAATGAAGTTGAGGATGAGGAAGAGACAAAATTACCGGTCGATTTGGATATCAAGTTTAGTCGACCGAAGATAGAGCTTTATAAGTAAGTGGAAAGAAAGTTTTTGCGGATTTTTTAAGGTTTTTGAAATTTTTTTTTGGTTTTTAAATCAGGGAAGAAGGGGGGGGGGAGGGGGGGGGGGGTTTATTTTAATTTTTTTTGAAAAAAAAATTTTTGGGCGTGATAAATGGGGGTGGACCAAAAAAAATTTTTTTTTGAAAAAATTGGACATGAGCTACCTTTACCCCTACTCCTACCCCTACCCCTACCCCTACCCCTACCCCTACCCCTACCCCACCCCTACCCCTACCCCGCCCCCACTCGTACCCCTACTCCGACCACTACTTTTGCTCCTACCCTTACCTCTGCGCGGAGTCCTATTTTCTTCCCTCTACCATTTATTACCGTAACCTACAGTAATACCTTATTTGAAAGTGCGACGTGCGCTCTACTGTTCCTATTCTAATGCGCAGGTCGCGGGCTTATAAACAGGTTTTTATAGTCAGATTTTGATTTGAAATATTTCAGACATGACCTAGCCTGGTGGATGGATTACTGTCGAACAAAACCATTCGACCAGCTAGCTACAATGTTCAAAGAAAGAACACGGAAAAGAGAAGAGACGCGAGACAAGCAAGACAAATCCATAATAATTGTCAATTTGGAAATCAGCGAATTTCAATGCATTTTAAGGACGAGGAAAGGAGCCCTACTATCAGTCGTTTCTGATCTCATCGTGTTTTCATCGGACTCGGTAGGGCGTGGCTTTAAAGTCTTTGGTTTTTTTTTGCAGTGAACAACATTGTTGGACGGGTGGTTTTAGAGTTGAGAGGGGGGGAGGGTGTTTAAAAAATTAGAAAAGGGTTTTTTTTTGAAAAAAAATACGGGGGGGGGGACAAATTTAAATTTTTTGTCAAAAAAATTTTTTTGGAGGCGGGGTAGGTGGGGTGGATCAAAAAAATTTTTTTTTAAATTTTTTAAGACTTCAGAGGGTTTGGGGGGGGGGCATATGTTCATGATTTTTCAAAAAAAAATTTTGGGCGGGTAAGTGGGGGTGGTTCAAAAATTTTTTTTTGGTTTTAGGAAAATTTTTTTAATTTTTTTTTGTCTTAAGAAACCATGAAAAAAAAACTTTTTTTCTCTACCCCTATCACTACCCCTACCCCTGCCTCTACCCTACCGCTATCTCTACCTCTATCCCTCCACTTATTGGTACTAATGGTGCTAGTGGTACCCTTACCTCTACCACTACTTCTAAATTTACCGTTACTCCCACTCCTAACCCTAATCTTATTCTCAAATTTTAGACCTTCAAAAGCGCTGAATTTGGAGTAGAATCCCTCTGGTGTCATCGTGGTCACGCGGCTGATTTCCCCAAAAATCAACCGAATTTCGACCGACATCAGTTCGGCACGGTCGTATCAATAGGTGGCGGTTTGGCTGAGATTCAACGTTTGGACGAGCGAAAACTTAAAGTACAATGTCAGCTGGACGAGTGTCAATTTGAATGGGAGGAGGCAACGATGAGGCAGATCGTGGAGTTCGCAAAGTTATTCAAAAAACCGAAAAATCAGGAAAATGAAGCAGATTTGGAGAGGGAGAATGATGCTGATCAAGGACTTGAAGTGTTGATTCAGGTGTCGGCTAAAAAGTAAGTTTATATTATAAGGTAGTGAAGATGGGCTGAGCATTGTAGTGTAAAATACGTTTTTAATAAATAGGATTTAAAAGTGCAGGGTAGAATATGGTCGGGCAGGCGGGTTAGCATATGGTAGGGTAGGATACGGTAGAATATAGAATACGGTAGGATGGGGTAGGGTAGGATAGGGTAGGGTGGAGTAGGGTAGGGTAGGGTAGGGCAGGGTAGGGTAGGATAAGGTAGGGTAGGGTAGCATATGGTAGGGTAGGGTACGGTAGAATATAGAATACGGTAGGATGAGGTAGGGTAGGATAGGGTAGGGTAGCATAAGGTAGGGTAGGATACGGTAGAATATAGAATACGGTAGGATGAGGTAGGGTAGGGTAGCATAAGGTAGGATAGGATACGGTAGAATATAGAATACGGTAGGATGAGGTAGGATAGGGTAGGGTAGGGTAAGGTAAGGTAAGGTAGGGTAAGTTAGGGTAGGGTAGGGTGAAGTAGAGTAAGGTATGGTAGGGTAGTGAATTTATTAAATTTAAAATTCTAGGCTAGCCTTCTTTTTCACCGCCAAGAAGGCTGCTTTCATAGCATTATGGCTAGAATCCCTTCGTCTCTCCGTAGCATCTCCACAACTTCGAATCCACGCAACGGCTTCAAAATGCAAGTTGGGAACAGCACACTTCGATCAAACCGTTCACCGTGCCGTCCACTGTGAATGGTGGCGTTCCAGTGGTCGGACGGCCGAACCAAAAATGAAAAATCACGGAAACTGCGACAAGTTGGCAGTAAAGTACCAACGGAACCAATCGGCCGCTTCGAAGCTGATAATCGAACCAGAATCGGACTTGGATCTATGTTGGAGCACGCTGGGCTATGCTGTGTTTTATGAGGTGGTAAAGTAAGTTTTGGCGATTTTTTGCTTTGTAAAGAAAGTTCTTGCTATTTCTTGTTTTGTAAAGAAAGTTCTTGCCATTTTATGTATTGTAAAGAAAGTTCTTACCATTTTATGTTTTGTAAAGAAAGTTCTTACCATTTTATGTTTTGTAAAGAAAGTTCTTGCTATTTTTTGTTTTGTAAAGAAAGTTCTTGCTATTTTTCGTTGTGTAAAGACACTTTAATACCAAATTTTGCAGAAAATCCAAAGAAATGCTACAGTCCTTCAAATCTACCGTAACCCACCCCTCCCCACCGATGGAACTTCAAATAAAATCGGAATATTCGGTAGAATTAGGCTTCGAACTACCACGCGAACATTTCATGCGATGGGTCGTACCATCCCTGAGCATTCAACGAACCAACGGCGATATTATTCTAGCCGCTCCAAACTTTATGCTCGAGTTGGATTCACAAATTATATTGACTGTGGAGGTAAGTTGTTTTTTGACGAAATGTCACGAAAATTATTGATTTTTAAAAAATGTTTTTTTTAATCAGAAATTATTTAGAAAGGTTGTTTTTATGTTTTTTTTTTACTTTTTCTGAAAAGTTGACGAAATGTCAAGGATTTTATTGGTTTTTGACGAAGTGTCACAAAACTATTGATTTGGTTAAAAAGTATGTATAAGACGTTTATTTTATGTTTTTTGAATATGTGACGAAATGTCAAGAAATTTATTTTTTTCGACGAAGTGTCAATAAATTTATTGATTTTTTGACGAAGTGTCACAAAAATTACTGATTTGTTTAAATTGTAATTTTTTGTTAAAAAATCGAATATTATTGTTTTTTATCAGTTTTTGTGTAATTTCGCTCTTTACAGGAAGTCCAAATCGACCGACGTGAACTGAACGCACTGATGGATTTGAGTCGAAAAGAATTCAAGAGTTTGGCCGAGAAGACGAACAAATGCTGGTCCTGGTCGGCCCAAGCCCTCCACATCCTATTCCCTTATCAATTCGACTTTGCCAAGGTTTTCGAAGAAGTTTTGAATGCGGTGAAGTGGATGAAATTACTACACAATGTTCAGAAGAAGTTGTTTACCGCGGATTCACCTCTGCCGGCTGATCTGAGGATATCCGTCAAGGTGGGTTAAGGTTAAGAATGTGGCTTTAAGGGGTCTAAATAGGCGTTTAAAGGGGAAGTTAACCCAAAAAATGTATGAGCCTGAGTTTTGTAAGCTTAAAAATGCATAAGCTTGAATTTTGTAAAGCCTAAAAATCTGTAAGCCTAACCATGGTTAACAATTTAAGCCTAAAGATAAAACTGGGCATTTAAGCCTAAAATTGTATTTTTTGTACATTTAAGCCTAAAACTTAAGCCTAATAACGTTAAAAGCACTACTTGACGTTTGAAAAATAATTTTAAGCCTAAAACTAAAAATCGGTGTTTAAACCTAAAATTCTTTTTTTTTGTATTTTTAAGCCTACAACTTCAAGCCTAATAAAGTAAAAAAAGCCAGTTGGATGTCTTAAACACTATTTTTTAAGCCTAAACATTTAAAAATTGTATTATAAGCTTAAATTGATTTTTTGTAACTTTTAGGCTTACAACTTAAGCCTAAACATTTTTAAAAACTATTTTTTTAGCTTACATTCGTTTTTTAGCATTTGTAGACTTAAAACTTAAGCCTAAACATAAAAATTTGTATTTTAAGCTTAAAATGATTTGTTGACATCTTTAGGCTTATAACTTAAGCCTAAACATAAAAAATTGTATTTTATGTTGAAATTGACTTTTTTTATATTTTTAGGCTTATAACTTAAGCCTAAACATAAAAAATCGTATTTTTGACTCTTAAATTGATTTATTGGCAACTTTAGGCTTGCAAATTAAGCCTAATGCTTCGTAAAATAAGAAAAAACATAAGATGGAGCCTAAACTTCAAGTTATAACATTTTCAGGAAGCCACGTTAAAAATGGCGGACGATCCCTTCGAAATCAACCTTCAATTAATCTACGAAGTGCTGAAGGACGAAGTAGTCGAGAGAGAACGGCGAAGGCAAATGCTGGAACAAAAGCTGGAACAACTAATGAAAGAGAACCTACTCTTGTCCGATGCCAAAGTCGACGCTCTATATCAGTCGTTGAAGAAGAAAAACGAACAAATCTACTGCGAAAGGATCAACAAGGTCCAGAAACAACCCAAACGACACCTTTTGACGTGGCGAATCAAGGACTTGGATATTAAGGTAGGGCTTCTTTGTATTACTGTACATACTTGAGTATAGTGTAATGTATGGTACGATAAAGAGGCAGCGAATTGTGTAAACTAGAGTGGGGAAGGTAGGTTAGAATAGTAGGGTAGGGTAGGATAAGGTAGGCTAGCGGGTGTATACTGAAGGTAATGTAGATTAAGAGAAGACAAGGTAGGGTTAGGGTAGGTTAAAGTAAGGTTGAATAAAGACGGAGTAGGGTAGTTTAAGATAAGATAGGGTAGGGTAGAATAAGATAGGTGAAGTATGAGAGCGTATTATAAGGTACGAACGGTCAGAGATGGATTAGGGTAGGATAAAATAGGCTAGGGCTGGTTATACTGTAGGGTAGTGTAAGGTAGGGTAGGGTAGGGTAGGGTAGGGTAGGGTAAGGTAGGGTAGGGAAGGGTAGGGTATGGTAGGGTAGGGTAGGGTAGGGTAGGGTAGGGTAGGGTAGGGTAGGGTAGGGTAGGGTAGCGTAGAGTAGAGTAGGGTAGAGTAGGGTAGGATAGGGTAGGGTAGGGTAGGGTAGAGAAACAGAAAGCAGGCTTGGGTAGAATCGAGAAGAGTAATGTAAGATAGGATATATTAGAGAAAAGTAGGATTGATGTAGGGTCTTATGTATTTTGTCAAAATCTTCACGTTATGACATAATTTATAAAAGTTATAAAAAAATTGTGCGCAATTACCTAATTTAATGATATAACAAGATAGCCTCAGAGAAATTGCAAGAAACGTTATTACGCAACGTTTTCTTATGTAATTTTACAATTATATATAACAATTGCCTCGATGTAAAACGACCCAACAAATGACTGCGAGTGCTGGGATTTGGCTCTGAACTTCTGCGGGGGGTCTTAAATAGAAATGGCAGCGAAAATTTTTGTTGTCTTTTGGCTTACTCACTACTAAGCCTAAGCTTACTAATCTTATGTCTAAGCTACTAAGCCTAAGTCTACTAAGCCTAAGCCTACTAAGCCTAAGTCTACTAAGCCTAAGCCTACTAAACCTAAGTCTACTAAGCCTAAGCCTACTAAGCCTAAGCCTACTAAGCCTAAGCCTACTAAGCCTAAACCTACTAAGCCGAAGCCTACTAAGCCAACGTCTACTATGTATAAGCCTACTAACTAAAGCTTTCATTTTAGGCGTTCGCAGACAAAACACTTCACGGCAAAGACAACGTGGTCCGTCTAATGCGTCAATTCAATTCAGAAGCCCCCGTTCCAGAATCTTTTGGATTCTCCACGTTATGGGCACGGTGTGTCGAGTTTGATCTAGCCGAATGGACAATGCAATTCCGCGACTACCCGCTACCATACCTGGACTTGAAGGATGCCCACTTCTGGGGCACCTTATGCGGTGCAGAACACTTGGCTGGCAATCGATCACAACGTGAAGCCACAGTAACCCTGCCGGAACCATGGGGAGAGTATACTGTATTGAGGAACATGTGTCCACTGAAGTTTTACTATGATATTGAGAGTGGTGAGTTATAAAGGAGTTCTACTGTATTTAAAGTTGATTCAAAACCCGTTTCTGACGTTTTTGGAAAGTTTTACTGATGTTCTGTTCAGGCTTTTCGTGGTGGGACCAAAAATTTGGAAAACGATATTTTTGTAAAAAAATTATGAAGTGAAAGTTAAAATTTTATTGTAAACGTGTTTTTACGCTTTTTACAAGACTTTTAGACTATTTTCTTGGAAATCAGGGTTTTCGTGGTGGGACTTAATTTGATACAGGGTGTTTACTGACATCTTATGAAATACTGCTTAAAAGTAGCAATGCAGCTTGTAGTTTGCTTCTAGAAGTTATAAAAAGGCACTTAGACGCAATGCCAAAAGTTCAGGGTTTTCGTGGTGGGGCCAAAACTTTTTTTTTCAAAAATTTAAATTTTTTAACAGTCAAGTAAAGTATACTGTAAAAAAAGAAATTAGAGTATAGTAAGCATTGCCTTTTTTGTCTTATTACTTATTGAATGTATATTTTAGAAATAACCGACCTACGCACGACATACGGCCCATGTTGGGAGCCCTGCCTATCGATGATATCCCTGTGTTGGCGCTACATCAATGCCCCATCCAAAGACCCATCACCACCACTCTCATTTTGGGACAAGGTACGACTACTCTTACATGGACGATTTACAGCATTGATGAAAAAGTTGTGCACATCAATGTTGGCATCACCAGACCCTTATAATGACACGGAACTGGTCGAAATCACGTGGGAAAACTTTGAATTCGACTGGGTTACAGGTAAAATTATGTTTTTTATTTGGAAATTGTATTTTTTTTGGCAGGGCAGGTGGAATTTAAGCGGATTTTTGCAGTTTGCTTGAAATTCAGGGTTTTCGTTGTGGGACCCAAATTGATATTTTTTTTAGATTTAATGAAGAAAAAATCTTAATAGAAGTGAGAACTTTAAAATTTAGCATAAGGGTTTATTTTATGCCACTTAGACATAACGCCAAGGATTCAGGAATTTTTGTGGTGGGACTCAAATTTATAAAAAAAGCTCGTAATATAGTAAATATAGCTATAGGTATGACTTTAAAACTTTTAGTTTAGTTTAATTGTTTATAATTTTGCATTTGAACACAATGCCAAGAATTCAGGGTTTTCGTGGTGGGGCCCATTTCGGTCGATTTGAATAAATTGCTTCACCAGGCTTTGGATATGAACATTAGTATCATTTTAAAAAATTTTAAACAATTTTTTGGAAATTTACTATTTTCAGGCCAATTTCGAGTCCACACCGACCTAGATGCCTATATCCGCACCGCCTCGAAGTACGACGATAGTCGCCTTCTCCACCTGCCCAACCTCAAACTGATGATAGCCCTGGACTGGGCTTGTATGGCCGATCAGCACGATCATCACAATGTCACCCCCATCGCACCGAACAAGCTACCAGACTATGTTACAGTAGGCGGCCACGACTCGTACCGTGCCTTCCGAAGCGAGCACGTCGACATTCAATTACAACTCGAAGCTATACCAAGCCTAGACCCGCGAAATGCACCACAGATATTGTTATACGCGAACACATTCAGATGGCTGGACTTTATGAAAAATACATTGACTATGGTGAATCGACCGGTAAAGCGGGGCAAAGTCTTCAATGAACCGATTGTGAAGAGGCATCAGCTCAGCCGGCATTTTAGGTAGGTTTTACAGTGGGAAAGGATAATGGAAGGATGGGTGGGGGGGGCGGAAAGGCTAGTTCAATATCATAATTTTAATTTCCTAGAGGCAGGGGGTAGGGCAGGGTAAAAAAATTTAAAATTGGTATGAAGGTGGGGGGGGGGCTGTAAAAATAATTTGGTTGGGGATGAGGCTGGAAGAGAGCTGGTAATGTTTTTTTACTAAGGGCAGGGTAGGGTTGGGTATAAAAATAGTTTTTGGGTCCCACCACGAAAACAGGTTATGACTTTTTTTGGTAATTTTATAGAAAAAATGATTAAATTGCGATCTAAAATTATTTAAAAACCAGTAATTTTTAATTTTTTTGCGTATATCTTGAATATTTAACTTTTTTGGGTCCCACCACGAAACCATTATTTGGCGTCTTTCGATAAATTCAGATAAAAATTATAAAACGTATATCAAAAAAGGATAAAAAGACACAAATTACACTTTTCTTTGATATCATGTCATTTTTAATATGATTTTTTACGGAATTTTGGGTCCCAACACGAAAACCTTGAAATTTAAAAAAAAAGTTGGTAAATTGGGGAAAAATGGACAAATATTGATGATTTCAAGGTCTTTAGGCCTTAAAAATACAATTTTTAAAACATTTCTATCTAAGAAAAATATTTTTAGAAACATCCACTTAAACGTGACCCTACCTCGCTTCCTGATCTCCTACTGGATGTCATTCTCATCCTCATACGGCGTTCGAATGATCTCCGAAGGCCTGCGACTCACCTCATCCATGGTCATGAACTCAGCCCCACAACCAAGCGAACAAATTAAACGTCGCAAACGACGTGCCGTGAAAGCAAATCACGTTTCGGTCCAACTGGAAAAGGCACAAATCCATTTGTTCGGCGAGAAACGTCAGCCCAGTCCAGCCGATGGACTAACTGATGATCATGCTGATTCGTTCTTCATGGGCTTGTCAAGACTCAACTATGTCAGGGAAAGCGAGGCCGAACAGAATAAGGTGGGTTTTTAAACGATTTTATAATATTGAAAATTCAGGGTTTTCGTGCTGGGACCAAATGATGTTTAAAAAACTTGAATTTTTACTAAATTACGGTTTTAAATTGTCTAAAATGACGTTTTTTTTTGTTTTTTGATTAAAAAATTGCACTTTGCACACAATGCCAAGAGTTAACTGTTTTCGTGGTGGGACCAAAAAGCTGTTGATTAAAACTTCAATTTTTAGTAAATTACAGTTTTAAATGGTTTGAACTAACATTTTTTATGTTATTTAGTTAAAAAATGGCAGTTGATGTTAAGATTTTAATTTTTTTCGTGGTGGGACCAAAAAAATATCAAAATTAAAATTGTAGAAAATCGTGGTTTAAAATGGTGTAAAATACGTTGTACATTGCTTTACACTTGTTATATTAAAACAGCGGCTGAAACAGAATACCAAGGTTTGAAGGTTTTCGTGATGGGACCTAAAATCTGAAAATTTTGAAAAAAACAGTATTTTTAGCTAACACCCCTCCCAAAACACCGCCGCACCGCCTCGCTAACAGCCAAACTTCAAAACGCCGCCGGCCGAACACCCGACCAGTCGAAAGGCGGCGTCAACCAATCAGCCAGCTCAACCCAATTGAATGCTGACAAACGGGCCGTTCATCGACTCACAATTCACGATCTGAGAGGGGCGTGGACGACCGAGAACAGGGACGCATGCCTGGCCATCATGGATGGAGTCCAAAAAGCGTACTTGTTGAGGAAGGTGCTCAGCAATGATGCTATGAAAATGTTTAGTGTAAGGCTGTCGATTTTAATTTTTTTCAAAGTTTTTTTGGGCTTAAAGAGCTGTTAGGCTTAGGTTTAGTATGCTTAGGCTTAATATGCTTAAATTAGGCTTATTGGGTTTAGGCTTTGATTAAATAGGCTTAGGCTTAATGGGCTTAAGCTTGGGTTTACTAGGCTTAGTAGGCTTATTTGGCTTAGGCATAGTAGGCTTAGGCTTAGTAGGCTTAGGTTTAGTAGGCTTAGGCTTAGTAGGCTTAGGCTTAGTAGGCTTAGGCTTAGTAGGCTTAGGCTTAGTAGGCTTAGGCTCAGTAGGCTTAGGCTTAGTAGGCTTAGGCTTAGTAGGTTTAGGCTTAGTCTTAGTAGGCTTAGGTTTATCAAAACGTTTTTGAAAATATGATGTTATTTTAGCTGGACGCGGCTCAACAAACCCAGCAGACGAGACAACGACAAGCCTACGTTGAGAGAGTCATGGAGCGAAGGGAATCGAAACTGTAAGTTGTTATTATATAGTACTGAATAGTACGGTGCAAAGATAATTTTTGAAAAAAGATTTTTTTTGTATTTTAGATCGGAACTAAACTCCCCCGAAAAAGATCCAATGACAGGTGAAGCCATCGTGGAAGACGAATCCGAGGAAATGCTTTGGAAACTGATAAACGAAGCCGAAACCAACCTTGTGGCATACTCAGAAGACACGGTAGAACCACCGACCAACTCTCTATTAGGTGTTTTACTGTGTGCCATGGACGATGTGGTACTAAACAATTGGCAAGTAGACCTACTGAACTCGCAAGTGGTACTCAAAGGTGGGTAATGACGACGTGAGGAAAGGGTCGGGCTTGAGCAAAATTGGACACGGCTTTGACAGGGCCAAAATTAGTGGTTGGCAGGGTCAAAGAGTTTGTGGAAAATGAAATTTAGATACTCCAGGTCAAGAATTTTGTAGAAAAGTCAAATTTTGTTAGTTTGAAAAAATGGACGAAGTGTCACAATATTTATTGGATGTTTAGACGAAATGTCTCAAATTTTATCGATTTTTTTGAAAATGGCATTTTTGGTCAAAAAGTTTATAGTAGACAGGAATTTTACTTTTTTGACAAATTAGACGAATTGTCACCAAAATTTTTGGTTTTTGACGAAATGTCACAAAATGTATTGATTTTAAAAAACACGACGTTTTAGAGTTAAAAAAACATAGCAAAATGAAATTTTATGTTTTTGTTTAAAGAAAACGAAATTTCATTACATTTATTGATTTTTGACGAACTGTCACAATTTTTACTGTTTTTTAACGAAATGTCACAAATTTCATAGATTTTTTGTATTAATTGCATTTTCGGTCAAAAAGTTCATAGTAGGCACGAAGTTTATTAATTTTTAACAAATTAGACGAAGTGTCACAAAAATATTGATTTTTGACGGAATGTCACAAATTTTATTGATTTTTGAAAAATGCCTTTTTTGGAAAAAGGTCATACAAAAATCACTTATTTTTGATTGAAATTTTGAATTAGTTTTAAAAACTTGTATTTTAGGTCACGAAACCGACAGTTTCATCCTGGTTTCGGCAGCTCGCGCCTCCATCACCCAACGATTCCACCTGCCAGTTTGGCGCAACTCTCAATTGTTACTTAAACGCTCATATGCAGCATTCCTATCAGGAATGCAGTACTTTGCACCACTGACAATCCAACAAAACCAGCGAACGGATGTGCCATTATATAAACGATTCCAGTGGTTGAGCCGAGAGATAATCGAGGAGAAGGACCCACGACAACCCCATGATAAGGTCAACAACTACTCGAGGAGCGGCGAGGCGGTCGGAGGGGTGGTCACTGGTAAGCAAATCATTTAGTCTTTAAGCTTTTAGGCTTGGAAGGAGGTCGTAGGCTTAAGGTTACATTTTTGTAAGGGTTGTTTCAGTAGGTTTAGGCTTGGTTAGATTAAACTTAGTATGCGTAGGTTTAGGGTTATTGGACTTGAATTTAAGCCTAAAATGCGTGCTTAAGTCTAAGCTTAAAATGGGTACTTAAGCCTAAGATTACGTAAGTTTAAACCTAAAAGAGAAAGCCTAAAATGCGTCTGAGCTGCAAATTACGTAATCCTAAGCCTAAAATGTGTGCTTAAGCAAAAATTGTAAGATGTGTACTTAAGCCTAAAATGACGTAAGCTTAAACCTAAAATGTGTCCGTAAGCCTAGAATTGCGTAAGCGTAAGTTTAAAATTACGTAAACATAAGCCTAAATTCGCGTAAGCCTAAAATGTGTGATTAAGCCTAAAATTTGTGCCTAAGCCTAAAATTACGTAAACTTAAGCCTAAGCCTAAATTATATGCGTTAGCTTTATTCCAAAATTTTAGCTCCAGTGGAACGTCGCCAGGACGATGAATCCACAGCCAACTCTACCGTTCAAATGCAGCGTGTTGCATCACGGTGTAGCTGTCAAATGTTCTTCTGCTACTACTCTGACTTGATTAATATGGAAAAGTTTGAGGATTTCGTTGTGCCACAAATAACTGACGAAAAAGAAGCCAAATTTGGGGAACGGAAGGATGACATTGACTGTTTTACACTTAAGGTAAGGGGTTTTCTACAGTTTTTCGATTGTAAGTAATACTAAGCCTAAATGATAAGCCTACTAAGCCTAAATGAAAAATTATGAAAAATTTTGATAAAATGGTTTTTCTAGGGACTTTTTGACCGGATTGAGCAAATTTTGGATTTTTTAAAATTTTTTTTGGTCAATAAAAATTAAGTTTTTTGAAAATTAAAAAATGTGATAAAATTGCATTTTCCATAATTTTTGACCGGAAAAACAGTTTTAAATTTTTTTAAAATTTTTTTGCGAAAAAAAACATATTTTGCCATTTTTATACCTATGATAATCCATTACCAACAACCCCCTCTCTATTTGGACCGAAACAAATCATAAAGCGAAAGAGAGCAGCGTGGCGCAGTGGAAGCGTGCTGGGCCCATAACCCAGAGGTCGGTGGATCGAAACCACTCGCTGCTAATAGATTTTTTGCGCAGTTTTGCTAAAATTTTTTGCGGTTTTTTGGTAAAATATGGTGTGATAAGGATTACTTAATTTTCTTTAGTGTTTTTATAAGGTGTTGCTTTTAGATATCTGGTTAAAAATGGCAAAAAAGTGGAAAATTTAAGAATTTTTGGGGAAAAACGAAGATTTTTTTTTAATTACAGGTGTTTTTGCACATTTTTTGATTAGTTTATACTTGAAAAGTCTTGTAAAGTATCGGCAATGACGTTTGAGGACATAATATTAATTTTAGTTTGTTAAAAATTTGAAAAAATGGCTAAAAACTTTGAGAAAACGCGAAATTTTGAAAAAAAATGCGGAATTTTTTGTGAAAATCAGAGCTTTTTGATGACATTTTAAATGATGTATGATGTGAAAAGTATATAAAATCACTTTGAGGATCATACTTTTTACTTTGTATTTTAAAAAATTTAAAAAAACGGCTGAAGAACGGTCGAAAACTCAAAAATTTTCTTAAAAATGTGAATTTTCAGCTAGAATTTTTAATTTAAAAACCATTTTCAGCACAACATGCTGGAAGTAAGCACGAATCCGGATCAATATCAAGTCATACTGGATATTGTGAACAACCTGGTACTGTTTGTGGATCCGAAAAAGAAGTTGGCACAGGAGAAACGGCGTCGTTTGTGGTTCGAACTGGCCAAATTGACCAAGAATGAGGTCGGCGAGGCAGTTCAGAGACGTCAAAATGAATTGAGGGAGGTAGTGGCCCACATCAGGGCGTTGGAACGACAAAACTTTTTTGCTCAACTCCAGTCCAGTCAGGGTGATGAAAGGTAAAATACGGTTTTTCGTTTGGATTAGTTTTTTAAAAAAAGTTTAGGGTCCCACCACGAAAACATTAAAATTTAAGCTTGTTTTTTAAAAATTAAAAATTTGTACTGAATTTGGTACAATTAGTACTGTGTTGTATTAGGAAATCAAAAAAACTTTTAGAGATTAGTTTTGGGTCCTGCCACGAAAACCTTAAAATTTAAGCATGTTTTTTATAAAATGAAAATGTGTAGTGAATTTGGTACAAAAAAGTTTGGTTTTGTAAACGCTGTTTCATTTAAAATGGCAGTAAAACGATGTTATGCTTCAGTGTGGACCAAATCAACGAAGAACGGCAGCAACAAATCGAAAAATTCAAGCAACATCAGGTCACGTTGATCGACGAGCTAGCCTTAACAATATCCGTTTGTAAAGAGAAGTCGGTGGAAGAACAAACCGCCTTCAATCGACGCCTAAAGGCTCAGAATGAGGACGAAAGCCGAGATAACGTGGAGTATAGTGAGATCGCCAGACGCTTCGAAGTCTGCTTCGAAGACTGTATTTGGCGGCTGACTGAAGCCGATGGACAACTGTCGATCACTGAGGTTCAGATAAGGAACTTTTTGTAAGGTTTTGAATTTTTTTAAATTTTAAAAATTTTTTTTGAAATTTAAAATTTTTTTTAAAAAAAGGCAAATCATGCAAAAGTCAATGTTAAAAACTTTTAAAAATGTCATTTTATATCATTTTTGAACAAGTTCTGAAAAGTTTTGGCAGTTTTCCCGACTGGGACATGTTTCATCGTATAACTTGTAACTGGCAGACTGCAAGAGGTTAAAAACGGGTGTTTTGCTTAAAATACGAATTGATGTTATTAAAAAATGTTGGCAGTTTTTTCGGCGAGGAGGATGTTTCATCGTATAACTTGTCATCGGCAGGCTGCATAGGTTTATAAACCGGTTTTTTGACTAAAATACGAGCTGATCTTCCAAAAGAAGTTAAATACAGTTTAAATTTTGAAATTTTAATCAGGTTAAAAATATTGGCAGTTTTCCTGACGGGGACATGTTTCATCGTATAACTTGTCAGCGGCAGGCTGCGGGAAGTTAAAAAACGGATTTTTATATTTAAAAGTAGTTTAATTGTAAAATACGGTGATGGCGTTTTTGTCATTAAAAGTGGATTTTTGTGGTTGCACGGACATGTTTCATCGTATAACATGGCACGCGCAGGCTACAGAACTTAAAAACGGCATTTTTTAAATAAAACAAGTAAAAAAGGTAAATAGTTAGTGGCTAAATGACATTTTAAACGTATTTTTAAAAATATAAAAGTAAATTTTAAAGACTTTTTTGGTTTTCTTTACTACCGATGTTATCCATGACATTACCCTTCAACATTTGTCATTTTAGGTACAACCGAACCGCTAGAGTGGACAATTCTGGCGAGCATTTGTTGGAAATCGGTTCGGTCAAGGTCCTAAACCTTTTGCCCAACTCCAAGTATCGTGAAACCTTGGCCCGCCTTCCAAATCCAAAGTCGAAGCCAGAAAGCACCGACACGGACAAAACCCCAGCCATTCGCGTGATCTGCCGCGAACTGCCCCCAGTAGGAGGAATAAGTGTCAAAGAACATTTCGAAGTCAACATCGTTCCAATGCAAGCACAGATCACATATCGATTCTTCGAGAAAATGATGGCATTCTTCTTCCCGGGCCGTCAAATTGATAAGGAAGACCAGAATCTGGACGTGGAGGAGGCTAGCCATCCACAGCAGGTAGGTTATGGCAGTTTTGAGGTCACTAACTGATGTAGAATGGAATATATGTTGATTTGGGCTAGATGTTTAAAATTTTTGGTTAGAGGGAAAGACTTGACTCCGAGTTGAAGCGTTGGGTCAAGTTTTTCTCTTGATGAAAAATATATAAAAATGACAGAAAACAGATTTTTAACGACTTAAAATGTGTTTTCTTTTATTTTAAACATTTTTGACCATAGGGAAAGACTTGACTCCGAAATGACGCATTGAGTCAAGTGTTTCTAACAATAATAAATTATTTAAAAATAATTGAATTAATATATTAATAGACTTAAAATGATTTTCCATATTGTTTTTGGCTTTTTTGGCCAGAGGGAAAAACTTGACTCCGACATGAAGTTTTGGTTCAAGTTTTGCTTTTAGTAAAAAATGTGTAAAATTGATTGAAAATGAATTTGAAAGGACTTGAAATGACTTACTTTAAGATTTTTAAATACGAGAACACTTGACTCTGAACATTCATTTTTGTGTCAAGTCTTACTCTCGCGTAAAATGGGCTTAAATGGCTGAAAATGTATTCTGTATCAGTTAAAGTTCATTTTTAAGTCTATTTTTGAAAATTTTTGACTGATAGAAACACTTGACTCATTATAAAATTTCGAAATTTCAGAGCTTCTGGCTAGCCAAACGTTTCCGTGGCGCGGTGAACAGTTCATTCCGCGCGTCACGCCTCAATTTGGCCACAAACGACCAACAAAAGGGCCAATCGGCCGATGAAATCGACAAGATGAAGGAGCGAGCGGACAAGAACAACATGTTCGTCTACATCATCATACCACCAGTACCATTCATCGTCTCGTACAAGGGCAACAAAGAGAAGAACATTGAGGACATTGACCGCTTCAACCTGACCTTCCCTTTGTGTGAGTATCACAACAAGAACTGGACCTGGCTGGACCTGTCGCTAGCCATCAAGAAAAGCTACCGTAACATTCTAGTCCAGCAGTTCATGAAGCAAAAGATCCTGAGGAAGTCGCTACAAACTCAGCCAGAGCCGGTGGACGAGGAGGAGAAGAAGAGGATCGTACTCGGCAATACTGATGCTATCAACATCAAGAAAAAGCATAGGAAGTAGACGGAATGTCAAAAGTAGACGAAATGTCAAGAGTTGACGAAATGTAAAAAGTAAACGAAATGTCACAAGTAAACGAAATGTCAAAACTAGACGAAATGTCACAAATCGTTTAACAAAGGTGGACTTAATGCCATTTTTCGTTGACAAAAAGAAGGAAAATGCCATTTTTGATTGGGCAAAGGCCCAAAAAATGACATTTTTATAATCCGAAATGACATTTTTAACTACACCTACCCTTAGATTATTAAAAATGACCTTATATAAGCTTAAAAATGGCAAAAAAATTGTCACTTCTCTAGTCGCGTCAAAAAGAATTGGTCCTTTTTGCTATATAAATACAATGAAAATCACCCAATTCTTTTTGGCGCGCCAACTTTTCGTTAGGTTTATTGTTACATCTCGGTCCAAAAGTTTAGGGAAAAAATGAAAATTGGTCAAAATGGCCCTTGTGGAATGTTCTGATTAGTTTTTGACCGAGAATCTGAAGTTTCATACTTTTAGGAATTTTATGACCAAAAAAGTCCTAGCGTGGCATAAAATGTCATAACCCGGTCTAAAAGTTTAGGAAAAAAGCGAAAATGGGCTCAAATGAGAGTTAATAGAATTTTCTATCTAGTTTTGGACCGAATTTTTAAATTTAGCTTTTCTACGACTTTAATGACCGAAGGAGTCCTAGGTGTGTCAAAAAGTGATATATCTCGGTTTAAAAGTTTGAAGAAAACCTGAAAATGGCAAAGATTTGTATTTCTATAAACTTTATGACCAAAAAACTAGCCCGCGTCAAAAAGAATTGGACCTTTTCTAATGTATTTATATAGCAAAAACGACCAATTCTTTTTGACGCGACCGTAATATTGTACCATGATATGTATTATGTTGGTAGCTACCTATGTTGATAGTATTTAAGATAAACTTTAAGTTAAAATGGCATAATTTAAAAATTTATTCGTCATAATCTCGGTGCTGCGAAAAGCATGGCATCACCAATATAACCACGGCGATTGCCAGCACAGCCGCTATGGCCAGGATGACCCAGAATAAAATACTGAGCTGGGGGTCTTTTTCGCCTCGAGGCAGGGGTAAAACTGGCATTTCCGGGCTTTCCGGCATTATTGGCTGAAAAAAACAGGTTTTGTGGTATAACTTGTCACCCGCAGGCTGTGGAGCATTAATTTTTATGAATCGGCTTTAAAATGGCAAGAACTTTCTTTACAAAACATAGCTTTTGAAAAACCGCAAGGACTTTCTTTACATTAGGCTTAGAAACTTTTAAAACCTATCCATCGTATATCATGTCGCCCGCAGGCTGCGTAACCTAAATTTGGCTTTAAAACCGCAAGAACTTTCTTTCCAGAATAAAAATTATAAAAATGGCAAGAACTTTCTTTCCAAATCGTAATTTTCAAAAAACCGCAAGAACTTTCTTTCCAAAATCTCACCTGATTGTCCCCCAAGTTGGCTTGAGCTTCAATTTGTGCCAAATGTCGTAGCCAGAATTCGATTGCATTTTGATTGAAAGTCTCCTCAACATGCAGTAAAGGCCTTCTGATCACGGTAAGATTGTTTTCTCCACCAATGGTACGAAAAGCGGTCGATAAATAGTTGCGACCTTGTTCATTGACTGGTCTCCAGCCTAAAAAATAGGGAAATTTGGTCTGAAATTGACAAAAGTGTAGTTGAAATGCCATTTTTCAATATTAGGAAGGTAAAAAAATATGAAAAAGTTCAAAATCGACCGGTCGCAAAAAGCGCTCCGTCCTATCATTGTGTCATCAACACCTTTCTGCAAAGAATTGGCTCGTTTTGTTCTTCACGGCGCACGGGCTTCGAACCCCAGGGCTTTCGAATGGAAAGCAAACGCGCTAACCATTCGGCTATAAAAACACGCTGCGAACTTGCCTTCGTTCGCCTCTTTTGAGGAAAGGAGGCGAGACATCGGAAGTGGGTGATGTTTATTTGGGTATAAAATGCCATTTTTAAACAATATAAAGGTAGTTTTTCATACAAAAATGTGTAAAATTGAATTTTCTTTCGATTTATCTCAATTTTTTCTTAAATTTCTATTAAGCTCATATGTAAAATGAGATTTTTGGCTAAAAAACGGCCCCTTTTGGGTATAAAATGCCATTTTTAAAAACTACAAAGTTTTGATATATCAAACTTGCTATCAAAAAAAAGTGTAAATTAAAATTTTATTTAAATCTAAAAGCAAAATTTCAAATTTTGGTCTGTGAATCTATTAAAAACGGATTTTCGGCTTGGACTAAACGACTTATTTTAGATATAAAATGCCATTCTTAAAGTAAATAAAGGTGTTTTTGGTACAGAAATGCTCAGAATTGAATGTTCTTTAAAGTACATTAAACTTTTTCTCAAATTTGGAACAGGGTTATGATTAAAAATGGCATTTTCTGGTCAAAAAACAAACTTTTCCACCAAAAATTGATTTTTTTGCCATTTTAAATTGGCATGCATATATAAAAGTTTGCCAAATCTAAGAAAATGAGTGTAAAATACGCACTGCGCCATGTCAAGTTGAAAAAAAAATTAAAAAGTCCCTGCTATACCTAAAATTTCACTTTTTCACTTAACTTCCCTTACCTTCCAATGGCGTTTCGCTGCCTAAAATGAAGTTTCTGAAGATGGCGGGGTAGAAATCATTCATTAACTGGTCTTCATAGTCATTCTCAATTGTGTGATTGTTCATAATCGACCGTCGATGCAGTCCGAGGAGGTACATTAAGTCAGCGGCGTGGAAGTTGGCACTGTCTTGGGTGAAGACGGAGAAGAAGGAACTGCCTCCGGTGTTTTGGTTCATGATGGCTAGCCTGGAATAGGTTTAGTACCATTACCATAATGTTCAAAAAATGGCGGTGGGGTACTGTAGTCAAAAAAAAAAGTAGGGTAAAGTAAGGTAGAATAAAGTAGGGTAGACTACTGTAGGGTAGGGCAGGGTACTGTAAGGTACGGTAGAGTAGGGTAAAGTACGGCAAGTTACGGTTGAGTACTGTAGGGTAGGACAAAGTAGGGCAAGGTACTCTAATGTAGAGTAGTGTAATGTAGGGTAGGATATGGTAGAGTTGGGTACGGTAGGGTACGATAAGTTACAGTACGGTACTGTAGGATAGGTTACGGTAGGGTTTCTTACCTATAAGCCACGGCATGAAAGGCGTCCTTGGCCATCGTTTCCATATGTTCAGCACTGTCACGGTACTTAGTGTGACATTCGGCTACGGTAGCTTCTCGTACGTAGCCCAACATACGACAAAACACTACACAAGCTTCAAGTAGAGAGGAATCTGTGAAGGCTGACAATGGCATCTCTTCTTTGGTTACGGTAATCAGCATTGGAATGGGCTGGAATTACGGTAGTTTTTAAAAATTACGGTATTTTTTCTACCCTGCCCTATCTTACTGTACCGTACTGTACCCTACCCTATCCTACCCTACCTACAGTACCCCACTTACCCTCCATTTCTTGAACATTACAGTAGTAGTACTGGCCGGGAACAGGTAGTCGTCCTGTTGTGGTAGTACTCGTTTGTACAAGAAATGTGATTCGACCGAAGCTTTGACCAACTCTTTGAATGGCATCTCACGTAGACACTCAAGCCGCTCGGGTAGCGGGATCAGCCGGCTGTTCTTGATGGCACACTGAAAAGAGAAATCGAGTGTAAACAAAGTTTTTGCAAACTAAACGAAAATCAACCGTAAACAAAGTTGCTTTACTCACCCCCGACCGGTCGAGGCTCTGATCGCTCAAGGGCTGATTAAAATGAGGTCCCAACGTAGGCATGGGACTACATAGTACAATCCGCTCGAACGCCGTATCCTCGACTGCTGGTGACACCAAAAGCAATGATAAGATACCAGCACCACTTGTATGACCAAAGCCGGTAATTTTGCGTATATTGGCGCCAATTGACGGTAGCTCACGTTGGACAAAGCGGAGGGCCGTTATCACGTCTGGAAAGAAAGTTATTGCTATTTTTTGTATTCGAAAGAAAGTTGTTGCCATTTTTTGAGTTGGAAAGAAAGTTCTTGCAATTTTTTGCTTTTAACCAAAGTTCTTGCCATTTCTATCCTAATAAACCGAAATTTTGAGTGTTGCAGGCTGCGGGCGACAAGTTATACGACGAATAGGGGATTAAAGATTTAAAAAAAACTAATGTAAAGAAAGTTCTTGCGTTTTTTCAAAATTTGTGTTTCATAAAGTACGCCCTTGCCATTTTTAAATAAAATCACAAAAATCACTGTTCTGCAGCCTGCCGGTGACAAGTTATACGATAAACACAATTTTTTTCCAACTTTTCATGTTTTGTAAAGAAATTTTCTGCTATAATCTTTTAAAAAAAAAGTATTTTTTTTACCTTACCCCACGTCCTAACGTATCTTATGATTACAATTAGTCCCTTCCATCTCTAAAATTTTTTTACCCCATCCCCTAAAAAAGTTTTTACTCTCCCCAACGCCTCAAAAAAAACTTTTAAAAAAATTTTCCACCGCTCCCCTTCTCCCCCCCCCGAAACAAAAAAAATAAGCTACTCCCCCATACTACCCGATCTGCTTTCCTCCTTTTTTACAAATTAATACTTACCATAAACCCCCACATTATAAGGAGCATCGTCAAATGGAGCGCCCAAATCCAGAAATCCGAAAATACCACGCCGAAAGGCGGGCAGTACGAAGATCATGCCATGGGAAGCGAACTTTTCGATTATGTCAGTTTCATTGAAGCGGGTCGCTGATAAGTAGACATTGGACCCGCCGTAGACGTAAAATACGACGGGGCATGGGTTCGTGGTCTGAAAAATGAGTTGTAAAGAAAGTTCTTGCCATTTTTTATTTTGTAAAGAAAGTTCTTGTCATTTTTTGTTTTGTAAAGAAAATTCTTGCGGTTTTAAAGCAAAAAACCCAAAAAATTTGCGTTTTGCAGCCTGCGGGTGACAAGTTATACGATGAATGCATATTTAAGTTTTGTAAAGAAAGTTCTTGCCATTTTTTGTTTTGTAAAGAAAGTTCTTGCCATATCTATCCGGTTAATCCAAACTTTTATGTTTTGCAGCCTGCGGGTGACAATTTATACGAATGATGGGTTTTAAAAGTTTTAAAGGTCAGTGTAAAGAAAGTTCTTGCGGTTTTTCAAAATTTGTGTTTTGTAAACAAAGTTCTTGCCATTTTTTTCTAAATTTCAAATTTTGAAAAAAAAACTTACATTACACTTAGCATCAGCATATACATTAACATAGAGACAGTCCTCACTCTGTTCTTCATTGGCTCGAGGAACGATGGTGACATTCGGACTACAGGCTGACTTATAACTTGTCGCATCGAAAGTATCCGCCCAGCCAAACTTAGGGATTGGTGCTGAAAAGCGACGGCTGTCTAATGGTGGCTCGGCGTACGGTATTCCCTGAAATTTCGAAAAATTTAAAACTTTGAAATTTAAAAGGTACGGTAAGGTAGGGTACAGTATGACAGGTTAGGGCATGAGTAAGTCATGGGTAAGGCATGGGTAGAAAGGTAAAGTAGGGTAGGGCAGGGTAGGGTAGGGTAGGGTAGGGTAGGGTAGGGTAGGGTAGGGTAGGGACTAGGGGCTAGGGCTCTGGACTAGGGCTCTAGACTAGAGCTCTGGACTAGGGCTGTGGACTAGGGCTCTGGACTAGGGCTCTAGACTAGGGCTCTGGATTAGGGCTCTGGACTAGGGCTCTGGGCTAGGGCTCTGGACTAGGGCTCTGGACTAGGGCTCTAGACTAGGGCTATGGGCTAGCGGCTATGGGGTTTAGGGCTAGGACAAAATTTTAACCAGCTAAAACTCTACCCGAAACACATTGACCGGTCCATTTTCGGCCGTGATCTGTTCTCCTTTCACCTTTCCACTGGGGATGTCTACTACAATATAAGTTTTTTCGTCTTTTTCTTGGCAAAATGCCACTTTTAGTAGTATAAACAAAATGAAAAATAGCTTCATTTTATAGATTTTAAAATTTGAAAAGAATTTTTTATTTTTGTATTGGTCAAAAAGTCTTTAGAACGAGGAAAAATCAAGGTTTTAGACCACAAATGGCTTTAAAATCAAGATTCCAAGCCTTTTAGCGGTCAATAAGTCCGCAGAATCAAATAATTTAACTATTTTTAGGCTTACAATAGTATTTTTTAGTCACAAACCCAAAAACAATATCCAAAATCAGCTAATAACCTACTCGAATATCATAACCAATCATGTTATTTTCGAATGTATATCTGAACCCGGGGCTTTAATTTATGCAAATCCTGCCATTTCATAACAATACCAGCCCAAAAATATGCGAATTTTGTCAGGGAAAACCCGGCAAAAACTTTGTTTCCATTGACGCACGGGTTTTTGAAATTTTAAAGTTCAAAAACAAGGGTTTGGAAACAAAGTGTTTGCAATATTTGTGGAAAACAAAGCGTTGTAAAGAAAGTTCTTGCGATTTTTTATTTTGTAAAGAAAGTCCTTGCTATTTTTTGTTTTGTAAAGAAAGTTCTTGCCATTTCTATCCAAATAAACCAAAATTTTGTGTTTTGCAGCCTGCGGGTGACAAGTTATACGATGAATGCCTATTTCATCTTTGTAAAGAAAGTTTCTGCAATTTTTCCTAAAAATGGCGTTTTGTAATCAAAGTTCTTGCGCTTTTTTCAAACATATTTGAATAAACAAAGCCTTTACTCTTCTGGTCAATAAATTCATAGAAAATCAACAAATATCCATATTGGTCAACAAGTTTACAGAAAAATCCTCAAAATTAGCAAAATAAATTTTATTTTTCTTTTCAAATGTTACAGTAATCAAAGATCCGAGTGTTACAGTAATCGACAGTTCGAATGTTACAGTAATCCAAAGTCCAAGTGTTACAGTAATCCAATTTTCAAATGTTACAGTAACTCAAAGTCAACATGTTACAGTAATCCAAAGGCCTAATTTTACAGTAACCAAAAATCTGCGTTTTACAGAAATACAAGATCCAAGTGATACAGTAATCTCAACGTCCGAATGTTACAGTAATCCAAATTTCAAAAGTTACAGAAACCGAAAGCCCAAGTGTTACAGTAAGCCAAAGTCCAAGTGTTACAGTAATTCTTAGTCCAAGTGTTACAGTAAGCCAGAAGTTACAGTACAAAATAAGTGGAATGTCCGTTTGGAACGGTAAGCTCTAGTACTAGTACTATATGATAGTACTGTATGATAAGGTCCAGTACTATCCTCACCACACGATACTGTCCGCGTACTCGGGCAGTACGCAGTGTCGTTTCACGGTTTCGTACCCCAGCATAATCAAGCACGAGTAGATCGAGTTGTTGACCAGTCGAGGGGCTAGGCCTTTCGTGAACACGTGCACACCCTCGTACTTGTACATGCGGCGAATCGTGTCCCAGTAGTTGGTACGATGCACCTAAAATGACATTTTGTCAATTTTTTATTTTAAAGTCTGGAAAGAAAGTTCTTGTCATTTTTTGTGTTGTAAAGAAAGTTCTTGCTATTTTTCGTTTTGTAAAGAAAGTTCTTGCCAATTTTCGTTTTGTAAAGAAAGTTCTTGCCAATTTTCGTTTTGTAAAGAAAGTTCTTGCCAATTTTCGTTTTGTAAAGAAAGTTCGGCACTTATGTAGATCAGCCCCCCGCTTTGTGAAGTATAGCCCCCCAACCATTATAGATACTTTAGCCCCCCATAATAAAAAATGAAAATAAATTATTTTGTGTTTTGAAGTTGTTACTGCCGGGTTGTTTTTATTTTGAGGGCTGATGTTAACAGTTGGGGGGGGAGTGATGTTAACAGTTGGGGGCTAATGTTAACATTTGGGGGGTTGATGTTAACAGTTGGGGGGGCTGATGTTAACAGTTGGGAGGTTGATGTTAACAGTTGGGGGGCTGATGTTAACAGTTGGGGGGGGCTGATGTTAACAGTTGGGGGGGTTGATGTTAACAGTTGGGGGGCTGATGTTAACAGTTGGGGGGGCTGATGTTAACAGTTGGGGGGGGGGCTGATGTTAACAGTTGGGGGGGGCTGATGTTAACAGTTGGGGGGGGCTGATGTTAACAGTTGGGGGGTTGATGTTAACAGTTGGGGGGGGCTGATGTTAACAGTTGGGGGGTTGATGTTAACAGTTGGGGGGGGCTGATGTTAACAGTTGGGGGGCTGATGTTAACAGTTGGGGGGGGGGTGATGTTAACAGTTGGGGGGTTGATGTTAACAGTTGGGGGGCTGATGTTAACAGTTGGGGGGTTGATGTTAACAGTTGAGGGGCTGATGTTAACAGTTGGGGGCTGATGTTAACAGTTGGGGGGGGCTGATGTTAACAGTTGGGAGGTTGATGTTAACAGTTGGGGGGCTGATGTTAACAGTTGGGGGGGGCTGATGTTAACAGTTGGGGGGCTGATGTTAACAGTTGGGGGGCTGATGTTAACAGTTGGGGGGCTGATGTTAACAGTTGGGGGGTTGATGTTAACAGTTGGGGGGCTGATGTTAACAGTTGGGGGGTTGATGTTAACAGTTGGGGGGCTGATGTTAACAGTTGGGGGGGGGACTGATGTTAACAGTTGGGGGGCTGATGTTAACAGTTGGGGGGTTGATGTTAACAGTTGGGGGGGGCTGATGTTAACAGTTGGGGGGGGGGTTGATGTTAACAGTTGGGGGGCTGATGTTAACAGTTGGGGGGGTTGATGTTAACAGTTGGGGGGTTGATGTTAACAGTTGGGGGGGGTTGATGTTAACAGTTGGGGGGGGTTGATGTTAACAGTTGGGGGGCTGATGTTAACAGTTGGGGGGGGCTGATGTTAACAGTTGGGGGGTTGATGTTAACAGTTGGGGGGGGGGCTGATGTTAACAGTTGGGGGGCTGATGTTAACAGTTGGGGGGCTGATGTTAACAGTTGGGGGGGGTTGATGTTAACAGTTGGGGGGGGGGCTGATGTTAACAGTTGGGGGGGGTTGATGTTAACAGTTGGGGGGGGGGCTGATGTTAACAGTTGGGGGGGGTTGATGTTAACAGTTGGGGGGTTGATGTTAACAGTTGGGGGGGGTTGATGTTAACAGTTGGGGGGGGGGTTGATGTTAACAGTTGGGGGGGGGGCTGATGTTAACAGTTGGGGGGGGCTGATGTTAACAGTTGGGGGGGACTGATGTTAACAGTTGGGGGGGGCTGATGTTAACAGTTGGGGGGGGGGCTGATGTTAACAGTTGCTGATGTTAACAGTTGGGGGGGGGGCTGATGTTAACAGTTGGGGGGGCTTGATGTTAACAGTTGGGGGGGGCTGATGTTAACAGTTGGGGGGGGCTGATGTTAACAGTTGGGGGGGGGGTTGATGTTAACAGTTGGGGGGGGCTGATGTTAACAGTTGGGGGGGGCTGATGTTAACAGTTGGGGGGCTGATGTTAACAGTTGGGGGGGGCTGATGTTAACAGTTGGGGGGGGCTGATGTTAACAGTTGGGGGGCTGATGTTAACAGTTGGGGGGGGCTGATGTTAACAGTTGGGGGGGGTTGATGTTAACAGTTGGGGGGGGGGCTGATGTTAACAGTTGGGGGGGGTTGATGTTAACAGTTGGGGGGGGTTGATGTTAACAGTTGGGGGGTTGATGTTAACAGTTGGGGGGCGGACTGATGTTAACAGTTGGGGGGGGCTGATGTTAACAGTTGGGGGGTTGATGTTAACAGTTGGGGGGCTGATGTTAACAGTTGGGGGGCTGATGTTAACAGTTGGGGTGATGTTAACAGTTGGGGGGCGTTGATGTTAACAGTTGGGGGGGGCTGATGTTAACAGTTGGGGGGTTGATGTTAACAGTTGAGGGGCTGATGTTAACAGTTGGGGGGGGGGCTGATGTTAACAGTTGGGGGGGGGGCTGATGTTAACAGTTGGGGGGGGTTGATGTTAACAGTTGGGGGGCTGATGTTAACAGTTGGGGGGCTGATGTTAACAGTTGGGGGGGGGGCTGATGTTAACAGTTGGGGGGGGCTGATGTTAACAGTTGGGGGCTGATGTTAACAGTTGGGGGGGGTTGATGTTAACAGTTGGGGGGCTGATGTTAACAGTTGGGGGGTTGATGTTAACAGTTGGGGGGGGCTGATGTTAACAGTTGGGGGGGGCTGATGTTAACAGTTGGGGGGCTGATGTTAACAGTTGGGGGGGGTTGATGTTAACAGTTGGGGGGGGCTGATGTTAACAGTTGGGGGGGGGGTTGATGTTAACAGTTGGGGGGGGCTGATGTTAACAGTTGGGGGGTTGATGTTAACAGTTGGGGGGTTGATGTTAACAGTTGGGGGGGATTGATGTTAACAGTTGGGGGGTTGATGTTAACAGTTGGGGGGGTCTGATGTTAACAGTTGGGGGGGGCTGATGTTAACAGTTGGGGGGGGGGCTGATGTTAACAGTTGGGGGGCTGATGTTAACAGTTGGGGGGGGCTGATGTTAACAGTTGGGGGGCTGATGTTAACAGTTGGGGGGGGCTGATGTTAACAGTTGGGGGGGGGGTTGATGTTAACAGTTGGGGGCTGATGTTAACAGTTGGGGGGGGCTGATGTTAACAGTTGGGGGGTTGATGTTAACAGTTGGGGGGCTGATGTTAACAGTTGGGGGGCTGATGTTAACAGTTGGGGGGCTGATGTTAACAGTTGGGGGGCTGATGTTAACAGTTGGGGGGGGCTGATGTTAACAGTTGGGGGGGGCTGATGTTAACAGTTGGGGGGGGCTGATGTTAACAGTTGGGGGGTTGATGTTAACAGTTGGGGGGGGGGCTGATGTTAACAGTTGGGGGGTTGATGTTAACAGTTGGGGGGTTGATGTTAACAGTTGGGGGGGGCTGATGTTAACAGTTGGGGGGCTGATGTTAACAGTTGGGGGGGGTTGATGTTAACAGTTGAGGGGCTGATGTTAACAGTTGGGGGGGGCTGATGTTAACAGTTGGGGGGCTGATGTTAACAGTTGGGGGGTTGATGTTAACAGTTGGGGGGGGTTGATGTTAACAGTTGGGGGGCTGATGTTAACAGTTGGGGGGCTGATGTTAACAGTTGGGGGGCTGATGTTAACAGTTGGGGGGGGGGTTGATGTTAACAGTTGGGGGGCTGATGTTAACAGTTGGGGGGGGTTGATGTTAACAGTTGGGGGGGGGGCTGATGTTAACAGTTGGGGGGGGCTGATGTTAACAGTTGGGGGGGGCTGATGTTAACAGTTGGGGGGGCTAATGTTAACAGTTGGGTGGTTGTTGTAAATAGAAAATAAAATTAAAAGTGCACTTTTTAGTTGTAATTTATGCAAATTTCACTTTTTGTGAACTTTCAATTTCTCACGCATGCGAAACCTATAAAAGCCGGTTGATTTTGCCAAAACCTTCATTCTGCCCCGCCATGCAACGCAGGTCGCGTTCCGCCTCCTATAATAGGTCCGGCCGCGCGACCCTGCCACCGATTCCAGCCACTTCGTCAGAATTCGACCTTTTGGACGTTGCATAGGACAGTTTAGGCCAGCTACCCGAAATTTTCTTCACCCCCCCCATCCCCAAATAAAAAAAAGTTTTACCCCCGCCCTTAAAAACATTCCCCACCCCCCCCACCGCCTCTTAAATTTTTTTTTCATTTGGCCGTAAAACGTTTTTCACCCTCCCCCCTCCCGTTAAAAAATTTTACCCCACCCTCAAAAATATCCTCGCCACTCACCACATCACCCTTGCCTACCTTAAAGTTCTCAAAAATTAACCCCTGAATCCCTATTACAAATACCTCAATCCTCACCAAATCACCCCCACCTACCTGAATTCGTATCCTAAGCACCTCCAGGGGGTTCGTTACCAACGCCGTCGAAATTCCGCCAAAAGTCCCGGCCGCAGCCTGCAGCAACAGCAGGTTCTGTTGGTCTTTGTGGAGCTCGGAGAAGTGTTGTTTGGTGCCATTTGAGACGAACTGGGTGTAGTACTGTTTCATGCGTATGAGTGAGTCGTAGTACATCAGCCAGAACACCATCGACGAGGGAATGTACATTAAGAGAGACGAGAGGAAGCCGCGGTAGAAACCCCTCAGGCCGTCCGCCACGTAGACGGCTCGGATCACGCGAAGGCCTGAAATTGGAAATAAGTTATTGCCGTTTCTTGATTTGTAAAGAAAGTTCTTGCCATTTCTAGATCAAAAGATAAAAACTTTACGCTCGCAGGCTGCGAGTGAGAAGTTATACGATGACTTCAGCTAAGCAAAGCAAGTCTATAGCCTAGCCCAAGTTTAGGCTTACACAGTTTTAAGCTTATCCTTACGTAATTTTAGGCTTACGCACACATTTTAAGCTTAGACTTACGCAAGTTTAGGCTTAAGCTTGTGCAAGGTGAGGTTTAGGCTTACGTAAACATTTTAGGCTTACGTAATTTAAGACTGAAGCCTACGTCTACTAAGCCTAAGCCAACTAAGCCTAAGCCTACTAAGTCTAAGCCTACTAAGCCGAAACCTACTAAGCCTAAGCCTACTAAGCCTAAGCATACTAAGCCTAAGCATACTAAGCCTAAGCCTAATAAGCTTAAGCCTACTAAACCTAAGCCTACTAAGTCTAAGCCTACTAAGCCTAAGCCTACTAAGCCTAAGCCTACTAAGCCTAAACCTACTAAGCCTAAGCTTACTAAGCCTAAGCCCAAAGCCTTCTTCATGCCATTTTAAAGCCCCTACCATGCCCTTCATACCCCTTCCTTACCTAACGTATACCTCTTCTTCAATCCATCATTCTTCAGTACATCATAGACTTTGGCGTTGCCTCGATTGCCTCCGGTGAATTGACTCGGATTGTGGTATACCATCATGTACTGTGCTACAATATCCGTTGGTACAAAGACGAATTGGGTACAAATGCTGGCAGCACCGCCAGCACATGCTGATATTAGCTGAGGTGCTTTCAGGTTGGTATGGTCCGAAATTAAATGTCGAAACTTCTCGTAGACCGATGAGTAGACGAAGCTGGCACTCAGCTGAGGCAACGTCACCCAGAAGCCGCGGTACAGTGCGGTGGGGCCTTCTGACTTCAGGATACTGCTGAAGGCGTGGGTCATGCCACGATACACGTTGTTCTGCTTCTGAAGCTGGAGTCGAGACTTGACCACGGACATTGGATACAACATGCAGCGGACCGTCCACGAGGTGGCCAATGCCATCGGGTAAAACTTGTAGAGATTCAGGTGGTTCCATTCGATCACGTGTAGTTGGTCCTGGAATTTTAAAATTTTATAAAAATTTTTAAAAAATTTCGAAATTTCAAAAAAAAGTTAAAAAATAAAACAAATTAGTTTAAAAGATTCCTTTTTCTATAAAATTTTCAACCAAAAACAGCATTTTCCAAAAATCAATAATTTTTGTGACACTTCGTCAAAAATCCAATAAAATATTTAAATTTCGTTCAATTTGAAAAAACTTTTATAAAAGTAAATGAAAATTGCATTTTCTAAAAACTTTAAATCCGAAAATTAAATTTTAGAAAAATCAATAATTTTTGTGACATTTCGTCAAAAAACCAATAAAATATTTAAATTTCGTTCAATTTGAAAAAAATTTTATAAAAGTAAATGAAAATTGCATTTTCTATAAACTTTTAATCCAAAAATTGAATTTTAGAAAAATCAATCATTTTTGTGGCACTTCGCCAGAAATCCAATAAAATATTTGCATTTCGTTCAATTTATAAAAAATATTATAAAATAATAAAAAATCATCATTCAATGAATTTTTTGGCCAAAAAATCAAAAACTTATACTTTCTATAAATTTTTTGACCGATGAAACCAAATTTTTCCCCAGACATCATACACCCCCAAATCCCTAAAAATGCAGCCTTACCCGTTCCAATTCCAATGGATAATCCGTATCAGAGGATGTCATTTCCGTTTCCCTCTAGTTTGACCCATAAATTCGACCGGTCGGCTCGATTTCGTACAAAAAAATAAAGCCGGAAAGTCTGAAATTTCGGTTTTTAAACAATTTTTTGTGCAAAAACTTCAATTTTTTTACCAAACTTCAATGTTAACATCAACAAAATAAGTGGGTCAAAAAGAATTAAATCTTTTTACTATATAAATACATTGAAAAAAGATCAATTCTTTTTGACGCGGCTAAAATTTTGGCCATTTTTAGGCAAAAAACTGCCATTTTTGATAAAAAATGGCTTTTTAGGTACGTTTTCAGGCCGATTTCTATTACAAGTCTCATCAAAAGACTTTTTGAAAGCTTTTAGGCTTAAATCAAGTTGTTATTCAATATTTAATAGCGTTTTGTACTATATAGTACATTTCCATCTATCACAACATATAAATCCAATTTATTTATAATTTAGATCAAAAATACAGTAGTCGGTAAAACATACGAACAGGGTTTCAAAAAACTTCGAAATTTTTTAAAAATCCGAAATTTTAAAATTTCAAAAAAAAATTTTTCAAAATCCAAAATTTTCCAAAAAAGCCCGTTTATACATTGCAGACCGAATAATTAGAACAAGGTTAGGCATAGTAGTTCAAGGACGTCTTCTTCTTGGCCTGGACCTCAAGGATGGCGTCCATAAAGTCTTCATGCATGATCTCCACCGCGTCACGTCGTAATGCGATCATACCAGCTTCCACACAGACCGCTTTACATTGGGCTCCATTAAAGTCTTCGGTACAGCGACTCAGCTCATCGAAATTCACGTCTTTGCTGAAAAGAAATGACGTTTAAACGTTAAAAATAGGTTAAAATCAATGTTAATATAGGTAAAATTGAAGTTTTTCATAATTTTCTTCATTTTAAAACTCTAAATTGATCTTTATATCAATTCTATGACCAAACAAAAACCCTCCTCTCCTCAAAAACCTACTGGACATTCATTTTCCTCGAGTGAATCTGCATAATTCTAGCTCTGGCCTCTTCTGTCGGATGTGGAAGTTCAATTTTTCTGTCCAAACGTCCCGATCTCAGCAAAGCCGGGTCCAACACGTCAATTCTGTTCGTGGCGGCAATAACTTTAATATCATCGTTAGGCTGGAACCCATCCAGCTGATTCAGAAGCTCCAACATCGTTCTTTGAACCTCACGATCTCCAGCTTTTTCCGAATCGAAACGTTTCGTTCCAATAGCATCCAATTCATCAATGAAGATGATAGCTGGAGCCTTTTCCTTGGCTAAGGCGAAAGCATCTCTCACCAGCTTGGCTCCGTCACCAATAAACATTTGAACAAGTTGGGGACCTGAAAATGGTCATGGACAATATAAATTGATCAATAACTATGTAAAAACTTGGTCTTCAAAGCTAATTTTTAACGTTTTGTGCCCAAACCAATATTGTTCATTCTCTCCAAAAGCCTGACCATCCATTTCATACCTAAAAACCAACAAAAACTTCAAAACCCTTACCAGCCAGCTTCAAGAAGGTACTCTTGGTCTGAGCAGCGACAGCACGAGCCAATATAGTCTTTCCGGTACCAGGCGGACCATACATAAGCACACCCTTTGGTGGATGGATACCCAAGTTGGCAAATCTTTCCTTGTGAGTCATTGGCAACACCACAGCCTCAATAAGTTCAGTAATCTGCTTATCACATCCACCAATATCACTGTATTGCTCGGTGGGACGCTCATCTACCTCCATTGCCTTGACACGACTATCGTATTCGGCTGGCAGCTTCTCCAGCACCAAATATGAGTCCTTGTTTACACCCACAAGATCTCCAGGCTTTAATTCTTTAGGATCAACCAGACCAACAACTGGAAGAAAGTAAGTGGCACGAGTTGAGGTCTTGATCACAGCACATTGAGTCTTTCTGGCATCTAAATCAACGTTGGCACCTTCGTCTTCTTGAGTGTCTTCCAATTCCAACAATTCAATCACATTCGACACCAAATACGGCAAGGTTTTGTTCACCTACAACAATATCGATATTATCATATAAAATTTGTCATTTCTCAAAAAAAGAAAACTCTAACCTTCATGGACATATGTCAATACGTGTAATATAGACCTGGCCAACTTATGTTAAAAGCATTCGCCTCTACGTTATACCTAAAACATGAAAAAAACAAAAAATAATATTCACCTTGATTCTCTCTGTGTTTTCCTTAATCTTTTCCTTCAAAGTCTGACAGCCATGGTTAATTCGTTGTACTTCGCTTCTCATAATTCTAACATCACTGTCCAACAACTGGATTCGAGACTTGAGATCGTCGGCTGTCATTCTTAAAACTTCCTCGTCCACTTGCTCCTAAAACAATATAAATCATTATAAAAAATTAAAGAAAGCAAATGAAGCGATGTTTGTTAACATTAAAGGTGCTAAAGACATTGCTTTACAAGTCTAAAACAATAAGAAGACATTTATGGGAGGTTTAATACCTAAAATTCGACACAATATTAACCATACCTCCTGTTCTACTTCCATCTTCTCTGGCTCTTTGGCCTTTTCAGAAGTTGGCGTGGTTTTCTTGTCCATAATTACACTGAAGAAACAATAAATTAACCAGAATCGAACCTGAAATATCACAAATATAGTACCTTAAGCAAGTTCTCAAAGCATTCCAAACGAAAAATGTAAAAGTTACAACGAAAAAAACAATATTTATATGTTAATTCTAAAATTTACCCAAAATTAGACCTAAAAATTAGCGAAAACTCGACCGATTCGAGCTCGTCGACAATATCATCAAAAAATTTTTAGACAATAAAAATCTGTGTGAACGAAATGTATCAGACTTATCGGCTTTTGTGACATTACGTTTTCTTGTCTCGAGTGAGTAAAAGTTGACACAACGCGAGAGTTGGCTCACTTTTGCGTTCTTTTTGTTTTCAAAATTTGTAAAATTAAAAGTTGTAATTAAATTTATGAAGTTTTGTAGTCAAAACGTGCCTTAAAGGTAGCGGAACCTTTTCTTATTAATATTGTGGCTTGGATGTAAAGTTTGGTGCATGTAAGTTGCTTTTTTTGTCTTTTATCATTTTTAGATATGGATTTATAAGATAGAAATAGATGATACTCAGCGGGTACTGTTTAGATCTAAATAAAATTTTGGGTATAGCTTAAATATGTTATGAAGAACGTTTAGTTAAAACATGGAAACGTTTGCGATTTTTTAAGGTATCGAATTAGGACATTAAGTTAGGTGGTATAGTTAATAAGATGAAATAAATGGTACTCAGCTATTACTTTATCGATCTGGCTAAAATTTTACATAAAGCTTTAAAATACTATGTTTAAGGTGTATGTAACATATCAAATTTATACCTTTGTTTTAAAATGGTAAAACTTAACTTTAATAGTTGTTATAGTGTTACCTAAAACTTTATCGCTTATCAAATTTTGTTTTAGATAAAACATGGAGCCGGACAAGTTCACAAACATTCTGGATGACCCTTCTTTGACTTTACATTTTTTGGCATACGATAATTCCATCAAGGCGTTAGAAACAATGAAGTACCTTCTAGATACCGGTAAATTCGATGTAAATCAGAAAGAAGAGCAGGACCAACTGACTCCTTTGCACATTGCTGCTCATTGGGACAATTTGAGTATGTGTCAACTATTGTTGCATTACGGGGCGGATCCATTGGCTTTTTCGGCCGATGAACAATGTGCCATTGATATTGCTAATGGTAAATCTCGAGAGTTTCTGAAAAAACTGTGTAATAGACGAGGTCAAAAGAAGAAACAGAGAAGGATTATGAAGTTTATAAGGTAATATTTTGGTTTTTACGATTTTTGTGTTTAGGAGAGTTAGTTTAGAGAGCAAACTTTGAAAAAACACAGGATAAGATAAGTTTTTTGAGGGAAATCATTATTTTGGGCTGTTTTTTGATGGCCGGTCGGTTTAAACACTTGACTAATCGTTTATTACTGACTTTAAGCCGCCGGTAATAATAGTAGTTCTTTGTTTTATGTCGTTTTAGTCTTGTTTCGAAGAAAAATGTTGTTTTAGTCAACATTATTATGGGTTTTTGTCCGTTTTTATTGAAAACCGAGTATTTAATGATATTTTACGTAAACTAATATTAATTCCAGTCTAAAACTAATCTTTTTAGGCATGTTTTCCAACCTCACAAGCAGAAATCAACTCCCAAGCTCGAACGTCCTCCTTCAGCACCTCCATCTTTTATCAATCGTCTAGATGGACAAGAGCCTCCAACAGACCAAATATTCAGTCTTATATCAGAACATGAAGATAGGTTATCAACCACATCGACCAGGTTATCGACCACATCGACTTGTAGTGAATGGACTTTCTTTACAGCGACGGAAGGGCGGAATTTGTCGATTTTGAGCCAAAAATCAGGCTTTTCCGGGTTTGAAAGTGCTCGAAATTCGATTATTTTAAATAAACAATGGCTGGATTTTGATGAAAGTGCTCTTGGGGATGTAGTGGTAAGTTTTATATTAGTTATGTTTTGTATGATGGTTAAAAAGGGCAGAAAATGGCCTTTGACCAAGCTTTTTTTCGAAAAATTTTTGGTTTTTCAGCCAGTTTTCTTGAGGTTTTAGGCTTATTTTTCAAGTTTTTAGGCTAAAATTTAATGACAAAGGTATGATTTCAGATTGAAACAACACCAAAGGTCACTCCAACAGCTCCTCCGTTCAGTCCAGACGCTACACCAACAATACCGCTACGAAATTCATCACTAAAACCTCGATTAACCCTAAGAAATGCTAGTTTATTGGACAAAAACATTACAATAAGGTCCCCAAAGACGAAAAAAGATCAGATAAGGAGATCAAGTAGCTTAGAAGATTTGTACAGCACTCCAACAAGGCTTTCAACCACTTCAGAAGAAGCTATGGATCAAGTTGAGTCAGCATCTTTCAAGCTCAAGTTGGAGGAACTCAAACGGTTAGAACTACATGAACTTAAAGCCAGATTGTTGAGAGAAAAGGTGGAGAGAGGTCCATTGGATGCGACAAATCGATATTTATACGAGACGAAGTTGGCGAGAGTGTTGGTTGAGAAAGAACAAGATGAGAAGGCATTAATTGATAGGTTTGGGGATATTAATATACGATCAAGTAGGTTTTTTGAAAATATTTTTAAAAAAGTTTTCGAAAAATTATTGAAATTTTAAAGAAAAAGTGAAATTTTATTTTCGTAAAAAAATTGACGAAATGTCACAAATTTTATTGGATTTTTGATGAAGTATCACAAAACTTATTGATTTTTCATAAATGTGAATTTTGGTTTAAAAGTCTGCAGAAAACCCAGATTTTTAATTTTTTGGTCAAAAACTTCATAGAATAGTCTACTTTTTATTATTTTGATCGAATAATACGAAATTTGGTCGAGAAGCAATAAAACTAGGCTAAATCATCAAGTATCAATTTTACATAGCCCTTTTCAGAATACAGTATCCCACTGGAACGACTAATAAGGGAAGATCCGGAAATCTCAAAAACTGGCCAAGAATTGGTCGATCAAGTAAACGACCACTACAGAAGGGCGGAACAACAAGATGCCACCTACTTTGTCTACATCTACATCGACCCAACAATAGAGACCAGCTCATTTTCCGACTTTTTAAGCTCCATTTTCTACATAGGGAAGGGCAAAAATGCCCGAACTTATTTTCATCTGGTCGAGGCATTGAAATACGAGGTAGATAGGAATGGCAAAGAGAGCAAGAAGTGTGAAACAATACTTGAAATATGGTCGAAACAGCGTGGTGTTGTACTACTAAGCGCCTTCAGTCATATAAACTCGGCTCACGCTTTCATTGTGGAGGGGGCGATGATAGCGGCTATGGGTAAGTTATTGGTCGATTTTTGAAAAGTTTTTTTTAAATATCGAAAATTGGTTGAATGACTTTTGGAAAGCATAAGAATATAAGTTAACTTAATTTATGGCTGCGTTACATTCATTTGAAAATGGCAAAATTTGAAAAAAAGCAGATTTCGGCGGAAATTTTGAATTTTTACGAAATTTTTAAAATAATTTTAAAATTGAAAGAATACGTTTTGTAGAGTAGGAAAAGATGAGTCTATTCTGACGATTTCGTATTGATACCTTGTTCTATGGCAAAGTTACATTCATTTGAAAATGTCGAAAATCCAAAAAAGTTCGAATCCGGCCGGAAATTTTTAACTTTTTTGAAGTTTTAACCCTTTTTCAGCTAATATTACCTAAAGATTTTTGAAAACAATAAGGTTTGCTATATTGTATGACATCTACAATCATTTGTTTTCAGATCTGGCCAACCTGACTAACAAAAAAGGCGGCGAATTCAAGCCACCGGTCGATAAGTTCACCCAGAAGGAGAAACAAACGCTAGGAGCCAGATTACTCTACAACGCCTACGGTGTCTACAAACACTCGATTCGTCAGGAAATAACAAGGAAAATGGTTCCATTTCCAGTAACACCTCCAACGTCACCATAAACTGATTTTATAACTTTGTTGTCGGTTTTTGATCGTTGCCATTTTTAATGTGATTGTAGTCTTTTGATAAGTCAATACTTATTTTTCAGGTCTGCTAAGAAGAGTAGAACCTATATTTCAATATTGTTTGGTCTAAAATCTCGAATTAACTTAAAAACATCTCAAAACAAGAACGCGTCAAAAAGAATTGACGAATTTCAGTGGTTTTGTTTAAGAAAAAGGATCAATTCTTTTTGACGCGGTTGAATTAATTCTTAATATTATTGTTTTCCAGCATTTTTGGCTAATTCTAGTCTCGAAACATAACTAGTTATCTAGTATAATAGTCATCAGGTTTGTCCCAGTCATTTCACTTCAATTTTATCACGAATATTCGATCTTATCACTTTGAAAAATGCCTTATGAGTTTAAGAAGCCACATGATAAATAATTTAATTAATTTTGTAAATATTATTATAAAAAAAGGTTTTTGTGTATAATATAATAAACGATTTGAGACATTTGACATTCCTCGGCGGAAAGAGCTTGCTATAATAGATGTAAAAAGAAGAAGTTGACGCAAAATAAGGAAAAAAGAGAAAAACTTGACTCATTTTAGCGTTTTTTTAAATTTTTTTTAAAATTTTGAATTGAATTTATAAAAAAACTGAGTTAAAAAGCTGCGTAAAGGCTAGTTGAACATTTTTCATTTACTTAACATATTTTCTGTCAACCTTTTTACAGGTAAGCACGATTTTTTTAAATTTTATTGGTTCATATCTGATGTGTAATATAAAACTTGTTATTTCTCAACTGTCATTCTTTAGATTGGGCTAATATTTGGTGAAAATCATAAGTTTGCTAATTATAAAGTTTCTACAAAGTTTCAGAGTTTTTCGTCTTTTGGAAAAAGTTTTTTATTAGCTGGCATAGCCATCTACAATAATATACTTTTTACTTAGTTTTAATCAAAATTTCCTTTAGATAACAATATGACAGATTCTCCAGAGATAGTGTATGACAGAAGATTGTCAAAGAGTCACAGATCATCTACGAAACATGACAGAAGATCAAAGCATCGGGATGAGTGGGTTTATTTTGTTATTGTTTTATGTTTTTAGGTAAAACCTTGGTAAAATGTGGACTAAAGGCGTTTTTCTTGATGGAAAACTTGAAAAGATAGGTGTCTAACTATTTTAATTTACTTTTGGTTTTAAACAAGCAAAAAGAGAATTAAAAGGCCTGTTCCTTGGGGTCTACTATAATATACTGTTTGATCTTGGAAAAGGGCTGTAAAATTTTAAATTGCTGTTAGAGTAACGTGAAATTAAACATGTTTGTTACGAAAGGAGTAGTTTAGTTGTACACAAAATTTTAGCTGGTTTGAAGTTTTCTTTCAAATGATATTAGCAAATGCATCAAGTGCCATAGGTAATATAGAGATAGTTCAGTTTACAAGGAAACTTTATATGAACCAAAGTAAATTTTTTAGTGATTCATCAGACTATCGACCGTTTGAAGTGCCAGAAAGGCTGCAACAAGCTTTTGACTCTCTTCCAATCTCAAATCAAGCAAAGTTGGTTGAGTTCGAGAAGGACGATCTTCCACTTTTTGAGAATTTGGCTAAAATTTGCGGATCTTCCAAAGGCCATGGTCTATCAGCTCAGGAACTTCAGGATCGATTTTTCGAGGACATACGAGAAGGTGATAAGCTGTTAGTGAGGGTGAGATCAGCTAATGCCATAATGTTGGACGTGGAGATGTTGTGTATGGTTAGCAGGTTCAGAAGACTGCTGCAGGATGCTGGGTTAGGAAGGGTATGTGTACAACGTTGTCTTTGAAAGGTTTTTTAATGTTTGATGAAATTTTCAATTTTTGGGCTTATTTGAGGGTGTTAGAAAGTCTTGTCGTCGATTTACATTGATTTGTAGCTTAAAAAACGACAAGACTTTTTGGAATTAAGAACTAGCTTTTTGATACTACGAAATAACTTATTGATGCAAAGAAATACCTTTTTGATACTATATAGTACTATTCCAGTTCAAAATCATGCACGATCGCACGGACTACGTCTATCACACCAACGACATTATAGAAGGTAGTTTAAAGTATCATTTACAGTATCAACAATTTATTTCATAGTGATTGTCGATCAAGTACTAAAGGGACAGACTGAAAATTCTCAGAAAATCAAGCTAAAGGTGCTGCTGGGTACTGTAAGTTTTAAATTTAAAAAAAAAAATTTAATTTTTTTAAAATTTTTAATAATTTTTTTTTCAAATTGAGGCTCCAATTCAACCGAATCAAGCACCGCTTTATTACAGGTAAGAACTTTCTTTACAGACTCATTTTTAAACTTTTAAAAACGGTATCTATCGTATAACTTGTCACCCGCAGGCTGCGAAGCAACTATTTTTTATTTCTTTGAGGAAAAACCGCAAGAACTTTCTTTACACATTTTAATTTTATGAAAAACCGCAAGAACTTTCTTTACAAAACTGAATTTTTAGAAAAACTGCAAGGACTTTCTTTACAAAACATTTTTTAAAGGGCCGCAAGAACTTTCTTTACAAAACTGAATTTTTAGAAAAACTGCAAGAACTTTCTTTACAGAACTAATTTTTTGAAAAACTGCAAGAACTTTCTTTACAGAACTAATTTTTTTGAAAAACTGCAAGAACTTTTTTTTACAAAACTCACTTTTTGAAAAAACCGCAAGGACTTTCTTTACAGAAATAATCTTTTTGACAAACTTCAAGAACTTTCTTTCCAGAACAGCGACAAAACCCGAATCCGATGAAAAACCGGCCAAATTTGAGGAAATAATGTCAGTTCAGTCAATGCTATCCAATCCATCGGCTAATTATGCCTTAGGCTTTCCTCGCCGAATCGACCAAACTGTTTTACCGAAATTCCGCGGGAAAACGGTTCGACCGGTCGGTGAAACCATCGAAAGTTTGAAGGAGCTTCAGCTGTCTGATGTGGCCAAGGAACAGATCACTAAAGCCGGAAACTTCATCAAGGACGGCCGGAACTTTGAAGCGATCCAGGCCTGTAATATGGCATTGAAGAACCAACCGGACCATTTGGATGCTCTCTTGGGCAGGGCGATCGCGTAAGTGGGTCGAAAAGTTTGTAGAATTGCTAAATTTACACTCTTGGTGCAGAAATACCAATGAAATTAGTGTTTCTGCTTTTTTAAAAAAAGTGACGGAATGTTACAAAACTTATTGCTTTTTTAACGAAATGTCACACAATCTATTGGATTTTTGCCGGAGTGTCGAAAATGATTGTTTTTTGCAAAAAATATTGTTTTTCATTTTCGATTTTTTGTATTTTTTTCTAAAAGTTGACGAAGTGTCACAAAATTTATTGGATTTTTGACGAAATGCCACAAAAAATATTGATTTTTTAAAAATTACGATTTTTGATCTGCAAAACAATAAAAAGACAAAATTTTACGTTTTTGGTCAAGAAATTTATAGAAGAATCGATTTTCATAGGTTTAACTGCGATTTTTCAGAGCTCACAACATGGATAACATCGAAAGTGCTATAATTGATCTCGAAAAGATCTTATCAATAAAACCAGAGCACGAGAGAGCTACGAAGATATTGGCTAAAGTTTTAGTGGCTAAAGCCGAAGAGTAAGTGGGTTTTTGTGCTTATGAATGTTGTTAGGCTTATTTTATGCTGAAAGATGCTATTAGACTTATTTTTAGGCATAAATTTGTTGTCTTTGCTTAGTTTTTGGGCTAATTTTACAAAGTTTAAAAAATTAGTTTAGGCTTATTGATAATGCTTTCTTCCAGAGCCGAAGACAAAAATGACAAAAAATCGGCGAGTCAACTCTTCTCCGCCGCCCTAAAACACGATCCATCGCTCCCAGAAGCCAGCGAAGGCCTGGAACGATGCTCAAAAGGCACGGAGAAGAAGCGAAAGATCCATGAGATCGACCTGACCAAAGACGAATCGAAGCCAATAAAAAGAATGGCACGATCGACCGAGGAAATGGAGGAAAATCGACGGAAATTGGCGGAAATCGAGAAATTTAAACAAAGACTCATGAAAACCAGGAAATAATGTCATTTATGGTCGTATTGTTGTTAACTTTTACTTGATCTTGCTTTTCTGGATGTTATTGGACAATTTGTTACTAGTAGGCTTGGTTGAAAATGACAGTTTTGGCTAAAAATTTGTCGTTTGTCGGGCTTAAAGACGCCATTTTTGGCTCTTTTTCTCTAAAAATGCCATTTTTGATTAAAGTCAATTGAAGATATAGGTTAAAAAGTTTATAGAAGGGTTTGTTTTTACTAGACCGGTCTAAAAGTTTGTAGAAAAGTTTAGTTTTTGATTAAAAAAAACTTAAAATAGTCACCGCGTCAAAAAGAATTGGTCACTTTTCAGTGTATTCATATAGTGAAAATGACCAATTCTTTTTTGACGCAGCTGGCTTTTTTAGGTCATAAAATTTGTAGAAATATGAAATTTAACTACTTTGTTCAAGAAATAGATAGAATAGACCTTGGGGCATCTTTTGAGACTATTGTTTATTTTTCTATAAACTTTTTGATCGAGATATAACATTTTTAAGCGAAGATAAGCATGGTTGTTGACTCTTGTGAATTTTGACAATAAATTAATGTAAAATACGGGGGCGTTAATGTTGAATGTTTTACTTACATTATTTTTATTTATTTCGAGGTTTGAAAACGGGTTTGATATTGTAGTATGTAGGTAATGATACTTGCTGATGTTGTAGTAGACACCTAATGTCAGAAGACCTCGACAACCTCACTGAAGCCGAGCTGAAGGTCAAGTTGGCTCAAATAGTCGAGGAAACATCTGTGGATGATATTACAGTATGTTTTTTACAATTTAAGTTACTGTAGTTTGATTAGCTTTTTGCCGAATTACCGTACTTTTCAGCAACTTTTGGCCGAAAAACTTGTCCAACCTCGAATATGGGATACTGTAACAAAGTACCTGTGTCTACAAAGAATTTACAAGCCGGAACCAGTCCAGTCCAAACGAATTTCGTATAAAGTTGCGCAGGTTGTGCGCAACTTTGGTCAAGAAAAGTTGCGGCAGGCTTTTCGGCAACTTCTGCAACTTGTCAGCGACAATTTTAATGGAAGCTTTGATGAAATGTACCAAAAGATTGGTACTATAGTGGATTTTGCTTGCTTAGTGGAGTAAGTTGTACAGTTGTACTAACTATCCCCCCCCCCTCTCTTCCTACCTGTTACCCCTACCTTTACCTCTGCCTCTTTCCTGTTTTTACTGGTACTAGTGGTACCTCTATTCCTACTCTACCTTGCCCTACTAATTTTTTGAAATTCTAGTCCAGGATCACTTGACAATGATATCACTATGCTAGAACCCTTTATACATATCTTACACATTGATCAGAGCACATCAGGTGAGTCAGCCAGCTTTAATATGACGCTCATGGACCTTTCTATCTAATTTTTGACCGAAAAAAAAATTTTTATTTTTCTACAAACTTTATGACCGAACCTCAACCGCGTCAAAAAGAATTGGTCGTTTTTGCTATATGAATACATTGGAAATCGACCAATTCTTTTTGACGCGGTTAGTAATATTGTTGAATCTTGGTCAAAAAGTTTGTAGAACAATTGAAAATTGTATAATATGTTTGTTTGGCTTTTTCCTATCTACTTTGTGACTAATCAAGCTATATTTTGTTTTTCTATGAATTTTATGACCAAAAAAATTGAGTGTTTCTAAAAAATTTTATGTCTCGGTCAAAAAGTTTGTAGGAAAATTGAAAAATGGTTTAAGCTAGAGCTGTTGAACTATTCTATCTAATTCTTGCTCAACCTAAGCAAATTTTATTTTTCTGCAAACTTTATGACCAAAAAACCTGGTCGCGTCCGAAAGTGTTATAACTCGGTCAAAAAGTTTATAGAAATTTAAAAAATAGTCTCAAAAGATGCCCCAAGGTATATTCTATCTATTTCTTGCCAAACGTAGTTAAATTTCATTTTTCCACAAACTTTATGACCAAAAACCTCGATTGCGTCAAAAAGAATTGATCGTTTTTGCTAAATAAATACATTGAAAAAGGACCAATTCTTTTTGGCGCGGCTGGGAAAACATGGATTTTAAGTGCGTTTTACGTAAAAATTTAAAAATATTATGGCACTATATTGTAGTGAGGTATTAGATGTGTATTGTATGACATTTTAGACACAAGATCCCAACGATTGGCACTGAAATTCGCTGCTTTTTTGGCCAATTTTTGCTTTAAAAACGAGGAAAATGGTCTAAAAATGGGTTATGAAGAGGAAGAAGAAGACGATTTGGTCTCTCAACTCTTCAATAATTTAGATATTAATATGAAAAATGATGAAAAGGATTCAGAAGAGTCAGAAGACAAGGGTGGTGTCACGGTAAGAACAGAGGATCGAGTGGAAATTAAGTTTCTGCGGTTTCTTTGGGGAATTTTGGGGAAAATGGGCAAAATTTGGGCTTTGCAGCCTGCGGGGGACATGTTATACGATGATGGGTGTGGAGCAGAGTGTGGCATGGGTAGGGTAGGGTAGGATAGGGTAGGGTAAGGTGGAGTTGGGTAGGGTAGGGTAGGATAGAGCAGGGTAGGGTAGGGTTGGATAGGGTAAAGTATGGTATGGTAGAATAAAGTAGGGCAGGGTATGTTAGAGGGTGATTATGTCTTATAAACAAAGTTCTTTCAGATTGACGAAGACGAATTGGTACTACTGGTACAGAAGGATGGTCCCCGTTCTCTGAAAGACTTTTTGAATTTCTGGACGGAAAAAGAAAAAATGGAAAAAACTTTTATGGCCTTAAAGACTTTTCCGAAATTTGCATATTGTAATAGAAGTGCAATAAAGGCTCAGAGCTCTCAGTTGATCAAAACCTTGTATATTATTGGTAATGTGCATAATATACGGAATTTTAATGTAAGTTATAGCTTTTTTTAAAATTTTCAGGCAATTGGTAAGCTAGGGTAGGGCATTTTTTTATAATGTAAATTTGGGTCCTACCACGAAAACCCTGTCAATCAGGCTGAATTGAGGAAAAGCTTTATCTTGTAAAATTTAGGCTTGCTTTATACTAAAAATGGCACTGAAATGCTAAAAATGACATGAAAATCGTTTTTAGAACAATTTTGGGTCCTACCACGAAAACCCTGAAAATCAGGGAAACTTCACAAAAACGGCCGAAAAGGCACTGTAATTAAAATACTTTACTCTATAAACTTAGTTTTGGCTTTTTCAATTTGCTATAGTTATGTAAAATGTCATCTTTTTAGGATATAGTATCAAAATGCTTAGTACAAGTACTCTACTCCGATCTCAACGCCGTACCTGAACTTTTAGCCAAATTGGATCAAGAAAGGGTGATGACAAAGCGAATTCAGGTTATAAAGGTTGTCAATGATCTCATGGATATGGTTTTACACCAACCGGTATGTTTTGTAGTGTGCAGTTTTTGGCGGGAAATTTGAAATTTAAATTTTTTGAGGTTTTTGAAAAAAAATGAATTTTTTTGATATTTTTTAATGAAAACTAAGGTCAAAAAGTTCATAGAAAGCATTATTTTATTAATTAAAAGTTTTTTTATAAGCCGCGTCAAAAAGAATTGATCACTTTTACTATATAAATACATTGAAAAACGACCAATTCTTTTTGACGCGGCTGTGTTTTTAAATTTTTTGTAACAATTATGACATTCTTAAATGACATTGCATGACAAAAATGTTTTTAGAGACCTTAGCCTATCATAATATACTAATAAACACCACTTTCACCTCATACATAACATAAAAAATGACATTTTAGGATCACATTCAGCCTCCAAAACCCCAAACTCGGCCGAAGAAAGAGTTGGGAAAAGTGGTTCGAAAGAGTAAATCACTACAAAAAACGCATGTTACAGTACCCAAAGCTGCTGTAGATTGTATGACATGGATTATGGTACCCTTTTTTAATCAGTGCAGGAGGATGGAGCTGGGTAGTACGACTGATCCCAACTTTGTGGCGGTTTTAATTAACTTTTTGAAAAATTCAATTGATTGGAGGCCTGTGGGGCTGCTCAAGGTAGTACAGTAGGTTTTTGAAGTTTGGAAGTTACTTTTTTGGGTTGGGTAAGGTAATGTAGAGTACGGTATTGTAAGGTAATATAGGGTACGGTAGGGTAAGGTAGGGTAGGGTCGGGTAGTGTTGGATATGGTAGATTAGGGTACGGTAGGGTAGGATAGGATACGGTAGGGCAGGGTAAAGTAGGGCAAGGTAATGTTTCTCAATTTCAGTGACTACTTCTACCTCCTGAAGGCCATTCGTACCACCAGTACCGACTGGAGTAACAAAATTCAAGTCATTCGTTTATATGTTACCTTAAGGCAATTTGCGGTTGAAAATGAAATCCTGGACGAAGTCAAGGACGAACTGACCGATTGTGCCAATTTTATTCAAATTTTGTCGGCCGAAGCGGTCAAGACTGCCGATAAGAATGTGAAGGTATACCTAGATGAACTCGAACACAACATACGGTTACTGGTCGGGGATTATACGACGGAGTGTAGCAGATTGAGGTGAATAAATTTTTTTTAAAATTTTTTTGGGAATTTTTACTTTTTTGACGAAATACCACGAATCTTATTGATTTTTACGACGAAATGGCGCAAAAATTATCGATTTTTTTTAAATTTTTTAAAATTTCTTTTTATGGTCAAAACTTTGCAGAAAACCCAATTTTTACTTTTATATAGTCAAACAAGACGAAATTCCACAAATTTTATTGATATATTGACGAAGTGTCACAAAAATTATTGATTTTTTCAAAAAGCGTTTTTTGGGCAAAAAAGTTTGTAGAAAGTCAAATTTTTAGTTTTATAAAGTCAAAAGATAAAAATTGGACGAAATGCCACAAATTTTATTGGTACATTGACGACATGTCACAAAAGTTATTGATTTTTTCAAAATTTAATAAACGACTTTTTATGGTCAAAAAGTTTATAAAAAGAACAAATTTTACTTTTTTGGGTCAAGAAGTACATAGAATCACGATAATTTAAGATTTATTGGGGTCATAAGATGGTTACAGTAAGCAGCTTATAGGATTAGCCCCGAGATGGTCGGGTCAACTAATTACCCCTAAATTGCCATATCATAACATATGTTGCGCATACGAATTGGATTTGTGTATTGGTCGAGTTTTTAAAGAACAAAATGCTAAAATGCGTATTTTACAAAAGAAAATTTACTCCGCCCAAGTATAATATAGATGATTTTACCCCGCCCAACTGTAATATGGATGATGTATAATATAGCCATGTGTCTTGGCTTTCGAAGAACAAGGTGGTTTTGCCATTTTTCGTAAGAATTAGCCGAGAAACCCTACAAAAGCATGGTTAATATTGGCCAAATAAGGGATGAGAGAGCATTAGGTTTGAGGAGAGTTGATAGAAAGTGTAAGAATGAAGAGAAAGAGTGGTTAGAGAGTTAGAGAAAGATAACTTTGTTGGGTCGAAAAAGAGAAAAAATGGCAATAACTTTCTTTACAAATCGAGAAATGGCAATAACTTTCTTTAAAAGATATGAAATGGCAAGAACTTTCTTTACAAGACAAAAAATGGCAATAACTTTCTTTACAAAACACAAAATGGCAAAAACTTTCTTTACAAAACAAGAAACGGCAATAACTTTCTTTACAAAGCAAAAAATGGCAAGAACTTTCTTTACAAAACAAAAAGTTGCAAGAACTTTCTTTACATTAGAAAAAGCAGTCAAAAATATAATGTAAACTGAAGAGAGTACATGCAAACAAAAATATAATGCAAAACAATGATACTGTAGACAAAAATCCGATTATATACCATTTCATATGCCATACGGATTTTAATTTCTCTCAAGCCACGCCTACTTATGGCCAACAGTGATTATTGGCCAAACGGCCACAGTAACCGCTGGGATTATTGGCAGACACTTTTTGCGTCATTCCAAATCATCTACTGGATTTCGAGTTTTGCCTCAGGCAAATTTATTTTACATTTTGTGGTCGGGGTTGTTACCTGCTAGCGGTTGGTAACATTTTTGGTACTTTAGTACTTTTTTTATTCCTTTATTGGTGTTTTGGTTTAATAGTAGTGGTCGTTGAAAAATGTGCCATTTTATAAAAACAGTGGTATGAAAACTTCCAAAAATGATGTCATGTGTAGCCAATAGTCTACTCTTTCATATCTTGTCATAAGTTAATGACATTTGTTTAAATTACGGCTAGGGCAGGGTAAAAATGTCAGCTTACTATAGGTTTACATGAAAGATAGTGAGGGTTTGAAAACGTGCCATTTTATAAAAACGGTCGAATAAAAAATTTTGAAACTAATGTCATTTTGTAGCCAATAGTCTATTCTGTCATTATTTAACACAATTTTACAAAAACTAGTTATAGTACGACTAGGGCATGGTAAAAATGTCAGCAAACTTTCTTTGTCTGAGGGAATTTTGTTTTGCACGAGAATTAGTTGGGTTTAGAAAAAGTGTCATTTTGAATGAACTAGTTGATGAAAAATTTTAAACTCAGCTTATTTGAAGAAAACATCATACTCTAACAGTGTCACTATCGTACAAGCTTTATTTCGAACTTTTATTGTTAATACGCATTAAAAATGACCTTTTTTTCAGATTTAGGTAATAGGTAGTAAGGGTTTGATAAAGTGCCATTTTGGATAAAATAGCTGATGAAAAATTTTGAATTAGTTTTTAAATAAAGACAATACCATACTCTGTTAGTATGATAAACTACTAGCCTTATTTTAAAGTTTTATTGTCAGTGCGCTTGAAAAATGGCAATTTTTTTTAATTTTTCGTTATTTTCTCGCTTTTTTCTTGAAATTGCAGTAGGTTTCTTAAAAAATGTCATTTTTATATAAACCTAATAATGAAACATACTGAAGCTGGCATTATTTGATAGAGAACAAAATAATTTTTCTAAATATGTATATATGTGTGGTAAATTTAGGCAATGCGGCTAGTTTAGGCCGAAAACCGCGCCAATGACAGCCATGACCGAGCCAATGGAGAGCGCCGCTGCCGCTTATGCGGCTTACAATGACTTTCAGGCAAGTCAATATTAGTGTAAAATACGTATCAACTGCTTTTCCTGTCTAAGATTTTCAATTATAAAATGTATTTCGAAAAAAAAACATTTTGAAAAAAAAATCGACCAGTCGAAAATTTTTTTGAAAGTTTTTATTTTTTTGGCTAAAATATAAAAAACAAGCTTTAAAAGTGCACAAAGCATTTTGACTAATTCCAGAATGCCTTTGCAAGTCATTCTGACATGCTGGGATTTCCGTCCGCGCCCTACTACCCCAACACGGATATTATCTACCCTGATAACGCGATGTTGCCGGTTCAGCCCACAATCCATTTTTATCAACCCACCAATCCACAACAATGGCCTGATACTAATCAGCAAATGTAAGACATTTTAAAATTTGAATTTTCATAAAAGTTTGGTAAAAATGGCTTTAGAAGGGCATGGATAATATAAGTTTGAGAGGATGTTGTGATTGAACTAGGAGGTCTACGTACTTAAAATTTAGTCAAATTATATGTATGATCAGGTTTTATCAGTATATATTAGTTACAGTTTTAAAAACGACTGAAAAGTTGACGAAAAGTGAAAAAATCTTGGTCAGGCCTACCAAAGTAGTCATGGGGAAGATAACTTTGATATGCTATAATAAATGTTCTAGAAAAGGAATAACTTCACCATTTGAATGTACCATAAAGTGTGTTTTATTTTATCTAATAATAATATGTCTAAAAGGAAGTGATAAAACTGATAAATCGGCCAAACTTCCCAATAGACACCTACTAAAACAGTTGTAGTGAAGATAACTTTGAGGTGCCATAAAAAACGTCGTAGAAAAGGAATAAGTTTAAAATTTAGTCAGAATATACTATAAAATTTTTTTAATCTTATCAAATAGTTACGTGCCTAAACGGAAGTGATAAAATTGATAAAACGGCCAAAAACCTTGATGGGTACCTACTAAACCGGTTATGGTGAAGATAACTTTGAAATTACATAAAACATTTTCTAGATTAAGAATAAGCGTAAAATTTAGTCAGAATGTACTACAGAGTGTATTTTATCATATCTAATAGTAATATGTCTAAAAAGAAGTGATAAAGTTGATAAAACGGCCAAAAATCTCGATGGATACCTACTAAACCGGTCATAGTGAAGATAACTTTAAGACGCCAGAACAAATTGATTAGTTGATATAGAAGCCTAATATTTGGCAATAGTATACTTTTTAATGTACTTTATCATATACATTTGTCATCATTCTAGAATTATAGCAAAACTTTAACAAAACGGCCAAAAACCTCAATAGATACCTACTAAGGTGAAGATAACTTTGAGATGCCAGGACTAATTGGTTAAACGGTGTATAAGCCTAATAGATAGCACAAATGTACACTTAGACGTGCTTGGACATATACATTTGTCATCAGTTTAAAATTATGGTCCAACTTTAATAAAACGACCGAAAATTCTAGTAGGTACCTATTAAGCTGTCATAATGACTAAAGTTCAATTTTTCTTAATAATAATTGAAGAAAGAAGGTAAAACACGTTGTGAGTACATGTAAAATTGACAAAATTCTGTATGGAAAAATTTAAGAACCCTACCAGGCCAGTATAAAAGCGAAAATGAGCTCACTACTGGTCGAAAGAATGCCTATAAGGAACAGTTTCGAGGCTTCGACCGGAAGCCGTGAAACTCTTCGAAACCCCATTTTTGATTGCAAAGGTATTCTCTAAACAATGGCAATTTGTGTTTAGTTGTTAAAATTGTATTTTAGGTATTAAGTGAGGTCTATTTTCAAAAAAGTTAATTTTAAAATTAAAAAAAAATTTAAAAATTTTTATAATTTTTTTGAAATTTTAATTGTCAAATTTATCAAACTGTCATTTCAGACCCTACACATCAACAGTAAACCCCCTGGACTATGATCTATCATCCACCGGTATCAAAGCCGAAAGTTCGGTTGATTTGAGTTCGGCCATATGGCCAAGTCAGTCCCTACCCAAGGCCTCGACCATGCTACTGGACTCAACGGCCGGCAACTCGATGCTACGTCGTAATTCAATGCTGAATCACAACAATATGATCCTAGAGAACAACAACATGTTGCTGGATAGTAATCGCAACTCAATGTTGTTGGACAACTCCAGCAGTTTGTTAGACCGCAACTCGGGCAATTTATTGGACCGCAACTCTGGCAATTTGTTAGACCGCAACTCGGGCAACTTATTGCTAGAAAATAGAGGGTCTGGCGAGTTGTTGGACAGAAGTTCTGGCAACTTGTTGGATCGCAACTCTGACAATTTGTTGCACCGCAACTCGGGCAACTTGTTGCTAGATCATGGCAGAAGAAACCTTTTGGAGCCGGACCTAGCTTCAAGGCATATTGTTTTAGAGGAGAAGCGTCGCTCAAATCAACCGACCAAGGTCTATGGTTGTCCAACTTGTGGTAAACAATATTGTCGCAAAAGCACCTTGAAGTCGCATATTAAGCAACATTTTGGCAACAAACCCTTCATGTGCAATGTAAGGAATCGCATTTGAAAAAAATTTTGAAATTTTTTAAAATTTATAAAATTTTTTTTTGAAATTTTAAAAATTTTTGAAATTTCGAAATTCAGGCCTGTGGCAAGACCTTCACCCAAGCCGCCAACCTGACAGCACATAAACGAGTTCATACTGGAGAAAAGCCATTTACATGTTCAGTTTGTTTTCGACCATTCTCTCAGTCTTCTTCATTGGTTACTCATAAACGGTGGGTTTGAAGTGGCATTTTAGGTAACAAAATTCTTAAAAAATGTCATTTTAGGTAACAAAAATTTTTCGAAATGTCATTGTTGGTAAGAAAATTTGATTCTAGGCTTAAAAATGTCATTCAAGGCTTGAAAATGTCATTTTAGGTAACAAAAATCATTTAAAATAGCATTTTAGGTAACAAAATTTGCTATTAAACTTAAAAATGTCATTTAAGGCTTCAAAACGTCACTTTAGGTAACAAAATGTCAAGTTAGGCTAAAGAATGTGATTTTAGGTAACAAACTTAGCAAAAGCCTTTTAGGTAACAAAACTGGATTTTAAAGTTGAAAATGTCATTTTCTAAATATAAGTGTCACTTTTTGTCGAAAAAAATCAGTTTAGGTAACAAAATTTAATTTTTGTTTGTAAAAATTTCACTTTAGGCTTAAAAACGGCATTTTAGGTAACAAAATTTTGTTTTTTAGGCTAAAAAATTTTATTTTAGGTAACAACCGTTTTAAAAAATGTTACCTTAGGTAACAAAATTTGATTCAGGCTTAAAAGTGTCATTTTAGGTAACAAAATTTAAGTTTAAGGTTAAAAATGTCACATTAGGCTTAAAAATGGCATTTTACATCAGAAAAGTTTTAAAAGCGTCGTTTTAGGTAACAACATCTTTATAAATGTCGCCTTAGGTGACAAAACATGATTTTAGGTAACAAGAACTTTAAAAATGTCACTCTAGGTAACATAATGTGTTTTTAGGTAACAAACACTAATTTTGAAAAGATTTTTTTGAGCTTCAAAAAAAATGTTATCTTGCCATAATATTTTGGTGATTAGAGAAAGCTGGTTCCCAAAATTAGTTGTTTAATGTTGTAGGTATTCCGAAGCCAAACTTTATTTGGTGATTTTGGATGTCAATGAGCAGTTTTACAGTAGATTATACAGGCTGGCATTGAGATGCTTAAAAGATGGTCAGGGTCAGGCAGCTTTAGGAAATAGGATTGTACTGAAAAACACATAAAGTTATGGTTGAGCAGGAGCATGGTATTATAGGGCCAGTCATGGCAGGGTAGGTTAAAGTTAAGTAGGGTAGGATAGTGTAGGTTAGGATAGAGTAGGGTAGGGTAGAGTAGGGTAGGGTAGGGTAGAGTAGGTTTGGGTAGGGTAGGGTAGGGTAGGGTAGAGTAGGGTAGGGTAGGGTAGGGTAGGGTAGGGTAGGGTAGGGTAGGGTAGGGTAGGGTAGGGTAGGGTAGGGTAGGGTAGGGTAGGGTAGGGGAGGGTAGGGTACGATAGGGTACGGTAGGGTAGGGTAATACAACACAAAATTAATTACGGTATGGTGGATTAAAACAATATAAAAAATAGTTTAGGAACCCACGGTAAATTTCCGTATGCATGGTTACGTGACGTTTGCCAAAGCCCAGAAAACTACCAAATTGGCCCGGCGATGCAAGCCCGTATACCAATGATGAAAGATTTTGATCTTAACGTATCTCCAACAAGCTTTGAGTCTACTACTGAAGGTTTAACAGTGTCATGGTCGAATAAACATCAAAGTTTTTATCCAGTAACCTGGTTAAAATCTCGAAATTTGTCTGAAAAATCTGTGATTCAGAAACGGAAAGCCCGATACTTTTTGGATACTGTAACTTGGAAGCAAAATGAGATTAAAAAGTTGCCGATCAAAGTAAAATACGATGACTTTATGAAAAACGAAGATGGGGTGGAAAAATTGCTAGAGGGTGTTTGTAGAGATGGTATTGGAATGCTTGTTAATGGACCTGAATTGGAGCCAGAAGAACATAAAAAAGTTGTTGAAGCTATTGGACAGAGGGTCGGACTGATTCACCAAACTCATTTTGGGTGAGAGTTCTTTCTATAAACTTTTTGACCAAAAAAATTAAAATCACTACTAAGCTTATGATTCAGATTAGGCTTAGTAGGCTTAGGCTTAGTAGGCTTAGGCTTAGTAGGCTTAGGCTTAGTAGGCTTAGGCTTAGTAGGCTTAGGCTTAGTAGGCTTAGGCTTAGTAGGCTTAGGCTTAGTAGGCTTAGGCTTAGTAGGCTTAGGCTTAGTAGGCTTAGGCTTAGTAGGCTCAGGCTTAGTAGGCTTAGGCTTAGTAGGCTTAGGCTTAGTAGGCTTAGGCTTAGTAGGCTTAGGCTTAGTAGGCTTAGGCTTAGTAGGCTTGGGCTTAGTAGGCTTAGGCTTAGTAGGCTTAGGCTTAGTAGGCTTAGGCTTAGTAGGCTTAGGCTTAGTAGGCTTAGGCTTAGTAGGCTTAGGCTTAGTAGGCTTAGGCTTAGTAGGCTTAGGCTTAGTAGGCTTAGGCTTAGTAGGCTTAGGCTTAGTAGGCTTAGGCTTAGTAGGCTTAGGCTTAGTAGTTTTAAGCTTTATTTTTAAAATTTGTTATTTCTATAAACTTTTCTACCTAAACTAATGATATTTAGCAAAATCTTCACGGTATGTACAAAGCCCAATGCTAGTAACATGGCTTACGCGAGCGGTAAAGAGCTACCATATCACACTGATTTTCCGTCTTTATCCGATCCACCCCAACTTCAGTTTCTACATTGTGCACAACCTGCTCAAAAGGGGGGTCTCAGCATGTTTGTAGATGGATTTTTAATTTCTGATATCTTAAAAACTGACCATAAATGGGCTTATGACGTTTTATGTCATACCAACATTGAATTCATCGAAGTTGGGTACGATGTTCATGAAGTTGAAGATACAGAATCTCAGCACGGTAAAAATAAGGGTTCAGAAGTTGAAAGAAGTGTCATAGATAGAAGGTTCGACTTTCAAATGACATCACAACAAAAGACGATTACAGTAAGACAAGACGGTAGTTTGAAGAAGGTTCAATTTGGCAATGCCATGAGGTCGTGGGCTTTTGAAGCTGAACCTGAGAAGATTCAGCTTCTGTACGACGCTCTGAAGTTGTTTACTACATTGTGTTACAAACCAGAGAATCAACTGGCCTTTAACATGCAAAAAGGTAGGGTAGGGTAAGGTAAAGTAGAATCTAGCGGAATAGGATAGAGTAAGTTAAGGTAGAGTCAGGTAGAGAAAAATGGGATAGGATATGGTAGAGTAGGAAAGGGTAGAATACAGTAATGTAAAGTAAGTCTGTTAGGGTAGGTTATGGTAAAGTAGGTTATGGTAGGGTAGGGTACGGTAAGGAAGAGCAGGTTAAGGTAGGGTAGAGTAAGAAAGGGTAGGACATAGTAAGGTTAAATAGAGCAGGGTAAGGTAGAGTACGGTAAGGTAAAGTAGACCAAGATACGGTAGGACAAACCGTGATAAAAGTAAATTTTCAGGTGACTCAGTTCTCTGGGCTAATACTAGATTACTACATGCCAGATCAGCTTATGAATGTCCGGCTGATAAGCCACGAATTCTTCAAGGATGTTACTTTAGCTGGGACATTGTAAAGTCAAGGCTTCGATTGGCAAAAAGTCGACTGGGCCAAAAGGATTATATTGTTATACTATGATTTAAAAAAAAATGAATAAAGTTACTTTTTTAATTAAATTTTTTAGAAACTTTATAGCAAATGTCATAAAAATGTAAAGCAATATCAGCCCGAGCATTGATGATCAAGCATTCCAAAATTTACTTTACCTCCAGCCACGTTAAAACGAGCTGGATAAGATACCACAACCTTGATTGGAACTTATTAGTTCGAAGAGACATAGAGTTAGATTTAGGGTAATGAAAGAAAGACTTGCTTTTTGATTGGGTTGCGCGAATAAGCGAGAGAAAATAGACGGAAAAGTTTCTACAAACTTTTTGACCGGAAAACAAAAAGTTGTGCAAAATAAAGATATCGGTCAATAAATTCATAGAAAAATCTAAGTTTTTATATTTTTTGGTCAAAAATTTGATAGAAAAATCAGTTTTTAGATGCTGCGGTCTAAAAGTTCATAGAAAAACCAATTTTTCGATAATAGGGTCTAAAAATTCATAGAAAATATCAATTTTTACAATTTCCAAGCACTAAAATGACGTATTTCTCAAAAGTTGATTTCATTCAAAAGCCAGCTGATTTTTAGGTAACAATTGTTTTGATATCGAATATAAAGAAGCCAAAAACAAAAGAAATAAACAAACAGGCTTTAGCTATATATCTAACTTTATTCAAGTACAATATCTTAACTTTAAAAAAAGTGTATTTTATTTAAAAAATGTTTAAAATATTGTTTTTTTTACTATTGGTTGCATGCTTGGGTATTGGAGCCACTGGGACTGTTTTGACTTGTAAGTTTTTTAGTTTTTGAAAATTGCAAAAACTCTTTACAAAATGCTTTTAAAAAAAACTCTTTTTTTGGGCAATACAATTCTGGGTTAGGGCACTGGGGCTAGGCTTTTGGATAGGGCGCTGGGGACTCTGGAGTAGGGCTTTGGGCTAGGGCTCTAAGCTAGAGCTTTGGTCTAGAGCTCTGTACTAGGACTCTGGACTAGGGCTCTGGGCTAGGGCTTTGGGCTACGGCTCTGGGCTAGGGCTCTGGGCTAGAGCTTTGGTCTAGAGCTCTGGGCTAGGGCTCTGAGCTAGGGCTCTGAGCTAGGGCTCTGGGCTAGGGCTCTGGGCTAGGGCTCTGGGCTAGGGCTCTGAGCTAGGGCTCTGGACTAGGGCTCTGAGCTAGAGCTCTGTACTAGGACTCTAGACTAGGGCTCTGGGCTAGGGCTCTGGGCAAGGGCTCTGGGCTAGGGCTCTGGGCTAGGGCTCTGAGCTAGGGCTCTGGACTAGGGCTCTGAGCTAGGGCTCTGAGCTAGGGCTCTGGGCTAGGGCTCTGGGCTAGGGCTCTGGGCTAGGGCTCTGGGCTAGGGCTCTGGGCTAGGGCTCTGGGCAAGGGCTCTGGGCTAGGGCTCTGGGCTAAGGCTTTGGGCTAAGGCTTTGGGCTAAGGCTTTGGGCTAGAGCTCTGAGCTAGGGCTCTGGGGTAAGGCTCTGGGCTAGGGCTCTGAGCTAGGACTAGGGGCAAAACCTTTTAACATTTTTTGTAAAAACCGCAATAACTTTCTTTACAATATTCTCTTTCAGATTTTGAAAACCTTGAAGTAGGCTGTTTTCCACCAAGCCTAGAAGACAAAAAGAAGCATTTCCTTATGTTATCAGACAAAGAATTACTTTGGAATCCCAATAACAATGTCACTGATGCCACGTTCACCTTCAAGTTTATAAGCCCACTAAATGAGGATACTGTAATTGATTACGGTATTGCTGTTGAGAAGTTGAAGAGAGTGTTACCTAATTTGAGGATTATTAACTTTCAAGGGATTGTCATACAAGGAACGTTTAGTGACAACATTAATGAGGTATGGAAAGAAAATTTTTGCAATTTTTAAAAAAAGATTTTGTAAAGAAAGTTCTTGCGGTTTCTAAAAATGGAATTAGTAAAGAAAGTTCTTGCGGTTTTCAAAAAAAATAATTTTAGTTTTCCAAATGGGCCCACCAAACGTACCAACAAGTACTAGAACACGCCAAAAAACTGACGTTTTTATGCAAATCAGCCAAGTATACTGTAGCTCGCTTCTTCTTTACCGTAATCATACCACGACAAATGTGTGACTCTTATACTATGTACGAAGACTGTCAATGGCTTCGACAACGAATCTTACTCGAATTTCATGATGTTCGAAGTTTCATCGTGTACGAAGATGCCACCTTGGTTAATATTAAGCACAATATTATTGGAACTGACTTTCAGTTTATGATTAATTTTTAATAAATGTTGATGAGTAAAAGCAGTATTTTAGTAGTACCGTACCCTACGCTACCTTACCGTACCGTACTGTACCCTACCCTACCCTACCCTACCCTACCCTACCCTACCCTACCCTACCCTACCCTACCCTACCCTACTCTGCCCTACCCTTCCCTTCCCTACCCTACCCTACCCTACGCTACCCTACTCCACCCTACCCTACCCTACCCTACCCTACCCTACCCTACCCTACCCTACCCTACCCTACCCTACCCTATCCTACCCTACTCTAAACCGCCCAACATTACTTTGCCCTGGTTAGAGTTTAAGAAAGGGCCGGGCCCACTTCTCTGATTTAATTAGTCAAGCCATGAAGAACGTAATGTAAGTTTAGAGTCCTATGTTTTAATGCTTTACTTTTTAGGTACGATCTGCAACGGACTTTCCCGAAAAGCTAAAAGTCAGATGTAGTGGACAGCAGCGGAATAACAGTCCGCTACAATGCCAAGTCCATGAGGTTAATCCCGAAAGTTGATCAAGGTCGACCAATACCTTTTTTTGTAATTTATACTTGAAATAAATGTTTTTACAAGCTTTAGACCCGTATGATAATATAAATTTTGAAAACGATATAATTATTCCATAATTTGAGAAGATGCAACATGACCAACGACTTCTGGACCTACTTGAGCCGTCGTCCTGGCGTTGCTGTGAGTGCGTATGTGTTTGGATAAGTGATCTGACCTCATGAACTTCTTGCTGCACTGATTGCAGACAAACCTTTTCTCGCCGGTGTGTGTTCGTCTATGCTATAGTAGTAGCTCATCTGACCTCGTAAACTTCTTGGTGCACATATTCCAGTCGCAGGCAAACGGTTTGTTACCTGCATGACCTCGAAGATGTGTACGTAGATGGGACGTTTTGCCGTACGTTTTGTTGCAGACGTGGCAAATATGAAGGCGTTGTCGTTCTCCGTTTCTGAAATAATATGTATATTTTAATTTTGTCGTTGATAACAATAGTGAGAAACTTACAGCCGTTGTCAAAAAACAGGCAACCTATTTTTTTCAAGCCTAACTTTTTTTAAAAAGGCGTTAAAAACAAAAAATTTTTTTGTGATTTTAGATTGCTCTATCATACAACAAGCGCACAACAATAATTTTTGAATTTGTTAGTTTTGAAAAATTACAGTAATTCAACCGTACCCCTATTTTTCAACTATGTGTATAATTTTTTTTTCAAAAATTGAAGATATACGTTTTGTAGTGCTTAAAAACTTGTACATATTGTGTAAGTTTGATTACTTCATCTTATCTAGTAAACGAGCTACGATTTTTTAAAATTTGAAAAAAAGATTGAAAAACGAGAAAAGTTCGATTCCGCTTGAAAAATTTCCGTTTTTTTTTATTTTTAAAAAATCGTTACTCGTTTAGTAAAAGAGATTAAGTAATGAAACTTACAGAATATGTACAACTTTTTATGCTCTACAAAACGCATACCTTCAATTTTTAAAAAAAAATTATACACATAGTTGGAAAATAGGGGTACGGTAGAATTACTGCAACTTTTCAAAATTAACAAATTCAAAAATTATTGTTGGTGCGCTTGTTGTATGATTGCCCAATCTAAAATCACAAAAAATTTTTTGATTCTAACATTTTTTTAAAAAAAGTTATGCTTGAAAAAAATAGGTTGCCTGTTTTTGGCCAACGGCTGTATATTAATACAAACTTCTCACTTTATGAGGAAACAAGTTTTTAAAAATAAAATTCCCAAATCGACAAAACATACGGTTTGTTCTGATTGCTTTGGCAATTGGGACAATTACAAGCAATGCGTTTGGCCTGCTTTTTGGTGTCATTCACTGAGTCGGGAGGTGACATGAACATTCCTCCCAAACTGCTGGGTGTGATCGTCTGTCCGGCTGGAGGTGTGTTCTGGACCGGTGGTGGGACGGCGTTGTTAGGCTGATCAGAGTCATAAGTGATGATCCATTTCAGCGGATCATTAGGGTCCAGATTGATGTGGAACTTACCTAAACAATCAGATTTGATTACTTTTTTTCTCACTTACCATATGTTATTCTTTGCTGTTCGCCAGAGGAGCTTTGTTTGCTGGGAGATGGAGGTTGAGGGAAGGGATTCATCACTTGAGGTGGTTTGTGTATCTGAGCTGGCTGCATAATATATGCGGACTGATACTGGGGTTCTGGTTTGGTTTCCGTTTTAGCGATTATGAACCGTTGTTGCTGTGGAGGAGGTTGTTGTGCCTGGATGGGAGCTTGTTGTCCGGCGGGGGTTAAGACCATTTGACTAACACCAGTAGTGGGAGCTCCTGACGTCAAAGTGGCTACTTGGACAAGCTGGGGCTTATTTGGTTGGTTGGGAATGACAGGTATCAATATCTGAAAAATAAAGATTGACAAACTTGATATTAATTTTGAAAGTAAAAGGAAAATTCAGAATTAGTTAGGCTACGGAAGCAGAAGTGATACTGTTGACAAATGCTTACAGGTTGGCTGGACTGAGACCCGTTCTGGAACAGATAAACTGGTTGGCTGGTGTTCATAGGCTGGGTTGCAGAAGTCTGCGATCGATTAGGTACGAATATGATTCTCGGCTGACTATTATTGGGTCCACCATTAATCACTCGACTAACAGGCGTAGCGACCTGACGATTCTGCACCAACACCTATAAATAGTTGGACTAGCTCGCTTAAAAATAGGTGTTTTCTACGTTTTAAACTGCTAACTAATTATGTTAGACAGATTGGATGAGAGCTGATATAAAGTTTGGTCTGTGTTTGTGATTACTGTATTATTCTTGGGACCGTTGGCTTGGCCATTGTGTTAATTTTGACGATTCGACGCCAGCTTTACTATAATTCGTGAGTAATTAACTAGAGTATACTGTACTGTGAGATGATTTTTGTCAACTTTCAGGTTGATATCATGAAAATAATGTTCAAACGCATAAACGTTCTCGACTACGTCTCGATTGTCAAACTTGAATTTGAATATTAATGATACCTCACGAAAACGAACTTAAAAACAACAAAACCGAAAGGTCCACCCCCAATATGCAAAATTATAAAGAGGGTTGGGCCGAGACAAAAAACGAGAAAAAACATACAAAGTCCGTCCCCCTCGACGACGCCGAATGCACAGGCAGGGGCGGTCGAGTCAAACTGAATAAAAAGTGCATTTTTGATCTCTCTTCCCGCGTTTCAAAGAGCAGAGATGCGAAGGTCGCGTTAGACAGTGGTAAGGAAGCACTAACGAACAGGAGGAATAGAAACAGGCTCTCCCCGCCTCTTGTCAGAACGCACCATGCCTTCGTCGACGGTGATTCGCTGTCGGCCGCCCGTAGGCGGCGACAGAAGAAGAGCTGACCGCACAGAGTTTTAAGACAACCGAGAGACAGATCAAAGAAGTCATACTCTTCCCCTCGAGGAATTTGATAGCTAACGACAGATCCAGCCTTCCCTGTTCTTCTCAACGAATAATCAAAAGTGTCTTGGAGATGATGAACATAGATAATAAAACTAAGTTTCACGTAACTCACGGCAATACGTACCATATATTAAGAATGGCAATGTACCGAAACACGACCAAAATTGTTGAGTGAAATTTTTATCAATGTAAAAAGCATTAACAACGACAAACAAAAAACGTTATCTTCTTCTTTTTTCCCAGTAAGACCTGCACCAGCGTTAAATTTGAAGAAGGTGATATCAACATCTTCTACAGTATAGTTGCGTCCTTGTTGACGGTACTTTTCGGCACTCTTGACAGCTTGTTCGGAGCCAGCTTCCTTCAGATCCTCGAATTTCATGACCTCAGCCATAATGAAGCCCTTCTCGAAGACGGTGTGAATGCGACCAGCGGCTTGTGGTGCTTTCGTACCGAAATGCAGAAAATATCTTCATTGAATCTTAAGACACCTGAAAAGTCCATGCTCGCACTTCGTCTTTACCATAGGTAAAGGAATATTCAAGTTGAAGGGCTTTGTAGCCCGTCTTCACAATCTTGTCCAAGTTACTCGTAGCGCCAACTTGCTTTTGGTACTCTTCCCTTTGTTCTGGGTCCATCTCAACCAACTTAAGTTCGAAAGCTCCACTGAATAGAATCAATGTTGCGCCAGGGCCATTAGCTAGAGATTAATATAAAAAGGCATAAAAGATCAAAGTAAAAAGCGCAGAAAACCCACCTTACGAATATAATCCTGCTCACTCAAGTTAACTAAGTACACTATAGGCTTAGCAGTCAAGAACAGATGTTTATTCAGGAGTTCAACATCCTTTTTGTTCCAAAAATGATTTCTCACAAACTTGTTTAAGTCAAACAGCTTCTTTTAACCTTCTGCAGGCAGTCGTACTCGGGCTTCTTGGTCTTGTCGTTTCCACGAATAGCCAGCTTCTCCAGTTTCTCAAGAGCACTTTCAAGGTAAGCCTGGTCCTTCAGTACAAGCTCTTGATTGATAATTTTCAAATCACAGACAGGATCAAATTCACCTTCTACATGAGTTACGTCGGTGTCATCGGAATCCGGGCACACTTTTTTTTTTGGGCCTGGGCTCAATTTTCAAGCCGTTTCAATTTTAGCTCAAGGCCGGCCCGATGGTAGGGCCGGGCCGGGGGCTAGACGGCCCGTTTTTTACCCTTAGCCCTAATTTGTCTTATCCTACCATATCTTACCCTACCATGCCCTATCATATCTTAATTGCTGTCCTATTTACCTCGTCTTACCTTCGAAAAAACAAAAGCATAAACATTTACTCGTTAAAAGCTTCAGTAAATTAAGAATAATTTATATTAATATAATGATAACATCACATTAGCATGGTTAAATGAAAGCTGGGACTGTTGCCTTCAAGATAATACTCGGATATGCTTTGATCGTCTCTAAAATCAAACATCTATATAATATGAAAATTGAAAAAAAATGAAAATAAATCTTTAAAAAACCGCAAAAATTTCCTTTACAAGACACCAAATGGCAAAGACTTTCTTTACAAAACAAAAAGCGGCAAAAACTTTCGTTACAAAAGGAAAAATGGCAATAATTTTCTTTACAAGTCATAAAATGGCAAGAACTTTCTTTACAAATCATAAAATGACAAGAAATTTCTTTACAAAACAAAAAACTGCAAAAACTTTCTTTACAAAACAAAAAACGGCAAAAACTTTCTTTACAAGTCTTAAAATGGCAAGAACTTTCTTTACAAAGTAAAATTAAATAAAGACGCAAAAACTTTATTTACAAAACAAAAAACTTACGAGACTTTACCATAGCCTGTACGCTCTTCTTTACAAAATAATTCAACATTGCTGCGATGTAGGATTTTAAAAAACATTTGTATTTTTGTTGTCTAAAAAGTCGTTTTTAATATACAGTAATCTCTATATAGTGAATCATCTGTATAAGCAACTCTCATTATAGTCAACAAGAAATTTGTCCCCGCCAAGTCAATTTGCACTAAAAAATTACTCCGTAAAGGCAACACCCCCTATAGTGAAAACAAAATGCCGGTCCCTTCGGGTTTCTTATATAGAGAGAGTACTGTAATATAAAAAATCTAAATCTAAACTTACTTGACTAAATTCAAACATCGGAAACAATGGAGTTAGTCCTTCTTCCAGAGATATAAATAGTAATTCTCTGAAAATTTTAATTTTAAAGGCCTTAAGACCTGTTTAAAGCCAGATCCAATTTTTAAATCCGCATTGATCTAAATTCAAGTTTTGCTCAGGCGCGGCCCTGCCCTAATTTTTTTACTTAAAAACTTGCCGGATCTTTCCTTTTACGCCAAGCCGAGCTTTTCCGAGAATTCCAGGTCCGGCTTAACTTAAATTTTGCTCAAGCCCGGTCCGTTCCCCATTTCTAGCTCTGACGCGACCCCTATCTTATCTTGCTCTACCCTCCTCCTACTACCGTATCTTACCGTGCTTTATCGTACTCTAACTTACTCTACCGTGCTTTACCGTACTTTAACGTACCCTATCCTAACTTTCTTTACCGTACTCTAAATTACCGTACCCTACCCTAACGTACTCTACCGTGCTTTACCGTACTCTAACGTACCCTATCCTATTTACATTACTTTACCCTAACGTACCCTACCGTGCGTTACCGTACTCTAACGTGTCTTACCCTACCCTACCCTACCCTTACCGAAGATTTAAATCTCTGTCAATAATGTAGCTGGTAGTAATGGCCATTTCATCCTGATTACTTTCGTCATTAATGAATCCAGTAAATGTCATTGAAAGCATGTAAAACATTGAGCCTTGCATGTCTGTTATATCTATCTTTACTTCGTTGTTTTCGTTTATAGCCCTGTTTGAGATATAATAACGACCATCGTTGTCCGTCACCAAATGTCGTAACACATTATGATGAATAGCTTTAGTAAAAGAAATCTTGTGATCGGTGGAGTTCATAAGGTAGGCTACAGTAGCTTGGTATGTGTTAGCTCCTAAAAATCGAAATGCATATACGGTTCTGTAAAGAAAGTTCCTGCGGTTTCAAAAAATGCTTTTGTAAAGAAAGTTGTTGCGGTTTAAAAAAATAATTTTTGTAAAGAAAGTTCTTGCGGTTTTAAAAAATAATTTTTGTAAAGAAAGTTCTTGCGGTTGTTAAATAAACTAACCGGTGGAGTTATCTGTGTTGGCCAAATCTATAAAATAAACTATCTTAACCACAGTCTCTTTATCATCTTTTCGAGAATCAAACCAACCAAAATCCGTTGTACTAGGTACAGTACAAAGAGTAGTAAGTACAGTATAAATAATCAAAAATATTAACGAATAGTAGCACATCATACCAGACCGTATAATAAATAATAAAAAAAATTAACTGGCCAAATTTTTTAAAAGAAACAGTTGCTATTACCATATGTAAGATGTTAATTTACTGAGAATAAACAGGCTTTCACAGAAACCACCCTAATTTTACAAAATATTAAGGAAGCTTGCCTAATTTAACGTTTTAAAGAAAGTTCTTATCATTTTTTTGATTTGTGAAGAAAGTTCTTGAATTTCACTTTCATTTCATTTAATCATCAAATCATTGTTAGGTATGGAAAGAACGTTCTTGCCGTTTTTTGTTTTGTAAAGAAAGTTCTTGCCGTTTTTTGTTTTGCAAAGAAAGTTCTTGCGATTTCTTGTTTTGTAAAGAAAGTTTTTGTCATTTTTTGGTTTTTAAAGAAAGTTCTTACCATTTTTTTTAAACAGCAGTAACTTCCTTTACACTTATTTTGTTCTTTTTGCGGTTTTTGGCCATTTGTTCGTCCAAAAAACAATTGAAAAAGAGAAAGTCTGGCAACAAAAAACCGCGGAACGACGTGTTTTGACGTGAATTTTTCATGCAAAAAATTTGAAACAAGAAAAAGAAACATAAAACAACATTATTCTTTATGGATTTTGAAGAAGCTTTTTTTATAAATTTTGAATTTTGTAAAGAAAGTTCTTGCGGTTTTCAAAAACGAATTTTGTAAAGAAAGTTCTTGCGTTTTGTAGAAATGATTTTGTAAAGAAAGTTTTTGCAGTTTTTTAAAATGATTTTTGTAAAGAAAGTTCTTGCGGTTTTGTAAAGAAAAAACTATCTGATGTAATTACTAGTTAAATTGTGGTTAATTAACTTAACTTAACTCCGTAAGTTGTAATAAGGGGTTGTGTATACTTAAGTGCTTTCTTTTGAAGTGTCATTGTTAATTACAATGCTTTTTGTAGGTTTTTATTGTAATTTATAGTAGTATAACACGTGGTAAATTATTTTTGAAATACTTTTTGTATTTGCAAAAACTTTCTTTACAAAATTGTGTTTAGGTATCCATCGTATAACTTGGCACCCGCAAGCTGCCAAATAAGTAATTTCTTGTTTTTGTTTTAAAACTGAAATAACTTTCTTTACAAAACGTAATTTTTCAAAAACCGAATGAACTTTCTTTACAATGTTTTAAAAACTTGTTTTGATAGGCTTCATTTAACATTTAATGTCTTAATTTTTGCGGTTATTTAATCAAGTGTAAGGTCTCATAGTTACACTGTATGGTATCTTTTCAACAAACATTCTTTTTTGTATGTATGTTTACTGTAATCATTTCTGTAGGGTGGTTAAAACCTTCCATTTTTGATTTAAGGCCAGGTCGAATGCTTAATCTTTGTCTGTGTAGTCTTAGGCTTAAGCTTAGGCTTTGCCATAACCTTAGGCTTTGGCGTAGGCTTAAGTTTTTGAATGAAGCTTAGGCTAGAGCTTGACTAGGTTTGGATTGTAGAGTACCAATCATTCTTTATTCTATAAAGAAAGTTCTTGCTATTTTATGTTTTGTAAAGAAAGTTCCTGCCATATTTTGTTTCGTAAAGAAATTTTTTGCCATTTTCTAGTATGGAAAGAAAGTTCTTGCCATTTTATGTTTTGTAAAGAAAGTTCTTGCCATTTTATGTTTTGTAAAGAAAGTTCTTGCCATTTTATGTTTTGTAAATAAAGTTCTTACCATTTTCAATCCAATACACCAAGCTTGTCATACTTTTTTTGACAAGTTTACCACGTAGCCACGACCTGAATATTGCATGTAGCGGTTTCGAGTTTCAGTAGCCAGTTATTACGCAAAGCGGAAATTTCAGAAAAAAACAATAAAAATGTTGTCATTGTGTCTTTTGTTTACTCGCTTAAATTTAATATTCCATATTAGCTGGAAGGGCGTGGGAAACTCTGCTTTAAGTGTTTCCAGGTTTGTCATAATATTTTTTGCGGTTTGGCTTTGATTTTTTTGCAAAAATGTTTTTGAGGGCGGGGGGGAGGAAGAGGGGGGGGAGATTAAAAAATTTGTAAGAAGGGAGGGGGGAGGGAGGAAGAGAAATAAAAAGGTAGGAGAGGTAAAATGCTAAGGATGGGGTTGTTGCCTTACATGGGAAGGTACTTAAATCAGAAATCGACTTTGGGACGAGACCTATATATTATGAAAGCCCTGTGCTCAAATGTTAGAAGAAGAAGGGAAGAGGGGAGGAACAAGGATGTGTTCTTAGCAAAAGCTTTCATAACGGATCAAAATGGCAAGAACTTTCTTTACAAAACACAAAATGACAAGAACTTTCTTTACAAAGCAAAATATGGCACGAACTTCCTTTACAAAACAAAAAATAGCAAGAACTTTCTTTACAGAACGTATAATGACAAAAACGTTGTTTACAACCCATAAAAAGCCATAAATTTTAAAATTTTGAATTTCAAAAAAATCTGCAAAACGTTGTTTTCGCGTCTTTTCACGTAAACACTCTCTTTAATTCCCTTAAAAACAGTACCAAAAGTATTACATTGATTGCAAATTATCCCTTCAACAGTTTAATCTCGTAAAATATTAAGCCAAGATTTAAAATTATAATCTTAATTACGATAATGCAAAGATGTTACGCAATTTCCATCCACAATTTAATCGCAATTTAACTAAATGAAATTCGGCCGTTACTGTCATGCATAAAGTTATTTTTTATAAACGGCTTGGAGCCGGCCGGCTCTGATATTGTTTTAGCCGTTTGTTCGAAAAATAGGGTTTGACGCGCGCGGAGGGTGGGGTAACATAGGACAAGATAGAGGTAAGGGGTATGTTAAAGCAAGATAAGTTGGGGCAGGGCAGGCAAGATAAAGTAGAACAGGGTACAGTACGGTAGAAGTAAGAATAGGGTAGGGTAGGGTAGGGTAGGGTAGGGTAGGGTAAGGCAGGGTAGGGTAGGGTAAAGTACGTTAGGGTACGGTAAAGAACGGTAGAGTACGTTAGGGTAGGGTAGGGTATAAATAAAATTTTTAAAAAATTAAAAGTTGTCATACTTTCCTATACTATACCTCCTTGATATTGTTTTACAATATCTTTCATTTTTCAGACATCTTCCCAATCTGCAGCCTGCAAACAGCCGGACGCGAGCCGCTTATCGTTTATTCCTTTTGTTTCTTTCGCGCCCAATTTCACTGTTACTTCAAGAAGACTCGTCAATGTTTTCTCCTGGTCCAAATTCCTTTTCCCCTTTTTTGAAATTACATCTTTTTGCTTTTATAATTAGAACATGGAATTTGTCGCATGAATAATATAGACGTCTATTATAACATCGTTTTTACGTGCATAACTTGAATTTATTCGAAATTTATGATTAGTTGATTGATTTTAGACCCTTTAGCCATCTTTTTTGATATTAATTTGATGGTCTATTAGTAATAACTGGCTTTTTACAAACAATTTAATCTTTATGGAGTCGCGTCAAAAAGAATTGACCATCTTACTATAGAAAATAATAGAAAAATCTCAAATTCTTTTTGACGCGCCTTGATAAAACGTGTTTATCTTCGTTATCTGTATCGATTTCAATCATAAACATATCTATATCACTTTTCAGCTTGTTTTCTTGGCCTAGACGGGTTTTTGTGCCATACTTTGATCTCATTCATGGAAAAAGAAGGTGATGATGGCAGACGGTCACTTACATCGAATATACACGTTCAACATTCGACTCACATAGTCAAAACGAGCCCTAATAAGAAGGTACGTCTTTGATTTGTATTGTTATGGTGTTTAGGTATCATGAAAATTGAGGAGGATGAAGTTGTGGATGTTGTTTTAGGCGCGTCAGAAAGAATTGGGCTGTTTTGCTTTGTAAATACATTGAGAAAGGACAACTCTTTTTGACGCGTGTTGTTTTTCATTGAAAATCGGCAATTTTGATAATTTCTTGAATATTTACAAGCAATTTTGTAGCTGTTAGTACCTAAATTATAGTCTCTAGAAACTTTTTTGGTAATAAATTATCTAATTTGCCATCAGACAACTTTATTTTAAAATTTATTAAATTCCGACCTTTTTTAAAAAGATTTCTTTTAAACTGACGCACTTTAACCAATGTTTGAGTGTAATGTCGCTGGGTTTAAAATATTAATCTCAGTTTGCGACATTCGCTCTGAATGGACTTGTTACGTGATGTAGTGCAAGCGAGTGGACTTTGTTTAGGTCTTGTTTTGTTGTTTTTGGCACGTGAACTATTTTCGCACTCGAAATTTGTGGAAAGAAACGGGTTTTGATACAAAAAATGGTGTTTTAGGTATGAATTAGGGGTTTTCTTGGACTTTTTACGTTTCATAGTGCAGAAATGGCAAGGATTTTCTTTACAAAATGAAAAATGGCAAGAACTTTACAGAACAAAAAAGGCAAAAAACTTTCTTTACAAACTAAAAAATGGCAAATACTTTCTTTCCAGACATAGGAATTGCTATTTTCCTTGTCTCTGATTAATTTATATTGTTTTAGAGATCTCATTCGCCGGAAAAATCACCAAAACCATCAACCAGTGAAATTCAACTTGAAAGAAATAAAAGGTTAAGGGTTGATCAAGAGAACAGTCTGTTAGCATCAACTTTGTCCAAATTCGTCATACCAGAAGGCATAAATTCGACCACACCTCCAAATAACAGAATATGCGCACAACGTCGATGTAAGTTAATATTTTAGGTATAAAGTTGGGTTTTGAGGTATTCATAGCCATTTTTATGTTGATAAATAATAATATCAATTTTTAAGCTCGATTTTTTGCTAATTGTTACTTAAATTTTGATTTTTCTAGGGGTTGTTACCTAAATTATCAAGGTTTACATTTTTATTACCTAAAATACCAAAAATCATCAAATTTGTTTCATTTCAGCACCTCGAAAGCACTTGTCATCAAAACCGAGTACCAGCACCAATCCTCCAGGATACTACTCACCTGTACCAGCAGCAATTTCGAAGCTACCATCTTCGGTTACCGTAAGCAATGTCGGTAATGTGAAAGTGAATCGAAAGTACTTATCCTTTACATCCAATTCTTCGACGGAACAAAAATCGTCGGAAGACGAGGATTTACCGGTATTTGTTCATGATGGACCGAGCTTGGATCCGACTGGTAGTGGCAAGAAGTCTTTGGAATCGACCAGTAGAAATGATAGGGAAATTGAGAGTTTGCGTAATGTTGAAGAGTAAGTTGACAATTTTTTGTTTAAAAAATGGCGTTTAAAGCAAAAATTAGACTTATATTTTTTTAAATTTAGGTAACAATTTTTTTATTTTTTTCATTTTAGAGCAAAATTGGACTCAGAAGTTCCGAGTACATCACAAGAACTACTTTCGTCATCTACAACAAGACCTACAACAGAAGCTTTATCAAGAAGAATAAGTGCTAGATTATCGACCGGTCAAAAAGAATCACTGAGGCAGATCATAAGAAAGGACCAAACTGGTACGCCAGAAACTCCGAGCACCATTTCTAAACGATTGGATTTGTCAAATAACGTGGTAGAACGACAGGAACGGACAGAAACGACTGCTTTAGAATCTCCAGGAACGTCACAAGAAGCCGTAGTAGAGGTTGAAATGATAGAAGAACGGGTAGATTATCAACAACGTGAACTAGAAACTTCAATACCTTATCGTGGAGCTTCAGAAGCATATATGAGTCACCGTGAAGCTCCAAGATCGTCTCAAAATTACTGTGAATATACAGAATCTCCTCAACGTTACCCCGGAGCTCCAGAATCTTCTACAAGCTACCGTGAAGCATCAGAAGCTCTTAGGAGCCATTACGAAGGCCCAGCAACTTCACAAATCTATAATGAATGTCCAGAATCTTCTCCAATGGGCAGCGAAGCTACAGAAGCATTTAAAAGCCACCAAGAAGATGCAAGATCTTCTCAAAGCCATCGTGAAGCTCCAGAATCCTCTCAAATTCACAATAAATCTTCCGAAGCCTTCAGTCTACTAACTGATCCAATACAATCTTCTAGTACTCATTGTGGAACAGCTTTCAATCTACCCTCAAATCAACCAGAAACTTCCAGTCTTCCATCAAATCAAACAGAATCCTCTAAAATCCGCTACAGAGCTCCAAAAACTTCAAATCGACAGTTAAATCAACCAGAATCCTCAAGAACACGACAAGATCAAGTGAAGAAAAAGGTCAAATTCGATCGGGTCGACTTGTATTACTTTGATTTTGCCCATAGTTTCGACACTGTGCCGGAAGACGGTGTACCATTGGGAATGGCCAGAGAACACAGTGATTATAGGCAGTTTCCGACCTGTAATAGGTATCAGAATCATGTTCGAACGGAGAAAGTGAGTTTTTCAAAAATTTTTTTCGAATATGCACGGTGCAGTCTCTTTTATAAATCTGCACGGTGCAATCCTTTTTTTTGAATAATTTGCACTGTGCAATTTCTTTTACAGCACCTAAAGTACACGAACATTGTGAAAAGACCCTCAAGATGTCGAGTAGGTCCGACGATCAGTGGTTTAACGTATGACCCGAATAGTTTTGGTCGATTATCGACTGACATTAGAGATGCGATTGCTCGAGGCGAAAACATACTGTATGATGGAGTAAGTGCTATAATAAATTGTTTCTGGTCACAAAATTTATAGAAATCTACATTTTTTCTTTATTGATCAAAATGTTTATAGAAAAACTCAATTTTAATTTTTAGGTAACAAACTTTTAATTGTTTGAAATTCACGCCTTTGTACAGTTATAAAATTCTTTATTTCTAGCCAACCCGTCAAGAGATCCAAGATATTCGTCAATCCCGAACCTCATGTGGATGTGATTGCCAAAACGGCTGTGAACCAGCCACGTGTCTATGTGCAATATCCGATATCCAATGCATGGTGGACCGGGAAAACTTTCCATGCAAATGCACAAAAGATAACTGTCATAACCCAAAAGGCCGCGACGAATTCAACAAGGAAAGAGTGTCGGAACATGCACAACAAGTTTTGGCACAATTCGGGAAAAAACAGAAGAAGCCGGCTTTGAAAACGACACTAAAGATGGCTCTAAAGCAACAAACTGAAAATATGGTGACTGTGCAGAAAGAGATGATCTTAAAGAGCAGTATCACTACACAGTACAGTCAATTGCCTTCTAGTAAGTAATGGAAATAAATTTGTAAATTAAGTTTGTGGGGGATTTTAATGTGAAAGCTCTTGTAGTTTTTAAAAATAATTTTTGTAAAGAAAGTTCTTGCAGTTCCTAAAAATTATTTTGGAAAGAAAGTTCTTGCGGTTTTAAGAAAAATTCTGTAAAGAAAGTCCCGTAATAAAAATATTTTTTCAGTCTCAACCGGCTACCACCAGAACGTCACCATACGCCGTCACCAAAGGTACTAACATAACTTGTAATATATATCGTGTTTGTTACTTGTTGTCTCTATTATTTCCCAAATAGACATTTACTAACTTTTTTAGAAAAATAGCTTTAATAATATTTATTAATCACTAACTTCTTCATTTTCCTTTATTTTTCATCATTTTTGTTACTTTTTTATTATTTTTTGTTGTATTAATGTTGTTGTAGTAAATATATTGTTGTTATATTACAGTTTTGTTACTTTTTTTATTATTTGCAGTAGTTTTTGTTTACTGTGTGAGTGAATTTTTACTTCTTTGACAGTTTTTTATTTTAAAATATTCGAATTTTATAATTTTTTTGATTTTTAAACTTTATAACAAAAAATTGTTTTACGAAACAAAAATGTTGATACTAACCAGAAATTTGCTTTGAAATCACAGCACTACTGCTTTCAGCACGCCACGAAAAAGTAACCCATCTACACCAATATCTGATGTGAGGATTGATCAAGCTACTACTTTATTACATAGGGAAACAGGTGATCAACCATCGACCTCAATATCGGATAAAATCACTAATCAGCAATCTACCACAATCTCTGGTCAGCCTACACCAATGTTTGATCGATCTACTAGGTCTGACAACATTGACAAAATATATCCCCAAGCTGGACTAATATACGGCCAAAATACAACAACAACAACAAATCAAGATACTTTAAGAACAAATCAAGCCACGTTAAGATCGAACCCACCTACATCAACATCTAATCAAATATCTATCAAAAACCAGATATTAACTTCAAATCAAGGCTTAAAACGCCGTTTTTTCCAACTTCTGAATCCACGACAAGCCGAACTATCAATGGATTCTTTAAATCCTCAACCTCCAAGTGTGACTTCAAGACAAAATTCACAATCTACACAGATTTCGATTCCGATTGATCATTCAAAACGGGTTAATGAAGCAAGAATTCATAGGGAACAGCAATATAATGATAGTAGTCTAGGACAGACTTCTGGAGCTCATGGCTTTAGTAACGCTATGAGTTACAAGCACATAAACCAAGATTCTGAAGCTCATGGTTTAGGAAAAGCTTCAGAATCTTACAGTTCAAATCTCACGACTAGATGTCTTCATATAAATCAAAATACGGAAGCTCAACGCCTAAGTCAAGGAACAGATTATCTTCGCCCAAGCCAAGCTTCTAAAGACCAAGCCTATCCTCATGAAAACCATACTCATTCATCTTCGGCCATCCCCTCAAGATCAAGCTTCAATCAAACCTCAGAATCAACGTTAAAATCAGAACTACAAAGAATATCTCAAGAATTCCAAGCAAGTCAGATGGAAGTTAACGCTAAACTAACCCAAATGTCAGTAGAAACCGCAAGATTACGTCAAAAAACGCAAATAGTAGTTGAGCAACAGCAACTTCTTCGCGACAATATTATACAGATGCAAGAAACAATGCAAAAAACAGCATTATATCAACAACAATATTTCAGTATTCTTGAAAAAATGCTCAATCAAAGGCAGTGTTATAGTGATCAATTACAAGCCTTTGACCGGGAACAAGCACCTAATCAACCTACTTCATTTGGAACATGCCCTGAAAATCAAAGTGCAGAGGCCAGTCAACGACAAACAAGTCAACAAACCCTATTCCAGCCTAGTTCAAGCCAGTATCAACGTACTAACCTACCACAAAATTCATTTCCAGAAGCTGTGTTAAGGATTAGTCAACGTCGAATGGCTGACCCTAACCAAACAGTTGGTCCGGAACCGAAAAAACTGAAACCTAGTACAAAGTCAAGCCAGTCAAATACTATTCCAACTATTCAGCCACAAATTAGTCGTACTACAGTTCAGCTACAGCTGAGTCCATTTACTAGTCAAATATCATCAAATCTAGCCAATCTATCAGAGAAAAAATCGATTCAGAATGACCTGGTCCATGGTCTATGTCAGCCAAGTAGTGTACTAAACCCGCCAGAACGAAATTCTATTCCAGCTCAACCAAACAACAGTAAAATCGCTACAACCATAAAGACAGCAACTCAACCAACAATAAGCATTCAGCTAAAGAAGAACCTGGATTTTACAATGTTTTCAAAGCCTAATTTCTCAGCAGCGAAATGTTTACCTTCAGGCCTTAAAACGTCATCAAAACCCGCTGAACTGTCGTTACCCAAAAGCTCAAACGGACCAATGCCTGTAGAAGAAAATATGCAAGAAGAATCGCTAAGCCCATCTTCTCGAAAACGTCGTCATGATGACGAAACAGACCAAGAACACCAAGCGAAACGAAAACCGGTAAATGAACAGAACATCTTAGATAGTATGCAAGCATCTGTAACCAACCCTCTTAGCAGAATTCAAAAACCAGGAGCCAGCACTTTAGGAAGAATTCAAGCACAAAAAGCTAAAAGTCCACCACAAATTGAGTCTTCAACTGACGTTACATTTAAGGGAATTCAGGCTCCAACAGCTAGCACTGACGGGAGAAGACAAACTCCAACAGCAGCTAATATGAGCTTTGATTACCGTGGAGTTTTTGATAATTACCGTCGTTTCAAACGACGAAAACAGAATATAAAGAAGTTAAGACACAATAATATGAGAAACCACGGAAATTTTGACGACGATAAAAATCTAGATTTAGATGACAATGAAAATTTGAATCTAGATGACAATGAAAACTTTGGCGACGATGAGATTCTAGATTCTAATAACGATAAAAATATAAATCTCGATAATGAAGATACGTTGAATGACGATGATGTTCTGAAATCGGATGATGAAGAAAATATGAATATAGATGCCAACACACCGTTGGATAAAGATGAGGTTCTAAATTCAGATGACCATGACGACATGAATCTTAATCGCGAAAAAGAGATACATTTAGATAAAGATAATACCTATCTAAGTGTCAATGATCATATAAGTTTAGATCACGATGAAGACCTTTATTTAAATGACGATGAAGGTCTAAATCAAGTGTCGACAACTTCTCAAGAAGCAGAATCCGTTATATACCAAAACGAATCCGAGAATCCGTTTCTATTTCGTGCCGGTGCTTTTGAAGACGTTTCTATCGCTTTTCGTCAACAAACTACAGACGTGTTCGATGGTGATGAATACGTTGAAAACCCTTTCCTACTGACAACCGGCATAACCTCGTTTACCACCACGGTCGATGAAAACTGGCATTTGATTCAAAAAGCCCAGCAATTTCAGCGAGACTCAAATAATTCCACAATAGATTGTGGAGACGACTCTGTCCATGATGTGGGTAGAGAATGTGAATATTTAAAAGTTATAGATGATGAAAGTAGAAAATCAGAAGCACGAGTAAATGAAGGAGTACAATATTCAGAATCTTGTCTCAAAGCAGATCAAACGAACCAAGATAGAGCCCAGAAAGACGTTAAAATTGAAAGAATTCTGAATTTCAATACAACGTTCTGTAAAAATGTCTTTTCAGAAGACAATGACAATAAAAGTTCAGGATCTGATAGTCATCTGAATTCAGATGGCAAACAATTTCTAGACTTTGATATCGATAATAATTTGGATTCAGAATCCAACCAAAATGTGGGTTCAGAATCCGATCATAATTTGAAATCAGAATTTACCCTCAATTTAAACGCAGAAGACAATCAAGACTCACAAGAAGCCAATAACAACCCCGACGATGAAAAAGCAAGTCTCCTGAAGCATAAAATTCAAAAACCAGTAATCGAAATACACGAAGAGTTCTCGAGCCAAAAATCCATTGACAAATCGGAAAAATCCTACCGAAGTTCAGCTTCAGAAGAACGAAAACAAAAGTTTTTGACGGCTTCGAACCTGACAAACTCAATGGGATCAGCCACATCAACCGCCACGCAAAGCCGAAACTCGTCCACGGAAGTGTCCGTCCCACAGCCAACCATCAACAACATCAAAATTGATTAGGTTAGTGAAGCTTTTCAAGTTTAATATTACTTTACTATGAAGTTTTTACCCAAAACAGTTAAATTTCGATTTTTCTATTAAATTTTTAAAAGAATTGGCAAAATTCCGTTTTCTCATGAATTTTGTTACCTAAAATTTAAAATTTAATTTCCTATTAAAAATCTTGATGATGCAAAAACTAAATTTTCTATATATTTTCGGGCGAAGTCAACTCTATTAACAACATTATTTCAGGATTTCTAACTTATTATTGTATACAACTACTGATCTCCACCTCTAACTCAACTACCTAACACAACAAACACGGTTAAACTTGTATATTTTACGTATCATTGACTTTTTTGCTATATTATAAACCAAATAAATTCTATTTGAACTTAAAACTTGAATAATATTGGTTGTTATCGTAAAAATAAGGTGGTTAAAAAAGAATTGGACTCATTTCTTATAAGTTATATAATAAAAAGCCCAATTCTTTTTGACTCGCCCGGGTCAGCTGAACCATCAATGCCAAAAAACTTACCTAAAACAATCGTCTTCCAAATCCTTCATACCTAAATTTCAAAACAAAATAAAGTTGACACTTACCTTCTTGTTTGGGCTTGTTTCGGCGACGTAACTGGCTGTTGAGCATGCGTATTCAACCTAAAAGGCAATTGTCCATTACTACCTTCTTCTTTCATCAATGAACTTAAAATATAGCACCAGTATCATCTTACGCCAATCAGACAGCCTAAATCATTGAAAAAAACTATTTCTTACCTAAAATGATAAAAAAAATACAACAAAATCTTCATAAATTATTTTTGTTACCTAAAATTGTCAAGGATGCTAGACCCAAAAGCGAGAAAAAATTACAATCGCCCAAAAAACTTTTTCCTGATCGAGCCAAAATTCCTTTTTTTGTTTCGATCCAAATCTCAAAAAACAAAAATTCTTCCGGAAATTCCTAGTTTTTATCTGCAACCTGCCAACCACATCCGCAGGCCGCAAAGCACAACCCCGCGAAAATATCCCTCTTGAAATACTCACTGCACGGTGCAAGAGAAATTGCAATCGCCCAAAATTCTCCTTTCGGAGATCGAAGGATTTTCGACAAATTTGGCGATTCCAAAATTCCCAAAATTGGCCACTTTTGTTTTTCTCTAACTTTCCCTGACCGCCCTCTCATGTCGCAATGATCTCTCTTTGTCGCACGTCCGCTTCTCTTGTTTTTCTACAGTTGCGCAACCTCTTTTGGCGATTCCCTTCTTTCTCTTCCTCGTCTCCTCAAATCCCACTCTCTCTCCTTTCACCGACTGATTGCACCGTGCAAGCCGAATTGGGCCGAAAATCCCTTTTTTGGATCCGATCGGTTTTGCGATTTCTGACAAGGGAAGGTCACAACCTCACACCCTGCTTTCCTTATAAAACATATATCATTTGAAAGAGCGCAAAAAGTTGTATTAAAAACCGTTTTCAATTTTTGCTAAACGGTGTTACGAACAAAGTTACAGGCGATTTAATTTTACTATATGTTTATTGCGCAATTTTTTCCACTCGAATGCGAGCAAAAAAGGAAGGAAGGGAAGATGGGTACTTCAGTGGTGTAGCGGCAGTGCGCTCCATCATGAAGGAAACCAACGCCGGTTCGGTGCCTCTCTGTGGCGATGATTTTTTGCAGCAACTGATTGAAATTTTAAAGTTAACGTTTTGTACCATTTTTGCCACTTTAAAATTTTTTTTACTTTTTTTTCTTGTTTTTTCTCCTTTTTAGAAAGTTTCAAAAAATTAAGCAAAAACTTTGAACATCAAAAATGTTTGATGTTTGCTTTGAGAACATAACTTGTTAGCGAAAAATTGTTGTTACTAACTTTAACTTATAAAACGAAAAGAAAAACGGCTGAAATTGAAATAGGTATCTAACCAAACTTTGAAAAATGGTGTTACAAAAAAGATTATAAAAATTTTAAAATCTTAATTAGTTGCCGCAAGAAAGTCTTGCCACAGAGAGGCACCGAACCGGCGCTGGTTTCCTTCATGATGGAGGAAAGTCCGCTACACCACTGAATTACACATGTTCCCTTCCTTCCTTTTTGCTCGCATTCGAGTGAAAAAATTGCGCAATAAACATATAGTAAAATTAAATCGCCTGTAACTTTGTTCGTAACACCGTTTAGCAAAAATTGAAAACGGTTTTTAATACAACTTTTTGCGCACTTTCAAATGATATATGTTTTATAAGGAAAGCAGGGTGTGAGGTTGTGACCTTCCCTTGTGAGGAAAATCCTCCAACCTTCGAAAAGGAGATTTTGAGCAACTGGAATTTGGCTTGCACGGTGCAGTGGGAATATCAAAGGATCCTTTTTGGCGGCTTTTGTGCTTTGCGGCCTGCGGATTTTGTTGGCAGGTTGGAGATAAAAACTTGGAATTTTTGCAAGAATTTTTGTTTTTCGAGATTCGGATCGAGTCGAAAAAAGGAATTTTGGCTCGATCGAAGAAAGGGAGATTTTGGGCGATTGGAATTTGGCTTGCACGATGCAGTGAGGATTTCAAAAGAGGTCTTTTGGCGGGTTTTGTCATTTTGCCGCCTGCGGATGTTGTTGGCAGGTTGGGGATAAAAACTAGGAATTTTTGGAAGAATTCTTGTTTTTTGAGCTTTGGGTCGAGTTGAAAAAAGGAATTTTAGCTTGATCGGAAAGTTTGAGTGATCGAGCTTTGTACAATGAAATTTTCAAAGGCACTTTTTGGGAATATTTTTCTTTTTTCACGACTTGGATTGAATCTTGAGGAGGTTCTGCTTTATTCTTGATAAGGATTTTGTAAATTTGTCCGCTCGTTTCAATATTTTTAAGATTTTAATTTTTTTCAGCTTTGGATTGGAATTTTGCAGATTTCAAACTCGATAAGGTTTTTGGGGAAAAACATGGAGTTTTATGCAAATTTAATTCGAAGATTATTTTTGTAATCAGAAGAAGGAAAATGACATGTTTATTTATTTTTACAACGTTTGATACGAAAAATGGGGAAACGGCAGAGAGAACATCTGTTGGAGGTATTGACCATCAAGGCTCGTCGCCAGAAAAGCTGTTGGTTTTTGATTAAAGTTAATGTAAGTTTTTTTGTATTATTTCTTGGTTTTTAGGACATGTATTGAACGAGTTTAACGGAAAGTAAGAGGTGAAGATAATGAATTACGTTCGAAACTTATTCGTATATAGACATAGGTTTTGTTGTGGGTTCGCTGAAGTTTTGACGTAAATTAGGTATTTGTTGACGGATTTTTATAAGATTTTTATTAAAACAAGTTAAAATATAGTCCGAAGAAGGTTTATTTATGTAAAGGTTCAAGTTGTTTGAGTTTATTTTTCGGGCTTTAAATTCGAATTTTTTTTTCTTACACTACTTTTAGTTGAACATCATAACTTTATGGATTATATTGAATGCTGGAACGTTTATCTATATCCGTAATCAACAGGTGAGTAGTTTGTTTGTTATGTTATTTCTTAAGGTTAAATTTATGTTTGTTTTGTCAATTGAAAATCGTGAAAACTTGTTTTTCCTTGTTTTACCTATGATAATATTAAGTTTTTGACGAAATCTTGAGTTTTATACTTATTTTTATGTTTCACTGGTTGTCTATGTGATTACAATAGTGGCGTAAAGGTTTACTATAATTTTGTTGATGTTTTAGGACACGTTGCATCGGTTTACAGAAGAAGCAGAGTTGTTAAAGGATAGCCACATTATGTCGTTTGAGCATTGCCAATTTTCTCACAAATACTACAGCACGCCGTTTGATACTGTAAGACTTTATGTTTTGATTTTAAATTGTATTCTGTCCTTATATAGTACGTAATTTTAGGTAACAATTTTTTGAAACATTTAGATTTAGATATTACTGGATGTGATTTGTAAATTTTCTTGAAATGCTTTTTTTTAGAGCAGATGCCATGATCAATGTGGTACAAAAGCAATCGCCTGGAGGCTGCGAACGTTACAAATGCCTTTCAAACGCTATGAAGATGTTGATTTGGACGATGAAAAAGGCTTTCGACGTGTATGTTTTGATATTTTGGACCATGTAAGTTACATTTCGACCGTTTATGTCTTTTTCTGGTCTTTACTTTGTAAAATTTCAGGTCAATTGTCACGACAGTCACAAGAAGTGCCATCCACCGCCAAGAAAAGTGCCACAATGTGCTGGTATGGCGGGTACCGAGCTGGAGGATCATATATCATACGGAGAACGAGTTCTTGCACCAGCGATCAGTGAAACCGACTTGGCCAAGGCTTTGAACAAAAATGTTTTGGCTAGCGAATTGGTGATTCTATGCCCACTTTGCCGTATCCAGTCTGATTGGTTCAAGTGGGTTTTTTATTTTTTGTTACCCAAAATTGAAATGACTTAAAATATTTTGTTACCTAAAATGAGGAAAGCAAGATTTGAAAGGCAAGCAAAAATTTTCTATGTAACTTTTAAAATGACAATATTTGACTTGTCTAAATGTTTATTTTAGGGTCGATGGCACCAAAGCCAACTACAATGAATCCAAGATCAATTGCTTGGCTAAACTTTTGACTATTGCTCCGGGTTGGCCGAGGTTCGCTGGTTATTGTGACAACACTGTTAGTGCCATAAAGCCCTTTGAGGAATGTAATCATTTCAACGACCACATTGATACATATAGACTTTGATTATATAGTTGGGTAGTAAAATTGTATAGTTGTTGACCTACCTGTCTCGCTTTTTGATGTTTTCTTGGCCCAAAAGTTCATACAAAATCATTTTTTTGCTTTTCATTTTGGAAAAATGTCATTTCCATTTTTTACAACTCAAAAACCGGTCGAATGTCCAAGGCCTCGATTAGTATTCGAACCCAGGATTCGGTTTCGTCGAAACGTTCGCCAAACGAGCGACCAAAGGGACCATTAGTGATAGACAAAGGTGAGGTAATCAACAAGAAATGGATTTATGAAAAGAAACTCGGCGAAGGCGGATTTGGAGCTGCTTATTTGGTCACTGGAATTGTGGTGGGTTAACAGTTTTCTATGAATTTATTGACCGGTAGGTTGAAATTTGATTTTTCTATAAAATGTTTGACCTTTTTGATGAAAGTCATTAAGATTTCTATTTAAAAATGGTGTTTTAGAAAAACCAATAAATTTTGTCGCATTTCGTCTTTTTTTCAATATTTTAGTTTTCTGCACACTTTTAACTCAAAAACCTTAAAATTTGAGTTTTTTAGAACATATTGACTAAAATTTTCAGAAACCAGGAAAATACGCTATGAAGGTCAATTTAAAAGCGGACAAGGAATCAGATCGAATCATGTCAATTGAAGTTACAGTACTCCGCACATTGTCCTCCAACAAAAAGTACTTTCCGCAATACCTTGAAAGTGGATATGTAAAAGGATACAAGTACGTGGTTATGGAGCTACTAGGACCGTCTTTGAGTGATTTACAGGAAAAACAGTCCAGCGAGAAGTTTAGTATGTCTACAGTGGTTCGGATTGGCATTCAGCTGTTTGAGGTAGGGGTACAAGGTTGGGTTTTTAAAGAAAGTTTTTGCTATTTTTTCATTTGGAAAGAAAGTTCTTGCCATTTTGTGTTTTGTAAAGAAAGTTCTTGCCATTTTTTTCATTTTTCAAAATTGCAATAACTTTCTTTACTCCCTACTTTCAGAGTATTGAAGCAATGCACGCCTGCTGTATTCTTCACCGTGATTTGAAACCAGGAAATTATGCCATTGGCGTTATTAACCGACAATGCGTTTACATTTTTGACTTTGGTCTAGTTAGGCAAATGGTTGACCATGATAAAAAAACTGACAAATTCCGACTGCGAGCGGAAAGAACAAAACCACCATTCAGAGGAACGTATCACTACTGTAGTCCACAACAACATGAAAATGGAGATTCATGCCGGAGGGACGATTTGTGGTGGGTTTTTTGAACTTTTAAAAAATTTTGGCTAAAGGTTCTATAAGAATGGCATTTTTTGTTTTTTTTGGTCAAAAAGTGCATAGAGAAAAGTAATTTTGAGTTTTTCGGTTGAAAATTGAATAGAAACATTATTTTTTTCGGTCATTAATTACATAGTAAAAAGGAAAACGTAAGAACATATCGGCCCAATCCTTGAAGACCAAGCATTCCAAAATTTACTTTAACCAGCCACGTCCGAACGAGCTGGATAAGATACCAACCTTGATTGGAACTTATTAGTTCGAGTAAACGAAAGGTTTGATTTAGGGTTATGAAAGAGAGAATTGGTTTTTGTTTGGGTTGGTATGGTAAGTGAGAGAGAAGAGAGGGGTAGAGAAGATAATATAGAATTTATATATATCTTTTCTATTTATCTTTTTCACAGCTTTTGCGCTCTCTTCTCTCTCACCTTAAAGAGTAACCCAAACAAAAATTAATCTTCAAGGATTGGGCTGATATGTGCTTACGTTTTTATTATCTTTTTTTTGAAAAAGAGACTGACAATTCGGGCAACGGATTAAAGAAAATCTGAATTTAGGTCAATAATGTACAGTTTGATTGAATTCCGAACCCGGATATTGCCATGGGAATATGTGAAGGAGAAAAGGAAGATTGGCGAAATGAAAAAGAATACTCCATTGCATATTTTACTACAGGTAAGGTGCAAGAACTTTCTTTACAAAATTATTTTTTAAAAACGCAAGAACTTCTTTACAAAATCATTTTTAAAAAACCCTAAGAACTTTATTTACAGGGCTGTCCAGTGATGTTCGCCCAATTCATTGCCTACTTGCAAGTGCTGGAATTCAAACACAAACCAAAATATTCGTACTTTGTGGATGGTCTAAAAAGGTTGATGAAAGCTCGAGGATACGGAATGAATGATCCTTATGATTGGGAGATGTCTGAAACAGAGGAACAGACAATAGAAAAGGTAGGGTTTCTTTTTGGTTTTTCTGGTTAAAATAGTTTATTTTCAATTTCTATGAACTTTTTGACCGGTAAGTTAAATTTTATCCTTTCGAAGTTTTGTTTCAAAATTGGGAAATTTTTATTTTCTACAAAATGTTTGACCGATGTCTTAAAAAATTTGATTTTGCTATAAACTTATTTATCAATAAAAACTAAAAAATAATGTCATTTTTAGCCGAAAGTAGAGGTCCGTGACAAACGTGTTTCACACGGCGCTGTCATCGATGGAAGCAATCGTTCCGCCAACGCCACGAAAATGTCATTCGGAGACAGTTCGTCAAGCGGCTCCGACCAGGACAACAATTCCAAATCCAACAACAGCAATACTGAACAGGCCGGAACTTTGAATTCGAAGAACTTATTTTTTGAAAATTTTGGGAAATAAACTACTTACTATCGATGTTTTCATAGTATAATGCCGTTTCCTCGGTATATTTTTAGGAAAATCGAGTACTGTCTTTGTGCAATGTGCTAAATTTGTAAAGCGACCACCAGGCTTTGTTTTATGCCTGGACCTCATCCCCACATGAACAACAACACAAACGAAACTTAAAAAATCAGTTTATTGTCAGTAATATCGGATTCAAAATTTAGTTTAGTCTTCGACCAGTTCGACACGTCCAGTCGTTCCATCCAAAAATACATGCGATTCCACGCCACCTCTACCGTAGCCACGAGGACCATACAGTGCGCCATAGCAGCGGTTACAGTAGGGCTTGCTTTCGTGCTGAAAAAAAGTTATAAAATTTTAAAACTTTGGTTGGAGAGTTCATGGAAAACATTTTTTCACCGAAAGTTGCTTTTGTTGTCTGATTTTGACGAAACGTCACAAAAGTTATTGGTTTTTTGAAGAAATAGTCTTTTGATCAAAAAAGTAACAGAAAAAATCAGGTTAGCATTTTTCGTCTAAAACAACATGGAAAAACAAAATTCAGAACAAGACTTACTTCAGCATGACTTCCAGGTGAAAGAGTCTTCTGGCAAGGCGGATTCTGACACTTCAAACATGGCCGATGCCAATCTTTTCCCAACGAAAATACTCTTTCAGCTAAATAGGATTTAAAAAAACTGCAAAAACGTCCTTTACAAAAGTATTTTTAGAAACCGCAGAAACTTTCTTTACAAAAAAAATCAAAAAAGGTAAGAACCTTCTTAACATTTTGTTTTATAAGACAAAACTTACCCCAGTAAACTGGCTTTTCGCATCCTGGACAGTTTGGCATAGCTAAAATTTGAAGTCTCTGACCGTTCCTTTCGAAGAAAAAAAGCAATAATGAGTTGTTTTCAAAATTTTAAATTTTAAAAATTGAAAAAGCTCAATTTTAAAACTTTTTCATTTTTTAAATACTACATTTGTCGGTTGGTCAAGTTTTACTAATTTGAAAATCGTATGTTGTTTTTGTGTATTTGAGTCTTACTTTGGCCATTGCAATGTTAGGCTGTTGATTTTTGAAAGCCTATGATAATGTGTCGCCATAGCTCAGTCGGTTAGAGCGTGGGTCTAATAAGCCCAAGGTCGCAGGTTCGACCCCTTGTTTAAGCAAATTTTAATTTTATTTAACAAAAAATTTCAAAAGTTGCAAAATTTTAACAAAAAATTGGTTTTAAGACGTTTTTTAATAATTTTTTGTTGAATATTTCAGTCAAAATGTTGAATGAAGCTGGCAAAGCAGCAGTACCATCTTCGGGGCCTATTTCCGACGACATTTGCCTAACGGCTATTGAAAAAGAAGACGATGATGTGGAGAAAGCGCCAGTTGCCGCCTTGGACAAAGAAGAATATCCATCGAATTCGGATCGTTCGCCAGGTCTTCAACAGATTTCGGATGGATTTAAAGGAGCTATTAACTCACTTTTTGGTAAAAAACCTGTGAAAACATCGACTCGTGTCGAATTTGATGAAAACATGGACAAGGATGGCCAGACTGATCGTGGACTAATTGAGGTACATATTTTCAAATTTTTAAAATATTTTTTATATTAAAAAAATTGTTGTGTATGAAGAGTTGTTTGCTGCCTAAAAGTTTCTATTTAAGTTTTTTGGATATCAAGTGTTTTAAAAGAGATATGTTAATTAAAAAACGCCGAATATCAAAAAAAGTTCGAATCCGGATAGTAAAAGTGCCATTTTTTTAGTTTTTTTTCTATTAGTGAAACTTTTTTTCTGAATATCTAAGACATGAGTTTTATAAAACGATACAGGATGTGTTTGAACCATAAATTTCATATTGATACCACGTATCACTAAAAAGTTACATTAGTTTAAAACATCGTAAATCTAAAAAAGTTCGAATCCGACTGGAGAACAAAAATTTTGGGGCTCATACTGAACAGCTTCCCATTCTGTTTCACACCCTCAACCGCCAGTTCGCACACCCAGTGAAACCCCCAAGCTCCAACTCCAGGTCGATCCCACTTGGCCGAACCATATCGGTAATGTCCGAAGTTGGGGGTTGAGGGTCGCGCGAGAGAGTGCTGGTCTGCTGACTGGCCAGGGCGGTGAACGGAGGAGCTGAATGAAGAATTTGCAAAATCTGCTGTCTTTTTTGTGGTGGGGGTGCGATCTACAATGGGTGGGGATGCAATCTACAGTGGGTGGAGGTGCGATCTACAGTGGGTGGGGGTGCGATCTACAGTGGGGGTTCAAAATTTTCTGCAAATTGAAATTTATGTGAGAAATCGCAAGAGAAAAAAAAAATTTTTAATTTGTTTTTTGGAAATAAGTCTTTGGAGGTATGTTCTGGATAAGATCGGTGGGTACTTGAAATGGTATGGGTATGGGGGCTATTCTGGATGAGCGCCAAAATTTTTTGCCATTTTAAATTGGAATAGTTTAGTATTTTTAGATCAAATGCACGTACAGAAACTTGAATGTTGAGGATGAAACATACTATCACGGTTTGGTACGATCAATTGACACGGCCGTGATGTTATTAGAGGAAATGTCATTTTTGATACATCAAACTGCCCATGCCGGAAAACAAGTGAGAATCTGGAATTATTTTTGAAAAACCGCCAGAACTTTCTTTACAAAACTATTTTTTGAAAAAATTTAATGATATTTTCAGTACTACATTCTGTCACATCGCTGGAAAGGCAAGATTTGCCATCGTATTATTGGGAAAAGTGATGGAGTCAAGAATCGATGGTTCATTCATGAACATTGTGCACCAGTAAGTACCAAACAAAAGTTTTTTTTATGGTTCAAAGTTTTTAAATCTTATTTTTTTTAATATTAGAAAAAGCGACGAAATGTCACAAATTTTATTGATTTTAAGGAAAGTTGACGAAATGTCACAAACTTTATTGATTTTTTATAAAAATTTCAGTTTTTATAAATTTAATCTTCAGAATATAGTGGAGCTGATTGACTTTCATTGCTCGAAAAACGTACCAGTCAATGAGCACGGTGCACTGATAAAGTACGCCGTTCCGCGCCGTGATTGGTCGTTGAATGTGGAACAACTGAAGATCGGGAAAGCGATTGGAAAAGGAGAATTTGGCTTGATTTATAAAGCTAAAATCAGAAGATTATTTGGATTTGATAAGAAGGCTGTGGTTAAGGTACTGTTACGTGCGGACAAAATGGACAGATTTGAAAAGTGAGTTTATAATGGCATTTATGGTTGTAGAGTAGGGTAAAGAGGGTATTGTAGGGTAGGATAGGGTAGGGTAGGGTAGGGTAGGGGAGGGTAGGGTAGGGTAGGGTAGGGTAGGGTAGGGTAGGGTAGGGTAGGGTAGGTTTTAATAAGGTAGGGTACTATAAAAATCTATTTTTCCAGAGCCAGACTATTCTGTGAAGCCCAACTGATGATGAGCTTACGCCACAAAAATGTCCTCCAAATCTTTGGAATCTGTGCTCATGGTGAAGAGCTAATATTAGCTTTGGAAAGGGCTTCTAGTAAGATTTTTTTATAAACTTTTTGATCTTGGCATAAAAAATGAGTTTTTCCATAATTTTTGGCAGATTTTTTCTAAATTTTGTTACCTAAAAAAAGTAAATTTTTATTTAAAAAAAAGGTTTGTGCCAAAATTAAAAAAAAAAGATTTTTTCTACTAATTTTTTTACCGAAAAATTTAATTTTAAATTTTCAGATGGATCATTACTCTCGTATCTCACCTCCAAAAGCCGTAGTTCAAGTACGAAAGTTCGATTTTGTAAGCATTTGGCTGCTGGAATGGCTTATTTGGCCACAGAAATGGTAGGTCAATTTATTTTTTGATACAAATTTTGTATTTCAGACATAAAACTTCGAATTTACAGGTACTTCATCGTGATTTGGCGGCCAGAAATTGTCTAGTCAGCAAGAGTGGAGTGTTGAAAGTGGCAGACTTTGGCCTGTCGACCGCTGGACTGGAGGCTTTTAAATTGAAGGAGAAGAAGGTACCAATAAGGTAAGAGACGAACAACTGGTACTTTGTGGTACTGAAGATGTATAGGATTAAGAATTTTTTTGACAATTGCAAAAACTTTGAAAAATCCACAATTTTAGCTTGTTTTCATTAAATTTCGACCGTTTTCGGCAGAATTTCAACCGTTTTTGGTCCAAAAATTTTATTTTGAATTAGAAACTTGACATTTTCTTTAGATGGCTAGCCCCAGAAGTCCTAATGCACAACACATTCAGTGGCAAATCGGACAGCTGGAGCTTTGGAGTAGTGTTGTTCGAGATCTGGGCCAATGGAAAACGGCCATACGATGAAATAAAGGACAAGAAAGTGGTACGAAAGAAGGTACTGGATGGGTATCGTCTGGAGCCTCCACCTGGTACGACTTTTTTTGTTTTGAAAAATTCGAAGTTTTTTAAAATTTAAAATTTCGGAAATTAGAAACTTGTTTTTTGAAATTTTTAATTTTTCGAAATTCCAGACATGCCCGAGTTCCACCAAGAAATAATGGCCAGTTGCTTCAAAGCCGAGCCAAGAAAGCGATGTTCACTACTCCAAATCCATAAAACGATCCAAACTGGAGATCTAGGCTGGCTCAACACTGAAAAACCCAGTGGCAGCCAATCTGAACCGTCAAGCACCACCACCTAAACCTTCATTTGACCGTTTTTTTAAAGTCATTTGATTTTTTACAATAAAAATTATTTTTAAAAACTATAGTTAAAGGGCTTAAAATTTCATGTTTGGTTATAATAATGTAAAAAATTTCGATTTTGTGATTTATATTTCTCGTAATAACCAATTTACAAAGAGCAATCTTATCAAATTTACAAAGTACAGAAGCACACGCCGCCATAGCTCAGTCGGTTAGAGCGTGGGTCTAATAAGCCCAAGGTCGCAGGTTCGATCCCTGCTGGCGGCAAATTACCATTTTTTAGTTTGCTAAAATGAAATTTTTTAAAATATTTTTATAATCTGCTTTAAGGGAACCTAAGTCTTTGCAATAACTTTCCTCATAAAACTTCAACAAGACAGCAAACACTTTTTAAAGATAAATCTACTGACTTTATTGATCACCCAAATCGATTCTAATATTAGGCCTACGAAAGAGTTCAAACAGTGGTGTTCACGATTTCGTTCAGCTTCTTGATCTTCGAAGCGACGGACAAGTCGACGTATCGGTCGCCGATTGTGACCACTAGACCACCGATGATTGAGGGCTTGACTTGGAAATTGAGGGTCAGTTTTTGGCCGGATTTGACGTGCTTTTGCAACGCATCCCTCAAGGCGCTTTCTTGAGAAGAATTGAGCTTCTAAAGAATGACGAATTAACAGTTTTTCTGTAATTTTTTTGACCAATATGTAAATTTTCATCTAAACTTTCAACAAAAAATAATATGATCACACTCTTACCTCAGCAGATACAACATCTACGGCCAATTCACCACGGTGAGCACGCATGATAGTCTCGAAGGATGAGATAACGGCTTGAAGGTTGGCCAAACGTCCGTTTTCGGCCAAAACACCTAAAAGAAAAATTTTTATCTTCATGTAAAAACTAAGAAAACTTTCTTAACACTAAAAAAGCTAAAAATTGTCATCCCATTATAAAAAATAGATTTTCATTTTTGTTACCTAAATTTTAAAGCCAAAAATGTTTTTTGCTTACCACAGAAGTTCTGGATTTCAGAAGACACTCCAGTCTTCTTCAAGATGGCTTCAACTGCGCTCTTCTTTTGGTTTCTCTTCAAAGTCGGGTTTTGGACAAAAGCCTGAAAATATTATAGTATGTTATAAAAATTAAAGCTCAAAAAAGGTTGTAAGTCAGTCACCTAAACAACTAATAAATAACTGCTAAGATGCCCAAAAAGCTTCTGAGACACCGAAACAGTGTTTTACAACGTCTTTGATGTTCAAAAATTAAAAAAGGTATCTTAACATAACAAAACTTTTAAAGTTTGATTCTAATAGCTTATAAAATTCATGAAATCCAAGGACATAGCTCATAAAGTACACTAGAAGATTGCTGAAACACTAAATGATCTGTTTTCCCTTTTTTAACTGTTAAATTTCTAAAACAATATAAATAAGCCGAAAAAGCTTATAAAATTGTCACATCTAAACCAAATTGCCTTAAAAATATCCAGCAAGCTTCTGCACACCTTCAAACATCCTTTGAGTCTCTTCTTCGTACCTAAACATCAAAAAATATACAAAAAACTTACCTTGAATTCAGGGCTCTTGGTGTACAAATCTTTGACCTTTTGCAAATCCTTGTCAACAGTGTCCAAGCTCTTGTTCTTAAAAGCGGCAGTGTACAAGGATGAAGCATATTTGCCCTCAATACCATAGGTTTGAATTGGGGCACGGACCGCTTGAGTGGCAACTGAGGCCGAAGTGGCAAACGCACGCTTCATCATGGCTAAACAATATTATTAACAAAAGCATTTATAAAACTACATAAATTTGAATACAAACATTATTTACAACGAGTAAAGACTATGATCAATCTACTATACGAAGAAACTTTCAAAAAAACGAACAAAATGTTAAAAAAAACTTATTATTAAGCGAACTAAAAAAAATAGTGATTTTTAATAGAAAATATTTAGTTAAATCTGCAATTTTTTTTGACGCGGAGTGAAAGTACAAGTTTTAACTTATTAAAACTAGTTACAGCTTACAAGACTATTTTAGAACGATAAAAAACAGTCAAAAGCGACATTAAACAAGACCAAAACTTTAAAGACCAAAACAAAGGCTTTAAAACATGCAAAAATACAAAAGTCACTTATAAAACTACTACGCAAAGTACAAAGAATCTAAAAATAACAAAACTATTCAAAAATTTTTAAAATCAGTACTAAAACAATGTAAAACAAAGTAAATCTTTCATTTTTACCGAAATTTTATTTGACGAACATAGTTTTTCGCCTTCCCTGATAGTTCAGGGTTTTCGCTTCGGGACTCACATTTCTTTCCAGTTGCTTCGTTCAAAAAGTGATAACTTGTTACGTTCTTGATGATAATAATAAAAAATGTTATAAAAAGCTAAATAAAACATTAAAATTTTAGATTTTGGGTTGCAAACATAAACTAGAAGATAAAATTTGCTCAAAATGGTTGGTTTCTCGGTTGCCTAGGAGAACATAACAGAGAAAGAAAGGTGAAATGGCCTGGAAATCTCAAAATACATTTGAGTTTGGGTAGAATTAAACTTTTTGTAGGGTTTTAGTTTAATTTTAATTGTCTTTAATTACAAAAATGATTTTTTTCGAAGAGTATTAAAGTAGCGTCAAAAAGAATTGGGGACGTTTAAGTGTATTTATATAGTCAAAATGAGCAATTCTTTTTGACGCGGCCCGAAAAAAAAGATAAATAAATGAATTTTTAAGTTAATTTTTTAAATTTAAAAATGAAAAATTAAAATTTTAGTGAATCAAAAGCATGACAGACAACAGAAGAACGTTTATTCTTCGAATTGCTTCACATTTGGTCAGTTTGAACCTGAATGAGGAGAAATTGCCAAATTTGGAAGCGCTGAAACGATTTTGTGATACTGAAGAACAAAATTTGGTTATCAGTAGAACTGATAACGTAAGTGACTAAAATATTTCGAAAATTTTTTTTTAAACCAGTAAAAACTTTCTTTACAACATGTTTTTAGAAAGGGCACGTTGAAGTTGTGAACGATCCAAAAACGGCTTCAGAATCCTATGTTTATCGTGTTGTGTTCTACAAGTCTAGCCCAGAACTTTTGTCAAATGACAATTTTAAAAAAGAAATCGAAGTTTTGACAGCCAATAACAAGGATGACTCTAAGGCATTACTGGGAACAGTACGACAGATCTACGGCGACATTATACCTAATGGTCACAGTGATGTTGTTAATGGAAATGTTGTTAAGAATAGTAAGTTGTTGTTTTTTTATTGGTACAAAAAGTATTTCAAGTTTAAAAATAGGTAAATTTAAAAATTTTTCAAAATTAAAAAAAATTATCTTGCAACTCCAACAACTTCAGCAACTTTTTTCAGCAACAAACGCGGACTTCAAGCTAGAGCTACAGAAGTTAGAACAGCAACATGGCGAGATGGTAGAGCCGTTGATTGAGAAATACGACCAGTTGAATCAATTAAGCCTGCCTGAAGTCGCGGAATTCGTCGAAGCGGCCGAATACGTGGTCGATAATCTATGGACAACATCCGAAAATGGGTTTTCTCAGTCGAAAATGAAGAACCTACTCGATATGATAGGTAAGTGTTATTGTAATACAAAAAAGTTTTTCAGTTTTGGGCCGGTTTGAATAAAGTATTTTATTTTTTGTTCTATTTTAGATAGTTTTTTCTAATTTTCATGCTGTTTTTAAAATAAATATTAGGTTCCTTTGTGAATTTTATAACATACTCTTTCTAGAACTCCCTTCCAAATTCCAAAAAAATTTTACTTTTTCAAATTATTTTTAACAAAATTCCATAGTTTTTCGACATTATTGAACAGGTTTTTCCCGAAATACCCCGGTTTTTCTTTAAATTTAGCAGCCTAAACAAGCAAATTTTCTAAATTTTACGTAATGTATTGGAAAGCCCATTCTTTTTTACATATATAAATCTATTTTTCACAATTTTAAATTGAAATGCCTTTTATCTTTTGACGGAAAAAAGTATAAAAATACCCAAAAACGGGCCCTTTTTCCGTCTCTCCTTCCCAATCAAATTGCCTTTTCTTTTTCGAGACGAGCAAGTGTGGCCGCCATAGCTCAGTCGGTTAGAGCGTGGGTCTAATAAGCCCAAGGTCGCAGGTTCGACCCCTGCTGGCGGCAAGTTACTTTTTTTATTTTTTCGTAACTAAGATAACATTGTTTATACCGTTTTTAATATCTAGACATTTGTGAAAATTGTTTGTGAGTAATTTTTGATTAAAATCTGGAGTTATAATATGAATGTCTTATTTTAGCAAAAATTATTAAAAAATGCGGAAAATCATCAAGAATTAAAAAAGTTTTCATAGTTTTTTGCTATTTTAAATAAAACTGTAAATTTAAATTTTTTCAGCAATCGAAATCTGCCAAGCCCTATCATCTCGACTATCAATTCCAAATTTCTGGACAGATCCGGCCGGTACCGACCATCTGGAGACCTCCATCTCAATATGTTCCCAATGGCAGTTGTCGATAAAGCTGTTTACCACCCAAAATTGGCCAAATATTTCAAACGAATGGAGCGGCCAAGAGCATCGTACGAAAGCGTTGGATCAATATCGAGTCAGATTGGTCGAGATTCAGTCGATTCGTCGTTTAATCGACCAGTTGAGTCGAATGAAGGAGAGTAATGGTTTGGACAAGCGACTGGTTGATAATATTGTGACGATTGTTGGCAAGGACAATCTAGTCCGGTTTGGAGATGAAGAGAATGCTGGTGAGAAGTTGAAACGGGTCGAGAGTGTGGTTGATGAGAAGATAAAGCAAGTTCTGCCTCAAATTCAAAACAAGCTGGCTAATGCGTTGGAAGACATGCCAATTAACGTGAGTTGGTTTGAAAGTGACATTTGGGGTTATAAATGTACTCCTAGGCTTAAATTGAGTTTTTTGGGTTATAATGGCAAAAAATATTAGAAAACGTTTTTAGGCTTATAAGTGAGATTTTGGACTTATAAATTAAATTTTAGGCTTAAATTGTTATCTTAGGCTTAACAACTTGTTTTTGGCAAACATTGTTAGTTTAGGCTTAAGAATGTAATTTTAGGCTTAAATTGGCATATTAAGGTTAAAAAATTTGAATTTAGGTTTAAAATGCCATTTTAGGCTTAAGAATGTAATTTTAGGCTTAAATTGTCATCTTAGGCTTAACAATCTGATTTTAGATTTAAATTTTTATTTTAGGCTTAAAAAATTCATTTGAAAAGAAATTTTTTTTTAAATATAAATAAAATATAATAAAAGGCTTAAATTTTTTTTAGGCAGTGACATTGGTCTACAAGTTCAGAGAAATATTATCAAGACCAGGAGTCAAATCTAAACTTCAGTCCATAAGGTAGGTTCACCTTTACATACTTTATCATCAGCAAGGGCGGGGAAGGGGAATTCTACAGATCGTAAAAAAATTAAATTTCGTATTTTAGAGAGACATTATTCACCAAAATCACCGAATATTTTCGGTTGAAACGACGTGTTTTTGAAGATGGCAAAAGCGACGGAAATCACTTTTCGAATTCAAGGTACTTGACTGAAATTGGGGCTAAAATCGTCTATGTCAGATCGAATTTGGTACAGGTAAGACTTTATTTTAGCAAGCACTTTCTTTACAAAACAAAAAATGGCAAGAACTTTCTTTACAAAGCAAAAATGGCAAGAAATTTCTTTACAAAACAAAAAATGGCAAGAACTTTCTTTACAAAATAAAAATTGGCAAGGACTTTCTTTACAAAACAAAAAATGGCAAGAACTTTCTTTACAAAACAAAAATGGCAAGAAATTTCTTTACAAAACAAAAAATGGCAAGAACTTTCTTTACAAAACATAAAATTGCAAGAACTTTCTTTACAAAATAAAAATTGGCAAGAACTTTCTTTACAGGACTTAAAATATAATTAATCGTATAACTTGTCACCCGCAGTTTGCAAAACGCAAGAATTATTTATTTTGTAGTAAAATTGCAAGTACTTTCTTTACAAGCTCACCATTTAAAAAACCGCAAGAACTTTCTTTACAAAACACATATTGTTTTTAAAAACGCAAGGACTTTCTTTACAATCCTTTTTTAGTTCCAGCAAATCGAAAAGGTGTGTCTCTCACTCTTCAATGATCTCTCGTCGTTCTCTCAATTCGACCGTGACCTCAAGGGCTTTATGGCCGAGATTCGACAGTTTGAAATCGACCAATTTGAGGCTTGGACCAAGGAAATAATGGCAGATATTGAGGATCCGAACAATTCGATTGCACTGCAAACGACCGGTCGATTAATGAAACTGGACAAGGCCAAGGGAGTATTGACGGTGAACTTCAGCGATCGACTGGTCGGGCTGGTGCGAGAAGTGGCACAGTTGAGCAGTTTGGGCTTCAACGTGCCCAGGAAGATTCAACAGTGCACGAGAACGGCCGAACAGTTCTATCGTTATGGCAATGTGCTTAAACAGGTGAGTATGGGGGTAGAAGGGTAATAAAAGGGGTAGGGGTAGGGGTATTTAAAGTTAATTTAAAAATATTTTAGGTAGCCCACTTCTACAACACGATAGAACAACAGATGTTACCCTGCCAACAAGCTATGATGTTAGAGGAAGCTTTGCGGTTTGATCGACTGGTAATGCCAAAAGGTAACACTGACGGCACGAATATCACTTGGGACAATCCAAAAAAGCTTCAAGATTACATTGAGGAGCTCCAGAAGGCAGCTGGTGCTTTGACCAATCATAATCGGTAAGTTTTTTGAAAAATCAATAAATTTTGTGACACTTCGTCGAAAACCAATAAAATTTGTGACATTTCGTTTATTTAAAAAAAGAACAGAAAATATAACTTTCTTATAAGTTTCTTAAATAAAGATGTCAATTTTTCGAAAAATCAATAAGTTTTGTGACACTTTGTCAAAAACCCGATAAAGTTAGTGACACTTCGTCTACTTTTAAATTTCAGTCAATTACGAAAAGCCCATATGGATATATGTTCTCGAGTCCTAAAACTTTTGGAATCCGACTTTTTGCGCGACGTTTCCCAATGGAACGGCGCTGTCGCGGCCGTAAGGAAAGTTTTTGCGGATCAAGAGCTAAAAGTGGCCAACGCGGCCAATATGCGGCCATGGGCGATTCATTGGGACAAACAACTTTTCAAAGTGTTGCAACTTCATTTTTACTTTTCTGTTCAAAATATTCAGAGTCTGATTGGGCCGACCCATGTACAATTGGTGCTACGGTAAGTGGAAAGAAAGTTCTTGCCATTTTTTGGTTTCTAAAGAAAGTTCTTGCCATTTTTTGTTTTGTAACGAAAGTTCTTCCTATTTTTTGTTCTGTAAAGAAAGTTTTTGCCATTTTTTCTTCTGTAAAGAAAGTTGTTGCCAAACTTTTTGAAAAATTTAAATAATAATATCTATTTTTAGCGACCATACCTTAACATTGAGACCATCTTTTCACGAAACAAAAGTCAAGTTCTATGTGGAATTACAAAAGTTCTTCACTGTGCCAGCCCAGCTAATGAGTGTTCAGGCGGTTGGAAACGTGAGCTTTTTTTTAAATAATTTTGAAACAAAATTAAAGAAACTTTTCAAAGTTGTACTATTGGTACACTTTTTGTATCATTAGGATACTTTTAGTACCATTAGTATTAACTTTTAAAACTTTAAATCATTATTTCAAAGTACTTTTTCAATATGGCACAACTGGTACACGCAGTGGTACTACTGTTATGCTCTTTGGTGCTATTAGTACCAATTTTTGAAAATCTTGTAAGGTTTTAAAAAACCGCTTGCAAAGAAATGTTTTAAAACTGGTAATAATAGGATTTTGTGAAACAACTAGTACACTGTTTGGTACCATTGGTACTATTTTGTAAAACACTTAAAAATTACATTTGCAAAGCAACTTTTTAAAGTAATACTCTAAGTACATTATTGGTACCACTGGTACACTTTTTAGGTCATTAGTACCGCTTGTTAACAATTTTGAAGAAAATAAAAAAAATGTCTTTTATTCAAAAAATTTTTATAGTACTAAAAATTTACCAACTTTCGGATCAAAATTTCATTTTTATACCTAAAATTTCAAAAAATCTTTATTAATTTTAAATCTTTTTAGAAGTCCCAAAGCCCATTCGCAACAGTACCACTCTTAAATGTAGCCAAATTCCCTCAAATTTACCAAAATTTGGAAAAATATTTCGAAGAGTTAAGCCAAATTTATCAAAAATTCGAAGATTGGGAATGGCTAAGCAAAATCGACCTTGAAGAACTGGTCGATAAAGAGTTTACGACCGCTTCTCAATGGGAAAAACAATTGGTACAGTTGAGGGCGAAGCAGAGGAAGGTTGATGAGATTGAGAAGTAAGTAGCCTGTTGTTATCCTAGCTCTTGCCTTGGCCTTGGTCTGGCCTTTCACTGGCCTTGCCTTGGCCTTGCCCTGGCCTTGACCTGGCCTTGCTCTGGCTTTGCTCTGGCCTTGCCCTTGCTTTGACCTGGCCTTGCTCTGGCCTTGCCCTTGCCTTGTCCTGGACTTGCCTTTCTCTTGCTCTTTTTTTCCTTACTCTACCTAAAGCCATTTTTGCACAGTCTTAAAATTGCAATAACTTTCTTTCCAGTGAAATAACCATTGGCCCGATTGTCGTATCTTTGTTGTCCTTCAAGAATTCACTAAACTCGATGTTAAGACGAATGAATGAAACATTAAATTGGACTCTGAAAAACTCGATCAACCAAGGAATTCAAACATTGAGCAGTACCATCAAGAATGGTACCGACTTGCTGGCTGTGAAACCAGAAACAATGCAAGATATTGGGGAAACCAGCAAGAATTACGTCGTTTTGAAGAAGGAGTTGGGTACTGTAAGTTACTGTGTTATTTTTTGATTGTTTTTGAGAAAGGCGATGGGAAAAAAAGGGGGGGGGAGAGAGAAGGAGAGGTGGGGTGATTGGAATTATTATGGGTGGATAAAAAAATAAAAAAAATTTTCAAAAAATAATTTTTTTATTTAATTTTAAAATTTTTGAAATTTTGAAATTTTTTTTCGGTTTAGTCATTATAGTCAGACCTTGCCAAAGGTCATAATAACGGTTTTTAAAAGTCCAAGCGAATGTGCTAAGCCCAAGGTCGCAGGTTCGACCCCTGCTGGCGGCAATCCACTTTTTGCAATTTTTATTGTTTGAACGACATTGTTATTATGAACTCTACATTTCAAGCCTTTTTAAAAGTTGGTAAAATACAAAATTTTATACAAAATGTTAGTTTATTTTAATAATAAAGAGCAAAAACGGCAGAAAGTTACGAAAATCGATTAAAACGAGTACATTTTGCCATTTTTAATGTGATATTGTACTAAAAATCAGGTATCTGATCAAAATACCTTGCATCAGCTTTTTTATTGACATGTGCCTTGTAAAAAATTAAGTTTTAATTTTAAAACTGGGCTGTTTTCAAGAAAAGAAATGGTCGTTTTTGCTATATAAACACACTGAAAAGGGATCAATTCTTTTTGACGCGACCGGAAAAAGTTTTTTAAATGCCATTTTTATCTCACCTATGGATGTGAAATGTAAAATACGGCAATTATAGCACTCAGACTACTTCTCTCGGCTAAACGACCAAAACGCATTGCTTCGGCGATGGACTGGCACGGGCGTGGGTGATTTAAATCAAGTTGCGAACGACTTCGAACGCTACCAAAACATGTTGGAGATGTTCGACGATGTGATTAAAGAACAGGTTGATAACATGAAGGCCAATATTGCTGATCGAATCAAACAACTTACGAATGATGCCGAGCTGGTTTATGCTCATTGGAAGCAGTTCAAACCGACCGGCGATGTTTTATCGACCGACAATGATGGATTGGCCAAGAACATTGGGTTCATTAGGGAATGTCAGAAGAAGTATGATGGCTTGATTGAACAGTATGAGAATTTGAGGTAGGATAATATTTTTCTTGAAAAAATTTTGGTTTTATAATATCCAATAATTTTTGTGACACTTCGTCGCAAACTTAATAAAGTGTTTTGGCATTTTGTGAACGTTTTAAAAAGTTAAAATTTAGCTATTCTATTCACCTTGTGATAAGGAAATCACGTTTTTAAAATCCAATAATTTTTTGTGACACTTCGTTTCAAAATCATTAAAATCGTTGACACTTTGTCAATGTTTTTAATAGCTCAAATATAATGTTTCTGTAGACTGTTTTAATAAGGAAATCACGTTTTTAAAATCTAATAATTTTGTGACATTTCGTCACAAAATCAATAAAATTAGTGACATTTTGTCAATTTGTTTAAAAGTGATGGTATTATAAATAATAACAAAACTTAAAAGAAAATTTGAATTTCTATAAACTTTTTGACCAAAAAAATACCTTTCAGAAATGATTGTGAGAACTTCGAATTACCACCAGTCGATATTCACGTTATGGAAGAGATGAAGAACGATTTGGGCGCGACGGCCGAACATTACCAAATCTACGAGGAATTTGATTCGGAACTTAAAAAATTGGGCGAAACCGAGTGGATCTTGTTTAGGTAGGAACTTTCCTTACAAAGTCATTTTTAAAGACCGCAAGAACTTTGTTTACAAAATTATTTTTAAAAACCGCAAGAACTTTCTTTACAAAATCATTTTTAAAAGCTGCAAGAACTTTCTTTACAAAATCATTACTTATTTTTAAAAACCGCGAGGACTTTCTTTACAAAATCATTAATTATTTTTATAAACTGCAAGAACTTTCTTTACAAAAACTTACTTTTAAAAACCGCAAGAACTTTCTTTACAAAATTCATTTTTAAAAACCGCAATAACTTTCTTTACAAAATTTATTTTTAAAAACCGCAAGAACTTTCTTTACAAAATTTATTTTTAAAAACCGCAAGAACTTTCTTTACAAAATTCATTTTTAAAAACCGCAAGAACTTTCTTTACAAAATTTATTTTTATAAAACCGCAAGGACTTTCTTTACAAAATCATTAATTATTTTTATAAACTGCAAGAACTTTCTTTACAAAACTTACTTTTAAAAAACCGCAAGAACTTTCTTTACAAAATTCATTTTTAAAAACCGCAATAACTTTCTTTACAAAATTTATTTTTAAAAAACCGCAAGAACTTTCTTTACAAAATTTATTTTTAAAAAACCGCAAGAACTTTCTTTACAAAATTCATTTTTAAAAACCGCAAGAACTTTCTTTACAAAATTTATTTTTATAAAACCGCAAGAACTTTCTTTACAAAATTTATTTTTATAAAACCGCAAGGACTTTCTTTACAAAATCATTAATTATTTTTATAAACTGCAAGAACTTTCTTTACAAAATTTATTTTTAAAAACCGCAATAACTTTCTTTACAAAATTTATTTTTAAAAACCGCAAGAACTTTCTTTACAAAATTTATTTTTTAAAAAACCGCAAGAACTTTCTTTACAAAATTCATTTTTAAAAACCGCAAGAACTTTCTTTACAAAATTTATTTTTATAAAACCGCAAGGACTTTCTTTACAAAATCATTAATTATTTTTATAAACTGCAAGAACTTTCTTTACAAAACTTACTTTTAAAAGCCGCAAGAACTTTCTTTACTAAACCCATTTTTGAAAAAACCGCAAGAACTTTCTTTACAAAAACTCATTTGTTTGAAAAACTGCAAGAATTTTCTTTACAAACCTCACTTTTTGAAAAACCGCAAGAACTTTCTTTACTAAACCCATTTTTGAAAAAACCGCAAGAATTTTCTTTACACTTTGTTTTTTATTTTGCGCATCTATCGTATAACATGTCTTCCGCAGGCTGCAACCCCTTTATCTATTCTAAAATCGCTTAATTTTCAGAAATAAAGCATACCTGTTTGACGAATTCCTGCTAGAATGGTCGGCCAAGCTTACAAATCAACCGGTAAATCCAATCGTGGTCCGGCTTCAACGTCAAATCGACCAGATGCAAGAGTTCGCCAGCTGCCTCAAGTACTGTCGAGGTGAGAGCTTATCAGTCCAACATTGGGCCGAAATGTTTCGAATCCTCCGCTTACCTAAGGGCATTCAGCTCGAACAGCTCGTGTTCAACGACCTGATCTCGGTTAGGGAGAACGTCGTGAAGAATGTTGAGGTATTGAAAGAACTAAGCTCACGAGCTCAAGGTGAGGCGGCGATAAGAGATGCGCTTCAAGAGTTGGAGTTGTGGGCCGCTCAGGCCGAGTTTGCATTGACGGACTATAAACATTCGAATGGACAGACGATTAAGATTGTCAAGGAGTGGAAGGAGCCGGTTTATCAGGTAGGATAATATAGATATTGATATAGGTTTAAAACATGATTTAGGCTTTGATTTTAGGATTAGAAATCGATTTTAGGCGTAATATATGATTGTAGGCTTAAGATGAGTCTGAAATTTTTAAAATTTGATTTCAGGCTTAAAATATGATTCTAGGTTCAAAAAACGTTTATTAGGCTTAAAAATGATCTTAGGCTTAAAAGTCGGTTGCTACACTTAACAATTGTATTTTAGGCTTATAAATCTCTTGGGTTTTAAAAAACCGTTATAGACTTACAAATTTATTTTTAGGCTTAAACTATGATTCTGGGCTTGAAAGTTGGTTTTTAGGCTTAAAATCTGATTATAGTATTAAAAATTTAGCTTTAGGCTTAAATTACAATACTAGGCTTAAAAATTAGTTTTTAAGCAACAGGATTTTAGGCTTAAAACTTAAATTTCAAGCTTAAAGTGGTAGTTTAGGCTTAAAAATAACTTTTTAGGCTTAAAAATAACTTTTTAGGCTTAAAAATAACTTTTTAGGCTTAAAAATTGAACTTTAACTAAAAATTATAATTTAGGTTTAAAAAATGATTTTCAGGTTTAAAGATCATATTTAGGCTTAAAAAGAAAATTTTAGGCTTAGAATATTGTTTTTAATATTTAAAAGTTTTAGGAAGGCATTTTAGGCTTAAATTTGAAAAATACATTTTAAGATTACAATCCTCCTATACCTTTTTAAAAAATAAAGTGTCATTTCCAGGTGAAAGACAACCAAACCCTGCTAATGTCACTGAAAAACTCACCATATTACACTCAATTCAAGGACCAAACTGGCGTCTGGGAGAAGCGAATTGCCGACCTCGACCAATACCTCCAACTAATGATGCAAATCCAACGCAAATGGGTATACCTCGAGCCGATCTTTGGCCGCGGCGCTCTACCCGCCGAACGTGCTCGCTTCCAACGTGCCGACGCCGAATTCCGGTCGATTCTGCACGATGTGGGTCGGAACCCACGCCTCATTCATTTGGCCGGCGAAAAGAGTTTGGCCAAGAGCTTGGACGAGATTTCGGATCAGTTGGGCCGTTGCCAGAGGGCTTTGAACGACTTTTTGGAAGTGAAACGTGTAGCATTCCCGAGATTCTACTTCCTTGGCGACGATGACCTTCTGGAAATTCTGGGGCAGAGCACGAATCCGAATGTTATTCAGAATCATTTGAAGAAGTTGTTTCAGGTAGGGGTGGATTTGTTTCTTTTAATCTTACAAGAAGCGAGAAGGGGGACAAGGGTAGGGGTGGAGTAGGGTATGGTAAGAATTTTTTTTTGTTTTTTTAACGAGAAGAGCAAGGAGGCTGGGGAAGGGGAGGGGTATTTTTTAGTTTTAATTTTACGTGTGGAGGGCGTGGGAATAAGGGTGTAGGATTTTAAAGGGTAGGGGCGCGATCAGAAGTAGGTTGTTTAACTTAAAAACGGAGAGGGGGGGGGGGGGGTTTAGGATCTAAAAAATATGAAGGGGGGAGGAGGTAGAAAAAACGTAAAAATTTCAAAGCTTACTAATATCTAAGCTTACGCCTACTAACCCCAAGCGTACTAAACCTAAGTTCAGTAATTTTAAGCCTATTAAGCCTAAGCCTACTAAGCCTAAGCCTACTAAGCCCAAGCCTGCTAATCCTACACCTACTAAGCATTAGCCTACTAAGCCTAAGCCTACTAAGCCTAAGCCTACTAAGCCTAAGCCTACTAAGCCTAAGCCTACTAAGCCTAAGCCTACTAAGCCTAAGCCTACTAAGCCTAAGCCTACTAAGCCTAAGCCTACTAAGCCTAAGCCTACTAAGCCTAAGCCTACTAAGCCTAAGCCTACTAAGCCTAAGCCTACTAAGCCTAAGCCTACTAAGCCTAAGCCTACTAAGCCTAAGCCTACTAAGCCTAAGCCTATTAAGCCTAAGCCTACTAAGCCTATGCCTACTAAGCCTAAGTTTAGTTTGCTAATGTGATTAAAAACCACGTCTGCTGAAATAAAGCATGGTTTATAAATTGATATCTTATAAAGTGACCGCAATAAAACAAAAAAATATTTTGTGATTACCTAATATCGCTGGTATAACAAGGTAGCCTTAGAGAAATCGCAAGAAATCGTATTGCGCAACGTTTTCTTATGTAATATTGATGGGTTATATAACACTTGCCTCGATGTAAAACGACCCAACAAATTACTGCGAGTGCTGGGATTTGGCTTTAAATTTCTGCGGGGGGTCATGAAAAGAATGGCAGCAAAAATTTTCACAGTAAGTCTAAGCCTACTAAGTCTAAGCCTACTAAGCGTAAGCCTACTGAGCTTAAGCCTACTAATTCTAAGCCTACTAAGCCTAAGCCTACTAAGCCTAAGCCAACTAGGGGTAAGCCTACTAAGCCTAAGCCTACTAAGCTTAAGCTTATTAAGCCTAAGTTTAAGCCTACTAAATCTAAGCCTAGGCCTACTAAGGGAAATTACTAAGCTATTTTCAGGGTATCGAACGAGTAGTGTTTGACAATGACAAGAAGACGATCAGAGGAATCATTTCACCGGAAAACGAAACTGTATCATTGATAAGGCCTGTCACAATTGTGTCGGATGTTGAGGTAGTTCTTATTTCTTTTTTTATAAAATTTTTACAATTTTTTTAAAATTTTAGTTAGTTATTAAGCCTAAAAGTTGGTTTTAAGCCTAAAATTAGTCCTTAAGCCTAAAACTTAGTTTTTAGTCTAAAAATTAGTTTTAAGCCTAAAGATTCTTTTTTTTAACCTTAAAATTAGTTTTTAAGCTTAAAAATTCGTTTTAAGCCTAAAGATTCTTTTTTTTAACCTTAAAATTAGTTTTTAAGCTTAAAAATTCGTTTTAAGCCTAAACTTGCATTTATAAGCCTAAAAATTAGTTTTTAAGCCTAAAATTTAGTTCTAAGCCTAAAGATTATTTTTTATACATAAAATTTGTTTTTAAGCCTAAAAGTTCGTTTTCAAGCCTAAAATTTAGTTTTAAGCTTAAAGATTCTTTTTTAAGTCTAAAAATTAGTTCTACGCCTAAAGATTACTTTTCAAGCCTAAAATTAGTTTTTAAGCCTATATTTTGATTTTTAATCTGAAAAATTAATTTTAAGCCTAAAAATTAGTTTTAAGCCTAAAGATTCTTTTTTAAGTATTAAATTAGTTTTTAAGCTTAGAAAGTGGTTTTTAAGCCTATATTTTGATTTTTAATCCGAAAAAGTAATTTTAAGCCTAAAAATTAGTTTTAAGTCTAAACTTGCATTTATGAGCCTAAAACTTAATTATAAGCCTAAAAATTAGTTTTTAAGCCTAAAATTTAGTTTTAAGCCTAAACTTGCTTTTATAAGCCTAAAAATTAATTATAAGTTTAAAAATTAGTTTTTAAGCTTAAAATTTAGTTTTAAGCCTAAAGATTCTTTCTTAAGCATTAAATTCGTTTTTAAGCCTAAAAATTAGTGTTTAAGCCTAAAAACTGTAGTTTATACAAGAAATGTCATTTCAGACTACGAAAGTCATTTTTAGGTTTAAAAAAGTTTTTTTTTGATTTTTCCATTTTAGAACTACCTAAAATCTTTGGTGGACGAGATCCGCTCAACACTAAAAAAGCTGTTATTCGACTGTTTGGCCGATGCCAACCTCGACCCAAGCCGATACCCAACCCAAATCGTATGTTTGGCCGAGGAGATTCGCTTCACTCAAGACGTGGAAGCCCTTCTGAACAAGCACGGTGATCTACAGAACTTCAAGAAGACGCTGGAGACCCAGCTGGACCAGTTCACGAATGTTACCGTAGATGATGTGTTGATGGATTTGAAGTTGAAGAGCTTGATACTCGATATTATCCATCATATCAAGATAGTGGAGCAGCTGATCGAGTCTAAGGATAGGTAAGTTACAGTATAGTCATGCGGATAGGTAGGTTATTGTCATGACTCATGAGGATAAGGTCGTCATACTGTATTAAATATGGGTTGGATTACGGTAGGGTTACTGTGGATTAAGTTAAAGCTAAGAGAGGATTACGGTAGATAATGGTAGGGCAGGGTTACTGTAGAATCATATAAGGCTTAGAGAGGATTATGGTAGAAAACAGCAAGGCAGGGTTACTGTAGAATAAGATAAGGCCAAGAGAGGTTTGAAAAAGATTACTGTAGAAATAAGGGAAGGTAGAATGACATTAGGCTTATTGTAGTTCATAAAGAGTAGGCTTACGGCAGGGTTTTTGTAGCTTAAGAAGAGTAAGATTAGAGAAAGAGGCAGCAATACAGTGGGGTTACTGTAGAATAAGATCGGGCCCGACGAATGCGGTAGAAAACGGGAGGGTAGAGTTACTGTAGAATAAGACGAGACTAATAGCTGAGTATGAGGAAAGTTGGGCCAGGGTTATTGTAGATCCAACGCTGGTAGGCTTACTGTAGTTCATGAAAGGTAGGGTTGTGGGCTAGGGCTAAGGCTGGGGCTAGGGCTGGGACTAGGGCTAGGGCTAGGGCTAGGGCTAGGGCTAGGGCTAGGGCTAGGGCTAGGGCTAGGGCTAGGGCTAGGGCTAGGGCTAGGGCTAGGGCTAGGGCTAAGGCTAGGGCTAGGGTTAAGGCTAAGGTTAAAGGCTAAGGCAGAACTAGGACTAAGCTTGGGGCTAGCGGTTGACACTTTTAAACTAACTATGCCATTTCAGATCAATAACCTCTTGGGCCTGGCAAAAGCAGATTCGTTTCTACTTAAACGGTCAAGACGTGCTGATCAAGCACGTTGATGCAGAAATACAGTACACCTACGAGTACCAAGGTTGTGCCGCCAAACTAGTACACACCCCCCTGACCGATAAATGCTACTTAACACTGACACAAGCTTTAAGCCTGGGCTTGGGTGGGAACCCGTTCGGTCCCGCTGGTACCGGTAAGACTGAAAGTGTCAAAGCCTTAGGCAATTTGTTCGGTCGACAAGTACTGGTTTTCAATTGTGATGAAGGTATCGATGTGCAAGCGATCGGCCGAATGTTCATTGGCTTGATCCAATGTGGCGCCTGGGGGTGCTTCGACGAGTTTAATCGACTGGACAAGGATGTGCTTTCGGCTGTTTCTAGCCAAATTCAAACGTTACAGGTAGGGCAGGGCTTGGGAGGTACTGTAACATGGACACGGGGTTGGGTCAGGGTAGGGTAAGGTAAAGTAGGTTAACCTAGGGTAGGGTAGGGTAGGGTTGGGTGAGGTAGGGTTGAGTAGGGTAGGATAAGGCAGGGTATGATAGGGTAGGGTATGGCAATGTATGGGGAGGTAGGGTAACTTAGGGTAGGGTAGAATAGGTTTTTAGGGTTGAAAGTTAAATTTTGGAAAAATCAATAAATTTTGTGACATTTCGTCAAAACTCGATATTTTATTGGTAGAATAGGGGTAGGGTGAGGTAAAGTATGGTGAGGTATGGTAAGGTAGGGTAGAATAGGTTTTTAGGGTTGAAACTTACAGTTTGAGAAAATCAATAAATTTTGTGACATTTCGTCAAAAATCGATATTTTTTGTGTAGGATATGTTACGGTGCTGTGAGGTAGGATAGGGTATTTTAAGGTGTGGTGAGGCATGGTAAAATACGGCTTTTCATATTTAGTGTTGAAAATCAAATTTTTGAAAAATCAATAACGGATGTGACATTTCGTCAAAAAGTCAATAAGTTTTGTGGCTTTTCGTTATTTTTTAAAAACATAAAATTGCGACATAAAATATTAATATTCATATCTCAAATGACCTTTTTGTAACTAAAAATGTGATTTTTAAACTTAAAATGACACATTTTTAGGACGCCATAAAAAATCGGTCATCCTCATGTCAACTCAATAACCGTACAGTAAACGTCGACTTTAATGCTGCCATTTTTGTGACGTTGAATCCGGTGGGCAAGGGCTATGGTGGAAGGCAGAAGTTGCCGGACAATTTGAAACAACTCTTTCGACCGGTCGTTATGAGCAAGCCTAACAATGAACAGATCGCTGAGACATTGCTGTTTGCTGAAGGCTTCAAGAAGGCTAAGGAAATGGCTACCAAGATTGTCACTGCTTTCGAAATGAGCCGGTAAGTAGAGGGGGTGGGTAGGGTAAAGTAGAGGAGATAGAGTTTGGTAAGGTAGGGTAAGGTAGGATAGGGTAAAGTAGGGCAGTTTTGGTTGTTTTAGGCTTAATATGAGAAGTGTTTGGCTTATTATGACTATTTTTAGGCTTATTGTGGCTGTCTAGGTTAATATGATTACGGTTAGGCTTAAGATGATCGTTTTTAGGCTTAAGATGACCGTTTTTATGCTTAATATGGCTACTTTTAGGCTTAATATTATCAATTTTAGGCTTATTATGGCTGTCTATGGTTAATATGATTACGGTTAGGCTTAAGATGACCGTTTTTAGGTTTAATATGACTGTTTGTTAGGCTTAATATTATCAATTTTGGGATTATTATGGCTATTTTAAGGCTTATTGTGGCTATCTATGGTTAATATGATCACGGTTAGGCTTAATATGACTATTTTTAGACTTAATATGACCAACTTTAGGCTTATTATTAACATTTTTATTCTTAATATTACTATTTTTAGGCTTAGTATTACTATGTTTAGGCCTAAAGCGTTTAGTTTTGGGCATTTTTAGGCTTGAAACATTCATTTGTAAAGGCTTAACATGACTTGTTTTAGGCTTAACAACCTCATTCTATCCTAATCAATATCTCATTTAGGCTTAGTATGAGCACATACAGCCAAAAAATATTAAAGTGTATATTTCTGCCATTTCCAGCGACCTTCTGAGCATTCAACAACACTACGACTGGGGCCTGCGCTCAATGAAAACCGTCCTCAAAGGCTGCGGCTCGGCGTTGGCGGCAGCTCGCGGCCAAGACATAAATGAAGAAAAGCTGGTCCTCCACACCCTGATGTTATCCACCCTCTCCAAGCTCACGTTCGCTGATTTCAAGCGATTCAACGCCCTGCTCAGCGACGTTTTCCCGAAAATCGACGCGGAAATCGGTCGATTCGAGGAATTGACCGAAAACGCGAAAAAATCGACCGAAAACCGAAATTTCGAACTGACCAACGACCAGTTGACTAAAATCATCGAGCTAAATGAACAGCTAAGCCGCCGCATGGGTGTGGTCATCGTCGGACCGCCGGGCAGTGGGAAATCAACCCTGTGGCGGGTGCTGAAGGAGGCCATGGAGAGGATGGGCACGAGTGTCAGTTTATACACCATGAACCCTAAGGCGATGCCGAAATCAAAGTTTTTGGGTAAGTAGAGGGTTGAAAATGACATTTTTGGCGTTTCTTACGAATTGACGAAATGTCACAAAATTTACCGATTTTTTGATGAAATGTCACAAAGTTTATGGATTTTTTGATTCTTTGGTTATGTATAGGGTTAGAAATGGCATTTTTGGCATTGTACAACATTTTTTACAAATTAACTAAATGTCACTAAATTTATCGACTTTTATTACGAAGTGTCACAAAAATTATTGATTTTTTAAAAATGTCAGTTTTTGGTCATAAAGTTTGTAGAAAAACAAAATTTTACAATACTATGGCAAGAAATTTCTTTACAAAGCAAAAAATCGCGAAAACTTTCTTTACAAAACAGAAAATGGTAAGAAATTTCTTTACAGTACACAAAATGGCAAGAACTTTCTTTACAAAGCGTAAAATGACAATAACTTCCTTTACAAAACAAAAAATGCTATAAATGGCGCAAACGTTGACAAAATAGCATATGTACTGGTGTAACGTAATGTCAGAAAACTTGTAGATTTTTTGACGAAATGCCACAAAATTTATTGATTTTTTACAAAATGCCACAAATTTTATCGGTTTTTTGAAAAACGTCTCATTTCAGGTGAAATGAATCTAGACACCCGAGAATGGACGGACGGCGTCCTAACCACGGTCGCTCGTGAGGTGGTCAAGGATGTTCAGAAGCGTTGTTGGATCGTGTGTGACGGTGACGTCGATCCGGACTGGATCGAGGCCTTGAATAGTGTCTTAGACGACAATAAGCTGTTGACCATGCCCACAGGGGAAAGGATTCAATTCAGTGACAATGTCAATTTCATATTCGAGACGGATGACCTGAGGCACGCGTCGCCAGCTACCATCTCGAGGATGGGCATGATCTACATAAGTGACGAACTGATTACTGTAGCATCACATATTAGCCGGCTGGCAAGGTTTAAAAATATGTCATCAAATGTGACAAATTGGCTTAATGACACTTTGCTTGAGGCGATAAGATGGGCTAAGAAGCATACCGACCAGTCGATTAGTCAAGTTGCGATTGTGGAGAATGTGGTATCGTTGACATACGATGCGGAGACTGTAGATGAGTTTAAAGTTGGTCTACTGAGGGGTCTACTGCCATGTGTCAACATGGACAACTTCAAGGCATTGGCTGAGGATGTAGGTTTTATTTCAAATTTTCGAAATTTTTTTAAAATTTGAAAAAAACGTACAGTAGGAATTACAGTACATTAGAGTAGGATATGGTAAAGGGCCGTGGTAGGGTAGGGGTACCAGTAGTACTATTATTAGTGGTACCAATAAGGGTAGAGGTAGGAGAAAAGTTATTACAGGTTTTATAAAATTATGTTAGGAGTACCACTAGTACCATTAGTATCAGTAAGGGTAGGGGTGGGCGTAAGGGTAACACTAAGAACAGGAGAAAGGAAGGGTTCTACTAGTACCATTAGTACTAGTAAGAGCAAAGCAGGGGAAGGATACCACTGGTACCATTAGTACTAGTAAGGGTAGGTGGAGTTGGGCTGGGATAGGAGTATCATTAGTACCATTGAGGGCAGGGGAGAAAGGTTAATGCAGGGGTTAGGTTAGGAGTAAGTGGTAGTAAGGGGTAATAGGAGGAGTATTAGAGGGTAGCGCTACGCTTATAATCTTCATAGGCTTATTAAAAACTAAAATGTGTCAAAAAAGCCTAAATTTTATAAAATTTTAGGTAATATTCCAAGGTCAACCCCTGCCAACCCCTTCAAACCCACTAAACGTATATTACGATAGTAATTCCATGTCTTTACAATCATTTTCCGACGATACCTACTCCAATGTCACTCTAAATGACATGAAATACGAAGAGAAACGACCCACAATTCTGACTTCGAGGATGAAAATCGCTCAAAATACAGTATCCAAGTGGCTTCAGGAAGGGAATCGAGAGTCGTTTTGTGTGTTAGGACCAGATGGAAGTGGAAAGGACCAATTGTTACGAGGATCGTTTGCCCAACATTACAAAAGTGCACTAGTTAGGCTTAATTGTGGGGCTAGAACAAGGTAAGAAGTGTTTGGTACGGGTGGTACTGTAGTGTTTAATAGGTGTTTGAGTGGTACTATAGAGTGTACCAGGTGTGCCATTTGGTTTTTTTTTCGAAAAAACATTTTTGTTAATTTTTTGAAAATTTTTGAAGTATGGTACTAAAATGTGTACCAGTGGTACCAATAAGTGTACTAGTGGTACCAAAAAGTGTACTATGTGTACCACTTTAAAAAAAGTTTTTTTGGTAGTGTAATTTTTGAAGCTTATTTAAGGTTTTTTGGAAAGTGGTACTATTGGTACTCAAAAGTGTACCAGTAGTGCCAAGTGTACCACTTGAAATTTTTTTTGTTTTTAAGAATGAGGTTTAAAGGAACTTTGAACTTTTTCCAAAAATGGTACTGGTGGTTTCAAAAAGTGTACCAGTAGTACCAAGTGTACCACTTGAAATTTTTTTTGTTTTTAAGAATGGGGTTTAATGGAATTTTGAACTTTTTCTAAAAATGGTACTAATGGTTTCAAAAAGTGTACCAGTAGGACCAAGTGTACCACTTGAAATTTTTTTTGTTTTTAAGGATGGGGTATAAAGGAATTTTGAACTTTTTTCAAAAATGGTACTGGTGGTTTCAAAAAGTGAACCAGTACGACCAATAGCACCAAAAATTCGCCTAAAAATGTAAACTATACAATGCCATTTTAAGTGCCACAGACATAATGGACCTACTAATCCGCAACTGTGTCCAAACCCAATCAGCGGCCGGTCGATCGCTGCGGCCGAAAGACAAGGACAACCTAATTTTATACCTAAAATCCATCGACCTGATCCAGCAAGACAAATACGGTAGTTCAGTTACGGTATCCTTCCTGGAAGACATTCTACATTACCACGGCTTCTACGACAACAACAATGACTGGACCAACTTGGAGAATATTCAAATCGTCTGCACGTTTGCCTACCCACCATCAGCCGGTCGGTCGATAATATCGACCAGATTCATATGCTCGTCCAGGTTGATGTTCATGGATCCGCCGGTTAATGAGGAGCTGATAGTGCTCACTTCCGCTTATCTACAGCCGATTATTGGGGTAAGGGGAAAGTTTTGTCGCTTTTTGCTATTTATTTGGATGGAAAAAAGCGACAGGACTTTTTTTGAAAAACAAAAAATGAAGAAATGGCGAGAACTTTCTTTACAAAACGAAAAATGGCAAGAACTTTCTTTACAAATCATAAAATGGCAAGAACTTTCTTTACAAAGTAAAATTAAATAAAAACGCAAGAACTTTCTTTACAAAACAACAAACGACAAGAACTTTCTTTACAAAACAAGAAATGGCAAGGACTTTCTTTCCAAAACAAAAAATGGCAAAAACTTTTGTAATATCAGTAAAAAAATTAAATTTTGACGAAATGTCACAAAATTTATTGATTTTTACGAAATGTCACAAAATTTATTGATTACTAATTTTAAATAGCTAAATAAAGTTTTTCTTGACATTTCAGGATCAATTAGGCTCATCATCGCGAGTCGAGGCCTTTGCTTCGTCACTAGTACAAGCCTACATCAGAATCAAAGATATCTTGGCATCAGCGACTCAAACTCACTATGACTTTTCGACCAGAGATCTCATCAATTGGATACTGTCCTTTATGCGATATGGGTTCGATGGTAAGTTTTTAGTCTATTCTACCGTACCCTACCCAACTCAACACTACCTTACCGTATCCTACCGTACCTTACCCTGCCCTACACTACCCTACCGTATCTTACTCTATCTTACCGTACTCTACCCTACTGTACCCTACTGTACCCTACCGTACCATACCCTACCCAACTCTACACTATCCTACCATACCCTACCCTACCCTACCCTACCTTACCCTACCCTACCCTACTTACCCTACCGTACCTTAGCGCACCCTACCCTATTCTACCCTACCCTACCCTACCCTACCCTACCCTACCCTATCCTACAAAGCGAATTGGTACACATTATACTAAATTGGTACCACTAAGACCAAACGGTACCATTAGTACCACTTTTTAAAATTTTTTATAAATTTTATTTCTGCCACCTTCTAGCTGACAATATATCTACCATGCTACCATTAGCCAGCGCATTCGAAGCCAACATCATTTTTATCGACCGGTTGATAAACCAAGACCACAAAACGCAATGTCAACAAATAATCAATGAGACATTCCGCACCGGGAAGGAGTGCCATTTCGCGCCGATTCAAGGCGCTTTCCAATGGCGCCAGTCGGTCATGGGCAAACCGATGCGACCGGTCGATAAGTCGGAGTATGTGGCACAGCTGAGCAAGGCAGTGAATCGATATGAGTTTGAGGTGTCTGGGTTCCCATATGTGCTGTCAGATGACATGGTCAACCTTTGTTTGTCGCTGGATAGGACTTTGAGCTTGTCGGGTAAGGGCTGGAAAGAAAGTTCTCGTCATTTTTTGGTTTGTAAAGAAAGTTCTTGCTATTTTTTGTTTTGGAAACAAAGTTCTTGCCATTTTTTGTTTTGGAAAGAAAGTTCTTGCAATTTTTTGTTTTGGGAACAAAGTTCTTGCAATTTTTTAGTTTGTAAAGAATGTTCTTGCAATTTTTTGTTTTGTAAATAAAGTTCTTGCCATTTTCTGTTTTGTAAAGAAATTTTTCGCCATTTTTCGATTTGTAAAGAAAGTTCTTGCCATTTTTTGTTTTGGAAACATAGTTCTTGCCATTTTTTTTTGGAAAGAAATTTCTTGCTATTTTTATTATTGTGAAAGCAGTGGAAAAGTTTTGTCGTTTTTGTCGATGCAAAGCTTAAGTAAATGACGACAAGACTTTTTTTGAGGCTGAAACCTTCATTCTTATGTCATTCACGTAATTCTGTGCCCTCTAGTAACAATTTTTTACGTTGAAAACATGTTTTCAGGGGGCACAGAATTATGTAAACAGTTTAGTCGCTTATATTACGTGTTTAAAAACCGTATTTTAGGAGGTCACATCTTCATGGCCGGCTTCTCGGACCGTATGAATCGTGCCGTAGCCTCACTGATCGCTCATCAACATGGTCTTCGCACCTTCTCACCTCGAGTATCATCCAATTATGGCCTGAAAAACTTTTGCAACGACCTGAAACAAGCCATAACCTACGTCGTGTTGGAGTCGGAGCCAGCCGTCTTTATCCTGGAGGACTATCAGATCCTGGAAGAGACCTTTCTACAGTACGTGAACCAAATCTTGAGTACGGGCACAGCACCCGGCCTGTTCACTGGCCAAGAGTTTGAACAAATGAGTGGTCAGCTGAGGGAAATGGCCTCGGCTGATGGCTTTGACGGGGAATTGACAGAGTATTTTACGTACAGTAAGCGTTTTTATATTTTTATATTAAAGTAGAAACCTTGAAGCATCTTTTCTGTCATTTTCACGCCTTTGGGTGCACTTTAAAATGGCAGAAATTACATTTTTTGCGAAAAAATGGCCAAAAACGGCTATTTTTATGAAATTTTCGGCCTTTTTTGAAAATTTTTACTATTAATACCTAAAATTGTTAACAAAAGTAGTTTACATGTATTTTAGAGTTATGCCCTTTGATTTAAAAACAAAATAAAATAGTATTTTATACCTAAAAAGCACACAAAAGTGACTTACATCCAGCCGGATTCGAACCAACGCTAAAAAATTAGCGTTCTTCACTGATTTTTTGACGTTTTTTGCCATTTTTAAAAGTCACGCATAATTTTTTTTGTCAAAAAAGGATTTTCCAGTATTGTAGGATTACATTATTTTACAATAGCTAAAAATATTGACACTCATTACATAAAAATCTCAAAACGTTGACTTACATCCAGGTCGATTCGAACCAACGCTAAAAAATTAGCGTTTTTCACGGATTTTTTAACATTTTTCGCAATTTTTCAAAGTCATGCTTTATCTTTTTGGGCCAAAAAGGATTTTTCAGTATTTTAAGATTACATTCTGTTACAATACAACTAAAAAAAATTGACACTTATTACATAAAAGGCTCAAAACGTTGATTTACATCCAGCCGGATTCGTACCTTAGCACTTCATAAGACTCACGCTCTAACCGATTGAGCTATGGCGGCACATAATTTTAAAATTACCGGAAATTGGCTTACCCTACCCTACTATACTCTGCTTTATCTTACTTTGCCCAATTGTACCCTATCTATAAATATTTTTTAAAATTTAAAATTTCTTGAAAAAATTTTTTGAAATTTTGAATTTTTTTTGAAAAATTCGTACTTTTTTAGAAATCAAGAGAAATTTGCATATTGTGGTAATATTGGACACAGACCATTCGAACTTTGGCTTGAGACTTCAAACGAATCCATCTTTGTACAAGTTTTGCTGTGTCATATGGAGAATTGAGCCGGATTCGGAAGTTTTGAAGCAGGTAGGCTTGTGCCTTCATTTTACACTTAAAACTGACATTTTATAAAAGCTATGGACTTTTAAAGGTTATTAGGCTTAAGTTATAGGCTTGAGCAACCTATAAAACAATTTTAGGTTTAAAATACAGACTACATCTTTTTAGGCTAAAAAATGATGTTTAAGTTATTAGATTAGATTTCGAAGAGTATTAGGCTTAAGTTATAGGCCTAAAGATGTTGAAAATTAACTTTAAACTTAAAACGACGACTTTATCTTTTTAAGCCTAAAAATGCTTTTTTAAATATTAAATCGAATTTTTAACGTTATTAGGCTTAAGATATAATCATAAAGATGCTAAAAACAATTTTAGGCTTATAAAACGTACTTTTCCTTTTTAGGCTTAAAAGTGATGTTATAGATATTCAATTGCATTTTAAAGGTTTAAGTTATAGGCCTAAAGATGCTAAAAACCAATTTCAAGCTTAAAACGACGACTTTATGTTATTAGGCTTAAAAATGACGTTTTAGATATCAAATTGAATTTTTAACGTTATTAGGCTTAAGTTATAGGCCTAAGAAACCCATAAAACATTTTTAGGCTTAAATTATTAATATTTGATGTTTAGGCTTATAAATGGTGTTTTAGATATCAACTTAAATTTTAAATCTTATTAGGCTTAAGTTATAGGCCTAAGAAAACTACAAAACAATTTTAGGCTTATAATGACAATTTTTTATTTTTAGGTTTAAAAAGGATGTTTTAGGTATTGAACTATATTTTAAACGTTATTAGGCTTAAGCTATAGGCCTAAGAAACCCATACAACAAATTTAGGCTTAAAGTATTAATTTTTCATTTTTAGGCCTAAAGCCTATGATAATATCACTCCCTTTCAGATAGTAAAACTCTCTCTCGAACAATCTCAACTGCCAGTACGTACCGACCACCCCGACCTACTGTACAATATCTACCATAAAGCGCCGGAAAAAACTCGGATTTTGCCCAAATTTTCCGCTTTTGTCCAGAATTTTGTCCAGATTTACAAACTCAAGTCTACCATGGTGAATGAGCGGCTACAACGCCTGAAGGCGGGGGTGAACAAGCTGAACGAAACGAGAGAACAAGTCGGTAAAATGCAGAAGAAAGCGGCCAAGAAGTCCAAATTATTGGCCGAAAAACAGGAAGAAGCGGACAATGCTCTGGCTATGATCACTCAAAGCATGACTGTAGGTTACTGTAACTACCACTACTTCTATTCCCGGCCTTACTGGTGCTCATGGCGCTAGTGGTATCTCTAACTCAGGCTTATTTCTACCCCTACTCTTAATTCTACCCTTACTAGTACTAATGGTATTAGGGGTATCCTTATTCCTGCTATCACTGGTACTAGTGGTACCCTTATCTCAGTTTTCTTATCTTACTGGTACTTGTTGTAGTAGTGGAACCTCTATCCGAGCCCTACTTTTACTAGTAGTAATGGTACAGTTGGAACCTTAATTCTATCCCCACGGTTACCTCTACTCTTACTGGTACAAATGCTAATGGTACTAGTGATACCCCCCCCCCTTAACTTTACTCTTGATTCTACCCTTACTTTTGCTCTTAATGGTACTATTGATGCAAGTGGTTCCCTACCCAGCCTTACCCTTACCTTTTCTTATTACCCTAGCCTGACTCACCCTTACCATCAGTAGGGTACATTAGAGTAGGACACTCTAGTGTATCCTACGGTATCTGTCCTACAATACTTTACTTTCTCATACTATAGCGTATAATAACTTACTGTATTATCTTTCACTTTTCTTTGTCTTACACAAAGAAGTACTGTCAATTTTAAAAAGCCAGAAGGAACGTGCCGCCATAGCTCAGTCGGTTAGAGCGTGGGTCTAATAAGCCCAAGGTCGCAGGTTCGACCCCTGCTGGCGGCAAGTCACTTTTTGACGCTTTTTATAGCTAAAATTGACATAGTTTTCAGTATTTTCATAATTTAGGCATATCAAAAAATGTCATATCTTGTAATTTTTAACTTTTATAACATTAAAAATGACATATTACCTTTTTAGGGTGCAAAAGAACAACGAGCTGACATGGAACAGTTGAGAGAAGTGACAGAGAAGGAGAGCCAACACATAGAAGAGCAGAAGAAACTGATCGAAGAACAGCTAAAGGATGTGGAGCCGTTGCTTAAGGTAAGAAAAACACATTTTTTCTGCTAAAACTTTTTAAAAATGAACGAAATGTCACTAATTTTATTGGATTTCTGACTAAGTGTCACAAAAATTATTGATTTTCAGAAAATGATTTTTTTGATCATGAGGTTAGTAGAAAAATGAAAAACCTAATTTTTTTTGGTCAGAAAGTTTATAGAAAGTTGGAATCTAGGTTTGATTTTAAAAAATGAACGAAATGTCACTAATTTTATTGGATTTTTGACGAAGTGTCAAAAAAATTATTGATTTTTTAAAAAATCTTAGTTCTTGGTCATAAAGCTTGTAGAAAAATTAAAGTTTACAAAATTATGGCAAGAACTTTCTTTACAAGTCAAAAAATGGCAAGAACTTTCTTTACAAAACAAACAATGGCAAGAACTTTCTTTACAAAACAAAAAATAGCAAAAACTTTTTTTACAAAACAAAAAATGGCAAGAACTTTCTTTACAAACCAAAAAATGGCAAGAACTTTATTTCCACTTGATTAAAAATCACCTTTATAACAAAATCAGATCAAAACTCAATTCAACTTCAAATCCCAGCCGCCTGCATTTGTTGTTGTTACTTCAAAAGTCGTGTCACTTCGGCGTTTTTCTTCAAAAAGTAGGCCAATATGGCCACATGATTCTCTTCCAAGTCCAGCTCGTAGTTTCGCATGGCAAACGCGTCCTGGTTCGGGGCTTTGATGTCATTCTTCAGAAACTTGCACAATATACACACGGTCAACACGCACACCAACGAGCAGTAGAGATACGATATGAACATTAGAATCTCATCGTTTTGGTTCGGGTTGGCGAGCTCTGAAAAGTATTTAAAATAGACGAAGTGTCAAAAATTATATTGATTTTTTGCAACGAAATGTCACAAAAATACTGTTTTTTTAAAAATTTTAGTCTTTGTTCTTAAGGTTGGCAGAAAAATAGAATTTTAGATAATTATGGCAAGGACTTTTTTTACAAAACAAAAAATGGCAAGAACTTTATTTACAAAACAAACAATGGCAAGAACTTTCTTTACAAACCAAAAAATGGCAAGAACTTTCTTTACAAAACAAAAAATGGCAAGAACTTTCTTTACAAAGCAAAAAATGAAACTTCATAAACAGGTGAAAAAGGGTCTTAATTACTTATGAAAAAAGGGACGAAATGCCACAAATTTTATCGATTTTGATGAAATGCTACAAAAAATATTGATTTTTTATAAATGTGATTTTTAGCCCAAAAGCTCATAAATGAATGAAAAAGGGCTTTAATTTCGATAAAAGGACGATATGTCACAAATTATATCGATTTTGGCGGAATGTCACAAAAATTATTGATTTTGTAAAAGTGGTGGGAAGTCTGAAAATTCGAGTTAATATTACATGCAGAGTTTGCAATTTTAATTTTTTCAACAACAATATGGACGAAATGTCACACATTTTATCGAGTTTGACGAAAAGCCACAAAAATTATTGATTTTTTTTGAAATTCCGTTACTTGTCAAAAAATTATAAAGAGCTGATATAAGTTAAATGTAACTTTTGAAAGCTTACTAATGTACATCCTGTCATGTCCATGCTCTAAGTGCTCGATATTAGACTCGTTAGACATTATAAACAACCATTCGCTGCGAAAAAGGTATCAAAAAATGAAAAAATGCCATTTTTAATTGAACCCAAATCATGGTTTTGGTTGAAAATGATGTAAAAAACTCATCTTTTGCTTCTCCGGTCCAAAAGTTTGTGGAAAAACGTAGTATTTTAGTTTTTACTCAAAAAAACACTGACTTTTTAGGCCGCGTCAAAAAGAATTGGGCCTTTTTCAATGTATTTATATAGCAAAAAAGATCAATTCTTTTTGACGCGGCGGGAAATTTAAAACTTTAAAATTTTAAATGTTTTAAAACGATTTAAAATGGCAATTATATCGTTTTCAGGAAGCCCGAAAAGCCGTCGGGTCGATAAAATCTGAAAGTTTGTCCGAAATTCGAAGTTTGAGAGCTCCACCCGATGCCATTAGGGACATTCTCCAAGCTGTATTGCTGTTTATGGGCATATTGGACAACTCATGGGACTCGATGAGACGGTAATCTTTTAAAATAGTATTTTACAGTATTTATTTTAGAAAAAATATCTTATTTTTAAAGTTTTTTGACCGTTTTTAGAAAGTCAACCTGGTCTTCAGGGTTTTCGTGGTGGGACCCGAATTGTCTTGAAAATAATTTTTTTTTGTTTTTTAATAATTAGTAGGCTTGAAATGCATTTTTACATACCTAAACACATTATTTTGAAAGTTTCATTTTGTTATATCGATTTTCAGGGTTTTCGTGGTGAGACTCAAATTGTCTTGACAACAGGCTTTTTAAAAATATTTTTGCAACCACTAGGCTTAAAATGCATTTTCATATGCCTAAACATATTATTTTTGAGATTTTTATAAGCTATATTAATCTTCAGGGTTTTCGTGGTGGGACCCAAATTGCTTTTGAATCAGTGTATTAGCAATCACTAGGCTTAAAACGTGACTGAATGTTATTTATATGTTATTTCCAAGTTTTACAGCTTCTATTTTTACCTTAGAAGTTTTCGTGGTGGGACCCAAATCAAGAAGGAAAATTTTGTTTTTTACTGCCATAACTTTGTCTAATTTATTAAAAACTAATAGCCAAGAGTATACAAATCTTATAAATTGCAGGAACTTTCTTTACAACTCAAAAATCGTCAAAAAACTCAAAAATAAGCTTAAAATCACCGTTTTTCTAGATTTCTGGCCAAGAACGGCGTAAAAGACGAAATAATCAATTTCGATGCGCGAAATGTCACACCTGACATTCGGAAACGTGTGCAAAAAGTTGTGGCCGAGAAGCGGAATTCGTTCGATGAGAAAACGGCCAAACGAGCATCGGTTGCGGCTGCACCATTGGCCGCGTGGGTCATGGCTAATATCGAGTACTCGGCCATCTTGGAGAAGATACAACCGCTGGAGAATGAGAAGAATGCACTTTTAAAGTGAGTTTGGGATTGGTGGGAACTTTGTTTACAATTTTTTTAAATTGCAAGAATTTTCTTTACAAAAGCCTAAATGGTATCGTTCGTATAAAATGTTACCGCAGGCTGCGAATCGAATATTTTTTTGTTTTTTGAAGAAAAAGCGCAAGAACTTTCTTTACAGCATTTATTTTTTGCAAAACCGCAAGAACTTTCTTTACAAAACTCTTTTTTTGAAAAACCGCAAGAACTTTCTTTACAAAGCTATCTTCTTTTAAAACCGCAAGGACTTACTTTACAAAAGTCATTTTTTGAAAAAACGCAAGAACTTTCTTTACAAAGGGCTGAATCCTATTCATCGTATAACTTGTCTCCTGCAGGTTGCGAAACGAAGCATTTTTTGTTTTTTGGAGGAAAAGTGCAAGAACTTTCTTTACAAAACTTATTTTTTTTGTAAAACCGCAAAAACTTTCTTTCCAAATCTCATTTTTTAAAAACCGCAATAACTTTCTTTACAAAACAAAAAGTGGCAAAAACTTTCTTTACAAATATAAAATGGCAAGAACTTTCTTTACAAAACAAAAAATGGCAAGAACTTTCTTTACAAGCCCCTTTTTTCAGAAAGTTCAACCAAACCGAGAAGCAGATGAAGTCTTTGTCCGGTCAATTAACTTCGGTCGATAAGCAGGTCGAATCATTGAAGAAAGAGTTTGAAGAGTCGATGAAAGAAGCCACCCAGATCAAGGTTGATTTGGATCGGGAACAGGCCGCCATCCAAGTGGCCGGCCAGATGGTGGAGAGGCTGGGCGGAGAGTTCGGGAGGTGGCAAAATCAAATGCAAATTCTGGAGGGGGAGCTTGAGTTTGTAGGTTATTTAACCCTAGGAGGGGACGACGGGGATAGGGAGGTTTTTATTTTCTTAAGCCTAAAATGACGGCATAAGCCTAAAAATGCAAAATTGATATGTTAAGCCGAAAATTGTTTTATCGCATCTCAAGGCCTATAACTTAAGCCTAATAAAGTTAAAATCTTATTTTATATTTTTTAAGCATACAATGCCCGCGTAAACCTAAAAATAAAAATTTGACATTTTAAGCCAAAAATTGTTTTATAGCATCTTAAGGCTTATACCTTAAGCCTAATAACATTAAAATTTTCAGCTGGACATTCACTGTGCCTTAGGGGCAGGTTTTGTCACCTTTCTGGGGGTGGAGCCATTTGACAATCGAGAAAAGGTGTTCAATCAATGGCTGGACATGTGTGGTTTAAAAGCCTTTGACCCAGTAGGCTTACTAACTCTAGAGGTGGACCAACAACGATGGAAGACCATGGGACTGGCCGCTACCAAAATGGCAGCTGAGAACGCGGCTATTATCTTCAATTCGACCGAAACGGCCCTAATAATCGACTCGAGTGGTACCGTATGCAAATTTCTGGTCAAACTGCATGCCGACAAGGACTGTCAGGTCCTAAAGCCCAATTCTGGAGACTTTTTGACCCAAGTTGAGTTGGGCATTCGCTTTGGCAAGGTGATCATCATCGAGGACGCGGATACGGTAGAGCCGGCCCTGATCAACTTGTTAAGGAAGGAGTTCTTCAGTCAAGGCCCACGCCAGGTGGTCCAGATTGGTGAGAAGCAGATCGACGTGAATGAGGCCTTTAAATTGTATGTTTGTTCGAGGAATGACCAACTGAACATACCTGGCTACATTCGAAATGCTGTGGTCATCACCAACTTCTCCACGACATTGGCTGGCTTGAGCTCTCAGGTGGGTTTTTGCCATTTTTTTATTGAGGTGATAGGGGGAAATGGTTGATATGACATTTTCTATAAAGCCCGTGGTCTTGCGAATCTAAAATGACACTATTTGTAATAGTATAACGCTCGGTAGGTCTAGTACAATGTGATTTGGGCTTTAAAAGCAGGATTTTTAGGGAGTAAAAATGTCATTTTTTAAATGACCTTGTTGTGGGACATACCTGACATGACGTTGCCTAAGAAGCTCATAGTTTTGTCAATCTAAGATGACATTGTATTTATTAGCACAGCGCTTGGTACGACTAGTATGATGTGATTTAGGCATTAAAACTAGTATTCTTAGGGCGTTTTTAGGGAAAAATGCCATTTTTTAATAGACCTTGTTGTGTGACATATCTGATATGCCATTTTCTTTAAAGCCCATGGTCTTGTGCATTTAATATGCCATTTAAAAAAATGGTTTAGTGTATGGTACCAAATATTTATGACATTTCAGATCTTAAGCTTGGCTTTAAACACGGAGCGACCGGACCTAGAACAACAATCAGTCCAGCTGTCCAGCAATGCTGAAACCTTGAATATACAGCTAGCTGAAATCGAACAGACTTTGCTTAATGAATTAGCGACATCAGAAGGCAGTTTATTAGAGAACAAACAGCTTCTGGATTCATTGAATCAGAGCAAGGAAAGTGCCGAAATGGCCGAACAATCCTTGGCCACGTTGGAGAAGGTCCGCAAGGAAATTGATGAAGTAAGTTGAAAAAATAGCTAACTTCTTATTAATATACGTTTTGGTAACATACCATGTGTCAAAAATAAAAAATATGATTTTTGAAAAAAATTTTGGGTCCCACCACGAAAACTTGAATAGTCGGGATTTTAAGAGAAAATGATATATAATTGGGTTTTCGCAATTAAAAAGACGATTTTTGTGGTTTATATGTACAAGGAGCATTATTTTGTTAAAATGAAAATTTTTGGGTCCTACCACGAAAACCTGAAAATTATGTTTTTAGCTAACTATTTGTATTAAAATAGCTTATTAGGTAATTTTACACTATTTAAAAATTTAAAATATTTTTTTCGTTGTTTTTTTGGTAAAAATGAAAATTTTTGGGTCCCACAACGAAAACCTGAAAGTCTTACTTTTAGCCAAATATTGATAAAAAACAACTTACTAATGGGTTTTACTTTGTTTAAAATTTGGTTTTTTGTTTTCTTTTGATAAAAAAGAAAAAAAGAGAATTCTGGGTCCCACCACGAAACCCTGCAAAACCTAAATTTTACGTGGAAAACCAAGTTTAATGTTTATAAAATGAATATTTGTAGCAAAAACAAGTGTACCTACCGTTCTCAGAGAAGTGCAGTATGTTGTACTTTGCATTTTATGATTTATACTCGACCAATCACATGTACAACTTCAATGTCGCGGTCCTACTACAACTTTTCGCTAGCGTTTTTAAGAAGAATCGAAATGCTTCATCTGAAGTTCAAACGAAATTGGATATTATCTATCAAGAATTGGTGTTGGACACGTTCTATTTCGTGTCTAGAGCACTGTACAAACAAGATCGGCTGGCATTTTCACTGAGATTTGTTAAGGTTGTCAAGCCACGCTTGTTTGATGAAAAGGTAAGCCATAGCCCTAGCAGCTTTGGCCTAGGGGTAGAATAGTAGGAGGAACTAGTACCATTAGTACCAGTAGAAGTAGGAGTTAGAGTAAAGGTATGAGTATTTCTGGGGTATGGGTACTACTTGTACCATTGGTACCAGTAAGGGTAGGGGGTAGTGGAAGGGTAGGGGTAGTCCCTAGTTCTAGCTCTAGCACTAGCCCTAGTCCTAGCCCTAGCTCTAGCCCTAGCCCTAGCCCTAGCCCTAGCCCTAGCCCTATTCTTTCATTCTACAGTATCCGTTCAGTAAGGGGTACAGTAGTCCTAGCCTTAGCCCTAGCTCTACCTTCTTACTAACTCCTACAGTATTCCTTAACCTTGCAGTGTTTCCTACTCCTACAGTATCTTTTATGACTACAGTCAGGGCCGGGCGGGGACTTTTGGTCTGGGGGCGGGGGTCCAAAAAAATCGGCACCTGTGCCGATTTTTTGCAAAATTTTTTTTCTGGAAATCCACAGGGGGGCCACGTTCAACTTTTTTCAAAAAATTTTTTTTCTGGGGGGGGGGAGGGGGGTACGTCCCCCCCCTTCCCCCCCCTCGCGCTCGGCCCTGACTACAGTATCATTTACTCCTACGGTATTCTTTCTTCATACAGTATTTTTTACTTCTACAGCGTCTCTCACTTTTACAGTATCTATTACTTCTACTGCACTTCTTGCTCTTATAGTATGTCTTACTCTTACAGTATCCTTTACTCATACAGTATTTCTTACTTTTAGTGCATTACTTACTTTTACAATATTATATACTTACTACTACAGTATATTTTTTTGTACAACTACTATATTGTATACCTGAAGGTATATCACCTTACCTTGCCTATACCCTTACCCTTGTCTCTATACACACTACACTGTCGTAACTTACTTACACTACTCAGTCTTACTTTGCTTACTTTACTGTACTCTACTTTTGCTTCATTTCTGATTTTACTCTGCAGTAATTTTAAGAATATTGTGACATTTCGTCAAAAAATCCAATAAATAATGTGACACTTCGTCTACTTTTCTATTTTCAGGAATGGACCTTCTTCTGTGGCAATATAGTCTCAGAAGACGACAACTCCGCAACTTCTGTCCCCAACTGGTTGCCAGACGAAGTTCAGCAACGTTTGTCGCGGCTCCAATCCGCCCTACCGTCTCTCTACAGTAACCTCGGCATAGAGGATCGTCATTCTTGGGCCGAGTTCATGGACAATAATACGGTAGAATTGCCGCGACATGTCGCGCAAAAGTTGTCCGACTTCCAGAAAGTCGTCGTGGTTGCGGCACTGAAGCCGGAAGTTGCGACAACTGCGATGACAACTTTCGCAACTTCTGCGTTGCAAGTTGCGTCGCTGAATCCGAGCAGCGATCTGGGCGAGTTGGTGGTTACTGTAACACCAAGTCAGCCGGTGTTGTTGATTTTGGGCACGGGCGCGGATCCAAGTCAGGAGATAAGGGATGTTGCCGAGAAGCGCAACATAAAGTTGCATCAGTTGGCGATGGGCAGTCGGCAACAAACTGAAGCGCTGGAGTTGTTGAGGATGGCGATGGAGAAGGGGGAGTGGGTGTACTTGAACAATGTTCATCTGTTGCCAGAGTTTTTGTTGAGGATTCATACGGTAAGGCTGTGCTAGGGGTGGGGGTGGGGTAAAAGTAGGGATATGGGTAGGGGTACTGTAGGCTGACAGGGGATGGGCTCTGCTAGAGGTAGGGGTAGGAGTAGAGCTTTTGGAGGCTAGGGATACTGTATTTAGCTGATGGGGTAGAATAAGGGCACCACTGGTCCCATTAGTACCTGTAAGGTAAGAGGTAAAGGTAGGTACTCGTACCATCAGTATCACCAATGAGGGTAGGGGTATGTAGGTCTGGGTAGAAGTACTACTTGTACTATTAGTATTAGAAAGGGCTGGGCAGGGGGTAGGGGGTTACGGTAGGATTACGCAGAAGGGGCTTACGGTAGGGTCCGGGGTAGGGGCAGGGGCAGGGGTAGGGGGTTACGGTAGGATTACGCAGCAGGGGCTTACGGTAGGGTCCGGGGCAGGGGCAGGGGCGGGGGCAAGGGCGGGGGCAGGGGCGGGGGCAGGGGCAGGGGCAGGGGCGGGGGCAGGGGCAGGGGCAGGGGCAGGGGCAGGGGCAGGGGCAGGGGCAGGGGCAGGGGCAGGGGCAGGAGCAGGGGCGGGGGTAGGGGTAGGGGTAGAGGTAGGGGTAGCAGCTTTTTCATTGGTTTACTGTAGTATATACTGTAGCATATTTATAGGAATTACACAGTAAAACTCCACACGACTCATTCCGACTATGGTTGAGTGCCGAACCAGACAACCAGTTCCCACCAGTACCACTACAAGATGCCCTAAAGGTAACATACGAAACCCCACCAGGTATCAAGCATAACATAAGTGGTACCCTGAAGCAATGGATTGGTACTGAGAGTGGGAGTGGTAGATTGAAATTCGAAATTCAAACTCATTTCCTATTGGCATGGTTTCATGCTCTACTTCAGGAGCGAAGGACTTTCATTCCACAGGTAAATTATCGATTTTGACATTTCGTTACACATGTTTTTTTGGTCCATACTACCTTTTAATGGTCTTAAAATTGTAAAGTGCTACTTTTTAATTCAATTTTATTTTCAACAGTTGTATTTTACATTAATTTCAATTTTTTTTGTCTATTGGTGTTTTGTTATTGATTTTGACATTTACAACACTTTTTTGCTTGTTATTCACTTTTTATTGATTTTCTATACTAAAATGGCATTGCTTTGAAAAATTTTACTATTCAAATTGTATTTTATATCTTAAGCTATTTTTTTACTCTGTGGCATTTCGTTATCGATTTCGACATTTCTTCACGTTTGCCATTTTAAAATAACTGTTTAATGATTTTTTGTAGTTAAATAGCGTTATGTGTAATGGTTTTTTATTAGTCAACTTGTCTTTTACATATCAATTCTTGTTTCTAAATTTGTGACACTTCGTTATCGATTTTTACATTTTGTCACGTAGCAGCCATTTTTAAACTTTGGTCTCCAATGTCGCATAATATTTTACAAATTTAACGTATTATTTTATTTTACATTAGTTTTAGTAATTTTTAACCATTCTTTTAAAATTATTGATTTTGACATTTCGTCACATTTTAGTTTTGATTGTTATGATTGACACTTTTGAACTATTGGTCTTCAATGTAGCATATTATTTATTTACATTTATGTTTTTTCGTATTTTACATTAGCTTTAGTTATTTTAAGCCATTATTTTAAAATTATTGATTTTGACATTTCGTCACATTTTATTTTCAGGGCTGGTTGAAGTTCTACGAGTTTAATTTGAACGATCTACGAGTGGCACGTCAGGTTTTGGACAAAATGAAGCACAATAATGGTCGGTATTTGCTACTTTTTAGTGGAACATGTTTTCGTGGTGGGACCCAAAAATCTTTAAAATTTAAAATTTTTTTATTAAAACTACAATAACATGGGTTAAATGATATTGAATTTAATGAAAAGTTATCTTCCCTACCCCTACTCCTACCTTCATCCCCCCTCCCTACCCCTACCCGTGCCTACGTTCCTACCGTACCACTACCCTCCAAAACGCACTGTAATATTAACGATATGACATTCTTTTTTAGACTACAATTGGGAAGCGATCCGAGGATTCATGGAGGATGCCATTTATGGCGGTCGAATCGAGAATCAGCTGGATATTGGAGTACTGTCGGCCTACTTGAACAAGTTCATGAGCAGTGGGAGGGACAAAGAGAACCTGGGGAACAACTTAAGGCTACAGACCGACGCCAACAGCTTTAAGGACATGCTAGACTTTGTGATTAATTCGGTATGATATCCTAGCCTACCGTACCCTACCCTACCCTACCCTACCCTACCCTACCTTACCCTATCCTTCCCTACCGTATCCCACTCGCCTTGTAAAAGCTTCCAACTGGTGCCAATGGTACCAACACTGGCTCAAAAGGTCTTTGAATAGTACCAGTAGTCCCCTTCTCTGCCGCGCCTTGTCCTGTTCTGACATGCCTTGTCTTACCTTACTTTACTTTGTTTTACTCTAACCTATCCTACTCTACTCTACCCTATTCTATTCTACTCTACCCTACCCTACCCAACCCTACCCTACCCTACCCTACCCTACCCTACCCTACCCTACCCTACCCTACCCTACCCTGACCCTCTTACTCCACCCTACTTTACTTTCCCTTACTTTAGGTACCAGAAGTCGATAAACCAGGACTATTCGGCTTGCCAGAGAACACTGGCTCAACATACGAACTGGAACGTAGCCGTGACACGATAAACATACTGAGATCGATGCAACAACAAAGTCGGGCTTCGAACTTCGACGCTTTCAGCAGCTGGACCAGGAAATTGCGCCCAGTCCTAGCGTTTTGGAAGCGGCTACATCAACAAAACGATCTTCTGGCTTCTGAATTCAACGTAGCGGATTCTGGAGATCCGATTCTTGACATGCTGAACACTGAATTTCAATTTGGCATTACACTGGTAAGAGGAAAGAAAGTTATTGCGGTTTTGTTTGAAAGTGGCTTTGTAAAGAAAGTTCTTGCCATTTTTCGTTTTGTAAAGAAAGTTCTTGCCATTTTATGTTTTGTAAAGAAAGTTTTTGCCATTTTTCGTTTTGTAAAGAAAGTTCTTTCCATTTTTTAATTTGTAAAGAAAGTTCTTGCTATTTTTCGTTTTGTAAAGAAAGTTCTTGCCATTTGTTGTTTTGTAAAGAAAGTTCTTGCCATTTGTTGTTTTGTAAAGAAAGTTCTTGCCATTTTTCGTTTTGTAAAGAAAGTTCTTGCCATTTTATGTTTTGTAAAGAAAGTTTTTGCCATTTTTTGTTTTGTAAAGAAAGTTCTTTCCATTTTTTAATTTGTAAAGAAAGTTCTTGCTATTTTTCGTTTTGTAAAGAAAGTTCTTGCCATTTTTTGTTTTGTAAAGAAAGTTCTTGCCATTTTTCGTTTTGTAAAGAAAGTTCTTTCCATTTTTTAATTTGTAAAGAAAGTTCTTGCTATTTTTCGTTTTGTAAAGAAAGTTCTTGCCATTTTTTGTTTTGTAAAGGAAGTTCTTGTCATTGCCTTTGTTTTATAGAAAGGTTGTGATGCTTTTCGTATTTTACATCAGCTTTTAATAAGTATTTCAAAAGCCAATAACTCCTGTGACATTTCGTCGAAAAAATCTATAAATCTACTGGCATTTCGTCAATTTGTTAAAAATGTTATCATATGCCTAAAAAAGGCCAAAAATGTCATTTTTTCACCTTCTTCTTGGAATTTTTAGACAAAAGTGTTGTTTCACAGGCTGCGGGTGACAAGTTATACGATGGATAGAAGTTTATATAGCTTTTCGAGTTGTAAAGAAACTTTTCGACATTTATTTGTTTTGTAAAGAAGTTCTTGCCATAATTTTGTAAAATTTCACTTTTCTACAAGCTTTTTGACCAAAATCTGGCATTTTTGAAAAATCAATATTTTTTGTGACACTTCGTCAAAAATACGATAAAATTAGTGATATTTCGTTCATTTGTAAAGAAATTTATTATTTTTGTGTACTGTAAAGAAAATTCTTGCCATTTTATGTTTTGTAAACAAAGTTCTTGCCATTTTTTGCTCTGTAAAAAAAGTTCTTGCCATTTTAATCATTTCGAACCTTTAGGTAAAGAAGATTCACACCACTTTATCACTGATTCGCAAAGGATTGGCTGGCAAGCTAGCCCCAACGGCCAAAACTCTCGAAGCAGCCAAGAACCTTCTTGAACAACAAACGCCAGTCGACTGGGATCTGGCATGGCCTGGCCCAGAGGACTGTTATCAGTACATGGAGAAGGTCTGTGATAAGGCGAGGAAGGTGAGAAAGCTGGCTGGTTTCAAGAATGGAGAGAACTTATTGACCGAACCAGTGGATTTGGACCACTTCTTTCGGCCCACGGCTTTGCTCAATGCGCTGAGGCAATATAGTGCTAGGTAAGGGGGTGAAAAGAAAGTTGTCGCGGCTTTTGAGAAAATAAGGTGTGGAATGATAGTTTTTGCCAATTTTTGTTTTGGAAAGAAAGTTCTTGCCATTTTATGATTTGTTAAAGCTTTGCGGATTTTTAAAAAACTAAAGGTTGGAAAGAAAGTTATTGCGTTTTTTAGAAAATAAAGTCTGGAAGGAAAGTTCTTGCCATTTTTGGTTTTGTAAAGAAAGTTCTTGCCATTTTTTGTCTTGTAGAGAAAGTTTTGGCTATTCTTCAGAAAACCAATAAATTTTGTGGCATTTCGTCAAATACGATTAATTTTGATTTTGTAAAAAAAGTTTTTGCTATTTTTTGTTTTGTAAAGAAAGTTCTTGCCATTTTTAGCTTTGTAAAGAAAGTTCATGCCATTTTTTAGAAAATCAATAAATTTTGTGGCATTTCGTCAAATACGATTAATTTTGACTCTGTAAAGAAAGTTATTGCGTTTTTGTAAATTTTGCACAGTGCAAAAATGTTATTTTTATTCAAATTCGACCTATTTTTTAAAATTTTTATTACCTAAATTAATTTTTTTTCAGAAAGCTGAACACGGGCGTGGACAAGCTTAAATTTGCCACCAGTCTATCAAAAATCTCGACTTCAGCACCATTAATGCAAGTGGGACAACTCAAAATCCAAGGTGCACTATTAGGTGGAAGTCAGCTTATGGCTGTGAATCAGAATTCACCTGCCATAGCGACTGCACCTAATATTTATATGGCTTGGATTGGGATGGTAAGTGGGTTTTTTATTTTTGGGGGTATAGTAAGATAATATAGGGGTATGGCAATTCTTGTGTGGGTTACGGTAGGGTAGATTAATGGGTGCCTGTGATAAGGTTAGGGGACGGCATATTGTGTGATGGGGTGAGAGTACCAATTGTACCATTAGAACCGGTAAGAGTAGGAGTAGGGTTGAGATAGGAGTACCATTAGTACTATTATTACCAGTAAGAATAGGGCTAGGAGTAGGGACAGTGGTAGCACTAGTTCCATTAGTACCAGTAAAAGTAGGATTAGGGTGGGAGAGGTACCACTAGTACGATTAGTATCAGTAAGAGTAAGGGTAGGACTAAAGATAAAACTAGAAGTTGGAGTAGGTTGGAGTACCAGTAGTACCATTAGTACCGATAAGGGTAGGTGTAAGGATACTGGTAGGAGTAGGGATAGGGGTAACACGTACCATTACTACTATTAGAGGTAGGGGTAGAGATAAGGGTAGACGTAGGGGTAACACGAGTACCATTAGTACTCGTACAAATAGAGGTAGGGGTAGGGGTAACAATAGGAGTAGGAGTAAAGGTAGGTGTAGTAGTAGGGGTAGGCGTAAGTTGGAGTACCAGCCAAGGTAGGGCTAGGGTAAGGATCGGGGTAGGGATAGGGGTACCACTAGTGCGATTAGTACAAGTAAAGCCACAGGTAGGTATAAAGGGTAGGAATGATGGTAACTAGATCTAGGAAGGGCAATTTTGTTTTTTAATTTTTAAAATTTGCAGGAAGAAAACCCACCGTACCGTGCTGAAGAATGTGCTGAAGTGCCACTATTTGTGGCTTCAAATCGATCTGAATTCGTTTGTCAAATCCAAATTCCTTGTGTTCAAGGTCAGAAAGAGCAGTGGATACTGGCGGCTGTGGCATTATTTACCCGAATTTAAATTATTACCTAGTTATAACAATAATAAACATTATACACTAAGCCTATGTTTATTAAGCTTAAGCCTACTAAGCCTAAGCCTACTAAGCCTAAGCCCACTAAGCCTAAGTCTACTAAGCCTAAGCCTACTAAGCCTAAGCCTACTAAGCCTAAGGATACTAAGCCTAAACCTACTAAGCCTAAGCCTACTAAGTCTAAGCCTACTAATGTAAGCCTAAACGGTCCTTCGGAGCGTTTTACAATATAAAAAGTTTATTAACAAGTGAATAACCAAACAAAAGTCCCCATGAACACTATAAAAATGACGTTTTTCATGCTTCTCCGGCTTGACCTTGAGATTTGACTTCAGTTTTTTTAACTGCGAATATCAGCGACCCGATGATGACAACAACGAAGGACATTAGGTATAGGACGTCGAACTGAAACAAATTTTTTTGTTTTTCTATAAACTTTTAGCCCGGAATCGCAAAATATGGCATTTATATGACTTGTAGTCCCCAAAAGTGACATTTTTTAAAAACCAATAATTTTAGTGACATTTCTTCAAAAATCAATATAATTTGTGACATTTCGTCTAATCTTCAAAGATTGCTATTACATATTAATTTTGACAATAAAAATGATTTTTATAACTTGTATGGTCCAAAAAATTACATATTTAAAAAACCAATAAATTGTGTGGCAATTCGTCAAAAAACGATAAATTATGTGGCATTTTGTCACAACTCTGGATAGTCAAAAAAACATCTTTAAAATGTAAATAAATGTTAAATTACGTTTTTCTACGTACTTTTAGACCTATATAACGTCATTTTTAAAAACCAATACATTTTTTGACATTTCGTTACAATTTTGAATAGCCTATACTCATTGTGAAATGTCAATAAAAGTGAAATTAAAGTGTTTATATAAACTTTTCAACCACCAAACCGTTATTTTTAAAAACCAATAAATTTTGTGACATTTCGTCAAGAATCAACAAAATTTATGACATTTTGCCAAAAATCAAAATTACTATTAAATAACTTACAGTATACGAAAAAACAAAGATACCAGCCAACAAAGTGTAGAAGTCAGCTGTCAAAACTGACAAGTTGAACATTAATGCTGATGATTTCTGCATTACCACTGATACCAATGAGTAGAATGTGAACATACACAATGTGAACAATGCCATATAGCCTAGTGCTTCCCAACTCCAATTGAAATTGGCTAGATTGTTACGTTCTAGTACGACTCTGGAAGATAACTTCATTTTTAGTTTGTAAAGAAAGTTCTTTCTATTTTATGTTTTGTAAAGAAAGTTCTTGCCATTTTTTTGTAAAGAAAGTTCTTGCCACTTTTTGTTTTGTAAAGAAAGATCTTGCTACTTTATGTTTTGTAAAGAAAGTTCTTGCCATTTTTTGTTCTGTAAAGAAAGTTTTTGACATTAAAACAACTGTTTCAAATATCAATAAACACTGTGACATTTCGTCAATTTGTAAAAAAAGGTGAAGCCCTAAAAACCAAAAAAAATTTTAAAAAATTAAAACTTACAGCTGAATACTACTGATCAGACACCCAAACAGTCCCACCACCCCCAAATATTCAAATCGATCATACTGTTTGACCAAAAACTCTTCCGTAACATTAGCAGCCGCATATAACACAGCCGCTCCTAGACACAACACATCACCATACAACTGATCAGTACCACCATCAGCACCACGACCGCTTTTCGAGTCGGCAAAGATGATCAGAGCGATTCCAGCCAAACAGACCGAGACTCCAATTAAGTGAATAAATAGGTAACGAACGGAGAGGAACAGCCAGGATAATATCATTACTACCGGAATGGTTGAGCAGTCCAAAATCTGAAATTGAAAAATGGAAGTTTTTAAAAAATTGGTTAAAATACGCTTGAAAATGGCAAGAAATAGTAAAAATTTCAATAAATCCATAGGGGGGACCAAGTTCAATTTTTTTTCAAATTTTTTTTTATTTTAAAAATCTAAAATAAGACGTTTATAGAGCATGACAAGATGTATAAAGTCTGTAAGTGTCATGTTCAAATGTTAACTTGTATCAAAGTTACATCAAATTGAAAATGCCTGGTCAAAAAATCCACAGGGGGACCGTTCAATTTTTTTTCAAAATTTTTTTTAAATTTTAAAAAATCTAATATAAGACGCTTATAGACATGACAAGTTGTACAATTTCCATAAGTTTCATGTTCAAGTGTTAAAGTATGTCAAAGTTACACCAAGTTGAAAATGTCTGGTTAAAAAGTCCACAGGGGGACCACGTTCAATTTTTTTTCAAAAAAATTTTTTTTATTTTTAAAACAATAAAATAAGAGTTTTATAGAACATGACACGCCGTATAGATTCTGTAAGTTTCATTTCTATATCATCCTTTATCAAAAAGATATATTTTTTTAAAAATGATTTGTCAAAAAATCCACAGGGGGGACCAAGTTAAAATTTTTCGAAAAAAAAATTTTTGTTTTTCAAAAACCTTAAATAAGACGTTTATGTAGAATTAAAAACAGTATATAATGCTTCAGTTTTACTGCCATATCAAGCATCACAAGAAAGTTACATCAAGTTTAAAAAGTCCAAAATCAAACAAAGTTCGAATCCGGCCAGAAACAATTTTTATTTTTTCATTTTTTATTGAAATTTCAAAAGTGAAGTAGAATAAATCTAGAAAAAAATTAAAAGGTGTATCCTTTTCTTAAATTTCATGTTTATAACTTAGCTTATAACAAAGAAACATTCGTTTAAAAATGTCAAAAATCCAAAAAAGTTTGATTCCGGCCAGAGAAAAATCAGTTTTTTGGGCTTTTGAAACCGCTTTTATTAAGACCTTACCTGAATACTAGTTAAATTAGTGTATTGATATGCATATACGATCATATAGTTGGCTTCGACATCAATAATAGCCAATAAAAAGTACTTCCATCCACGTTTTATTAAGACTTTTGATATGTTTCTGTCCCCAGGCCGTAGTAATAATATCAGTCCATATACAAAGAATAGGAAAAAATAGTTGAAAAAGGCTTGGGCTGAAAATAAAATCAATAATTATCAAGAAAACGACAAAAAAAGAACCACAAAGTTAAAAATTTTGCAAAATCCACCCCCAAAACATAAAAATTAAAAAAAATGTACCATCAGGGTAGAGATAAGGGTAGAAGTAGAGGTAAAGGTAGAGATAAGGGTAGGAGGAAGGGTATCACTATTACCATTAGTATTAGAAAGGGTAAGGGTAGAAGTAAGGGTATGGGTAATGGTAGGGGTATGGGTAAGCGTAGGGGTAAAGGTAGAGATAGGGGCGAGGTAGAACGAATGAAGGTAGATCCACCCCGTACCTAGAAAACCTATAGCGACGTCCTTAAGTCTACCCCTACCCTACCTTCCACGTACAACAAAAAAAATTTGTAAATCCACGTCCAAAAAAAGTTCTTTTTAAACCTACCCCGCCCCATCAAAATTAAAAAAAAAACCCTCCAAAACCATAAAAATATTTTAAACCACCCCAAAAAATGAATTTTTTAAAATCTACCCCTGCCTCAAAGTATCTAATTTTAAAAAATCCGCCCACAAAAAAAATTAAGAAAATCCACCCCTACCCAACTTCAAAAATAAAAAATTTTTAAAGAATCCGCCCCCTGTCAAACGCTAAAAAGTACCCGACCCCCACCAACTGCCATTCCTTACCTGCAGGAGCATTAAATCCCCTTTTAGCCAGTAACTCTGATGAAACTCCAGTCCCACACAGACATAATGAGAGTAATTGCCCTAGTAATAGTCCTTGGAACGTTCGTTGCGAGGTTGGGCTTTGACAACAAGTTAGTTTACACCCTTCTTCTTGATCAACATCGTCTTGTCTATCTGCTTGCTGGGTCATTGATCTGAAAAAATGCATGATCTAAAGCCTAGAAAGCCTAAACCTAAAACTACTGAGCTTAATCCTATTAAGCCTAAACTTATTAAATCTAAGACTACTTAGCCTAAACATAATAAGCCTAATCCTTCAAACTTACGCCTAATAAGCCTAAGCCTACTAAGCCAAAGCCTACTAAGCCTAAGCCTACTAAGTCTAAGCCTATAAAGCCTACGCCTACTAAGCCTAAGCCTATTAAGTCTGAGCCTATTAAGCCTAAGCCTATTAAGCCTAAGCCTATTAAGCCTAAGCCTATTGAGCCTACTCCTATATCCAAGCCTAAGCCTAACCTACGAAGCCTAAACCTACTAATATAAAAATAAACCCCACCGGCTGACACAGCACCTTATGATATAATGAATACCTTTTGAAGTGCACACCAACTCACAAAAAAACATTATTACCTAATTTTACGATAACATAAGATAGCCTAAGAGAAATTGCAAGAAATCGTGTTGCGCAACGTTTTCTTATGTAATTTCATAGTTTTATATAACAATTGCCTCGATGTAAAACGACCCAACAAATTACTGCGAGTACGGCAATCTTACTCTAGATTTCTGCGAAGGTTCATAAAAAGAATGGCGGCAAAAATACTAAACCTAAGCCGCCTAAGCCTAAGCCCACTAAACCTAAGCCTACTAAGCCTAAGCCTACTAAGCCTAAGCCTACTAAGCCTAAGCATACTAAGCCTAAGCCTACTAAGCCTAAGCCTACCAAACCTAAGCCTACTAAGCCTAAGCCTACTAAGCCTAAGCCTACTAAGCCTACGCCTAATAAGCCTAAGCCTACTCATCCTAAGCCTACTAAGCCTAAGCCTACTAAGCCAAGCCTACTAAGCCTAAGCCTAATAAGCCTAAGCCTACTAAGCCTAAGCCTACTAAGCCTAAGCCTACTAAGCCTAAGCCTAAGCCTACTAAGCCTAAGCCTACTAAGCCTAAGCCTACTAAGCCTAAGCCTACTAAGCCTAAGCCTACTAAGCCTAAGCCTACTAAGCCTAAGCCTACTAAGCCTAAGCCTAAGCCTACTAAGCCTAAGCCTACTAAGCCTAAGCCTACTAAGCCTAAGCCTACTAAGCCTAAGCCTACTAAGCCTAAGCCTACTAAGCCTAAGCCTACTAAGCCTATTGAACCTAAGTATAAGCTCACTAAACCTGAGTCTAACAACTCTAAGCATACTAAACCTAAGCCTAGTCCTGCTGAACCTACGTCTACTAAGCCTACGCTTACTAAGCCTAAGCCTACTAAGCTCAATTTTACACAGCCTGCTCATATTACCCCTGAGCCTGCTCAGCTTAAGCCTTTTAAGCCTAAACCCACCAAACCTAAGAGCCTTCTAGACATAAAAAATAGGCCGGGCCTGAACGTTAGGCACGTCCCGATTAAAATTTTGTTCAGGCCCAGCCCGTTCCTCATGTCTAGAGCCTTCTACACTCTAAAGATAGGATAAGATGTTAGGTAGATAAATTATTACTCAAAAATAACATTTTTTGTGTTTTTTCTAACTTTTAACCGCAAAATTCAAAAATCTCCGAAGTCTTATTTACATTATAATCGAATTCAAATCTGGAAACGATTAAAACAAGAAAAATCTCTTTTTTTCTGCTACCAAAAGCGAAAGAACACTAACCTTTTGTTATCTTTGGGAAAAAAGACGGAACTATAATAGTAAAGCAATAATAAAATAAAAATCAATAGATTGTTTAAATCTCAAAAAAGACTTCTAAAATGCTGTTTCTGCGAACTTTTTGACCAAAACTAAATTTTTGAAAAAAACCAATAATTTGTGTTACATTTCGTATAAATTCTGTAAAATAAGTGAAATCTTTAAAACTTCTACAAATTTTTTAACCAAAAACGTTCAAAGTCATAAATTTAAGGTTTTCTATAAAATTATTGACCGTTTGAAACCAAAAGAGCGTTCGTTTTAAAAACCAATAAATTTTGTGGCACTTCGTCGAAAAACGATAAAATTTGTGATATTTCGTTTAAATTGTAAAAACTATTACTGAAAAAGCAAAATTTAAGTTATCTATGAAACTTTTGACCAAAAACAAATTATTCGAAAAATCGATAATTTTTGTGACATTTCGTCAAAAATCTAAAAAATTATTCATACTTTGTTAATTTTAAACTTTTCGCTAACTTATTGACCAAAAACTTAAAATATGATAATTCTAAACGTTTTGTTCACTTTCTACAAACTTTTTGACCGAAAAAACCAAAATTTGTCTTTTTTATGAACTTTTTCGATCTTTTCTACAAACTTTTTGACCCAAAAACCACAATTGAATATTTCTATAAACTTCTTGACCACTTTCTACAAACTCTTTGACCGATCTTGCCCGTCATACTCACCTAGGAGGAACAATAATAGCCGGAGCATCCGAAACAAAATAGCCTCCGGGCGTTTCCAACGGTACTGGAGTAATGACAGCCGGTAACAACGGTCTAACTGTGTTGTCATTACCTTCCCATACCATGGAATTGCGAAACATGACAGATCGTCTCGTATCTTCATTGTTCATGGCAGGGTGTTGTATTTGAACGTGGGCATGGCGATTATTCGGTAGGGTAGAGTATCGTCTTGAAACTGATGTTTTGGGGGTGGATGTGGCTATGGCATCGTAGCTGGGTGGAGTTTGTGAAGAATGAGGTCGAATTGGCTCTGAACTCATGGTTTTTTATCGACCGGTCGATAAGTTATTGTGGTTTGAGGTTTGTTGATTTAGTAATGGCACTCTGAGGGTCATATGATAGTACTTCTTTTTACAATGATGCCCTGTTAGCTTCACATAACACTAAACAACCGGTCGATTTAGGTTGACACGAGTTATAATTATATATATTTGACCAGAACATCAATTTCTAAAGCTGTAGATCCTCATTCTAAAACGATACAACAAGTTTAAACCTCAAAAAAACGTCAACACGATAAAGAACGACATAAAAATTAAACGACAGAGTCAAAAAAGCCATTTTATATGAATTATGATAGCAAATATTTGTTCTGAAGGTCAAAAAGTTCGTAGAAATGTTGATTTGTACTTATTCGGTCCAAAAAGTTTATAGAAAAAACTCATTTTAAGTTTAAAAACGTTTAAATAATGTCCGCGTCAAAAAGAATTGGGTGTTTTCAATGTATTCGTATAGTAAAAATGATCAATTCTTTTTGACGCGGCTTGAGATCTTAAGCTTAGCATACAAAATAGTCAAAAAGTTCATAGAAAGAATAAATTTTACATTTGCGGTCAGTAATTTTATAGAAAAATCAAAATTTTCAGCTTTGTACAAATATAGAAATTTGTACAAAGCCTACGCCTACTGAGCCTAAACCTATTAAGTCTAAGATTAATAACCCTAGGCCTACTAAGCCTAACCCTACTAAGCCTAAGCCTACTCAGCCTAAGTCTACTAATCCTACTAAACCTAAGCCTACTAAGCCCAAGCTTACTAAGCCTGACCCTCAGAATCTAAGTACTGAGCATAAGCCTAAGCCTAGTAAGCTTAAGCCTACCAAGCTTAAGCCTATTAAACCAAAGTCTAAGCCTGCTAAGGTTAAGACTAATAAGCCTCAGTCTATTAAGCCTAACCATTAGCCTAATAAATACACGCTTACTACTAATAACAACAAAACAAAGACCTAAACAACAAAATCCAATCAACATACCATGTTGTTATCCAACAGTAACTTCATCAGCGTATCAACTAGTACATCGTCTCGGCTTTGAATAGTTTGTTTTACATTTTCTATCAGGAATATTCCATCTTCAGGTGTCATGAAACCTTGTTCAATCTGTTTAACAACCATTATTGTACACTCAAGCAATGGTTCATTATTTGAGTACATCAATATCTGGTTAGTTTTGGCAAAAAAGGCTTCATTAATCACTTCCATCCATCTGTTAAGGTAACAGTTAGAAGATTTTATCCCATTTTTAATCAAATTCAATGAATCTAACAGTATTGCTGGCTTCATACTATTCATAAATGTCTGCTGAGTTATGATGACAATATTTTTTTCAAAAATTTCATCAAAATCGACTGAAATTTCAGTCGATAACTTGAGACGAACTATCAATGGTATGACTACGTTACAGTAGACGTCTTGATGATTTCCTTCATTTTGAGGGTTAGAATTGGAGTCGTACTTATCATCGTGCACATAAGCATCACTATGAGTACTGTTATCCAAGTTATAGTGTTTTTCGTCAGCATCGTGCTTAATAGCATTAGTTATAGTGCTAGAAGATAAAGCATGAACACGTCTGTCATCCTCAATATCGTAGTAGACATCACGATCTTTAGCTGGGCTTTCCCTGCTACAAGGAGTACTATAGTCATCTTCATCAATACCGTGCAAACTAGTATCACTCTGAGTACTAAATTTCAAATTATAGTCTTTTTTATCATCATCGTGCTGATTAGTATCATTTTTAGTGCTACAAGGAGTATCATGATTATTTTCACCAGTATCCTCCTTATTAGCATCATTTTTCGTACTGAAATCCAAATTTCTGTCCTTTTCTTCGTTCTCTACATTCATATATGCATCATGATCCTCTCCTTGACTTTTGTTACTACATGGAGCGTCATGATCACCTTTATCAGTATCGTGCACATTAGTAACACTTTGAGTACTAAAGTTCAAGTAATGGTCCCTTTTGTCATCATCGTGATCATGAGTATGTTTTTTCGTGCTACAAGGAGTATCGTAGTCATTTTCATCAGTATTGTGCAAAATAGCATCATCTCTCGTACTAGAGCTCGAAGTCTGATCCTTGCGCTCAAAATCCTTCTTCTGATCATTAAGATCAATATCCTTATCATTGAAATCAATATGTCTATCTGCATCATCCTTATAACCCTCATTGTTTTCGCCATCCTCGCCACCTTCATTACCTCCATCAGTGCCATTCTCAATCGCATACTTGGCCAAAAAGGTGTATACTATATTGTAATGGCACATCAAAACATACTTAACCACATTCGGATCATGTAGCATGTCCAAAAACACTTGAAACAGTGATTCTTTGAAGAGATTCTTATCTTGAAGCGACGACATTTGATAGTCCACAAAGACCTTACTATAGGCGGTACCATCGATCAGTTCCAGTTGACTCATGGCATTAATCTCGGCAATAATAAGCTCTGTTTCATCGCTTTGTACTTCATTAAACATCTATTCAATTGTAATATCGATTGAACAACAATAAGATTGGTAAAACACTAAAATATCAAGCCTGTTTAGGCCGCGTCAAAAAGAATTGCACTTTTTTAATATACATACACTAAAAAGTGACCAGTTCTTTTTGACGCGGCAAGAAAAGAATGTTAAATTTACTTTTTTGATTAAAATTAATTGTTTTTCTATAAACTTTTAGACCGGGTTAGTAAAAACATAGTTTTCTACTAACTTTTTGACCATATTTTGGGATACGTGTTATAAAAAATGGCATTTTTCAAGTTTTAGCAAAAACGCGCTTTAAAAGATAAAAAATGGCAAGAACTTTCTTTACAAAACAGAAAATAACAAGGACTTTCTTTACAAAATGAAAAATGACAAAAACTTTCTTTACAAAATGAAAAACGGCAAGAACTTTCTTTACGAACAAAAAATGGCAAAAACTTTCTTTACAAAATAAAAAATAGCAATAACTTTCTTTACAAAAGAAAAAATGGCAAGAACTTACGTTACGAACAAAAAATGGCAAAAAACTTTCTTTACAAAACAAAAAATGACAACAACTTTCCTTGCAACGCATAAAATGGCAATAACTTTCGTTACAACGTATAAAATGGCAAGAACTTTCTTTACAGACCAAAAAATAGCAAAAACTTTCTTTACAGATCAAAAAATACCACCAAAACCACAGTAAGAATTACAGTACCCTTAGATTTCCACCCCGTCCCCCCCCTCCAAAAAATACAGTACATCTACATTTCAACATTCTCACCCAAATACTACCTAAAACAAAGCGAACAAAAATATAAACAAAAAGCTGGCAACTTGTCAAGACGGCCAATTAACATTCGACGTCAATGCCTTAAAACAATCGAACACGTAGTCGGGGATAAAAAACGATACATCAGCTGTCAAAACACCCGTTTTCAAACTTGCCACTCATTTTAAACAGCTACGTTTCGTGGCACACGCCCCACAACATGACATATTTTTTAAAATTAACAAATTTGTAGTACCTACATGAGGGATTGGTTTTAAACGCTATTAGGCTTCAGTTATAAGCCTAAAAGCTTAAACTAGAAGCAAAAGTCTTAAGTTTTAAGCCTGAATATGCAAAAAAAAAACGATTTTAAGCTCAAAATTTTATTTTTTAATTTTAAGCATATAAAGTGACGCTAATCACAAATATAAAGTTCTAAACGTTATTAGGCTTAAGTTATGAGCCTAAAGATGCCAAAAAACAATTTTCAGCTGAAAATAAAAAATTTTTATTTTTAGGCTTAAAATACCTCTTTAAAGTTTAAAATAGATATCATGAATAACAAATTTAATTTTAAACGTTATTAGGCTTAAGTTATGAGCCTAAAGATGCCAAAAAAACAATTTTCAGCTGAAAATAGATTTTTTTATTTTTAGGCTTAAATATTAAAAATCGTCTTACTAAAAAATTGTTTTTTGGCACCTTTATGTCAATAACTTAAGCCTAATAACATTAAAAATTCGACTAGGTGTCATAAAAATGCGTTTTAAGCCTAAAATTGAAAAAAACGAAATTTTAAGTTTTGAAAAAGTGGGGTACGGTAAAATTACTGTAACCTTGCTAAACGGTTAATTTTTAAAATTTCTCATAAAAATTAGTTAAAAAAATGAACCAGCTAGACGTGTACAAAATAATGGCCTTCAAATTAATTTTTTAAATAATTTGTGATTAAAAAAGCCGGAAATTTTTCCATTTTTAGCTAAATTAGCTGTTTTAAAAATTTTTTTTAAAACTTCTAACTTCCACTTTTTTTAGTCCCAAAGTATATAATGTTATTCACATCTAACCCCGGACGTACGATGTAAATTATATTTTCTCAAAATTAACCGGAAAAAAAATATTTTATCTTACACACAACGCCAATCTTGTCTTCGCGCCGGGACCAAAAGAATATTTTCGGATGACAAAATTTATTTTTTATTTTTCCAATTTTTCGGTTCGTTTTTGGTCGAAAAGTTGAAATTCATACAAACTAACATTAAAAATGGTCCAGGAAAGCTTTATGATCGCGTAGGTTTAACATTTTTTGATTTTTATTCTGTGTTTAGGCTTGATAATTCAGAATGGATGCGAAATGGAGATCTTTCCCCGACCCGTCTTCAATGTCAACAAGATGCTATCAACTTTGTGGTTCGTACAAAGCTGCGTCTGAACCCGGAGAACGGTGTGGGTTTGTTGGCTATGGCACCGTAAGTGGATTTGAGTTGTTTTAAAGGGATTTATATTATACTAGATGTCAAAATTTTGAGGGAAATTGGTTTTTGTTATAACTTTTTTGATTTTAAAGGTAGAACCTTGATATTTAGAGTGAATATAGCTTAATATGTCTGTCAAGTAACGCATTAAGTCTAATTTTATAATTTACAAAGTTAAAAAAGTTAGAGTAGTTTTAACGTATTCCACCCCTCAGTATCTTTGGATATTTTTTAAAGTTTTATAACGTCTTTTCAAACTTATTTTTCGTTTAGAAATGTTGAAGTTTTGTCCACAATCACTCGTGACGACCGAAAACTGTTCACTAAACTCCATGAAGTTGTTATTGGAGGTAACTGCCGTCTGGTCAATGCCATCAAGATTGCTCATTTGGCTCTTCGTCACAGACAGAACCGTAACCATAAAATGAGAATCATTGTCTTTATTGGTTCCCCAATTGAAGGTATTCAACAAGCTGAAGTAGGTTTTAAAATGTATTGTTATTGATTTAAATTTAGTTCATCAAATTGGCCAAGAAGTTGAAGAAGGAGAAGGTCAACTTGGACTTTGTGTGCTTTGGAGAAGCCAGTCAGAGCGAGAACGATGAAAAATTGTTGTCCGAGTTTGTTGAAACACTCAATTCCAAGTGAGTTTTTAATCTTTTTGTTTTTTCAATTTTTAGGTATCATCTGATATTGTAGTAGATAAAACGTGTGTTTGAATGAATAAAACTTTGATTATCGATCCCAAATAACTATTTTAGGGACTCCCAAACATCAAACCTTTTATCAGTCAATTCTGGCGTCAAATTGACCGAGGCCCTGATCTCTTCGCCAATTTGTCAAGGAGATGATGGTGCTCCGATGGGTGGAGCCGGTATGGACTTTGGAGGTATGGAAGAAGACGATCCAGAGCTCGCACTGGCTCTTCGTGTATCGTTGGAAGAACAAAGACAACGTCAGCAGCGCGAATCGGCCGATGGTGAGGATGCTCCAGCTGAAAATCAGATGGAAGTTGAACAACCACCAGCTGCTGAGGCTCCAGCTCCATCAGCAGGTCAAGCCGCTGCTCCAGAAGCGCCAAAAGCCAAGGCTAACGTGGATTTCAATAGTTTGACGGAGGAAGAGCAATTGGAGTACGCGTTGATGATGTCCATGCAAGATGGTAGGGTTTTGGCTTGATTTTTGTGATTTTAGGTAACAGTTGATGAAGAAGATATTTTTTACTGAGTTCTTGGTTAAAAAGACTACAGAAAATATACTTTTAAGAATTTTTGGGCCAAAAAGTTTGTAGAAAACTATGTTTTAAGCTTTTTTCCACCAAAAAAGTAAAAGAAAAGTGGTGTTTTAGGCATTTTTTGGTCCGAAAGTTTGTAGAAAAGTCAACTTTTTGCTGTTTTGACCAACTAATATCAAAAAAACTAAATTTATATTTTTCTAGCCGAAGGCTCAGCCCCACAAGAAGAAGGTATGGACGTGGATTCGAATGTGAACGACATTGTTACCGACAACGCCCTCCTCCAACAGATCATCGACGACCTGCCCAATAATGAAAAAGAGGAAGCGGACAAAAACAAACCCAAATCCGACGAGAAATAAGGGCTGTAAACTAAGTTATTGCGTTCATTGTGTATCAAGTAAATATTTTGATAAAGATTTATTCGTCTTTTGTGGGTACAACAATATACAGGTTGATGGTGTGTATTATGTTTTTGGTTTCTTTGGGTAATATGTTTATGATAGTTTGGAGGATAGTATTTATAAGGGGGTATATAACGCGATATTTTGGTGAATAGTATTCATAAAGGGGTGGATAATATGTTATAGTATCTACAGTTTGAGGTATTTATTCCCGTTGTTTATTTACATGGAGAAGCCCACGTTCACCCAGTCTTCTTCGACCTATAATGAGGTGGTTTAGATTTAAACGTTGTAATAACTTTCTTTACAAAATCATTTTTTTAAAACCGCAAGAACTTTCTTCACAAAATTTAAAAAAACCGCCAGAACTTCCATTTCCTTTACATGCCAATTTTTCATTCAACCCCCCCCTCCCTCCCCCTAATATTACTCTTAAAAATGCCCCCCCCATTATTACCCTCAAAAATCGCTCAAAACCTACATTATCGACCTCCAGCCGGTCATTCCTTTCTTCCCATACGAATTTGGAGAAGGCATCGAAGATCTGATGTTTCATCTTCTCACTGACCAGTCCATCAGTGCCAGTCAGGTCATTTTTTAGCAAGGAATTGACCAAAGTGTGTAGGTTATGAACCGGCTGATTGATCTTGATCTGCTCATTCTTTAGGCCAAAAGCGGCGGCCAAGGACAGCACATTGACGTTCAGCTTGAACATGTCAGTGTAAAACAGGTCCTGCGACCATCCTGTACATAGAGCAAAGTCTTTCAGGTCATATCGATACGGTAACCATAGGTCCGCGAAGTAGGCTATGACATTCACCAGCCTTATGGTGTACAGTAACCCGGAGTAGGCATGTTTCGAGTGTTTGCCCAGAAATATGACCGAAACACCTTCCAGTAGGTCATCCAACAGCCTTTCGTACTCGTTATTGTCCTCGATTACACACCCGTTTACTGTAAAGTAAAACTTCTTTACTGGCGGCCATTGTTGTGGGGGCTCGGTTACTGTAGTTGAGGAAGTGGCTTCGACCATTTTCTTGTTTTCTTTGGTAAAACGTTGGATTGGGATGTAGTGAGAGAACAAGGAAGTGTAGAAGCGAATGTAACAGAAAATCTAAAAAAATCACTTTGTAAAGAAAGTTCTTGCGGTATAGAAAATCCTTCATGATTCAAGAAATTTTCAAATCAATGTAACTCTGCCAAAACTTAATATAACAACATGAAAATTTAAACATATGTACTACGTTTAATGCTTTACAGCACCTATTACCTGAAATTTCAAAAAACGCGTTGAAAAATTGTAAAATACGTAAAAAATAGACTGACTTCCAGCCGGATTCGAACTTTTTTTGATTTTTAACATTTTCAGTACAATGTAACTGTGCCAAAACTTAATGTAACAACAAGAAAATTTCAAAATAAAAGCAGATTTCAATCCTCTTTAATACTTGTTTTTCAAAAACACCGTTTTCTTCTAGTTAACAACCTACCTCATCCCTCTTCACCTTTAAATAAGCCTTCAACTTGGCATTTTCTTGTTCTTGTAAGCCGATCCTCTTCGAATGACTATTTTGCTTCAAATCCAGCGTTCTCACGTTCTTCTCACATTTACTTCGTCTCATTTCAGCTACAGCAATCTTCTTCTTCAATCGGTAAATATTTTCTTTACAGACTTCGATCTTCTCCTTCATCAACTTGATGTTTCGTTGTTTAGCGAACAAATCCGAGTCCAACTTCATCTATAAGTTTGGAAATAAGTTTGGTAAGATAGTTCATGACATTTTTAACCTTATTTTTGATGATAAAGCTTCTTCTGACTTGTTTTATCCAAGGAAGGCTCAATATCTCCTTTGTTACCTAAAAACGAAACAAAAAAGAAGAAACTTACTTTAAGCTGTAACAGCACGTCCATTTTACGGTCGATTTCTGCTTTCTTCAAAAATGATTCTCGATAAGCTTCTTTCAATTTACTAGTTCTAAAATTTGAAGAAACACAGGCAGGACACACCAGTTGTGATTGAAGACGACAGGATGGACATCTCACGGTTTCTACTTGACTAAAATGGTTTGAAATATAATGCTTTGTATGTCTATAATGCTATATTAGTATAAAAATTGGAAAAGCAGTGAAATACTGTTCAAAAACGGCTGAAAAGATAAATTGTTCCAAGCGGAATCAAACTTTTTTGGATTTTTGACATTTTCAATCAATCATAACTTTGCTAAAGTAAAAGATATCAAAGTAAAGTTAACAAAATTAGTTGGCAAACTAAATGAACTATAATAATGCCAAATTTCAACTTCCTACTAAAAGTTTCAAAAAAGTTACAATGAAAAACCTCCAAAAACTTCAGTTTTAAACCAATTTTTGTGTAAAAAACTTACCATAACTTCAACTGACCAGCCAGAATCTTATTATCAATCCGATGTAAAATCCCATTCGTCTTTTCAGGCTTTATATTCGTATTCATCCCGTAGTAAGGTGAACAAAATGGAGATTCCGATCGCAAATGGGTTACCGGACTCAAGTTATTGCCAAACGAAGGCGCCGAACTCGGCTTTATATTGTCGGGTTTGTGAACTGACATGTTGATACTCAGATAATTATTCAAAACGCATACATTATACTATAATATTAACATTTTTTGATCAATATAAGCCATCACGAGTCTTTTTTATTATTTTACATCGGTTATTCGAGTTGGTCCCATCACGAAGGATTAAATATGCGAACGATTCTTGGCTTTTCGTTATTTTCTTCAGAAAATGATGAAAAATGGTGATTCTGGAAAATGTTTGCCAAAAATGATGGTTAACCTGTTTATTTGAGTTTAGTAAATATTTTTTCGATTATCTTTAAATGTTTTAGACAGTAAACACGTTAATTTATCTTGTACCTATTTGTTTGTGTTGTTTTTGACGGTTTTGAATCTATTTGATGCCTCTTTTATCACTAATTTAGAAGATTTAACACTATTATTGCTTTTTAGGTGATGGCCGTACCGGATAATGAACTAGAGCCAATGGAAGTTCCAAACGATTGGGAGGCATTAGTGAACGCAGCTAACCTAACTCCACCTAAGGAGAATGATCTAGTCTTCAAGGACGAATGTGTCTTCTGTTTTCGTACTCCATTTTTTGATGGTAAGTGTTTTATTTGTGTTGTTGATTTTAGATTGAAGAAGAACGGCTTTTATTTTTTGTTTTGCGAAAAGAGGTCATTTATGGAGTTTATGACAAAATTAATCATAACTTTTTTGAAAGTGGAGTAAAAATTCTGAAAATTTTTGAAAAGTTAGACTGTTATTTCAGCTAACTAATGATTAAAAGGAAATTTTGAATTTTGGACAAGGTTTAAAGTTACAGCACTTTTACGCTTACCTACTTTTTCAATTTTTTGTCAAACCCTACCTTATTTCAGGTGGCTTGTTCGTCTGTCTAAAGCACTTTATTGGTGTGTGCAGCTTCCACCTTGATGAATACACACGTTTCAACCCGGAAACCCGCTTCTTCCTCAAGATTGAGCAGTTCAAATTGCCCAAATCAGCCGAAGAACCTCAAGATAAGGTGCTCAAACTGAGTGTCACAGTGGAAGAGGACAAGATCGAAGAGAACTTTGCCATTATCGCTGTAGATGGGAATCCGAAAGAACAGGCATTGAACGAAAAACTCATTGGCAGTTTGTTGTACGATGTAGCCCAAAAGACCATCTGCCATCAGTCAGCAGCGATGATGGAACGACTACGTCAAGGTGCTTCGGAATGGGATGGTGGCGTAGTGAAAATCGCGGATAACATCGACAGTTTTGTTCAATTGGATGTGGATAAGCAAATACCTTACTCTGGATGGGTATGTGAACATGAAGATTGTGGATTGACCGAGAACTTGTGGTTGAATTTGAGCGACGGAGTGATCAAATGTGGTCGATCACAATATATGGCTGATGGGACTACGACAAAGGGTAAGTTAGATCATTTGAGGTTAAAAATTATGATGGAAAGAAAGTTCTTGCGGTATTTTAAAAAAATGGGTTTTGTAAAGAAAGTTTTTGCGGTTTTTAAAAATTATTTTGTAAAGAAATTTTTTGTGGTTTTTTAAAATTTTTGAAATTTAGGTAACTACCACGCTCAAACCCACGCCAACGCCACTGGCTTTCCATTGGTGGTGAAGTTGGGTACGATTCACAATGGCGAGGGTGATGTCTACAGTTACGCCGAGCAGGACACAGTCAGAGACCCCTACCTAAAGAAGCATTTGGCCCATTTCGGACTGGATTTGAATAAATTTCAAAAAACTGAAAAATCCACATTTGAACTGGAAATGGACCTGAATCAGAAATGGGAATGGTCGAGGTGTTGTGAGGATGGGGTAACACTGGACAGCGCTTACGGGGGAGGATTTACTGGATTGATCAATGTTGGGAGCAGTTGCTACATGAATTCGGTGAGTTTAGGCTTAGAAATCGACTCATATTAAGCTTGAACTTAAGCCAAGCGATAGTTTTTTGTTAAGTGACATTTTTAAGTATAACGCTAAGCCTAAAGGCATCTTTGAGCTTAAAACTGAGCTTAGGGATAGTTTTAAGTCTAAAGTTTTTTAGGCTTAAGCCAAAATATTTTTTTTTTCATTTTTAGGTACTTCAATGCCTAGCCCTAAACCCAGTCCTATTAGACTCATTCAACGACAAGTACAAGACTGACCTCAAGTTTGAACAAATAATCGAAAAACAACATGATTTCTCCTTCCAATTGGCCAAACTCCTGAAGGCTATGAAAAGTGGAGAATATTCGAAGAAGGACTTTGATTTCAATGGCATTAAACCGCTTCAGTTCAAGAAGATTGCTGGCGAAGGGCATCCAGAGTTCTCGACGGCCAAACAACAGGATGCTGAGGAGTATATTCGGTGAGATATCTTATAATATATTAGGTTGTTCACATAATTCTGCACCCCCGTACTCCACAAAGCAGCTTTGAAAAGGGGCGCAGAATTAAGTGAACAACCTAATATAATATAAAGGTTTACTGTGTTGTTGTTTGGTTTATAGACCAGGGGGCTGCCACTGATTTTTAAAAATTTTTTTGGGGGGGGGGGGGTCAAATTTTTTTTTTGATTTTTCGCCCCTACCCTTAAGTTAATTTCTATATTTTTGTTTTTAATTTTGTCTTTTCAGCCACATCTTCAACAAGGTCGAAAACCTCTTACTATCCCCAAACCCAGTCGACCAATACCGCTTCAAAGTGGTGAAACGCTTCGAAGACGTCGCCTCTCACAAAGTCCGCTACCAAGACAATGACGAGTACATCCTCTCACTCAGCATTCCAAAAGACCAACTTCGAGACGTACCAGTACCCGACGAACTCGACAGTTTCCTCCAATTACCCAGGAATTCAACACGAAAATGCATCGACCTGAGCCAGCTAATCGAGAATTTCTCCAGTCAACAGTTCATCGATGGATTCGTGTCACCAATAACAAATGAGGAGAAAGGCGCTGTACAACAATATCGAATTGCCACTTTCCCTAACACATTGATCGTTCAGGTATGGGGGGTTGAATTTGAAAAAATGAATGAAAAATGGAGAGAAATGGCTATTTTTGGCTAAAAAATTGAGAAAAAATGGTTTTTTGGCTAAAATTTGAAACAGAAAAATGAAAATACCGGTTGATAAGAATAGTAGAAAGTATCTTTGTAGTAAAAAATTTGTTTTTATGTTCGTATCTTGACGTAGGAATGAGTTATGTTGATTTGAAAGTGACAAAAACAGAAAAAAGTTCGAATCCGGCTGGAAACACGGGACATTTTGGCTGTTTTTTTTTATTTTGAGGTATTTTTTGTAAATTATGAAGTATAGATATTGTAAAGCATTACATTTTGTATATTACTACGTGATTTTGAGTTAATATGACAATGTCTGGCAGTGTTATATTCATTCGAAAGTGACAAAAACAGAAAAAAGTTCGAATCCGGTCGGCAACATGGGACCTTTTGGGCGTTTTTTTTAAACTTTAGGTGTTTTTTGAAAATTTTAAATCATAGATATTGTAAATCATTGCATTTTGCATATTACTGGGTAATTTTAAGTTAATATGACAATGTCTGGCAGAGTTATATTCATTCGAAAATGTTAAAAATTGAAAAAAGTTTGAATCCGACCGGAACATGTCACTTTTTCTTGGTTTTTTGCTTGTTTTTGAACAAAAAATGACTTTTTATATTGATGAAAAAGATAAATATTGTTTTACTATACTAATAAAAACAATTTCAGATCAATCGCTTCGAGCCAGACCACAATTATCAGCCAAAAAAGCTGGATTTGGATGTTATCGTACCGGACACGCTGGACCTAACCCCATACCGTTTCGAAGGTCAGAAGCCGGATGAAGAACTCTTACCTGATTCTATCAAAGTACCTGTAATTGACACTTCAGTACCAACTGTTGATGTTCAGGTCAATGAGAATTATGTTAGGGAGGTAGGGTAATGTTGGTATTGTTGTAGGTATAGGTATAGGAAAATAGGATTTTTAAAGTTTTTGGTCGAAAAATCTTTAGAAAAAGGTAAATTTTGGCATTTTAGGTAACAAAATTTATCTTTAGGTAATGAATCTTGGCTTCACCCGGAACGCCTGCGAACGCGCCGTCTTCGAAACCAAGAACGCCGGACCAGACGCGGCGGCCGAATGGCTGTTTGGCCACTGTGAAGACCCCGACATCAACGATCCACACCCAGAGTTGGTCAAAGCTCGACTACGTTTAGCCACCGACCCCCCAAAAACGGCCGTAAGCGACGAAAAAATCAGCGAACTTAGCTCAATGTTGGGTACCACCTTGTACCAAAGCCGATACGCCCTGGAGAAAACGAATGGCGACATGAACGCGGCGGCCGAATGGTACTTTTCAAACATGGATGATATACCACCAGAACCGGAAAGCTCGAAGCATGAATCAGCATCGTCAGTACCTCAGAGTGCTGGATCAGGAGCTTCAGGTTCAGTACCATCAGCACCAGACTCGCTCGGTGCAGCACCATCAGCACCAGAATCCTTTGGCGCCGTATCATCGACACCAGAATCTTTTGGAGCAGCACCATCAGCACCAGGCTCATTCGGAGCAGTACCATCAGGACCAGGCTCGGCCGCAACCTCAGCCCCAACCACGCCCCAAAAAACCACCTACGACGGGCATGGTAAATACAATTTACGCGCCTTCATCACCCACATTGGCTCCTCACCCCAGTCCGGCCACTACATTTGCCACATCCGCCACAACAACACCTGGTACATTTACAACGACGAGAAGGTGGCATTCAGCCAGAACCCACCCAAGAACCTGGGCTACATCTACTTCTACGAGCGTGACAGCCAGTAGAAGATGAGTGGTATGATCATATAGTTTGTGTTCTATTAGTTTGTTCAAATAATTATGTGCTCCCATTTTAAAACAAGTTTTGTGGAGTTAAGGGCACAGAATTATTTGAACAAAGTAATAAACATGAACTGTATGAGAAGAAGGTGAATGAAGCTTTTTTGTGTCATGGATGACGTTTTTTATATAATAGATGACGTTTTTTATGCCACGGATGACATTTTTATGTCATTTGAAGTTTGACGTTGTTCAGACTTTGTTTTTATCATCTGTATCTTAATCTAAAGTAATATTTTTTGATTTATTTAAAAATTGAATTCAAGTTTGATTTGAATTGATTTACAGCCCCGATTGAAACGCGTTTTTACCTGTGAACAATATTTATTATAAATAAATGAAAATCATAACAGTTGGAGCGGGTTTTTGAAAAAGTAGTTATGTATGGTGAGGAAGATTAGGTAGATCTTTGGAAATGTGTTTCCTCTTCACCGATGCAAATTACTGCCCCTACCCTCAGGGGCGTCGCTAGGGGGGGGGGTGGATCCACCCCAGACGCCCCTGCCCACCCTTACTTCTATAGGATTGAACAAGACAAACGAAACGGGCCGGGCTTTGATTTCAGCACCGGCCCGATCTAAGTTTTGCTAAAGGCCGGCCCGTTTCTCATGTCAAGGTTAAACCATAAGTAGCGGAACACTTTTCATTTCTTTTTAAAAAGGTGTCCCGCTACTTTTGGTTCAACCTATATGTATACTATATCACTACCAGGGGCGTCGAAACTGATTTTTTAGGTGGGGGGGGGGTGATTTAAAAAAAATCTATCTCAAAAGGCTTTTTCACATACAGGTACCTTATTCATCTTTCTCCTAGTTCGTAGGGACATCCCTGAGCAATGCCTTACCGCTATCACTGCCAACGGACGTTCCTGGTCAATGCCGCTGCTCCTATCACTACTAAGGGATTTCCCTGATCAATGGCTTTACCTCTATCACCGCCAAGGGACTTCCCTGGTCAATTTCTTTACCCCTATTACTACCATACCAATGGACCTCCTTAATCACTCAGTACCTGTGCCCCTACTACTACCCTTCTGTCTGCCCATACCTTTGCCCCTACCCCTAATTCTAGCTTTACTCTACCTGTAGCTTCACCCTTACTCCTAATTCTATCCCTACCTTTACCCTCTTCTCTTATAATACTTCTACTCCTACCTCTATTTCTATTCTTACCCCTATCCTCAACCCTTACCCTTACACCCACCCCTACCTCTACCCTATGTTACATTTCCTGCACCATGCAATTTTTTTCGACATAACTTTTTTAATTTTGGTTTTCAAATTTTGGTGTTAAAATTTGAATTCCCGCAATGCTGATATAGAATCATAATTTTTAGGTAATATTTACTAAATCTCTTATCTACATTGTTGATTTATTGACTCGACTGTCACTGATATTGCTGATCGTCGTCAATGTGACATTCTTTTTCGCACCCACTTTGAATAAAATGAAACTGCGATAGCTGGGCACCACCAAAATAGTGGAACTGATTTTGACAATGCCATTCCAGGATAATATGATCTTATTAATTGGGCCCATTATTAATAATGGCACATTTATAAGGGCACAGCCGGCTGTCACTAACACCGGTAGGGAAAGAAGAAACATTGGTACTACACTCTGAAAATGAAGCGGTCAAAAAGTTTGTAGAATGATTAATTTTTAGTTGTTATTGGGGTGGGAGGGGTAGGGTAGGGTAAAGTACGGTAGAAAACAGGTCATACCGTATAGTAAGGTGTACTGTAGGTTAGGGGTAGGGATACTACTAGTACTATTAGTACCAGTAAAAGCAGGGTTGCAAAACGAATAGGTATGCCACTTGTACTGTTAGTAATAGTAAGGACAGAGTAGAGTAACAACAGTATCATTAGTACCAGTAAGGGCAGAGGTAGAAGTAGGGGTACTAATAGCATTATTAGTACCAGTAAAAGCAAGGGTAGACCTAGGGGTACCACTAATACCATTATTAATAGTAAGGGCAAGGATAGACGTAGGAGTACCAATAGTATCATTAGTACCAGCAAGTAAAGAGGTTGATACAGGAGTACCACTAGCATCAATAGTACCAATAAAGGGCGAGGTAGTGATACTACTGTTTGTACTACTAGTACTATTAGTACAAGTAAGAGCAGGGTGGGGTTAGGGTTACTTACCTGTGCAATCATAAGCCGAGTAACTTGTTTTTCGATTTTAACCGCTTTGGCATTCCCACTAACTCTCGAATTACGCTTTAGTACATTGTTAATGGTAAAGAACACGTACGCACACATGGCGTAACAAAACAAAATAAAAAACATGTTCATAACTAAGTTGGGGTAGGCTAATATCGGATTCTGAAAAATGGAATTACTGAGTCTTTCCTATTGATAGTACAAAGTACAATAATAATGGTCGTTCCATAAACTTTTAGACCAACAAATAACTTTTCTACAAAATTTTCGACCGCAAAAAGTAAAATTTGAGTTTTTTTATATACTTTTGGCCAAAAATGTAAATTTTTTGAAAATCAATAACTTTTGTGAAACTTCGTCAAAAAATCGATAATTTTTGTGGCATTTCGTCAAATTTTAAAAATATTTAAACTACAGTTTATAATAGCCATAGTGGCTAAAATATGATTATATCGGATTTTGAAATATAAAAATATTGATTCTCTTCCACTGATTTTAGTACTATAAAACTGGCCTTTCTACAAACTTTTGGACCAAAATACAAAAATAGCTTTTCGATGAGATTTTGGACCAAAAAAAAAACTTTTCTATAAACTTTCTGACCGTTAAAAATAAAATTTGTGTTTTATTATTACTTTTTGGGCAAAATCGCAAATTTTTCAAAAATCAATATTTTTGTGACACTTTGTCAAAAAATCAATAACTTTTGTGGCATTTCGTCAAATTTCAAAAATATTTAAACTACAGTTTATAATAGCCATAGTGACTAAAATATAATAATTCTATAAACTTCTTGACCTTCAAAGCTAAAATTTATCAGTTTTACCCTGCCGTACTTTACTCTATTCTACGCCCCCTATCCTACCCAACCCTGCCCGGTCCTAAACTTCTTGACCAAAAAAACCATAAACTCTACCACCAACTTACTGTAGAAGTAGCCAGATACATTGGCAACTTGGTTGTCTTCAACGCATCTCTCAGTACCACGTCGTACTCTGCCGTTCTTTTTAACATGTATCGTGACAAAACCATTGTTTGCATAAATACAGCTATAGCCAACATGCCTATCATTGTGAACAGCTTCTTACTTGACATTATATCTTGTCTAGAATTGTTTACTTTAATTTAAAATGGCATTTTTTAAACTTTTTTAAATCCGCATCAAAAAGAATTGGGTGGTTTCTTATGTATTTATATAGCGAAATAGGTCAATTCTTTTTGACGCGGCAAAAATTTTTTTTTAAATAAAATTTTTAACTTGAAAATGAAAAAATAGTATATTCTATGAACTTTTTGACCTCTACTGACTTGCAAACAACTCGATATCGGTAGTAGAAATCAACTGGAAATAGCGATAACTGAAGAATCTCTGCATAGTAATATAGACAAGTGAACCATGTACTCCAATATGCTCCTAGACCTTTTGAAAAATTTGATGGAACAACAAAGACTTGGCCATTCAAGGGGAATAACTCCTGAAAACAGAAGATTAATACATTTTATCTTAACTATGCAAGCACCTGTGCCGATTTTTTGGACCCCCGCCCCCAGACTAAAAGTCCCCGCCCGGCCCTGCCTACAGTACCCTACCCTACCCTACCTTACCCTATCCTATCCTAACCTACCTTACCTTACCCTACCCTACCCTACCCTACCCTACCCTATCCTACCCTACCCTACCCTACCCTACCCTACCCTACCCTACCCCACCCACCCTACCCTATCCTACCCTGCCTTACCATACCCTGCCCTACACAACAAAGTTATACCATCACAGTACCTTACTCTTTCGTACCCTACTTCCTCTACTGTACTCTACCGTGCGTTTTCCTACAGTACTCTACTCTACTCTAACTTGCCTTACCCTACTCTACAATATCAAAACCTAACTTACCCTGTCTTACAGTACTCTACTGTGACTTACTTTACTTTACTGTACTCTATCCTATCATACGATACCCAACTTTAGTCTAAACTACTCTACCTCAGACAATAAAAGGCTATCCTCTAACCTCGACTACCATTGGTTATCTTACCTTAGACTGTCCTAAGCCATCATAAGCTTGACTTTCTTTAGACTATCCTTCATTAAACCATTTTCCCGTAGCTATAGCTTTTGCCTCACCTTGTATCAAAACCTTACTTTAACCTTACTCTACCTCAACCTACCGTACCGTAGCCTACCCTATCCTACGCTACCATACCCAAAAAATTTTGATCTTTACATTACCACTTACCGGTAAAGTAATATAAAAAACGACGACGAAACAGCAGTCATTTATCAGATGAACCCACATTATCCTAGAGTAATGTTTCATCAATCTCGGAGTCTTTTTGAATAACAAATAACCAAAAACAATCGTCAATATTATTGTAGTTGTGACACAGAAAAAGCCGTTTATTTCGAAAAACGTTGGCATTTTCTGAAAATAACCTCTGTAGTGCTAATAAATTCATTAAAATAGCAAGAACTTTCTTTACAAAACAAAAAATGGCAAGAACTTTCTTTACAAAACCCTAAATGACAAAAACTTTGTTTACAAGGTTTAAAACCACAAAAACCTCAACTTATTGACGACTTCAGAACTAAAAATGTCTTAATTCTGTATGTCAAAACAAAAAATGTCGCTGGGAAGTACAATTTACATTGGCAGTAAGACAAATAAAATGGAGGAAAACACGGTAATTACGAGCAAATTAATATATTGGTAAATAGCATTGTTTATTTATAGAAAAAGCTTTGCAAATTGCTTTTACTAACCGTATTTCAATAAATAAATCATTATGACATAGAGATCATAAAACGGTCATATACTGATGTACTTGGTTTAGAGTACAAAATTGTGCTAGTTTTTGTCTATTATTATATACGAGTAAAGGTACGACCAACCACATTACCTTAGCATAAGCCCTAGCTCAGTGCTCTAGTCCAGAGCCCTAGCCCAGATCCCTATCCCAGAGCCCTAGCCCAGAGCCCTAGCCCACAGCCCTAGCCCAGAGCCCTAGCCCAGAACCCTAGCCCAGAGCTCTAGCTAATGAGTGAGAAACGGAATGGTCTTAGGCCAAATTTAAGTCGGGACGAGCTTGAATAACAAGGCCCTGCCCGTTTGCACTTAAAAATTGTGCTGGGCCGGGCCGGCCAGAGGCAAAAATAAAAACAAACCGAGCTTGAAGCTCGGGCCCCAAACCTGAGCCGGGCCTTAAAAGTAGGCCCGTCCCGTTTCTCACCTTTAGCCCGAGACCTAGCCCTACTCATGCAGCATGCCTTGCGCATCGTACCCTACAGTATGGTTTGTCCTACCCCTACAACTACCCTTACCCTAACCTGCATGCATTGATCGCCACCACAGTAAACCTTCGACTAAATTAAGCCTTACTTGATCACAAATTGTTGCTGATTAGAACCACTTACATTACAATAAATAAAAAAATAGATGGTTACCTAATCTTTCTTACTACCCCTACAATTAAAACTATCCATAAAAAACGTCTACAGATGTCTTATTTTGTCAGGTAATAGTTTCGCGTTACTACAATAATATTTAATCACTTAATTACTTCCTCTAATACTTAATTATTATGTATTGATAACTTACCCTACCCCCGTTACTCAACGTTACCCTACAATATCCTATACAACCAAAAGAAGAAGATGAAGAAGAAAAGAAAGAGGAAGTAGGTAATAAAGAAGAAGATGACGAAAAAGAAGCAAAAGAAAAATAAGAAGAAAAAAAAAGAAGATGAAGAAAAAAAGAAAGAAAAAGAAAGAAAAAAACAAAAACCGGAAAAAGAAGAGTAAGAAGAATAAGCAAAAGAAGGAGAAAGAAAGGAAAACAAAGAAGCAGAAGAAGAAGAAAAAGATTAAAAAAAAAGAAAAAAGAAGAAAAACAAGAACGAGAAGAAGAAGAATAAGAAAAAGAAAGAAAAAAAAAGAAAAAAAAGCAGAAGAAGAACAAAAAAGAAAAAAAAGAACAAGAAGAATAAGAATAAGAAGAGAAAGAGAGAAAAGAAAAGAAGATTGCACCCTAATCTACCTTTTTTTAAAATACCGATTCCTTACTTTTAAATTTTAAATTAAATTTGAAAAAATAAAGTTCAAATTGAAACGTTTAACTCATAAGCCTAAAAATGACTTTAAAAACCCACTTATAAGCTTAATATAATGTTTAATGTATTGTTCATCTTTAGGCTTAAAGAAGTTTTGTAAAATCATAAATCATACTTGGCACTCTAAGCCTTTTGTCATATTATTATAAATGTCATTTTTTATAAGATGGACAATCTTTTCAAAAACGTATTCATTCCTCTGCTACTTTAATCTTTCATGACTTCAAACGGACTTTCTTGGTCTGCTAGTTAATTATAAGCTAACATCGTCTGATCATGTGGATTACGTTACAGCTAAAGCGCGGCAAAAATGGTTTATCTTATTAAAAGCAGTAAAATGTGCTAATTATAAATTACTAACAAAAATTTATGTTACTTTTGTCCGCCCTATTATTGAAGCTTTCTCTCCAATATATCGTCCGTATTTGATCAAGGATATTAACAAATTAGAAGCTGTACAGAAATTAATAACAAGAACTATATTTTTTCGCTGCAACCTTATGCCTAAACCTTATTCTGAGCGTCTAGCGCAATTAAAACTTTGTAGTCTTGTTTCCCGCTTTGACATTTTAGATTTAAAATTGTTTAATAGAATATTATCCGGTAAAACTATTGTAAACAACTCTTTAATTCCGATGTTCAAAACATCTCGTACTCGAGGTGCTTCTCGTAAAATTATTGTACCTTTTGCTAGGACTAAGATTAAAGCAAACTCCTTCTTAATTCGTACTTGCAAACTTTATAGGAATCTGTCTCAATAGAGACCTCGTCAATTTGTTTATTTTATTACTTTATTATTCTATTGCATATTGCTTATTTTTGACGCCGAATAAATAAAAAAATAATACTTTAATCTTTTTGAAAAGTTGAACTCTCATGCTAATACACTACTACGTGAACAATGTAACATTTTTCCGTTGAATTTGCTTTCACTAATTTACTTATCTTGTGTTATCTTCAAATTGTTGAAAAATTTCTTTGTTATCACTTTATTTACTCTTTTTATCAGTAGCCGCAAAAAATTCTAGTTTAAAAATTGTACAATTCATTGAAAAAAGCGTTAGAGACTAGGTGAGTAAATAAAGCATGGTAAGAAGGTAGCGTAAGTTAGGATAAGGTAGAGTAAGTTAGCGTAAGGCATTGTAAGATACGCTAAGACCAGGTCAGATAAAGTAGTGTAGAGCAGGCTGGGGCAAACTAGGGCAAAGTAGGGTGGGATAGGGTAAAGCAGGGTAGGGTAGGGTAAAGTAAGGAATAGCAAAGTACAGTATGGTAGATACAGTACGAATGATAAGGGATCGCGCAGGGTAGGGTAGCGTAGGGTAGGGTAGCGTAGGGTAGCGTAGGGTAGGGTGGGTATGTTAAGCTATTAGGACTAGATAATAAAATAAAACTAAAATAAGCTAGTACTGTATAACCTTTCTGTAACAGTGCACAATTTACAAATGAACAATATGCATAAATGACGCGTGGAATTACGCAACACTGAAAAGTTTTGTATCAGGCTTAACTTAACAAGCCTATGCCGCACATATATTGTTAAGTAAAGTAAAATATATGTGCCGTTTTACCTAAAGTGACGCATTAGGCTTACGTAGAGCAAAAACAACGCGTTAGGCTTAGTAAAACAACGCTTAATTAGACTATATAGTAGCGGAAGGGGGTTAGAGGAAAGGGAAAGGGTTTTATTTTTTTGTTTTTTTTTTGTTTTTTTTTTTATTTTTATTTTTTTTATTCTTTTTAAATAGAAGGAAGGGTTGGGTTTTTTTTTGTTTATTATTTATTTATTTTCTTTTTATTTGTTTTTATTTATTATTTTTAAATAGAAGGAAGGGTAGGGGTTTTATTTTTTAGAGGAAAGGGTTGTATTTTTTTTATTTTTTTTTGGTTTTGCTTATTTATTTAAATTTTATTTTTTTTATTTTTTTTTAAATTTTTAAATTTTTTTTTAAAATTTTTTATTTGTTTTTTAAATTTTTTAAATTTTTTAAAATTTTTTTAAAGTTTTTTTAAAATTTTTTTTATTTAATTTTTTAATTTTTTAAATTAATTTTTTTAATTATTATTTTTAAATAAAAGAAAAGATAGGGGTTTTACTTTTTTATTTTTTTTAAATTTGTTTTTTGTTTATATTGTTGTTATTCTAAAACGTTGCGTTATGATGAAGCAGTAAACGCAGTAAACTTGTCGGGTTACGTATTATTTTTTTAAAATTTTTACTTATAGAACATGGAGAAGAAGCGAGAGAACTGGTTGAGAAGAAGGGAGAAATGGTGGATAAGAAGCGAGAGAACTGGTGTGGAGGAACAACAAGGTAAGTAAGGGGGGGGGGCGGGGGGGTGGGAGAAGGGAACCAGAAAAATTGCTTTAGTCTAGAATAAGGTCGGCGTGGGTCTATCACTATTTTTCGGTCAAGCTTTTTTTTGTTCTTACCTAAAAATTTGTTTTTCATTTTTTTGTTAAAAAAATGAGTTTTTGTCGGAAATTTTTAATTTTTTGCCCTAAAAAATTTTTTTTTCTCAAAAACTTTCAAAAACCGATAAACCCACGATGATTGAGTATACACTGCTCCAAGGGCAGGGTATTTCAAACAAAAACGACCGAAAGTCCGGACTTTAGCAAGCCTTCTGAAGTCGCTGAGTGCGGGAGCGGGTGGTGCGTGTTCCAAAAACAAATTGCGTCTCTCACCATGCCTATACCTCCAATTCCCATGTCTTGATCTCGGCAAAGGTGTCCTTGGCGCTGCCTTCAGAAAGCAGCTTAATACACCGTCTGTGCCGGATGAGTAGAAAGGGATTGGCAGTGATGGCATGAGTAGGTTCGCAATATGGTTTTTGGAACAGTGGCGGCGCGCGGACCAGCCCAAAATGTACCATTTTCGGGCTGGGCTCTCGGTTTGGTCGGCTGTTATGCCGATCGAACCGAAAGCTCAGACCAAGGTGGTACAGAGTAGGGCTGGGGTGTAGGGAGGGGTATAGTAGGGTGGGTTGTAGGGGGCGGGGGGAGGTATAGTAGAGATGGGTTGTAGGGAGGGTTGTAGGAAAGAGGTACATTAGGGCTGGGTTATAAGGAAAAGCGTGGGAAAAAAAAAGAAAAAAAACCCCAAAATGAAAAAAAGAATAAAATTAAAAAAATAAAATAAAAAAAATATATATTAAGATAAAATAAAATAAAGTAAATAAAATAAAATTAAATAAATTAAAGTAAACTAAAATAAAAGAAATTAAAATAAAATTAAATGAAATTAAATAAAATAAATAAACTTAAATAATAAATTAAATTAAAATTAAATTAAATAAAATTAAATAAATTAAAATTAAATAAATAAAATAAAATTAAAATAAAATAAATTAAAATAAAATATAATTAAATTAAATAAAATTAAATAAATTAAATTAAAATAAATTAAAATAAAATAAAATAAATAAAATAAAATAATAAATAAAATAAAATTAAATTAAATTAAATAAAATTAAATAAATAAAATTAAAATAAATTAAAATAAAATATAATTAAATTAAATAAAATTAAATAAATAAAATTAAATAAATAAAATTAAAATAAATTAAAATAAAATAAAATAAATGTAGGAAAGAGGAAGAGCAGTAGCTCACCTTGTTCAGTATCACAAATGAGAGAGGCTGGGAGGTAACACGATTTTGTGTGCCATTATAAAACGCTTGGCGTCGGTTTTGTCTATTTGTGTGTCTCAGGGTTGTGTAATACGTAATATTTGTCAGCGTTGCAAACGTTTAAATTTTTTGAAATTAAAATTTTGTATACAAATTGAAGGGCTTAGTTTCTTTAGGCTTAGATTTAGGCTTAGCTTTAGGCTTAGTTTAGGCTTAGTTTTAGGTTTAGCTTTAGGCTTAGCTTTAGGCTTAGCTTTAGGCTCAGCTATAGGCTTAGTTTTAGGCTTAGCTTTAAGCTTAGCTTTCGGCTTAGCTTTAGGTTTAGTTTTAGGTTTAGCTTTAGGCTTAGCTTTAGGCTTAGCTTTAGGCTTAGCTTTAGGCTCAGCTATAGGCTTAGTTTTAGGCTTAGCTTTAAGCTTAGCTTTCGGCTTAGCTTTAGGTTTAGTTTTAGGTTTAGCTTTAGGCTTAGCTTTAGGCTTAGCTTTAGGCTTAGCTTTAGGCTTAGCTATAGGCTTAGTTTTAGGCTTAGCTTTAAGCTTAGCTTTCGCCTTAGCTTTAGGTTTAGTTTTAGGTTTAGCTTTAGGCTTAGCTTTAGGCTTAGCTTTAGGCTTAGCTTTAGGCTTAGCTTTAGGCTTAGCTTTAGGCTTAGCTTTAGGCTTAGCTTTAGGCTTAGCTATAGGCTTAGTTTTAGGCTTAGCTTTAAGCTTAGCTTTCGGCTTAGCTTTAGGTTTAGTTTTAGGCTTAGTTTTAGGCTTAACTTTAGGCTTAGCTTTAGGCTTAGATTTAGGCTTAGTTTTAGGTTTAGTTTCAGGTTGAGTTTTAGGCTTAAAGTTAGGCTTAAAGGCTTAATATTAGGCTTAGCTTTAGGCTCAGCTATAGGCTTAGTTTTAGGCTTAGATTTAGACTTAGCTTTAAGCTTAGTTTTAGGCTTAGCTTTAGGCTTAGAATTGAAAACATTTTTCTTTTTTTCTCTCACACTCTCTTTCGAGCACTGCACTCTCGTTTTCTAGTGCAACCCAATCAAAAAGCAAGCCTTTCTTTCATAACCCAGGACCAACCCTCCAATTCATTCGAACTCAACAGTTCCAATCAAGGTTGGTATCTTATCCAGCTCGTTTTTACGTGGCTGGGTATGGCAAATTTTGGAAGTTCTTCAACAATCAGGGCTGATATTATTTTACATAATCTTGGATTTTCTTAAAAAATGTATTTGAATATTAAAAAAAAGGATTTTTTTATAAAAATTTGTGATCAAAATTGTGAAATTTAGGTTTTCTATGAACTTTTTGGCCAAAAGTTCAAAAAATATCAGTTTTTTGTATGAATTTTGATTTTTTTATAAACTTTTTGACTTAAATTACTTAAATTTTTATTTTTTTATATATTTTTTGACCTTTACATGGCTTTTCTAAATGTTTTTTCGCTTTTACATGGTTGGCTATATAATTTTTGACCCAAAACATAAACCTTTGCTTTTTTTACTTTTTCTATACACTTCTTGACCTTTATATGCATTTGCTATTTACTTTTTAATTTTTACATCGCTTTTCTATGTACTTTTTGACCCAAAACTTAAATTTTGTTTTTCTATGTAATTCTTGACCTTTGTATCAATTTACTATTAAATTTTTGACTTTTACATCGCTTTTCTATGTACTTTTTGACCCAAAAATTAAATTTTGTTTTAATTTCTACATAATTTTTGACCTTTACATGGCTTTTCTAAATATTTTTTTTGCTTTTACGTGGTTGGCTAAAAAATTTTTGATCTGAAACTTAAATTTTGCTTTTTTTAGTTTTTCTATACACTTCTTGACCTTTATATGCAGTGTTTTGCCGGACCGGTCCGGTCCGCGGACGGGTCCGGTCCGGTCCGGACCGGACGGATCGAAACAGGAATTTTTGCGGACCGGACCCAAAAATTTTGGGTTTGGACCGGTCCGGACCGGACCCAAAAATTTGAAGTTTGGACCGGACCGGTGAAAAACGCTCCGGACCGGTCCGGGCAAAACACTGTTTATATGGATTTTCTATTTACTTTTTGATTTTTACATGGCTTTTCTATGTACTTTTTGACCCAAAAATTAAATTTTGCTTTTCTATGTAATTCTTGACCCCAAAGTTAAATCTTGATTTTTCTACATACTTTTCGACCTTTACATATAATAAACGTGTATTTATAAACCCGCGTCAAAAGGAATTGATCTATTTCACTATATAAATACATTGAAGAACGACCAATTCGTTTTGACGCGATTTTAAATAATTATAGATATTGGTATAGATTGTTACAACTGTGAAGTAAACCATGATGTTAAAGTTAATTCTGATCAATCTGCTGCTATTGAGGTGTTCAGCAACCTTTTCTTCAAACTTTTTATTCTTCCTGGAGGACTTATATGGCCGAGAGATTGCGGAGACCTTGGCCAGAACTGATATTGGGCATGAAGGATCGTTTGGGGGCGGATTTCATGTACCCAAGACTAAAACTGAGTAAGTGTGGCCTAAAGCTAAGCCTAACACTAAGCCTAACGCTAAGATTAAGCTTAAAGTTAAGCCTAGTTCATTTTTCAGTAGTGCAAGAACTTTCTTTACAAAGCCTCTTTTAAAAACCGCAAGAACTTTCTTTACAAAAATTATTTTTCAAAACCGCAAGAAATTTCTTTACAAAACTCATTTTTAAAAACTGCAAGAACTTTCTTTACAAAAATTATTTTCAAAAACCGCAAGAAATTTCTTTACAAATCATTTTTCAGCAAAGACCCAGTAATTTTTATTCATGGCTACACTGGATACGCAGATGACTTCATGGATCAAGTTGACTTTATGAAACTACAAGAGTACGATGATACTACACTGTACGGTACTACATACGGTGAATGGTACGGACCCATTGACAGAATGAATCAGACTGGTATGGCTTGTAAATACGTCAAAGCAGTAAGTCACTAGTCCTACCCTACCCTACCCTACCCTACCCTACCCTACCCTACCCTACCCTACCCTACCCTACCCTACCCTTTCCTATCCTATCCTACCCTACTCTATCCTACCCTACCCTACCCTTTCCTATCTTACCCTACCCTACTCTATCCTACCCTACCCTACCCTACCCTACCCTACCCTACCCTACCCTACCCTACCCTACCCTACCCTACCCTTTCCTATCCTATCCTACCCTACTCTATCCTACCCTACCCTACCCTACTCTACCCTACCCTACCCTACCCTACCCTACCCTACCCTACCCTACCCTACCCTACCCTACCCTACCCTACCCTACCCTACCCTACCCTACCCTACTCTACCCTACCCTACCCTACCCTTTCCTACCCCTACCCTACCCTACCCTACCCTACCCTACCCTACCCTACCCTACCCTACCCTACCCTACCCTACTCTACCCTACCCTTTCCTATCCTATCCTACCCTACTCTATCCTACCCTACCCTATCCTACCGTACTCTACCGTACCCTGCCGTACCCTATAGTACCCTATCTTACAGTACCTAACCTTAAACTGCCGTACCTTTCCCTACTCTACTCTACCCTATCGTACTCTACAGTACCCTACCGTACCCTACAGTACCTAACCGTAAACTGCCGTACCTTACTCAACTCTACCCTACTTTACCTTATCTTATCTTATCCTACCCTATCCTACCCTAACCTACAAGTTCTACCATTCTAATTCTACTACAACCTTGTTCTCTTCCAGATCCGTCGTCTAATCGTAGCCGTGAGTATCTACACCAACCGTACCGTAAACCTGATCGGTGTCTCAATGGGCGGTGCACTAACCCGTAAAGCAATGTTAGGGGGTAGATGTGTGGAAACTAATGAAGATCTTGGCAAACCCTTATCACACCTTATCAATAACTACATTGGAGTGGTTGGTGTTATGCACGGTGCAGCGTTCTGCGAGAACAGTACGGAAGCCGCGTGCAATAGTGTGTTCGGTATGAGATGTCACAGTAAATACCTCAAGGACATCAACTCAAAGACCGGGTACGAGGGTCGTAGACCATTTGTCATCGAAAGTACTGGCGACATACTGGTTGGGTACAATGTGTGTGGTACTCATCCGAGCGAGTACGTCGGAGGTCATATCATCAAGTACCATGGCTTTGATCATACTCCGACCTACCGTAACAGCTTCCAAGTTCAATATCTGATTGTTTCTGAACAGTTGTAGTGATAAATAGATGTTATAGTAGGTGGAATGGCCGTCATATAGAAATGAAAAAAAAAGTTTTGTTGTTTTTTGGGTAGGGAAGGGTAAGCTAACTACAAGGTAGAGCAGGATAGGGTAAGCTAGCGTAGACTAGGATAGAACAAATTAGGTTAGGGCAAGGTAGGGAAAACTAGGGTAGGGCGGGGTACCATAAACTAGAGTAAGGCAGGTTAAAGAACACTTGGGGATAGGCTGGACTGGCCTGGACTGTCTGAGATTTATTAAGCAAAGCTGGGCTCATCTGGGCTGAACTGTGCTGAGATGTGCTGGACTGAACTTGGCTAAGCTGGGCTGGGTGGGCTGGGTTGGCCTGGGTGACATGTGTTAAGCTAAGCTGGGCTAGGCAAAACTGAACTTGGCTAGGCTAAGCTGAGATGAACTGAGTTGGGATGTGATAGGCTGGATTTGGCTAAGCTGGGCTGGCTGGGTAATGTAGGGTAGGGTAGAGTAGGGTAGGGTAGGGTAGGTAGTAGGGTAGGGTAGGGTAGGGTAGGGGTAGGGTAGGGTAGGGTAGGGTAGGGTAGGGTAGGGTAGGGTAGGGTAGGGTAGGGTAAGGTAGGGTAGGGTAGGGCTGGGTAGGGTAGGGTATGGTAAGATAGTGTCATTTTTGATGTTTTTACTTCTCCTCTTACCACACCTTCCATTTATTACGTCATCCTCGACGCCGTAGCAGTCGAAAGCCACAAACAGGGATGAGGCAGAGAAATAGCATGCGAATGGAAGAGAGCACACAGATGGAGAGAAAGCCCTTGAACAATCATCGACCGAAAATGGCTTGGCGATGGCCGAGGTCAACCCACTAACTTGACCTGTAAGAAAAGTTTTTGCGGTTTCGTGGAATAATCTTGTAAAGAAAGTTATTGCGGTTTTTCAAAAATAATTTTTGGAAAGAAAGTTCTTGCGGTTTTCAAAAATGATTTTTGTAAAGAAAGTTCTTGCGGTTTTTCAAAAATAATTTTTGGAAAGAAAGTTCTTGCGGTTTTCAAAAAAAATCTACAACAAAATTACAGTAACCCCACCCCAAACCAGGCCCTTTCCCAAAAACGCTTTTTGTAAAGAAAGTTTTTGCAGCGGTTGCGCAACCCAGATTTGGCGCCTATTTTTGGCGACAGCGTTGGCTGACTGGGGTATAATCAGCGACGAGGAAGGATGAGGTCAGGTCGGTTCAAAGCCCGATCGTGAACCGAGATGAGGACAGGCCTTCCTCGCCTTTTCCATATTACACTTGGCTTGAGAGATGTTGTTTTAGAAATATGTTTTGTATAACTAGGTTGGGACTATCATGTTGTCTTTAATATTTGTTTTTTTTTAAGTTCTTTGGTCAAAAAGTTTATAGAAAAATACAATTTTTTGATTTTTGTTTACAATTATGCCTAAAATTAACTTTTTTTACTTATTTTTCTAAATTCTATGGACTTTTTGACCAAAAAAACACATTTTTAAAAATATGTTTTAACCCGCGTCAAAAAGAATTAGACTTTTTATAATGTATTTATACAGCAAAAAGGTTCAATTTTTTTTGACGCGGCCTAAAAAAAACGTAAAAAATGATCGTTTTTTGAAGTAAAAGTGCCATAGCTTGTTTTAAAATAGAATTTATGATTTAAATCTTTACTATATAACAGTCTGTTGACTTTAACATGTTGTTCTAAAACATCTTGTTTTATTATTAAGAAATGACTAAGATACAGCGGTGTCATCGTGCCCAACCCTACCTTTTCATGCGGCTTGACAAAACCTAAAAATCATTATTTTTTGGACTTAACATGTCATAACTGTTTTTAAAATGAAACTTTGATTTTAAAGTTGTACAGTATGATAGCCTATTTTCTTTGTCATGTAGTTGTAAAAAATCGTGTTATAATGTCAAGAAATGACAAAGTTACAGTAATCTTTCGTAATCTACTCCTACCTTTTTGATGTGGCCCAAAACAAATTAAAACTAATAATCTTCAGGACTAAAAGTATCATAACCTTTTTTAAGATTAATTTTTGATTTAGGACTTTTACCATATCATAGCCTATTGTCTTTGCCATGTTGTCGTAAAAATGCTTGTTATAATGTCAAGAAATGACAAAGTTACAGTACTTTGACTAGACCCTACTTTTTTCATCGTATGTCACTATGGTTCTTGACAAAATCTCTATGACAAGATTTATATGACTATCCTTTCCAGAGAATGGAAAAGAATGACCACCTAGAAGGCTTGGCACGGCCAATACCAATGAAAACGCCGACCTTATCCATGGCCGACTTCATCGGTCAAAATGGCGGATTCAATGCGGCGCTTTTGCAGGTCTATCAAAGTTTGGCACAGATGCATAATTTGAATCAGAGTGACATGGTTTTACCACAATGTAATGTACAAAGGCCTGTGTTTGAAGACGATTCTGGCAATGAGACCATTTCAGTTTGTACTGGCTCTACTTCATCATCAAGGTAAAGAATGGGCTGGAAAGAAAGTTCTTGCGGTTTTCAAAAAATGAGTTTTGTAAAGAAAGTTCCTGCGGTTTTTTGAAAAATGAGTTTTGTAAAGAAAGTTCTTGCGGTTTTTGAAAAATAAGTTTCGTAAAGAAAGTTTCTGCGGTTTAAAAAAAAATTCTGTAAAGAAAGTTTCTGCAAACAATTTTCCAAAGTAAATTTTATACCTAAACATTGGGTTTTTAGCTTTGAAATTTTTTGGTCTCTGCAGCCTGCGGGTGTCAAGTTATACGATAAGTGAAGTTTTGCTTTGTAAAGATAGTTCTTGCAGTGCGTGATAAAAATAATGTAAAAAAAGTTTTTGCGGTTTCTAAAAACGTTTTTTTAGCATATTTTATACCTAAATTTAGTTTTTTGGCCTTAAGATCTCAATTTGGATTCTGCAGCCTTCGGGTGACAAGTTATACGATAAATGCGTTTATATGGTATTGTAAATAAAGTTTTTGCCGTTTTTTAAAATACTTTAAATTTAGATCAAACTCAATGTCAAATGACCAACTATTGCTACGAAAGCGAGAGAAAGCTAGACTTTTGGCTTTAAATCAAATTTCTGAAAATACAGTACCACCTACAGTAGCCCCCACTATGCCTATTTTACTATCTGCTGAAAGTTATGAAGTACCTACTGTACCAGCATCTACTACACCTGCCGTACCATCTACAGTATCTCATACTCTACCTACTGAAATATCTACACCAACCCGTACTCTATCTTCTACAGTAACTCCCACAGTACTTACATCATCACATACGGAGCCCTTTAAACATATAAAGAAAGAAAATGAGCAAACTAATACTGTAACAAAAACTGAAGAAGTATCAACAGTACCACAACCAACTCATCTTTTACCAAACAGCTTTGTTGGGGGTACTGTAACATCAGATAGAACACAAAATTCAAATATTGTAACGCCTTTCACTACTCCTAAAAGGGATACGGTTGAAGCGAAGCTTGAGACCTCTAAGGGTACTGTAGAAAATCAACCATTTCAAGGTATGGATGCATTTTCACAGTATATGAGTCTACAACTGCTACAACAATATAACCAAAGCAGAAGTGCTGAAGAACGATGTAAAACACCTACTCAACTAAATCAAACTGGTACTACTTCTACTACGAGTTATCCTGAGACTCCTACTAGTGTACAGGCGAAGCAAAACAAAGGTAAGGCACCTACCTCTACTCCTACAATACCTCTACCGTACCTCTTCCCTACCTTTACTCTACTCTTACTGCTAACCCTGCCACTTCCTTTGCCCATACTGATGTTATACTTGTGCTACCTCTATCCCAGTATACTTCTATCCTTAGTTCTACTCTTACTGATACTAATAGTACTAGCAGTACTTCTACCCCAACCCTACCTCTACTCTAACCCCCCCCCCACTCCCTTTTTTTGCCTGTCTGGTGGTATCGGTACGCTTACTTCAGCCCTACTACAACTTATACTCCTTCTCTTACTCTTAATAGTGCTAGTGGTACTCCTGCCTCAGCCCTAAACCTACTCTCAGAACCTCAGCCCCAACCCTACTGTCCTCCTGTCTTTGCTTTTACTAGTACTAGTGGTACTCTTGTCCCAGTCTCCTTCTACCCTTGCCTTTACCCTTACTAATACTAGTGGTAGCTCTACCCCAGCCCGACTTCTACTTGTACTGGTACTAGTGGTACTTCAATCTAGTCCTAATAGTACTCTTACCCTTATCTTTGCCCTTGCTGCTACTAGTTGTACTCCTACCCAAGCCCCGTTACTACCCATACTACGTCCCCTACTCTTACTGGTACTAATGGTACTCATACTCACACTGTACTTCCACTTTTACTGGTTCTAATGGTACTCATACTCGCACTGTACTTCTACTCTTACTGATACTAATGGTACTCATATCCACACTCTACTCCTATTCTTACTGGTACTAATGGTACTCATATCCACACTCTACTCCTACTCTTACTGGTACTAATGATAAGATTGAGACTCCTTTCCCAGCCCTACTCCTACACTTACTACTGCCTTTTCTCTTTCTAATACTAATGGTACTAGTGGTACTCTTACCCCTTTAGTTACTGCCATTATAAAAGATATATCTTATCATTACAGTAGCCTTCAGAACAATATCTGCTTTTCCTACTCTACTTACACACTACTGTAACATCACTTTATTAAACTTGTTCCCCCCCCCCCTGAACCATCAAAATTTAAAAAATTATTTTTCAGTCGAAACCCCCACCCAACCATCAATTCAACAACAAATACAACCCTCTCCAACAGTGCCATTCGTACCACCTTCACTAATGATGCCAAACTACCCCCAAATGCCTCCAAATCTACCCCACCCAATGTTATACCAGCCCTACCAACAATACACAGCTCCAGGTCCAATGATGATGAACTACAACTCGTTACCTCAACTCTTTCCTTATAACATGGGCTTTCCAATGATGTTCCCAATGAATGAAACCTGCAAGATCTGCAACGACCAGTCGAGTGGATATCATTATGGCGTTCAGAGTTGTGAAGGCTGCAAGGTAGGGCAATTTTAACAATGGGAGAAGAGAAAAAAGGGGTTAGAAGAAGGCGGGTAAAAATTTATTTTTTTGAGGTTTGGGGAAGAGTGGGAAAGAAGGGGATGAGGGAAGAGGAAGGTAGGGCAGAGTAGAAAATTGAATTTTAATAAGCGCGGTAAAAAAAGTTTTTTGTAGTGGAAATATGGGGTTAATGTTTTTTTGAAGCTACTTACCTCAAATTAAACAAAAATATCAAAAAAAAAATGGAAAAAAAATTGGGCGGGGTAAAAATTTTTAAGGGGGTGGATTTATTTCAAAATTTTTTTTTCGGTGAGGGACAGAAGAGGAATAAAAAAAATAATCGTCTGATCGTAAAAAACCAAAAAAAAATGAAAAAAAATTGGGCGGGGTAAAAATTTTTAGGGGGTGGATTTATTTCAAAAATATTTTTTGAGAGGGAAAAAAAACAAAAAAAAATTTTTAAAATTACTTGCCTAATACTAAAAAATCAAACAAGAAGTGAAAAAAAAATTGGGCGGGGTGAAAATTTTTAGGGGGTGGGGTGTATTTCGAAAATAATACAATTCACATAACTTATCAAACAATTCACATAACTAGTTTTTTTTATTTTTTTTGGGCGGGGTAAATTTTTTTTTTAATTTTGGGGTATATGTTTTAATTTTCTTTCAATTTTTTTGTAAAAAACGTCATTTCTAGGGCTTTTTCCGCCGTTCCGTGCAAAAAAAGACCGCTTATCAATGCAACCGTGACAACAATTGCATGATGAACAAGCAGAGTCGCGTTCGTTGCCAAAGTTGCCGTCTAAAGCGATGCCTCGAGGCAGGGATGAAGCCAGAGTGTGTGAAGCAGGACCGTTCGAAAAAAAATGACATCGACCCTGAGAATGTGAAGCAAGTCGAACTCAACCGGTCGATAAAGCTGGCTTATGAAGCTGCTTTTGGGTCGAAAGGTTTAGGGAATGTTCAAGAGGTTAGCAACGCTTTGTTCCAATTCATCGACAACATTGATGGACTGAGAGGGCTGGTACAGAATGATAAGCAGCTGCTGGTTAAGGAAAGGGGCATGGCTGTTTTGGTAAGGGTTTTTAAAAGTTTTTTGAACTTGATAGAGTTAGGCATACTGTAGGGTCAGAACAGTGCGTACTGTATGGTAAGAACAAGGTAGGGTAGGGTAGAGTAGAGCCCGGTAGGGTAAGATACAGTAGGGTATTGTAGGGTAGGCTCAGTTATACACTTATTTATCAAAAAATGAAAAAAAAACCATTTTTTCCACAAACTTTTGGACCAAAAACCTATATTTTAATTTTCCAGATTCTCCGAGCCGTCTACATTGACCAAACCCTTCAACCACTGTGCGACCAACTCAAATTGGCCTCATTTTTGACTTCAAAACCTAAGGGCATTGAAAAACAAATTCATGCCATCTCAGCACTAGTACTCACTTGCGGCGTACTAACCGGTCTCAGCAGTGATGGTGCCAGTATTGTAGTACCATTTGCCGACTCATTGTCCGGCTGTGTCTATAGCCATATTTCAAGCTCATACACGTTTAACATGGGCACCGACAGCTATATGAAATTACTGAATACTTTGGCTTCATTGTACAATTAAACTCGAAAGAATGATTTTTATAAATGTAAAATATCTTGATCTCAATAGCATATTTGTATCTTATCTTGTTTGAATAAATTATTTTTTACATTAAATAACTTGAAAAGCATCAGTTTCATCTAGTACCTTACTGATCTGTAAACAGTTTTGTATTCTTGTTTTCAACATTGTAACTTTTTTGTAAAGAATGTTGGCAGCTAATTTTAACACGATATACCTTAGAAGTTTTACAGAACAATACACTAGTCTAAGGCCAATTTCCATTTTCCGTGCTGGACCCCGGTAAAATAGACCGTAATCATTTTTAAAATTCAAAATCAACTTTCTCATTTGCCATCAACAACTTCCTGACGCTCGGTCGGACCGTTGCCACTCGCGTCGCGTTTTATATTTGTGTATTTCTGGTGCGATGTCCTCGAATGAACGTCGACCGTAAGTTAAATATACCGTGTGTAAGAACGTTACAGTTTATTGTAAAAATTTTTTAGTTTTTACTTTCTATTTTTTAATTGCTTATTTTTGTAAAGAAAGTCCTGCCATTTTTTGTTTTGTAAAGAAAGTACTTGCTATTTTTTGTTTTATAAAAAAGCTTTCGCCATTTTCTGTCTCGTAAAGAAAGTTCTTACCATTTTTTGTTTTGTAGATTTATAAAAAGTTATGGCCGTTTTTTGTTCTGTAAAGGAACATCTGGCGCCTTTTTAAGTGTGAGGATAGCTTTAGTTGATGATAAAAACATATTTTTTTTACTTTTAAGAAAGGCGTCAAAACATATCAAGTCCACGCCCCAAATGAGGGACATGTGGGCGGCCAATAAAGAAAAGCAACGCCAAGTGAAGGAAAGAATGATGAGCCCGGCCAATTCAGCAGATGAAAGGGTCGACTCGAAAGCCGAGCCAGTGCCCAGGCCGAGTGCCGAAACAGTGGAGCCAGTACCAGGTAAAAAAACGTTTTTTTGAAATTAAAAAACCTTTATTTTATAAAATTGAAAAAATGTATACCTTGATTATTTAAAAATTCTACTACCTGGTACAGACAAATTGAAAGAACAATTTTCACACTTGCAAAAACAAAGAATTAAAACAACAGTTACAGTAAACTTTCGTAATTTGAAAAGTTTCTCTCCAGTGTAAGTAAATAGCCGGGGGGAGGGGAGGGGGGAGAGAGGAGGTACGACACTACTTGTTATTTTTTTGGAGAAGGGAGTAATATGTTTTTTTATAAAAGGGAGTAGAGTAAAAATTTTTTTAACCAATAAAATTCGAAATTTTACATTCTACAATAACCCTACTTTTTAAACATATATTTTTACAGTAACCCGGGTTTTTCAAAATTCGACTTTTTACAGTGACCCAGATTTTTTGATTTTATTTTCTACAGTAGCTTTACCTTCTTTAAGTTAAAAATTTTGCTTATAAATACTACCATAGTCTCACCTATAATTTCAGGCCCATCCAAGCCACGAAAGCTACGCAACCCCCGCAGAGAAGCCGTGCGAGAGAGTCGTGAAGTGGTTGAACTGTAAGTTAACATTTTTTAAAAGTTTTTACCACACCTTTAAATACACATTCATAACTTTACATTGAATATGTATTTTAAGGTGCTTATTGTAAAGATGTAAAAAGTTATGCTAATTTTGATTATTATGATACCTCAAGCGCTACTATGGCCAACGGAATCCTGAGAGAGGGAGGGGTAGAGAAAGAAGAGGATGAGAAAAACTAAAGAGGGAGGGGAAAGAAGAAAGAGAGAGAGAAAAAGGAAAAGAGCATAAAATTTTAAAGAAAGTTCTTGCGGTTTTTCAATAACAACTTTGTAAAAAAAAGTAATTGCGGTTTTAAAAAATGACTTTGGAAATGGAGTCTGCAGTTTTTAGATAGAATTTTGTAAAGAAAGTTCTTGCTATTCTTTAATGAGTGTTCAGAAAAATGCGCGCGTTTTTTGCACTATTTCTGTTGCATGTGAGTGACAAGTTGTACGATATGTATTTAAGATAACCTGCGGGTGGCAAGTTATACGCTAAACTCACGAAAATAGCTAAACTTTGTTAAATTTAGTATTTTAATGACAATTTTTCAAAAATTTAAGAGTAAAGCCACAGAGAAGCTTCGTAACGAAGCCGGCCGAGCAACGCGGTCGGAGCAGGGCTCCGAGCCAAGACAGAAGGCGCAGCCGAGCGCCAAGCGGCCACCGTCGGCACGGCCGCGGCCCGCTTGGCCAGAACGAAAGCGCTGAACAAGCCGAGGATAAGGCGGGTAAGTTATGCCATTTTTTAACACCTTTTTCAATAATTTCTAACATTTTCAACAAGCTCGAGGTCCAATAACAATATATTTTTAAATTTTATAAAGCAACTTAAAAATTAATTTTTTTCCAATTCTTAAAGCCCTTTTCTTTTAAAAGTTTTTAATTTAAAGAATGACAACATAAAATTTAAAAAAAAATGCTACAGTACCCAAAAAAAAATTAATATGGATTTTCAGAAACCCCAACCAATGCCCAACTGCCGCCCGCACAGAGCTCGGTCACCGCCCCGTCCCAGCCTCCATCAGCCCCCGGCCACTCACGTAAGTTAGCATTGAAACCATGACTTTACTGACATACATAAAAATATGACGATTAAATTGTAAAATGTTATAATATTATATAATAGTACAATTTAACTATGTCAACATTAAACTACACCAATATTTTTAGATTGGCCGTTCTCAGAACGTTTTATTTGACAAGGCGAAGATCAAGGATTCAAATATAGAGGCGAATCAGAACAACTTTAAGGTACAGTACACTTTTGTTTAGCTGTTTCTTTTTACGTTTTTAACCCTTTGCGCTTTTTAAAAGAATGAGCTTGTAAAGAAAGTTATTGAGTTTTTTGCAAAATGAGTTTTGTAAAGAAAGTTCTTGCGTTTTTTAAAAACGTTGTAAATTTAAGTCGAACTCAATGTCAAATGGCTAACTATTGCTACGAAAACGAAAAAAAGCTAGACTTTTGGCTTTAAATCAAATTCCTGAAAATACAATACCACCTACAGTAACCCTAAACTCGTTACCTCAACTGTTCCCGTACAACATAGGCTTCCCAATGATGTTTCCAATGAATGAAAGCTATATACTGTACTTATTGATACTGATCTAAATCTTAAACAAATACATCATCTTATTGTAGCTAGAGGCTTTTAAAGGTATAATAACTGCTTTTACATTTATGTAAAACATGGCTTTTGAAATTTGAAATAGGAGTAAAAGTACTCTTAAGCGACCTTAAATTTTAACTTGTTGTCACACATTTGTTGCTATCAAAATTCATAGTTTAATCTGCATCCTTGACAGTAAAGTAACTGTAAAACTGGGTTGCTTTCATGGGAATAAAGTCGTTCTTCAACACCTTGAACCCAATGGCCGTGTAGAGATAGTATGGTGTAAAACATGCCTCCGTCTCATTGAATTCATCTGTCAAGATACGACTGATAATGCAGTCGATTTGGCGCTCCGATTGCCTGCGCTTTTTTGCTGGTGGCAGGGATTTGCGGACCATCAAACAGGCTTCCTTGTACTTGATTGGACCCATCAGTTGAAAGCGGGGAAGTCTGCCTTTTTTGATTTCGACCTGGAAAAAATTGAACTTTTTGTGTCTGTCTTTTTCTGTTAAATTTTGAAAAGTCGGAATTTTTTTGAAAAAAAGGTGGATTTGGTTTCCTCTAGTAACTTTTATCCTCCCCTCCCCCCCCTCCAATTAACTTTTGAAAAGTTGAATTTTTTTTTGAGAAATTGAATTTGGTCCACTTTTCTAAATTTTTGGAAGCTCGTGAAAAATTGAACTTGATCTTCTTTGTTAATTAATTTTTTTTTAAATTTGAATAAATTTATATTGAAAACTTACCGGCTTCTTCCGCAAGACAATCCCATAGTGCTTCAAAGCGGTCAGTGAGCCATTCTGGTGAGAATTGTGAATCAGTGTAGAGTAGTGAATTTGGACCTAAAAAGTCGATTTTTTGCTTTTTAATTAAAATTTTTTAAATTTTCTAATATGGCCATCATTTCAGGTGGTTTTTCTTGACGTGTGATACTCTATCACCATTGCTATTTGTTAATCTTACAAAATGCGCTGGAGAAGTTAGATTGGAGTGGCTTTGGACTGAATGTGAGAAGTTGCGACACTTGGATTAAAACGTTACGTTATGCCGATGATATTGTACTGGTGGCGAAAAATACGGATGAGGTGCAACGAATGCTGGACGGATTAACGGAAGAATGTGCGAGGATTGGTTTAGTGATAAACAAATAGAAGATCATGGGATGGCAGAAGTTGAAGGAGCACTGCACGTGTATGGTGAAGCAATTCAGAAGACAAATTGATACAAATACCTCGGAAAACACTTCGAAATGCCTAGAAGAATTGACATTGAAGTTCAAAAGCGTATTCAGGAAATCTGGGCCGCTTTCAGAGCTAAATATGATCTCCTGACCAGTAGAAAGACTGAAATATAGATCAAAAAAAGGTACTTCAATAGTGCATACTAATCGCGATGACTTATGGGCCTGAAAGTTGGGCGCTAAAAATGGAAAACAAGTAGGAGGTCAAACGATGCCAAAGAAAAATGGAGCAAGCGATGTTGGGCCTGAAACTAATGGATGAAATAAGAAGCAGACGAATGAGGACACGCACTAAGTTGAAGGACGTGGTAGAAGTCGCAATGAAAATTGCTAGAGCTGGAACTGAACGGCTGGACTGGAAGGCTCTAAACTGGAAGACGAAGAGAAAAAGAAGGATTAGGAAACCTAGAATAAGATGGGAGGATGATTTCGTTCAAATTTGCGGAAGAGAATAAATGGAGTGCAGTCAAGGAACGGGATGGTACACTTCTTTGGCTACCTCCATTGGCAACTGGCGAGAGCAGTACCTCATATACAATGATGGTAACCCGATTTAATCTTTTGATATCTGTTATTGTTATGTCACTAGTTGTAACTTTGAAATGAGGAAATAAATGAAAGTACTGTAAAAATGAATGAAAGCATGAAAAAACGTACAACATTCACGTTCCTGTTGTTATTCCCCGCTAAGCCAACCCCAACAGTGTTGGTTACGTGAGTTGGGGTTGGATCGGTTATCCTCTCCATTGGTCTTCCGCTGCCTAGAAACAAGCGACGGCAGGTTTTTCTGGTGGCATTGCTGAAAGTAATCAAATTAAAACCGCAATAATTTTCTTTCCAAAACATTATTTTTTCAAAAAACTGCAAAAACTTTTTTTACAAAACAAAAAATGGCAAGAACTTTCTTTCCAAAACACAAAACGGCCAGAACTTTCTTTACAATCCAAAAAATAGCAAGAACTTTCTTTCCAAAACACAAAACGGCAAGAACTTTCGTTCCAAAACAAACTATTTCAAAAAACTTCAAAATCTTACCACTCTGCCATCTTCCAATCGACCAACGACCATCTCGAGCACAGTCGATCCGCCAGCTTCCTCATGGTTGACAAACTCAGCTCATTCACCACTCCAGTCATGTTAATCAGTTCCTGCGCCAACGACAGATAATGGCCTTCGCTTCGCAATAAACTCAATCGCATCAGATTCTCCAGATTGTACTTCGAAGCCAGTACGAAGTGCTCCTTCAGCATCGTCGATGTAATTGGTGGTTCACGCATAATGGCCTGAAAAGACGAAATGTCATTCAAATAGCGGTGTATTGAAAATTAAAAATTATTTTAGCTTTCTTTAAACCATTTAAAAATTCAATTTTTTGATTATTTTTACTTTCCAAGGTCGTATCATAAAAAATTTCAAAAAAGGACGAAATGTCACAAAAATTATTTTCAAAAAAGTCAAAATCACTCAATTATGTAAAACTAACTTAAAAAATGCCTATGCTTTGTATTTAGGAACCATAAAGCGACAAACGTCAAAAATGACAAAATGTCACAAAAAATATTTATTTTTAAAAATTTCAAAATTCTTCAAAAAGTGCATGACAAAAAACTACTCCTACTTGCTTTTTAATGACAAAAAAACCCCAAAATATTAAGATGAAATTTCACAAAGACTATTGATTTTTTGTGACATTTCGTTCATTTCCAAATTTCCTTTACAAAGCAATATAACCCGTTTCCAATCGCTTACCTCTTCCATTTTGGCCTTCAAAAACTTCAGTTCATTGTCGTGAGCAAAAATCAGCATGGGCTTGATGCACTTGTTGCAGACGCCCTTCCCATAATAAGCAAAATCCAGGAATTCGTTGAGAAAGTGCTCCAGATTGATGTGAAGCTTCTGGAGGTATTCACGGGTGGCCACGCTGAAGATTGGGTAATACTCTAAAAATGCGATTGTTAAGTTTAAATTTCAAAAGATGAAAAAAAACAAGAAATTGCAAGAACTTTCTTTACAACCTTACCTCTAGCTTCCAAATCAGCACTAGTACCAAACTTGGCCATACTTTGGGCTTGTAGCACTCCTTCGTGGGCCAGTACTGTGACTCCACTGTAGGTCAACTTGACTACATTTGGGTCGCTTGCAGTTCGAGCCCTGAAAATGGCAAGAACTTTCTTTACAAAACAAAACTTTGCAAGAACTTTCTTTACAAATAATAATTTTACAAAAAACCACAATAACTTTCTTTCCAACCCCTATTCTTTTAATATGAAGAAACTTTCTTTCCAAACCCAATGGTTCCAAATTCCGCAACAACTTTCCTTCCACTCACCTCAAGATCAACTGTTCTTTGGTCGGAAATTCGAAATTTCGCTTTTTCTGAGCTTGAATGCAGGCTGGAGCGACAAAGTTGTTGTAGACATCTTCCGAGAACAAGGTGCTTGGTTCACTGACTTGGCTGATCACTTTCGACCATTCCTTGTTCTTGACGGCATCGAAAATCAACTTGGGAATGACCTCTTCGCCAAGGTTACAGTGAATTGCTTCTGTGACTCGTTGTGTTAGAGATGACATGTAGGGCTAAAAATGGAAGAAACTTTGTTTACAAAATAAAATAATCCCATAAATTGAAGTATTTTATCTTAGAGTAGCCTAACCTGCCCTCACTTACAGTACCCCACCCCGCTTTACAGTCGACCAGGCTACACTAACAGTGCCCTAGCATAGATTACAGTATCCAATCCTACAGTAGTCTACTCTACAGTATCCTCCCTTACTCTACGATAACTGAGTCAACACTACAGTATCCAAGCCTGTACTACCGTAGCCTACCCTACACTACCCTACTGTACCTTAAACTACCCTACCCTACAATAGCACACCCCCTAACATTCCCTTACCTCCCTCCCCTTCAACCCAAAAAAGCTGAAACATACCGAACAATGCTGTAGAAAGTACTTGGCAGCATCAATCAATACCGTCTGGGAGGCGTACTTTTTGGCAGCATGGCACAATTTGACGAATCGGGGGTGGATCGGTCGGATGTTGGGTCCCAAATAGACCAGCAATTCCGTGACCAGTGGTCGATCCTCGGCCGGTAGATGGATAATCGGGTTGGCGTACGCATCAAACTCGGTGCTTTGCTTAATCATATTGGCCAAGCCAAACGAGTACAATTGCAAAAAGTTTTTGTAACTGTAAATGTCGTCCTTGCCATCGTCAAATGTGATGGTGACATCGGTGTCGCGGAAGAAGGATGGCGACACTTTTTCAAAATTCTAAAAAAAATTAAACTTTCAAAATAGATTAAAAATTTTAAATAAAGTTTTTGCGGTTTTTCAAAAATTAAGTTTTGTAAAGAAAGTTTTTGCGATTTTTTAAAAAAATTGACAAAAATCATACCCCGCAACCTGCGAGTGGCAAGTTAAACAATGAAAGCATTTTAAACCTCTGTAAAAAAAATTATTGCGGTTTTTCGAAAAAATGAGTTTTGTAAAGAAAGTTCCTTCGTTTTTTAAATAAAACAAGCAAAACCCTGGTCCCGCAGCCAGTCACAAGTTATACAAAGAACAAAAACAAAGTATTCAATTGTTCAAAAAATTCTGTGCCTTTCAACACCAAAAATGTTCTTTAAAAAGGAGCTCATATTTAACTGAACAACCAAATATTCAAAAAAGCTCTTACATATCTAATCAGTCTCATATCGACCCTGATAGCATTGATTTGGCCTTTGGAATGGTCGAGTTCAAGCCGGACTGGTCGGTCGTACTTGCCAAAACTAAACACAGCACCATCGACCACTTTAAAGCTGGACAAATTGGTCGAAGTCGAGAAACGGACTTGAGCCACAACTTCCCATTCCGTATACGAGGTGGGGTAGTCGGTTCGAACTTCAACATACCCTTCGGCGTCACTAAAATTGAAATATTTAAAATTTTGTTTTGTAAAGAAAGTTCTTGCTATTTTTTGTTTTGTAAAGAAAGTTCTTGCAATTTTATGTTTTGTAAAGAAAGTTCTTGCCATTTGTTGTTTTGTAAAGAAAGTTCTTGCCATTTTTTGTTTTGTAAAGAAAGTTCTTGCCATTTGTTGTTTTGTAAAGAAAGTTCTTGCCGTTTTTAGTTTTATAAAGAAAGTTCTTGCATTTCTGAATCCAAAACCACAACATTCAAAGTAATATAACCAACAGCTCACAAAAAACCCATTTTTATACCTAAAAACCTACTTTAGAATAAACTTTAGGTACAGATCCTTGAAAAAGTAGCTGTATTCATTTTCCGAAGCCGTGGTATCATCGTACAGTAACTTTTCACCATCACAATTGATAGAAACGCCCAATCGTTTCGGTACCTCAATATCCACCTCCTCCAATGCCATCACAGCCTTGTTGATCTTCTCTTGCTCCTCCAGTAGCAGTCGGACCTCGGGGTCGGATAGACCGGTCTGGAGGTTGGTATTAGAAACAGCTTGAGCAAGCTCTTCATAGTCATCCGGGCAGGTCGCATTTGACTACAATGTAACGTTTATCACTTATTAAAAATGTCATCTCTTCATAAAATCGAAAGTTAAAATCATAAGATCAAGTTTAACATCAATAAAGCAATGTTATTAGTCCGCGTCAAAAAGAATTGATCACTTTTACTATATGAATACACTGAAAGATGACCAATTCTTTTTGACGCGACTTAAAGCTGTTATACATCGGTCAAAAAGTTTGTGGAAAAAATAAAACTTGGTTCAAAATAAAACTTACAGACTATTCTAACTATTACTTGACCAACCAAAAAAATTTATTATTTTGACATATTTATGACCAAAAATCTAAGCCGCGCCATAAAGAATACGACCTTTTCACTATATAAATACACTGAAAGCCGACCAATTCTTTTTGACGCGTTCCTTCTTGTTAGTTTCAGTGAGTTCAAAGCATTCAGCAAAGAAGTTCTTACCCACTGATTCAAGTTTTCTGCGTTGTGCTTCGACTCCTCATGGTAACAATCGTCCATCATTTCGACCAATTTCCAACGAGATGTCACCAACCAGCAGTAGCACAGAACTCAAAATAAAACTTGAAATTTTAAAAATTTTCGAAAATCATTCTTCAAAACAAAATTTGAATATCCTTTTACGAAAAAAGTATTTTGATATTATCCATGACATGAAGTCTTAGGGAATATTAGTCTAAACCTCAATTTTTGGCATTATGACAAATCGGGCAATTTTAGACTCGGGCGATCCTAGACCCTGGTTATTTTAGAGTCGGGCTGTCTTGGAGTCGGGCGATTAATAGTCGCAAAAATCTGGTTATGATTTTCTAGAGAGCCTCAAAACAAGGGACCCACTAATCACTGACCACTCCATCGACTGTCCTCGAGATCATCTACTAACAACACTGACGGTTTCAAAAATAACAAAACGAACTGACACTGTAGAAAAATTTAAGCTGCATAATAAACTTACTTTATCACTATCTACTTATTTTTAAAAAGACTAGTTATAATATTAGTGTAAGAAAAGTTAGGTCTGCCAGTATTATACCTCAAATATAATAATTCCTTAACCAAAAAAATACAAAAAGTTATTTTACAGTGGTACAATATCAATTTATATAAACATGCAAAAAATTAGATCAAATCGACAATTGGTTCCAATTACATTATCTAAAGCAATGTGTCCCACCACGAAAACAAGCAAACGCTAGAAGATGATGGCTTTCCGTGTATTTTTCGAAAATTAACGCTGTTGAAAAATCAAAAAGCAAAAACTATGTTATTTTAGTGGTTTTAAAACGTGTTTTTTGTTTCTTTATTATTTTTGATATCTAAAATTGTAGAAAAACATCAAATAATGCCTCCAAAAAAGGTAAAGAAGAAGAAACTCGACGCTGAAGACAAAATTTCGATAGCAGAAGAGATTGCGGCCGAAGAATTGCTCATACCTCCAACTGATGGCGCTACTCAAGCTTCTGTTGCTAGTTCGACAGTTTTAAAGCCACAGAAGATTCGTCTAAGTGATTTTGGAGCTATAAGTAAGTGAATTTGTTGTTTTACTTTGATTTTTAGGCTTTCGATTGAATAAAGTTGATGTGCGACGGTTTGTTCAAGTCTGTAACTCAACGTGGAAGCAGTCAATGAAGGATACTGGCATTTGTAGAGTGTTAAAAAATAGTATTCATGCTGAAACATCTGCAGAATTTGTGGCTTGTTCAAGGTAAATGAGGTTTTTTATCAAAGAATGTCATGTTATCTATAGAAAGTGGGGAAATGGTTTTGGTCATAACTTTTTTGAACTGAAAGCTATTGGTTTGAAATTTGAAACTATGCTAGCTTATTTTATTCTTCAGCTTATTCAATAGATGAGGGTTTGATTGTTTATAAGTTCAGAAAGTTATAGTAGTTTTACTATGGCTTACTTTTTTATAATTTTTTGTTATTTTTGCTGGGTAAATTGAAGCAAAATGATGTGTAGGGCTAGAATACGGTTAGTTTTAGGTTAGAAAAAGTTTTGTTTGGGCGTGGGGACGAATGGAATTATGGTAGGACTCGGTATTGCTGTGGTAAGGTAGTGTAATATAATTTTAAAGGTTTTTTCGACTAATCTTTATTTTCTTCCGTTCTATTTTTCAAATTTGTTTTTGCTATTTACTTTATGATGTTATGTTAACGTATTTATCTATTTTTTAGTACCGTACTAGACAAATGGTCAGAAACCGAAGCGATCGATCTATATCTTCCTTTAGTAAAGCCCTACCACCTAAGCCATCTTGCCGACCTGAACAAAGGTGGTAATACAACGGAACAACAGATGCAAGAGGACCCATTAACAACAGATTTGATCAAACTGAAGATTCTAGAAGCCAAAGCCTTCAAATATCCAACGAATATCAAAAAGCCTGATGGATATAATGGCAGTGGTGTTCATAGGTATGCCAATCAGTTGTGGCATGACAACATGGCATCACCTTTTGAGACTGCTAAGGAATATACTGAAGCTTCACCGGAAATGGCGGTTGCCATTAACGTCGGAGGGCCGATTTCGGCGTTGGCCATTTGTCCAACAGCCGATGAGCATGGTCAAGAACTACTGGCAGTTTCAACGTTTTTGGACGAGGAATGTTTTCAAATCGACGATAATGCTAATTCTTATGTTCAGTTCTACAGTTTTAATCCTGAAAAGTTGGGGTAAGAAGATTTTTAAAAAATTTAAATTTTGAGTTTGAAAAAAAAATTTAAACTGCTTTTCTGCGGAATGCTATTTTTCATATGTTATTGCTTCAAAATGGCAACGGCTTTCTTTACTATGTCAAAAATTGCAAGGACTTTCTTTACAAAACAAAAAATGGCAAGAACTTTTTTTTACAAATCAAAAAGGGCAAGAAATTTCCTTAAAAAAGCAAGAAATGGCAAGAACTTTCTTTACAAGCTCAAATATCACCCAAGTTTTAATTTTCCAATTCCAGCGACACGAAATGCGTATTCTTGTTAGAGATACCATCCCAAACCGTAATGGACATGACGTGGTGTCCAAATGCCATTAACATACCAGGAAATCCAAAAGTCATCAATGAAACTGACAATTTTTATGGATTTTTGGCGATTTCAACTCACAAAGGACTAGTACTAATATACCGAGTACCAAAAACAGTACCAAAAGATGGGGCATTAGTACCGGTTTTGAGGATGGCACCAGTCTTTACCTTGAATCATCCAAAAATCGATATTAAAGTGGCGGTAGACGAAAATGAAGACAGTGAAAGTCAACAAAGTGGTACTGTGAAGCACGAGAGGACCACCAAAGTTCCAATCTTTTCAGTGATTTGGTCCCACTTTAAAGGTGGAGCTTTGATTACAGCAACTTCAGAGGCTAGTAAGGGTTAAAATTGGAGGAGATAGGGGCTGGAAAGAAATTTCTTGCGATTTTATGATTTGTAAAGGGGGTTTTTGACGTTTTTGGTTTTGTAAAGAAAGTCCTTGCCATGTTACGTTTTGTAAAGAAAGTTGCTGTCATTTTTTGTTTTGCAAAGGAAGTTCTTACCATTTTTTATCTTATCAAATAAGATCTTGCATTTTTTTGGGCCGCGTCAAAAAGAACTGGACATTTTTCAGCGTATTTGTATAGAACAAACGTCTAATTCTTTTTGACGCACTGTTTTTTTGTAAAAAATGGCAAGAACTTTCTTTACAAAAGAAAAATGGCAAGAAATTTCTTTGCAAAACAAAAGATTTTCTTTAGAAAACTAATATTTTGAGCTTTTTACATTTTAAAATATTTTTATTTTTCAGGTCGAATTTTGATGTGGGATTTAACCGAAAAGCCACGAGAGCGGTCGGAAAAAGAAGACGAACCTTATATATTGGCCAGCAACACAATATTGGAACCGAAAATAACGATTTTTGAGACGGCATGGACCTCACCGCCGAATGCAGTCTGCTTTTTGAATGAAAAGGAGTGTAAGTTGAACTTTTTTAAAATTTTTTAGGTTGTTCAAAAAATTCTGTATTTCCTATATTAACTTTTGGACCAAAGAATGTGAAATTAGGGTTTTCGATAGTTTTTGACTGAAAAAAAAATTTGAAAAATCGATATTTTGTGTGACATTTCGTTTAAAAAGCCAATAAATTTTGTGACATTCCGTCAATTTTTAAAAATATTTTTGCTACGATGCAAATTTTAATTTAATCTATGAACTTATTAACCGAAATTGTAAATTTTACAAAAGTCAATAAATTTTATGGCATTTCGTCTAAAAACCAATAAATTTTGTGGCATTTCGTCAATTTTCAGATATTATAAAAAATCAAATTGATGTCGCTTTCAGTGGTGATAAGCTTCCGAAATCGTATCATTCTGGTCTACAAGATACCGGAATGTGAAGTTCGTCTAACCGAGTCAACTCCAAAGTCAGCCGGCTTTCTGGTGACCTCAGCCCCAACCACTTTTGGCGCTTTCGTCTCGACCGATGCGGCTCCAACGTGCATCGAAGGCATCATGTACGCTCAGAGCTGTGTGATTTCGATTCAGGACAGCTCGAATGATGTTTCTTTAATGCCGTTGTTGAATAGGTAGGGGTTTTTGTACGAAGTAAGAAGAGAGGGGTGGACTTTTTTTGGAGGTTGGGGGAGTGATGAAGATTGGGTTTTCAGGTAGATAATGGGAGAGGTGTATGTATTGGTTTTTTAACAAGAGAGGTGCATTTTTCAAGGAAAGGGTGAGGCGGGGGTATATTGGTTTATACCAAGAGAAGAGGGGGGGGTGGGTTCATAAAAGGGAAGACGGGGTGGATTTTTAAGAAGAGAAAGGGGAGGGGAAGAAAATTGAAATTTGAGGTAATTCATAATTGGAAAGAAAGTTTCTGCTAGTTTTTACAATATTTTTTACAAATGGCAAGAACTTTCTTTACAGAACAAGAATTGGCAAGAACTTTCTTTAAAAACTTAAAAAGGACAAGAACTTTGTTTACATTGCGAAAAATGGCAAAAACTTTCTTTACAAATCTAAAAATGGCAATAAATTTCTTTACATTTTTTAAAAGTTAAATTTTTGAATTTTATGAAAAAATTTTCAGCCACCAACTCCAGGTTTTTGACGCCAAAGTCTGCCCACGAACCGGCATTAATGTTACAGTAGGAGCGGATGGTCGACTCCAACAGTCGATGAATGCTCGCATCGGACCAAAGGTACCAGTTGGAGTGGATTGTGACGTAACCTCCTTGAACTTCATTACCGGTCGACCACTCTTACATCTGGTACGACATCGAAAAGTGAAAGGCATAGGCGACTCTGATGATACAGTAAGCCGAAAAAAAGGCAAAAACAAAAGAAAAAAAAGGAAAATGATGATGAGAATCCGAAGGTACTGATCAAACATGATGATATTGTGACGGGCAATTGGCTGGAAGTGAGGTGTGGCGATGCCGCTTTAATGGATTTGGTACAGGTAAGGCTTTTTTTGAGGGGGAGGGGTAGGGATAAATTTTTGAGTGTTGTGGGGTTAAGGTAGGGGTAGGTAAGGTTTTTTCTTAAGCAAGGTAAATTTAAAAAAAAATTTGAAGATGGGGGGGGGGAAGGTAATTAAAAGCTTTTTGTGAGAGGTAGCTAAAATATTTTTTTGTGAAGGGCGGGGTAAAAATTTTTTTTAATTTGATTTTTAAAAATTTTTTTGAAATTTTATACCAGGATTTTTAAAATTAGATTTTTCACGAACTTTTAATGATAAGTTGTGTCGTTTTAGGTGAAAAAACACCGCACTCAACTAGCCCTATGTCTACTTGACCGACGTATCGAATCGCTGACTCGCGTTGCTCTAAGCACAAGAACAGCCGGCTTCACAGCGGCCGGCGGAGAAGCGGGACTGGTCTTTCTGATGCCAACAATGATATAATCCATGATGTATAATAGTTATAACGGTACACAATATCGATTACTATGGTCTCATATTCACTTTTTTCAATTTTTTGTTAATTTTTGTTGTTAATAAATAACTTCTTTTGGAATAGTTTTTGCCATTTTTGGTTGATGTACCATGATTATCGCTCATATTATTCATCACAAGTGCTGGTCCGTTCCAGTCGCGGCTTCTTTTTTACATGCAGTGGTTGTTTTCTGTAAAATTCTTGTCCAAAAACAATATTTAGGCTGCATCAAAAAGAGTTGGTCAGTTTTGTTATATAAATACACTGAAAAGCGACCAATTCTTTTTGACATTTTTGACGTCTTTGAGTTTCAATAATTGAAATCAAATTTTTTTATATTAGATTGTGCAAAAAGTTAATATAAATCTATTTTTACTGGTTCTGAGTTTGCTTTTGGGTAGTTTTTAGATGTTTTGACATGAAAATGGCAAGTTTTTGAATTTTTTTCTGGATTCATTTCACACTGAATCATTTTGAAAATTTTAAATTAGTTTTCTCATTTACCAATTCTCTGCATTCAAAGCGTGGTGGTGCGACCATTGGAACACTAATATGTCGAGGGAAAACGCGACCCCGTAAGATTAAATATAAAAGAAAATTATGTACTTTTTGGATAGTTTTGCGCAAAGATTTTAAAAATTTGTGTGGTAAACTAAGGTCTTGCCACTTTTCGGTTTTAAAAAAATTTTTGCTATTTTTTGAGTTGTAAGTAAAGTTCTGGCCATTTTTTCGTTTGTAAAGAAAGTTTTCGCCATTTTTCGTTCTGTAAAGAAATTTCTTCCCATTTCTGAGTTGTAATTAATTTCTGGCCATATTTTTGTTTGTAAATAAAGTTCTTGCTATTTTTTGTTTTGTAAAGAAAGTTTTTGCCACTGTTTTGTTTTGTAAATAACGTTCTTGACATTTTTTGGTTTGTAAAGAAAGTTCTTGCCATTTTTGTTTTGTAAATAACGTTCTTGACATTTTTTGGTTTGTAAAGAAAGTTCTTGCCATTTTTCGTTTTGTAAAGAAAGTTCTTGCTATTTTATAGCTTGTAAAGAAAGTTCTTGCCATCTAATGCTCTGTATACAAAACTCATGCCATTTCATATCCTGTAAAGAAATTTCTTGCCATTTTCAGTTTATTAAAGACAGTCCTGGCCATTTTTCGTTTTGTAAAGAAAGTTCTTGCCATTTATTATGTATGAGAGTACTTAAGAGTTTGAAAGGATAGCGTAGATCAGTTTTAAGTCTGTTTATAATACCACAATTTTTTCAATTTTCAGGAGAGCTACAAGGCATTTAGCCTCGACACCGGCGCTGAACGCGAGCCGGGCGGCCCAGAAGAAAAGGGAGGAGGCGAACAGAGGGAGACGAGGGAGCGGCTGGCCCGGGACTTTGCCCAAGCAACCGGCCAAGTACAACCGGCCGAGCGCAGGTAAATAGTTTTTTTTATTAAAAAATTTTTCGCGCTTAATTTACTTCTTATTTCTTTCCCCCTTATCGTACAAGGACTTTTTTGCCCTATTTCTCCTCCCAGGGACGTCGCTACGGATTTTCTCTATTCCTCCTCCCACCTTCTCCCACAAACTTTTTTTTACTCTATTCTCGTCCACTCCCTCACAATAGTAGCATTTTGGCCATTTTAAGCGTTTTAAAAAAAGTCTTTATCATTTGATTTTTTGTAAAAAAGTTATTGCCATTGGTTTTGTACATAATTTTTTTTACTAACAAAAATTTTGCGTTTTTTATGTGTGAGAGTACTTAAGAGTGGGAAAGGATAGCGTAGATCAGTTTTAAGTCTGGTTATAATATCTATTTTTTCAATTTTCAGCAGAGCGACTAGGCATATCTTGGGCCGCCGGCTGTGAACGGGAGGAGAAGAAAGAGAGGCTGGCTGAGGCCTTCGCCCAAGCCGGCCAGCCGACGCCACCACCGCCCGAACCAGGTAGATAACTGTTTTTTAGGCTAATTTTTCGCTCAAGCTTTAAAAAATGCTATTTTTTGTTTGAAATTGATAATTTTTTAAAATTTTACTGCATGATACTGTAGAATAAAAATTAAAAAATGATTAAAACGTGAAAAACAAATTACTGTAGACTTTGAAGGCTCTTAAAATCCGGGTTACTGTAACTAAAAAAGCTTTGCAAAATAGGAATTACTGTAGCAAAGCCAAGAAACAATGTTACTGTAGAATTTTTTTCTTTTCGTTTTTTTCACAGTAATTCGAGCTTCATTGTTTTTTTTAAAGTAACCCAGGTTTTCTCTACTTTTTTACAGTAATCCGGGCTTTTACGATTTTTTTACAGTAACCCTAATTAAAAACGTTAAATTACAACTATCTTTAACCTACAATTTTAGAGCCGGCGCAGGCCGAGCGGCCCCACACCATTGGGCTAAGCCGCAGCGCGGAGGACGTGTAAGTTAACATTTTTAAACTTTATATCGAGGATTTATATAGAAGGAGGTAATAAGAAAATTTAGAAAGTAGAAATATGACAGTATATATGGGGGAAGGGGAAGCCAAAAAGGTTAGGAGGGGGGATAAGAATATGAAAAAACATCTGTTAATTTTGTAATTTTATAATGTTAATGGTTCCATCTTTTTAGGGCGAACCCTCCGGGCGCGCAAACGGCAAGGCGCCACAGGAGCCGGAACCCCAGCCGCCACCGCCGCCAGTCCGCCCCAGGTACGAATTTTTTGTTTTTTTTAATTTTTTATTTTTTTAAATTTTTCAAAAAATTTTCGATATTTTTTCAAAATTTTTAATTTTTAACAAATTTTATTCTTTAGATTTTTTTAAATTATAAAACCTCTTACGATTAAAAAAATCATAGCTATATCTAATCATTGTTTTCAGAACCGAGCAGCCCCCAGCCCGCACACCACCCGCCGCCAACACGGTAAGTTAAGCTCATTTTTACAGATATATGTTAGCATATTGACTTGATATAAATATTAGCAATCATTTTGTTTCTCTTCGTAACTTATTATTATTACTTATTTCATGACTTGTATAATCTTAATAAATATTTATAAATTGACCTTATTTAGCGACTATCAATTGTAATTGTTTTTAAATTGAATTTTTTGTGTTACCCTCCCTTCGTCCAAAAATTTTTTTTCGAAAAATGTCAGCTTTTCTTTTAAACCAGCTCTCCAACAAGCCCTATCTTTGCTAAACTCGTCCAGCCTATTCAAAGCACACCCTGCCTTTTCAAAAAATTCCTTGCTTTTTCAGAACATGCCTGTCGATTCAAAAAAGACCTGTTTTTCAAAATACACCCTACCCTTTACAAATGTGTCCCAGTATGCCAAAAATCGCCCTATTTTCCGTATCCTAGCCTAATGCCTTTCAACAAACACCCTAAGCCCCGCTCTGGTTCTGAATAACACCATTCCCACTCGTCCAAGCCTCTCCAAAACCTAAAAACCAACAAAAATAAATGAAAAACTTACTAGCTGCTTTCCAATATTGCTTTGATCAAAGCTCCGAACTTGCCAGCTTACTTATGTTATAACTGTCCTTACAATACCTGAAATTATTAATATTATAGATAAAATATTATTGATATATTTATACATTGTTAATATTAAAAAATTTTAGACCGTCCATCAAGAAGCCTTTAGCAACGCTAAGGTCGACGACTCAATCGTTATGGTCCAGGACAATAAAAAGGTAAGGAAACATTTTTAATTCAATTTTTTTTTCATCTTTACCTTTTCGATGATTTATCGAACCTTAGCCATCCCTACACCTTACCTGACCAAGCCCGTCCCTGCCCTACCATAGCCAGTGCCAAACTGCGCTGTTCTGCACTACCTTACCATACTTCACTACCGTACCCTTTCCTACCTTATCTACCATTCCCTACCCGACACTATCCTACTCTACCCCATGCTACCCTACCCTACCGCATTCTACCCCACCCTACTTTACACTACCCTACCCGATACTACCCTACACTACCCTACCCTACTGCAATCTACCCCACCCTACTTTACACTACCCTACCCGATACTACCCTACACTACCCTACCCTACTGCAATCTACCCCACCCTACTCTACACTACGCTGCCCTACCCGATACTACCCTACTCTACCCCACGCTACCCTACCCTACTCTACACTACCTTACCCTATTGCATTATCTACCCTATTCTACCTTACCATTCCTTACCGTACCTTAGCTGGCCCCGCACTGATCGTATTGACAACATTTATATACGCATATTTCAGGACGGCTCGGGCAAAACTAACTGAGAACGGACTTCGAGGACTCACGGAACTGACTTTGAACGAATAAAACAACTGACTTTTTTTGGAATTTTTAGTTTTTGAAGGAATAAATAATTCTGAGACTACCTATCCACCCGCCCCCATCCCTTCCTTCAACCCCACTTAAATTTCCACATTATTTCATGTGGTACCACTTCCCAGTACATAGTACCTGTTGAGTTCCAGCTAACGCTGATCATCTTATCCCGTGGGCGAAGATCAAGTTTTGAAGTTGATACACCCTGTTCTCCATGTTCAAGCCATTGTTTCTTTCTAATGTGAATAAGTACTCACTTCTCACCCCGTAACCAAGTTTCCAAGCAATGCACAGGTCTTTGGGAATTTCGACAAATACATGCAACTTCCACTTAACGTTTCAGCTGGTCGCTGTTGAAATCATATGGAATTCATTGACCTTAGTTCCATGATCTTCCAAGTTCGTGAAGTCTCGTTAATCAGAAGGTGGGGTTTCTTTAACGCTGATGGTCTACCAGATCGAACTTTTCTGACGTGTCAAAGTCACTGTTTTTGAACTTGTGGAACCAAACTTTTGTGGTGTCGTAAGAGACAACTGAAGACCCTACAACACTGCATATTTCCTTCGTCGCTCTCAGTGTTTTGCCCGGACCGGTCCGGAGCGTTTTTCACCGGTCCGGCGATTTTCGGGTCCGGTCCGGTCCAAACCTCAAATTTTTGGGTCCGGTCCGGTCCCAACCCAAAATTTGTGGGTCCGGTCCGGTCCGCAAAAAAATTTTTTTTTATTTTTTAAAAAAAGCAATGAGCGCTAAAACTGCTTTCTTTTTTTTTAAAAACTCTTAAAAATACATTTTATTTGCAATTTTTAAATCATTTCTATAAAAATAAAAAAAAATTTTTCTTGCGGTCCCGTCCGCGGACCGGACCGGTCCGGCAAAACACTGGTCGCTCTTGTTGCGTTGCCGTAAAAATTTTTTTTTCATCCTCATATTTGGAATGGTGCTGATGGTGTCAGTATTTTTGATATCTATCATAGTTTTCGAGATATGAGTTTGACGGGAAATAAATTCAAAAATCCGAACCCGCCGGCCCGGACCAGACACCCAAAAGGCAGAACTGTGGCTTTTACATACATATTTTCTAGAGTGCCTCGAAAGACAAGGGACCCACAAACCACTGACCACTGTCCTCGAGATCATCTACTAACAACACTGACGGTTTTAAAAAATAAACAGACGAGCTGATACTGTAGAAAAATTTAAACTGCATATTAAACATGACGTTATCACTATCTACTTATTTTTAAAACGTCTAGTTATATTAGTGAGAGAAAAATTAGGTCTGCCCGGATTACTTTATTACTGTCTACTTACTTTTAAAACGACTAGTTATATCGTGTGAGAAAAAGAGGAAAAAATTAGATCAAATCAATTCCACGAATCGTCCCACCACGAAAACAAGCATACGCCAAAAGATGATGGCTTTCCGTGTATTTTTCGAAAATTGACGCTGTTGAAAAATCAAAAAGCAAAAACTATGTTATTTTAGTGGTTTTAAAACGTGTTTTTTGTTTCTTTATTATTTTTAATATATAAAGTTGTAGAAAAACATCTAATAATGCCACCAAAAAAGGCAAGGAAGAAGAAACTCGACGCTGAAGACAAAATCTTGATAGCAGAAGAGATTGCGGCACAAGAATTGCTCATACCTCCAACTGATGGCGCTACTTAAGCTTCTGCTGCTAGTTCGACAGTTTTAAAGCCACAGAAGACGTCTAAACGATTTTGAAGCTATAGGTAAGTGAATTTGTTGTTTTACTTTGATTTTTAGGCTTTCGATTGAATAAAGACGGTTTGTTCAAGCCTGTAACTCAACGAGGAAGCAGTCAATGAAGGATACTGGCATTTGTAGAGTGTTAGAAAGTAGTATCCATGCTGAAACAGCTGTAGAATTTGTGGCTTGTTCAAGGTAAATGAGGTTTTTTTCGACAAGAAATATTGTATTATTTATCACAAGTGGGGAAAGTGGTGTCTGAGTATACTAATGGTAGAACTCGGTAGTACTAGGGTAAGGTCGTGTAATATAATTTTTGAGAAGTTTTGACAATTTTTCGACCAATTGTTTCAATCTATATCTGATATTTACTTTCTTTAATGTCTTTATTACCTTATACATCTATTTTCTTTAATGTTTTTATTACCTTATTCATCTATATTTTATTAGAGAAATGGTCAGAAACCGAAGCGATCGATCTATATCTTCCTTTAGTAAAGCCCTACCACCTAAGCCATCTTGCCGACCTGAATAAAAGTGGTAATACAACCGAACAATAGATGCAAGAGGACCCATCAAAAACAGATTCGATCAAACTGAAGATTCTAGAAGCCAAGGCTTTCAAATATCCAACGAATCTCAAAAAGCCTGATGGATATAATGGCAGTGGTGTTCTTCACCTTTTGAGACTGATAAGGAATATACTGAAGCTTCACCGGAAATGGCGGTTGCCATTAACGCCGGAGGGCCGATTTCGGCTTTGGCTAGGACCAAAGGTATCAATTGGAGTGGATTGTGACGTAACCTCCTTGAACTTCATCACTGGTCGACCACTCTTACATCTAATACGACACCGTAATGTCAAAGGTACAGGTGATTCGGATGATACAGTAAGCCGAAAAAAGGCAAAAACAAAAGAAAAAAAGGAAAATGATGATGAGAATCTGAAGGTACTGATCAAACATGATGATATTGTGACGGGCAATTGGCTGGAAGTGAGGCGTGGCGATGCCGCTTTAATAGATTTGGTACAGGTAAGGGTTTTTTTTGAAGGGGGAGGGTTAGGGATAAATTTTTGAACGGAAGGGGGATGAGACAGGGCTAGGTAAGCGTTTTTTTGGGCAGGGTAGATTTTTTTTTAAATTTTGAAGATGAGAGGGGGGGGGTGATTAAAATAGTTTTTGTCAGAGGTAGGGGTAGCTAAAAAAATTTTTGGTGAAGGGCGGGGTATAAAAAATGTTTTCAAAATTTGATTTAAAAAAATTTTTTTTGGAATTTAGGCCAGACTTTTAAAATTTGCTTTGTTACGTTCTTTTAGTGATAAGTTGTGTCATTTTAGGTGAAAAAACACCGCACTCAACTAGCCCTATGTCTACTTGACCGACGTATCGAATCGCTGACTCGCGTTGCTCTAAGCACAAGAACAGCCGGCTTCACAGCGGCCGGCGGAGAAGCGGGACTGGTATTTCTGATGCCAACAATGATATAATCTATGCTCTATAATAGTTATAACGGTACACAATATCGATTACTATGGTCTCATATTTACTTTTTCATTTTTTTTGTTAATAAATTATTTTTTTTGGAATAGTTTTTGCCATTTTTGGTTGATGTACCATGATTATCGGTAATATTATTTATCAAAAGTGTTAGACCGGTCTAGTCGCTGCTTCTTTTTTATATGCAGTAACCACTGCATATATAATAAAGTTTTCTATAAACATCTTGCCCAAAATCTCAATATTAGGCCGCGTCAAAAAGAATTGATCAGTTTTGCTATATGATTACACGGAAAAGCGACCAATTCTTTTTGACGCGGTTTAAAAATAAGTTCATTTTGGTCAAAAAGTTTATGGAAGATTTGAAATTAAGCTTATATTAGAGCATATAAGCTATCCTATTTATTTTTTGACCAAGTAAAACAAATATTTCTAAAAATTTTTATGACTAAAAAGCAAACTGCGCTAGAAAATGTTATATTTCGGTCAAAAAGTTTATGGAAACTCGAAAATTAGTTCGGCTTGAGGCTTATGGACTATTCTAACTATTTTTTGACAGACGGATGAAATTTTATTTTTCTATAGATTTTATGACCGATAAGTCAGGCCGCGTCAAAAATAATTGACCTATTTTATTATACAAATACACTATAAATAGACCAATTCTTTTTGACGCGGTTAAATTTTTTGACTTTTTGGGTTTTAAAAATTGAAGTTTTTAATTTTTTGATATTATTATTGGTCAAGAAGTTAAAATAAATTGATTTTTACTAGTCATGAGTTTGATTTTGGGTAGTTATTATATGTTTTGAAAATGGCAAGTTTTTGAGTTTTTGTGTGGGTTTTTTGGCTACAAAGTGAATGTTTTGCTACTTTCTACAAATTTTTTGACCGATATTTTCAAATTTTTATATTGCTCGTTTTATGGTCGCTTAAAATATGTCGATGGTGTTGTTTTGAATATTATCTTATTGACCTGTTTTTATGCGTTTTTGATCAAGTTTGAAAGCTTTATTATCTAAATTTTTTCAAATTTCAGAACGCTCGATGTTCACGTTAGACGAAGCGGCCAAGAAGCGGCTCGTCGACCTAACAAAAGACGAGGAAAATGCGGCAGAAATCAACGAAATTTCAAACAAAGCGTCGTTGAAACTGGCAGATATCGAGCAAATCACGAAGCTAGTATCGGCCGACACCGAAATCTACAAGTTTTTACTGATGATCCGCCCAATCGAAGTGAAAGAGGTCCGCCCACCCCCAACCAAAGAGTATTTGGAACGAATCGAACGGCTGAAAATGGAACAGGAAAAGGCCGAGTACGAACACATGATCTCGACAGTAGACGCGTCACAGAACTATGGTAGCACCAGCTTGATGAAAGATTTTGGAAAGGTAAGTCAAGTTTTTTTGAAATATAGGTTTTTTTGGAAAATATAGGTCAATAAGTTTATAGAAAAGAGTGATCTTCACCTGTTTGGGTCTATAAACCCATAAATTGTGATAAAACGAAATGTCACTAAATTTATTGATTTTTTGGCGCAACGTAACAGAACCTATCGATTTTTAAAAAATTGCGAAATGGTGGCCGGAATGTTTGTAGAACTTACGAATTTTAGTTTTTTTTTGTCAATAAGTTCGTAGGGAAGCATGAATTTGTAATTTTTACAAAATTTTGGCGAAAAGCATGAAATTCATATTTTCTATGGACTTTTAGACCAAAAAATAAAAATTAATTTTTTTTATAAACTTATTGACTAAAGAAGCAAAAATTTTAAAAAATCAGTAATTGTTTTGGCGTTTCGTCGAAAATAGATAAATTTTGTGACATTTCGTCAACTTGAAATTTTTGAAGTATTTTCAATTTAAAGTCATTTCCTATGAAATTTTGGACAGAAAAATAAAATTTGATTTTTCTAAAAACTTTTTGACTTTTTTTCAGGAGCTCAAAGAATCGAATCGACAAGTGATCGGCGTGGTAAACATGATGATCACGGTATTCGGCGGGTTCATGTTCGGATTCTTCGGCATCGGCATGGCATACCCATCTCTCAACATGAGCACCACCACCCGAACAGTACTCGGACTGGCCATAGCGACCATCTTCTTCATGGTGGACCTGTACTTTTTCGTCAAAACTCTGGATTTGGAGAATGAGGAGGTCAAAAGTGACAAGACGTTATTCAAATTGGACACAAATCAAGTGGGAAAAGTGTTGGATGGTGCTGATAGTACTAGCGCTACTAAGGATGATGTCAAGAAGCCCAAGGTGAATTTTAAGAACAAAAAACGAGCCAAGAAGACCGACTAAAACAAGGTTTTCTGAGGCCGCGTCAAAAAGAATTAGGTGGATTTATGTGGATTTATAAAACAAAAATGATTAATTCTTTTTGACGTGGCTTGGAAAACCTTTAGAATGTCAGTTTCTATAATTTTTTTGGTTCTATGTTATATTCAAAATGGCAAAAACGGATCGAAATGAAGCCGCGTTTAAAAGAATTGGGTGGATTTCTATTGATTTACATAGCAAAAGGCCCAATTCTTTTTGACACGCCGTTATCTTTTTCTTTTATTATTGTAAAAACGACAGTATAAAGAAAGTCGTTGCGGTTTTCAAGAAATATGTTGTGATATACTGTATTTTTTTCACTTTGTTCTGCTTTAATGGTCACTTTCGTTGTTTGCCATCGTACTCTAGCTTACTTAATTATGCTGTCTCAATGATCATATTATATCATTATTTGTTTGAAAAAAGAAGTGTGATTATAATTTCGAAGCGAAATTTTATCAGGAATCTGAATCGTATATATAAATTGTAAAAACAGCTAATTTGGTCAAGGGTCGATTGAAAAATGGCAATTTTGATCATTATTGTGACTAATTTTCACCATGTCACCAAATGAGAATTGAGACAAAAATTAAATTGATACATAAAAACCATGATTACAATTCGGTCAAGAACCCTAATTTTAAAATGAAAAAAGCCGAAAATCGAAGTTACAATAGTTATAGCCAAAAAAATTGCTGTATCGGTACATGATCAAAAATGACTATAACTTTCTTTACAAAACAAAAAAAGAAGACAAATACTCTTAAAAAAAAGCAAAACACATTTGGTGTAAGCTCATCTTTTCTATTGTCATTCTACGTTTTTTGATCAAAAAACGGCCGATTTTGGTCGAAAATCGGCCGAGAAATGACCCCCCCAAACGACGTCCTTGTCTCCTCCCCTTCCGTCACAAAATTTTTTAAACTTTATTTCTCTTCCCCCTTCCTTACAATTTTTTAACTTTATTTTTCCTCACTTCCCTCACAAAACATTTTTTAACGCTATTCCTCCTAACACATTCTCCCACAAACTTTTTTTTACTCTATTCTCGTCCCCTCCCTCACAAAATTTTTTACCCCTTCCTTACCGAATCCTGTACCTGCCGACTAAAACCTACCTTAATCAAATTACGAACCAATGATTCACCACCGCAGTTCATTCATCCATATGTCACCGCCTAAAATGATTTATAATTTTGAAAAATGTTGTTATAGAATAGTGTGAAAAAATTCCAATAAATTTAAATCCAACGTGCAAACAAGTTTAAAATTAAACTTTTAAAAACAAATTCTCAATTTTTACAGTATCAGCAGTAAGATTCGAATTTTTACTACAGTACCCCAAAATCGATTTTACAGTAACCTAAATTTTTTGAATTTCTTTTAAGAAAGTTTTTTAGCTCAGGGTTACTGTAAAAATTAAATTTTTGGAAAAAAAGTTTACTGTAAAAGGCTCTTAAAATCCGGATTACTGTAATTAAGAAGCTTTAAAAAATAGGGGCTACTGTAGCAAAACTAAAAAACAAGGTTACTGTAGAATTTTTTTTTAACCCTTTTATTGCTTTTTACAGTAACCCGGGCTTTTCGTTTTTTCATAGTAATTCGGGCTTTATCGTTTTTTACAGTAACCCAGGTTTTCTCTTATTTTTTACAGTAACCCGGGCTTTTACGATTTTTTACAATAAAGTGGGTTTTTCCGACAATTTCGACTTTTTTTACAGTAATCCGGAATTATTCGATTTTTTTACAGTAACCATTAAAAGCGTTATTACAACTATCTTTAACCTACAATTTTAGAGCCGGCGGAGGCCGAGCGGCCCCACACCATCGGGCTAAGCCGCAGCCCGGAAGACGTGTAAGTTAACATTTTTAAATTTTTCATATACGAGGATTTATATAGAAAGAAGTAGTAAGAAAAATTAGAAAGTAGAAATATTACAGTATATATGTATCGTGAAAGGGGAAACCAAAAAGATCAGGAGGGGGATAAGGAGGTGAAAAATAACTGTTAATTTTGTACTTTTATAATGTTAATGGTTTCACCTTTTTAGGGCGAACCCTCCGGGCGCGCAAGCGGCAAGGCCCCGCCACAGAAGCCGTAACCCCAGCCGCCGCCGCCACCATCGCCGCCAATCAAGCTTCTAACTTTCTCATTGTTTGGCTTTTAACTATTTTTTCTTTGGTATAATGATAGAAAAGCTTCAAATGAACTTTCAATTTTAAATTTGTAAGCCTATCTTGACTGGAACATCAAAAAAAAGTGCTTGCAACGCAATGCCAAATTGACGGGAAACTTAAATATATTGATTTTAAAACTTAAAACCGCAAGCTAAGATTTTTTATATGTGCTAATGGTACTAGGAATCCGTATAAAAAATTTGAGCTAATTCTGGGAGTTGCAGGTTGGGTACTTTCCTTGCCAGTGCAGGGCATGGTATCGTAAGGAGGGGGAAAGGAGAGTAAAGCATGGTAGGATAGGACAGTTTAGGGTAGGTAGGTAAAGTAGGGTAAGTCAGGGTAGGGTAGTATAGAGTAGGGTAAAGTAAGACAAGATAAAGTAGGGCAGGGTAACAGGATAATGTGTTATAATGAGAGTAGGGTAGAACAGGGTAAAATAAAGTAGGGTAGAGTGAAGCAGGGTAGGATAGGTAGAGGAGGGTATTGTATGGCAAAGTAGGGTGGAAAAGGATGAAGTATCGTAGAGTGCTTTAATGAGGATAGGGTAGAATAGGACGTTGTAGCGTAAAGTAGGGTTGGTAAAGTGGGTTGGGGCAGGGTAAAGTAGATAAAACAGGTTTGGGTAAAGTAGGGCATGGTGTCCAAATGAAGGTAGGGTAGAGTAGAAAAAGGTAAAGCAAAGTAGGACAGGGTAGGGCAAAGTAGGATAGATCAGCCTATCATTTTGTTCTCTTCGTAACTTATTATTATTACTTATTTTATGACTTGTATAATCTAAATAAATATTTATAAATTGACCTTATTTAGCGACTATCAATTGTAATTGTTTTTAAATTGAATTTTTTGTGTTACCCTCCCTTCGTCCAAAAATTTTTTTTCGAAAAATGTCAGCTTTTCTTTTAAACCAGCTCTCCAACAAGCCCTATCTTTGCTAAACTCGTCCAGCCTATTCAAAACACACCCTGCACTTTCAAAAATTCCTTGCTTTTCAGAACATGCCTGTCGATTCAAAAAAGCCCTACTTTTTCTAAATACACCCTACCCTTTAAAAATGTGTCCCATTATGCCAAAAATCGCCCTATTTTCCGTATCCTAGCCTAATGCCTTTCAACAAACACCCTAAGCCCTGCTCTGGCACTGAATAACACTCTTCCCACTCGTCCACGCCTCTCTAAAACCTAAAAACCAACAAAAATAAATCAAAACTCACTAGCTGCCTTCAATCAAAGTTCCGCTAACGTGACCATACACCAACCATCTTACTGGTACCAAAACTGTGCGTAGAATATTTGAAATTATTAATATTTTAGATACAATATAATTTATATAATTTTTTTATTAACCTTGCAAGATTTTAGGATGTTCGAGTCACGGAAAACCAGGGCACTAACAATTTCGCTGTTGGTTACAACAACCAAATCACTGATTTGAAAACAAACGTTCAATATAACCAGGTACAGTACACATTTTTAATTAGAATACTTGTTTTTTTAATAATTCATTGTCTTACCATATCCTAACTGCCCTTCCCGCACCCTACCTTATCGCACTTTAACCAACCCTACCCCTGCCGTAACAATCCCTATCCTGCTTTACCTTACCTTTGCCATCACTACCCTACGTACCATACCCATCCCTTACATGCTTTACCGTACCTTAGCCATTAATATTCTACCTACCGTACTCATTTGGGCAAATTTTATATACGCATGTTTCAGGGACGCTAACTGACCACTGACTTTGGGACGACAACGGATTGGCACTGACTCTACTGACTTTACAATAAATTCTACTGACCAATTTTGGAATTTTTGATTTGAATAATGATATTACTCCCTTCCCCTTTCCGACCCCGTCCCCTCCTTCCCGCTCCGTCACACACACACTTAAATTACGACAAGTCATGCTTAGGCTACTGCCCACAAACAAAAAAATTTTTGTTGCAAATTTACACTGAACATTACCTTAAAAAACGACAAGACCTTTTCCGCATTTCCGTTCCTGATGCCAACAAAAATCTTGTCGCAAATTTGCGTTAAAAACATTGTTGAAAAGCGACAAGACTTTTTCGCTTTTAGCAAACGCTGCAAATAGAAATGCTGACTTAATGTAGTTACAAAAATATAAATATAAAAAGATCACTTTAGACACAAAACAATTATTATATATTGATCCAAAATACAGGATACCCAGTAACAATAGCCACCTCAAAACGCCATTTCAAATGATTTTTATTTGAAGAAAAAGGATCAAGTTTGAGCCGAGTTATCGCCTCCGCCGACAAAACAGTACCACTTGTGTACACAATTAGTATTGTACGAAATTGCGTAACAATTAAACACCTTAAAACACAATTTCTAATGGTTTTTATTTGAAGAAAAAGGATCAAGTTTGAGCTGAGTTATGGCATCCGCCGACAAAACAGTACCACTTGTGTGTAAACAATTAGTACCTTTTTTAGTAACTAACAAGAGAGAAGCGCAATTATAAGCCTGTAAAAACGATTTGTTTAATGTTTTTTGTTTGAAAAAAAACTATTGAGTTTGAGCCGAGGTATGGCCTTCGCCGACAAAACGGTACCACACGTCCTCTTCCTCCGCCGGCGCAAAGGCTAAATTAAAAATCTAAAAAGAACAGAAACCTAACGCAAGACACGGTAGCATTTTAGAGCAAACATTTCGCGATTTTGTGTATGAACCAATAGGTTTTATGCCTCCGCCGATCGTCCGCCAAACCGGTAAACAATCATACAAAACCAAAACCGCCCGCTAGTGGCTCTATAACAAAAAAAGAATCAGGCCAATC